TCTTTTTAATCGCCGAAACCGCTTTCAATCATCGTTCCATTCTACACCAAGATCTGCACGGGCAGATGCATACCAATGGCACCTTCGACTTGGACATCCTGGACCTCTTACCTTGGAGCATCTAGTCAATTCAACTAAAGGAGCAAGGATTAGAGGTGGACCGACAACAGTGGAATGCGACGCCTGCGGGATTGCAAAGCTAAAAGCGTCAGGTTAGCAGAATTCCATCGGATTTTATAGAGGGACCGGGTCAACGCCTAGCCATTGATTTCCATGACTTCGAAGCTGGCTATGGTGGTTGGAAAAGCTTGATGCTAGCAACTGATCGGTGGTCAGGTTTTATCTGGGATTACTACCTAGAGGACCGAACGGCTGACTCAATTATCCACGCTTTGAGGCATTTACTTGGAACACTTGGGCGAATGGATATAAAGGTTCAGGTTATTGAATGTGACAATGAAACTGTGGGCCAAAAGCCTCGCATTGCAGCCTTTCTGCAGTCAGATCCTTATTTTATAAAGATTGAGCCCTCCGCACCTTATACAAGTGCTCAAAACGGTGGTGCAGAGCGCTCAGGGGTGTAATAAAGGATAAGGCTCGAGCAATGCGGGAACATGCTAGATTACCTGCATTTCTATGGCCGGAGATTGTACGTGCATCAGTCTATCTTTCCAATCGAACACCTCAGTACCAAACCAATTGGAAAACGCCTTTCGATCGATTCCATACCTACGTTGCGCACCAAGACGGCATGGTAATCCATGACAGAAAGCCTCAGCAAGCGCATCTAAAAGTATATGGATGCAAAGCCTTCGCCATGACCACAGAAGCACTGAAGAAGTCAAACCGGAAACAGAGATTCAATCCAAGAGCGCATATTGGATATCTAGTTGGATATGATTCCACTAATATCTACCGAATCTGGATTCCACGCCTAAACCGAGTCATCCGTACAAGAGATGTGATATTCAATGAAGACGAGCAGTTCTCTGGGGATCTGTCCGAACTAGCAATCATGCAGGATCAATTCCGGCAGATATCCATCCAAGATTTCAACCAGATGATCAAGAATATTGAGGTTCCCGAAGAGTCTATGTCGCCACCAAGCCAACAAGAAGAGCAAGTAGTTGGATATTTTGATTCTTTAGACTTTCTGGTGGATATGGCACAATCAGCTATGGATTTGGCGGAAGAAATAGGTCAGAAAGATGCTGAAGACCTAGTCTATCCAACACCACCGGAGACGCCAGAATATCTACAACCAGCTTCGCTATTAGCTATTGGTTCCCCAGCTAGATCTAATCAAGAATCATCGCACTTAGCTGCATGGAAAGCATCGTTTTTGGCTGCACCATTAATTCAACCGAAACGACCCGGAGAGAGAACAACCAAGGCACAATCAGAACGATTACTTCGACAACCTGAAAAGGATTTGCACCACAGAGATTTGCCACCTAAGCCAGTCCACCACAGAGATCTTATTAATCATCCACTTGGCGAACAGTTCAAGCAGGCTGAAAAAGATCATCTTAAGGGACATGAGGATATGTGTACATGGCAAGAAATAAGCCGGCATAATCCTAAATGCAAAGGCAGGCAAATCCTGGATTGCAAATGGGTGTACGCGTACAAGTTTGACCAGAAAGGAAGACTGCAAAAGTGCAAGGCCCGTCTGGTTGTACGCGGCGACCAACAAGAAAGGAAAACAGAAGATCTTTCGTGCTTCAACACTGGCTATACAATCATTCCGAATCCTAATGGCTACAGCTGCAAGATTTGACTTGGAATTGGTGCAATATGACATTACCAATGCCTTTGTCTATGCAGATATCGATGAGGATGTCTTTATGCAGATGCCACCAGGATACCAAAAGCCAGGTATAATCCTGAAGCTTAAAAGGGCCCTGTTTGGACTGAGGCAATCACCATTGCTATGGCAAAAGCACTTCAAGAAATCCCTTCAAGACCTAGGATTTAATCCTATTCCTCATGAACCATGTTGCATGATTAAAAATGGTATTCTAGTATTCTTCTATGTTGACGACATAATCTTTGCATACCAAAAGGGCTGCAAGAATCAAGAGATACTGGACCAAATTGTTAATCAGCTCCAAAACCAGTACAAGATGACTGGCGGAGATAAACTGCAGTGGTTTCTTGGTATAGAGATAATCCGGGATCGGGAGAAAAGAATTATATGGCTAAGTCAATCCTCTTATATAGAGAAGATTGCTAACCTAGCGGATTCAAGAACCTCAGATACTGTCCCAATAACCAGAGATGAGCTTATTATCTACACCGGACAAGACCACACGCCAAAGTATTCAGAGATTATCAGAAGAAGTAACGGTTCCTTAATGTACACAGCAGTCACCACACGACCAGACATAGCCTTTGCAGTGTCCAAATTATCCCGCTTTCTTACCAATCCAAGCGACGAACACCATGCTGCGGCTGACCGCGTCCTTTTATACCTTAAACGAACGAAAGACCTAGCGCTGCAACTGGGGGTGGAGATGACTTCATCCTGTACAGCGATGCTTCGTTTGCGGATAACAAGGAGGATCGAAAGAGTTCGCAAGGATATATAATGCAGTTGTTTGGAGGAGTAGTAGGATGGAGGGCCAACAAGCAGGCAACGGTGACTACTTCTACCACTGAGGCAGAGCTTCTAGCGTTGTCCCACGCAGCTGGAGAAGGAATATTCATCAGCAGACTGCTTAAAGAGCTTGGAGTTCAACTGGATAAGAGAAAGAAGGACCAACGGATTCAAATCTTCTGTGACAATCTCCAAACAATCCGGCTTGTGCATAAAGATATAAACCGACTTCAGACAAGGCTTCGACACGTGGATATCCATAATCATTGGCTCAGGCAGGAAGCTCTGGAAGGAAGAATCCAAGTCAGCTACACACCAACAGACAAGATGCTGGCAGATGGACTCACTAAAGCACTGCCACGGCAGAAATTCGAGCCGTTTGTGGATCAGCTAGGACTTCGGGACATCTCTGGAGTCAAAAGGATTGATGGAAACACTGAACGGATATGACTGAATGTCAGATTCGACCCGGAATAGCTTCAAGGTTGCTGAAATTGGAAGGAAAGGTTCGAATCTGAGGGGTGTGTCAAATAATATGGCCGTTGGTGGACCAGAATCATGTGACTGGATCGGGGTAAAACCCCCGTGGAGCACACAACAAAATAATCAATCAAGAATAACCAAGAAGAATAATCAAGAAGAGCCCAACCAGCTCAATTCATTCAAATAAGACCTTTTCACCAATCGTACTCTATTTCCTCTTCGGGATTAGCCGTATATCTGACAGAACTATATCTTTCAGGGTGCTGACGAGTCTCCACACCTCTCGGGTAGTAACCCGACCCGTGCTTTCTGATGGCGTGAAGGCCTCCCCGCTCCGCGTTCTTCTGGGCGCTCTGAAGTGGTTGTATTCAGAAGGATTGTCTGCCCAACCCCTCTATGAGGAGTATTGGGTATATATATTCACATGATGTCCCAATCTGGACTAGTTTATTCTGACAGGTGTTTGTGGGATGGGGTTCAGGCCCTCCCGTGGTAGTCTCGGTATGGAATAGGTATTAGAATGGACCGTCCATAATAATCCATACCGAGTATGGATGGAAACGGGTATTAGTGTATGGAAAACCAGCCTGGCCACTTCTGGTGTTAATTTGGGGCGTTTTTGAGCTCTCCATTTGCTATAACCAGACTCTTTAACAATTAGGTATAGTGATCGGTGCGGAATCACAAAGCTTTTCTCGTACCTCTTTATAGGCAATAAAGGATCTTCTGTAATTACTCGAATCATCAACTCTTTGTCTCTATCTATATAGATTTTCGGCAGACCGGATCGGGGGTGGGGGTTGAAATCCTGCCTTGAAGATATTTAGTTCAGCGTTGGCATAAAATGGTTTGGAGGGGTCGATTCTAGCGCTTTGTTGTACTCCTCCTTCGTAAAATGCACTGTATATAAGCTCTCTCAGTTTGATCCAGCTCCCGATTGCGCTTAATATTATCGCTAAAAGGACTCCTTTGAGTCCTTTTTGGGGTCATGGTTGGTGATTTAAAAAAATGTTGAAAACCATGATGCCTAAGGCACCTTCGGGTATCCTAGTCCTGAAGCCATCTGACATATCACACGCAAGGGGCTAAGGGGCTAAGGGACACGTAGACATAAGGAAGCGTTTATCTACGCTCTCTCTCCTAGATAGAAGAAGATACTCACCATGCGATACTAGATCGCACCGATAGTTTCAATATACTATCCAGTCACCGCTATCCTAGCACCTCACGACATAGCTTCTTCCCCGAGATTCTCAACAAAAAAGAGGGCTTTTTTTTACGCGTTGGTTGACGTGACTGAATGCTTAGCGCGGTTATGAGGACTTTTGGCCAAGGACTATACCTGTTCGGCCGCCTGGGCTCTAGCTAGAAGCTCCTCAGCGAGTTCTCTTGGTCCAAATCTATTATGTATAGACTGAGTTGGTTACATAGCCTGTGATACAAGGGCAGTGTGGGGCGCAAAGGCAACTGTTATTTCTATTTCTAAAATAGTGGCTCTTAACAGTTAAAAAAAAAAAGGCTGGGAAAGAACGTATGAAGCTTATAGCCATTCCTACGTTTACAGAACTTATCTTCCGACCACTCCTATTCTCATCCAACAATACCCCCAAAACTCTTTGGATATGTTATCGACTATTTGGACACTGTTCGAGTTCCTGGAAGACGAAGAATTTCTTTATAAAACGCCCTCTCGAATTATCACCGAGGCGGCATAGTTAAGTTCAGAGCAGTTTGGTCTCATGTTTCTTCAATAGAGGGGAACAAACCCTGGTCAAACCGGGTTGGACTACGGGATTGCAGATGACCTGTATAGTTCAGTCAAAGAGCTATTTTTAGCCTGGGCACAGATTGTCCTGCCGCATATAATCATGCCCCCTATCAACCCCCCGGGGTTAGTAGACACTGGCAGCCCGTATACATGGATGCGAACCTGGCGAATGGACTGGATCGTGTCACGGGCATCGCGCACCAGAGTGAGGGAATGACCCTCAAGACGTTTGGCGCGTCCATTGCGACGGGCGCCTTGATTTTTGCCGCCGAGATCGCTGTTTTCGTCTTGTGCAAGGATCGACTTCGCATGATCTAGTAAGTCTACCTGCTCGATATCAGGTAACGTTTTTGTTTCACTTCCAATGGCATGCTTACTTACCGATAAGTCAACCTCGAACACACCTTGTTCCCGAAAGCGAGCGCGCGGAGTTCCCCCCTACGAACCTGTTTCAGCTGGTGGCTCACCTCTGGAAGATCTCCGACAGGGAGATCATCGAACGATGCGGCCTGGACGCCTTTTTCTTCCTACGATATCTGGCCATGCTCTTCAAGATCTTCGCTGGCCTTCTCGTTCTTCTCCTCCCGGTACTCCTCCCGTTGAATGCCGTCGGGGGCAAGGGCACTCACCACGAGGATGACGGCGACAGTGGCCCTCGCTGGAATGTCACCGGCCTGGACCAGCTGGCATGGGGGAATATCGAGCCTCGGCATACGGATCGTTACTGGGCGCACTTTCTCCTGGCCATAATTGCCATTGTGGGGACATGCATCATGTTCTACGTGGAACTCCGGGTTTACATCCGCCATCGGCATGCGTACCTGAGGGACCCGCGGACGGCCACCAGCACGATTCTGGTGACAGCAATCCCGGAAGAGTGGATGGCCAGAGCAAAGTCCCCCGAAGGCCAGCTGCACCGGCTGTACGATGCCCTCCCCGGGGGCATCCGGAGGATCTGGGTCAACCGTGACTATTTGGATGAGTTGGCCCAAAAGGTCGACCGGCGTGCGTGGTTGGCAGAGAAGCTGGAGGTTGCCGAGACGGCGTTGATCGTCCAATGTCACCGGGCTTCTCGGAGGCATCGGAGCGGGGTAACCCAGTTGCCATCGTCATCACCATCACCATCACCATCACCATTACCAGCATGGTCCTCCTACATCCGGTCAGGGGATAGACCGAGAATGAGGTTTCCTGTCTGGGATGGCCAGTGGAGGTGGTGGCGGCCGTGGAAGAAGACAGACACAATTGATTATTGTCGAGCGGAGATCAGGAGGCTGACCGACGATATCAGGGCGCAGCAGAAAAGGAACCTTCCATCCAACTCAGCATTCATCCAGTTCAACCGGCCGGTGGCAGCTCATATGGCCTGCCAATTAGTCGGCTACGGCCGGCCACAACAGCTGATACCCCGGCTAGTTTGGACGCCAGATGATGTGATCTGGGGAAACTTGCCCATTGGATGGTGGGGGCTCTCCGTGCGCCAGGTCTGTTGCGCGACTGCGATGATGGCAATCCTTGTAGTCGGGGCGGTCCTGGTCGCCTGGACGGGTTTCCTTTCGCAGCTCTCCTATCTGGCTGGGGCGTTTCCGTGGCTGGCCTGGATCGACACGCTGCCGACCTGGTTCATATCCACGGCCCAGGGCCTGCTGCCGGGCGTCTGCCTGGCTCTCCTTATGGCGCTGCTACCCATGTTGCTCCGATGCCTATGCCGTCTTCAGGGTCTCGCTACCGGAACGGAGGTCGAGTTGATGATGCAGCAATATTACTTCGGCTTCCTCTTCGTCCAGCTGTTTCTGATCGTCTCGGTCTCCTGCAGCTTCTCAACGATCTACCAGAGTGCCACCGAGGTGACCAGCTGGCCAACTCTTTTAGCCCAGAATGTGCCCAAGGCAAGCAACTATTTCCTGTCCTATATGATTCTCCAGGCCTTGTCGATCAGTGCCGGTGAGTTGGCGCAACTTGTCCGGCTGATTAAATGGCTAGTTCTCTCACCGTTGTGGGACAGCACAGCGCGTCAGAAGTGGAGACGCACCCGGGAACTGAACGAGGTCCAGTGGGGGACATTCTTCCCACTCTACACAACACTGGCTTGCATTGGTGAGTGGTTTTGAGCCCTGATCGCGTCCCACTCTTATCATTATTTTAATTTCTATTTTCGGCTTTATTTTCTGCTTGTTTCTCACTTTAACGTATTCTGACGTTTTGCTTTCCCATTTCTTCATTTTTTTGATTTGTGGCTCTACGTTAACTTTTGTCGGTCTATTTTTTGTTAGGTATTTAGGCCTGATTTACTGCATTATCGCTCCACTCATTGTGGTGTTTAATGTCCTGACCTTCGGGCTCTTCCTCCTAGTGTACCGCTACAACACCCTGTTTGTTGTCCGATTTAGGCTCGACACTGGTGGGCTCCTCTTTCCACGTGCCATCAACCAGCTGTTTACCGGCTTATATGTGATGGAGTTATGTCTGGTAGGGATGTTCTTCCTGGTCTGTGACGAGCAGGGAGCTGCAAGTGGCCAGGTTCAAGGCGGTCTAATGGCGGGCATCTTGCTTCTCACCATCGGGTATCAGATATCGTTAAACCGAGCGATGAATCCATTGCTCAAGTATTTGCCGCTTTCTCCCAACTCGTCATTGTTACAAGCAGAGACCCATGATGCATTTCCAAAGGCCCAGCAGCAATACATTACGTTCGAGCATAAGGCATGGCGAGTGGGAAGAGTCGTGATCTGGTTTCCTAATGATGCCCTCCGTATTAGCGAAGACGAACAGCGTCGCACCTTGCGGGAAAGCTGTGCACGAATCTCGGTAGACAGTAAGGGGCAGACTTTGGATGATAACTTGCGGACCTGTTTCGACAAAGACCCGCCAAATTGTCCAGTACGAGAAGAGATTTGCCGGAGGCGCCAAGTATTAAATAGTGACGCTCCCATTGCATTTTTCTAGCGAATGGCGCTGCAAGGGCTAACATGCGCATGACTCGGTCTCTAGACCTTCTAGCACTAACCCTAGGTTCATCACGTGTAGCGAATAACCTGTTTGTAAGGGATCAACCGTAGATGATATTGATTGATATTAGGAAGAAAACTAAGCACGAAGAGAGGAAGGAGGGAATCCTTCAGGGGTCAACTCCGTGACACCGTTGGAGCATACGGCTATATATGGGCACCTCCCCCGACCTCGCTTAGTCATCATTTATATAAGCTAGGTTAGTTAAGTTAGTGTCAGATATACGGCTAGTGCAGAAGAGGAAATAGAATACCATTGGTAAAAAGGTCTTATTTGAATGAATTGAGCTGGTTGGGCTCTTCTTGATTATTCTCTTTTGGTTATTCTTGATTGATCATTTTTTTGTGTACTCCGCGGGGGTTTTACCCCGATCTAGTCACATGATCCTGGTCCACCAACGCCCCTATTATGTCACGGGCTAGTAGCCGATTCAACCTATATAATAGATTTGGACTAAAAGAACTCGCTGAAGAGCTTCTATCTGCGGCCGCGGCGGCCGAACAGGTAAATGTGTGTGCGAGGTAAACGAGATCACGTGACCGGGGGAGTTCTACACGACCTCGCGAGTGCCCGGTATACAGTACGGGCTCGAGCACTTTGCAGGCCCTGCCCGCTACATATTATTTGACAGTACACAATATCGCGAGTGCCCAGTATACGGGCTCGAGCATTTTGCGGACCCTGCCCGCTACAGCCGTAGCAACACAAGCGTGGTTGCAGATGGTGAGGCCTTTTTTTGGGGGGGGTTGCGTGTCACATCTGTTGTAGTGGAGGAACTAGAGAGATTGGTACGTGACATTCGTATGGATAACTATTATCTTAAGTCCTCGTTCGAAGAGGTAATAGACAATCAACAACCTTCTTGCAGACCACAGAGTGCAGTTGCATACTGTAAAGGGAATGTTGTCTTCTCTCCTACCAAGAACTCGTGGGCTCAGAGCCCACAACTTTCGAACTGTCTAAGAGTTTTTCCTTGACCTACTCCTTCGGAGTTCTACCATTTCCCTCTTATTCACTGTGTACACTGGTCAAGCTCCATGTTGGGGGTTGCGAGACGGCTGTTACGTGGACCAACCTAGCGTACCATACGGGCGGTCAACTGAATACGCGTATGAGCTATTATATTGAAATGTAGGGTCTCTTAGATCTCTACATAACTATCTGAATCTATATGGGAGAACTGAATAAAGTGGTGAAAAACAAAGGAACAAAGTCGCACCGAGGGGCTGCTGAATAATGAGTAATATTGGGCCGCTTGGGTGTACGGTGGTGTACATAGGTTGAGGTCTCCGAGAACGTTAAGGATACAGCTTCAGGCCTCTCAGGGCGTGCGTAGGTCTACTCAGTGAGCAAGGCAGCGAGAGGTTAGAATAAAACTGACAGGAACAGCCTTCGAGCTGTGTATGTCAGGGGGGGGCTGAACCCGTAGAACCTATATTAATAGGATAGGCTATGTACAGAAAGGAATCGTTGGGGAAGCGAATAAGGGAAGAGGAAAATAAGTGTTGGAAGCTATTGCTTATTCTATTGAAGGGGTGGCCACGGTAACTAGTTAGTCGCTACAGATATATTCTAGCTTACATAAATGATGACTAAGCGAGGTCGAACGCACGGCGCCAGTGCTTGGCGGTAAATGCTCCAAGTCCAACAACAAGGTAAAGTCACGTGACATGGATCGAGTGTTGGAACTTGGAAGCATGAAGGAGTCTGGGATTCAGGGGGTACGGAGGCACCCACGAACTAGGCTAAATAACTAAATTTTACATAACAGATGCTGACTAAGACAGTGCAGACCGGCACCCGGAGCAGAGGGATAACCCGATGTTCCAACATCGAGGGCCGAAAGGGCCAACAGGGACATTGGCCCGAGAGGTCAAACGGGCTCCAGCCCTTTACAGTGTAGAAAATCAAGTTCATTTGTATATGTATTGTATATGCCTAAAAGATATACTGTATGGATAAAAGACCTCATTTGTATAACTATCGTAAGACTAAGACCGGATATCATCATGTGCTATAGTATGTGCAATTTCATATGGAGTTACTGAGTAAGTTCCACTTGCCATGTGCCTGGGCAAACATATTTCAGTTTCTCAAACATAACCAGATCTCCAATATGTATAGCACCACCAATCCTACTATTAAGGACTCTGTATCTCTCGCAGATGACGCCTAAGACACCTTCAATAGACGTCTCCTGTACTGGTAATAATTCAAGCATCTCACCCATGTTATCGGGAAGCATAATTCTTATGGGGCCATGAAAGATATCTGTCTTGAGTGTGTAATTTGGAGTAAGCTTGACAGTCTCTTTGTTAGGTGTTTGGGAGATGTTCCATTCAATCCCCTCTAGCTTATCTTCCTTATCCCTCATGTAAAGTTTAAAGTCACACTTCCGGGGGGGTTGAACATCGGAGTTGGGGTTAATTGTTTTAAGAAAGGAAACGAGCTCAGATAACAGGTCCAGCTTTCCGTCAAGCTCGTACAATTCTTCACGGACCGTGGAATTTTGCATCCTGAGGAGTTGGAAAGGTACAGTAACCAGTGTAGTAAGGAGATTGGTAGTAGCTTTATAGACCACATCGTGGTCGAGTGTTATATTCTGGTGCACCTTAAAATAGATATTGCAATACCAGCTACTATTAATAAATTTAGGGACTTGGTGGTGCTAAGAATGAATGCCAATTTAAACCTCTCGTTTACATGGCTGAATGCATACCCCCTAGTTAACTATATTTGCAAAACTAGCTTTATGCATATATCCCCAAAAATGTATGTATACTGTACAAGTTTTATAACTATAGTACTGGCCGTCGATCTGTTTCCGGCCACAGAATAGTTAGTGAAACGCGAAATCAGACGCGGTCTCATATTGTACGGAACTGTACTGTACTGTAGCTCACTTATAAGCTTAGGTTTCTAGTGCTTCAGCAGCTTAAGTTCCGAATTCGGTTTCATGATTCTTGCTTACATATCAACTGATTGACCATCTCGTAACGTTTCGCTAGATCTTCCTCCTGGTGCATATGAGAGGTCTCCATGCTTTGAGCCCATGGCTTCGCTCACCTCTCCCCCATAAATGACAGTAGAAGAGAGAATATTTGACAGTCTCCCCTCACAACCGTCCATCCCTTGAACACCCACATGTACTGCTGTCGATAAGACAGACCATTTCGAGGTAGCTGTTTAAGCATATGTAATCTATACGCTACTATTAGTGCTAGCGTACATAGTAGACAGCGAGTTTCCAACGCTCGCTAATTCCCTTGCCTGCTTCCCTGGCCCGAGGTGTACGTTTAGCGCCGTCTCGTGTGGCTCGATAACACACCGAATCGAGGCCTCCAATGGTGCTAAGACAAAAGATTTTCTTGTCTCCCACTTTTCTGTTGCTTTACAGCACTCTGTTAGTGCAAGAACTGTAGTTTTCGTCCACTTAAGCGCTTCCAAGGGAGTTTTACCTCCGTGCCGCATTTCTTCTGTTGTTCTTTTTACCCTCAAGCCCTCTGGGCATGCAAAAGCTGGGCCAATTTTTAACCAAATAGCCGCTTCTTCGATGTTTGTTGCATTTGTAGGCCAATCGGGAGCAGGTAAAGCTCCGTGTCCAAGGCCACTGCAGTAGTACCTTTAAAAACTCCGCTGATAACAATTGCTGCGCGTTTTTGATCTTGTTGAACTCGGGGGCAGGTATGCGCCTTGTGACCGGGCTATACCACGCTGTCACTCCATAACTTACAGGAGCTGGGGGATGACCACTGCGCAGGATATACTGCGCAGTGCGGCCAGCGAGCCACCGCAAGTGGATTCCAATATGCTTTTGAGTGCCTCTAGTGAGCCGTTGGCGCGCGCGAGCATCTTTTCGCGGTGAATGTCAAACCCGAGAGCATTCCCATTAGACACCACGCATTTCCCAAGTGCCGCTTTCCAAATATGGGATGGATAAATCCTTCGTATTCAGAGGTCTAGATCTGGCAGATATATAGTGTGCTATCCATTGTCTGATATCCAGTGCAATATCCTGCAAACTGTAGGACAGGGAATATTTTATGTTTTAAGCAATTTGTCACAACCCGAGGTGACCATTCCCGGCTGGTTGGTAGTGTTATGAATATAGGATGGGCCCGCGGGATTATCCGAATGATCGGCGAAGTACGCGCTTACTGTGGTATACCACAGTATATATGTCTTCCCATAGATGAATTCCTGTATACGTACTAATGTCGGTCAGCTGAATACGCGTATGGGCTAGTATCGTCGATCATATAAGGATATGGATCTGGATCGAAAAGGATAAGGTCTCTTGTGGTCTCTAACTATCTGAATCTATCTGGGAGAATTGAATAAAAGGTGAAAAACAAAGGAATAGTTAAAGTCGTAGTTACCGAGTGGATACTGAGTAATGGTTAATATATTGGCCCACTTTGGTAGACAAAGTACTCTCATACAAATCAATAGCTGAGTTCTCTCTATTTAATATCAATTCCTATGACCTACAGTTGGTTCACAACAGGTAACAACCGCATAATCGTGCTGAGACTATGTGTCAGGGCCTAAGCCCAACCCTGCCTGAAGCACTGAGAAGTTATTCATTGTTGATCCCATAACATAGAGATTTCCCCACATTTCCTGTAGGATAGAATTCTTTCCTCCTTCCTTCCTTCTCTAAGTTTGATGTTTCGTTAGATCGCCACCTTAGATATAGTCTATCCATTTTACCAAGGTGTACAGGATCATCACACCGTGGTGCTCGGTGCTACTGATTCTCTACAGGACCATCTATTAGTGAGCAATAGTTAGTCGGGGCATCTTAGGCAGAGCTGAATCGGTTTAAAAGCTGGTCAAGCCGCGAGGTAAAACAATAAGCCTCATCGTCCGGAAGGATCCTGAAGCGAAGCCTTTGCAAAAGCTCCGGCACTCCACAATCTTGAAACTGCCAGCACTCTTCGTCACTTGCGGCTTCCAACCGCACCAGCATGGCTGTCAACTTCCAGGGATCCGCCTGGAGAGGACGTTCCGCAAAAGGCGCAAGTCGTTGAGAAAACTGCCGGGCTGTGAAAGCCATTAGCACGAGGAATCTTAGATTGCACAAGAAATCGGAGACAACCTTCCGTACTCGCATCGTTGGGCTGTTGGGCTAAGTCCTCATTGTTGTTCAGGGAGCTAACCAACTGCCTACTGTCTTGACCAGACTGCGGAACCAGAGCCGGGCGCGCGGTTCTTCGATAGGGCTGAACAAACTCTAGGAGGGAAAGTGTCAGCCAGACGGAGCCCGCTATCCTGTATGTTGAAAGTGTCGTAATCTAACCCTGAGCTGCCCCTTTTTCGGCCTTCTGACGCAAACCAACCGGGCGTGCTTGTAGTCGCCTGCGTTTCTTCCTTTCCTGATGCGGATCACCACCCCCAGTTTCCAGAAAGCGAACACGCTTCCTCGCTTTTTCATGACTCCCAGGAAGAGGCAGCATAGTATGGTCTTCTTTATAGGGGTCCTCGCCTTGGTACGCTTCAGTGGTCAGACTTTCATTCCCCCTGATCTCTGATGGATCGCCCCGGCACGCGGCCGCAACAGGAGCTGTCTGCAGCTCGTGTGTCTCACCCCTTGCATCCACAAGGAAAAAGGTTAGTTTCCGAAGTTGGTCCATCACTTTCACTGAACACAAGAAGTACTCCTCTATATATCTGTGGCTGGAACCCGTTGGAAACAGAATATCGTGTGGGATATGTGCCTCAACTGTCCCCAGATTTCTCGTAATCACAATCCTATCCAGGGTTAGTGGATGCGTGGTTTTGCAGTTCCAATCAATTCTGCTATTTACTAGCATCTTGTGCCGTTCAAAATATGGGTTGGTTTGATAAACATCCATGTATATGACTCGATTCGGTCGGGCCGCCCCATGGCAGTATACTTGCTTGACGAACAAGACGGACTTCTGCTGCGTAGCGACTTCACCCTAGGATGCATAGGTTCCATTAGGCTATACAATCCGGGAAGAATATCTTTTGTTGTTATTGTATGCTCACCTTTTCAATAACCCGGGCGGTGGCTGGGAGGGTCATCCGCCTCTTCAAAGTTCGGTCCTGGGGCGTCTGGTCTTCGAGGTATAGAAGTCCTAAATTAGTTTCTGCAATTCCGATCGCACTAAGTGAATTTTCTGTATAAGCCAACGCTCCAAGTGGAATAGCACTAGGCCTAAGGCAAAGGTCAGAGAAGGGGATGGTAGGGAATGGAGGAATAGGGCGGACTTGATGTCGGAAAATAATACTAAAAATAGCAATATAAAACGCATTCAGAACCGCACTTACTCCTGGACTATGTGACATGCTGTGGTTGCAAATTGATCCTGAATCCGTGCAAACACTTCTGGCCGAAACCATCGATTCTGGGATGGTCCTCCACACAGCAGAAAGTAATCAGGTAAAAACTCTTCCTCTGTCGCGCTACGACATTGATGTAAGGCCAGGCGGTTCACAGAAGATACCAAAATGTGGTAGAAATATTTCATCCGATCCCTAATATATACTTCATTAGTAGCGGTATATCAGGAAACGGCCTAATCAAACTTACGCGGCCAAATGGATCGTAAGGTCTTGGAGACATAGTTCGAGGTCGTTCCTCCCACTAAATGCCTTCTTACAAACGTCGAAACCCTTTGAGACGCCTTCCCAATCAGGGGAGAGTTCTGAAAGTGTTTTCAGCCAAACCACCCCGCTCTCATTAACTACCTTCCCGCCCTTGCCAATGCCTAGCTTATGTCAGCCGCACCCCTGCTAAGTTAACGGGAGAGGAACAATTAAACTCACCGTTCGTTGGGCAGACTTGAGAAATGCGCTGCTCCCGGTTGACATGGACTGTCACTGGATCCTGCCCTCGCAGTTAGCCGCTGTATCGTATACATATTCTGTGTAGGACGACGGACGCAGCTCCCACCACCACAGTCGACTATCACTATGATTGCCGGACACCCTTTAACTGTCCCATTCAGAATGACAAGATGGGCGGTTGTGAGTGGCTCGGGGAGCCCATCAACAACCGTGAATCTGGCGCTCAGGGATGCCTCGACCTGGGCAAGTTTCAGTCCCTTGTTGTGTCGGGCAGGGTATGTGACCCAGCATTGCTTGATAAGACCCTGAAAGCGTCTTCCGTCTAGCTCGATTTCATGGCCTAAAGAGTTTGAGGCATCCTTCTCCAAAGTCGCCAATATGAATTGGAAGAGACCAGCCAGTAAAGAGGTCAGATTGTCGTTTGCTCCCCAAAGATTCGATGCTCTACTAAAGGCGCCCTGGAGGGGTCTAGCATATTCTGGGCCTCGACCACAGATGCCGAGCATGATGTGGGAGAATATACCGGCCTGGGCGCCGTGGGCAGCATGCGGTCCAAAAATCCACCCATTCCTCAGCCGTGCGCATGTAGCTGAGAGCTCTTCACTCGTCTTTTGGTAGCCGTGGAACTCAGATTTTAGGAGACGTCGCGGACCATGCGGTAGCAGCGGGTAAGCTACTGTACCGAAGTCAATGGCAACGCGAAGAGACAACGAAGCCATTGGTGAGTCACCTGACGCTGCTGAATAACGTATATGTTAATGGCCACCGAAAAAAATTCAGACTGGACCGGGCACTTGGGATTTGGGCTATATGAAGGGACTTGAAAGAATATGCATAGGACCTCGTTGGCAGGGACGCACGGGTTGTTCTGGTTTGTGAAGTTTTTTTTTTAAAAAAAAAAATAAAACGCGCGCAGTCGACCATGATCCGGGCACTCTGTTTTCTAACTGAAATAGGCCACACCTGCACGCATTTGAGTTCTACAGTACGTAAGAACAAATAAGCTAAATAAAGCAATCCAGCCTGGTTAGGTTCTCAGCATTCTACCTGTGTTACGAACATTAATAATGACATAAGTCTTCAAGAAGGCGATAGTTAATTAATTTATGTCGACCAAAATGGGTCTATATTATTGATTATTCAGCATCCTCTTGGTCTGACTTTGTTTCTTTGTTGACCTATTTTTATTCAGTTCTACAGTAGTCAGAGACCATACCTTTCAATATAGATGGATCCTTATCCATAGATCAGTGATACTAGCTCATACGCGTATTCAGCTGGCCGACAATTTATTTAGTTAACTAAATGGCAGTCGAACTTACGTAACCTAATTTAATTTTGTCATCACTAGGCTAGAAGCAGGCATGTCTAATGGGGAATGACTATCCCGACGGACCCGACCGGTTACGTGTTCAAACAATATAGCTGTCAAGGAATAATACTTAAAGTTTCTACGTCACATTCTCGTGCTATTTTGCTAACGATTCGGTCACCGGTCTCCATAGAAGTTCCATGGAGAAATAATAGCCAAGGCTTTCGCTTGGTCCTCGCTGGGTCTTGCTATATCACCATTCCCCGAGTTCCATTTCACTGGTGTATTATTTTCGACGGTTAGCTTAACTGCTATAGTAAATTGCCTGGTTCAAACATTATCTATAACAGCCATTCTATAGAAATCCCAAAATGGCTGTAGTTACACGATCAATGGTACGTACCACAGAGAGTTGATGTTTAGACCCCCGAATACCTAACTTTACCATAGAAGAAATCTCATAGAAAGGTATGGAAGTCTAAAACGCCCTTTGGTAAACGCCATATGTGGAGAAGAGGAAAGGTACTGTAGTAAGTCTGTAATACTTGTTATTCTCCAAATACTGATGGAAAAGGAAGAACCATAGGTTACGCAGCATGAAAGATTCTACGCATTATCAGCCTCGCTCTACAAAAAGTACGGCGGAAAAAGCGACACAATGTGATTGCCATGAGATTGAAACAACCAATCTGAAATATGCGATGAACCTGCTTCAAGAGATGTCCTCATTCGATCTAAACGTATCAAACTTAGAGTTCTGTGCAGATATCATCAGAATCAAATACCAGGCAGGAATTATCCTTGAATGGATACAAGGTCATGTGAAACATGATAAAAATATTGAGAAGCGAACGTTGGAGAAATATGAACCGGACGAAGATTTAGTAATCGAATAAAAACTAGTTATTTTTTTATAGTACTTATAAAATATGTTTATTTATAGTATAAACTTTTACTGTATTTAAGCATAAGGTAAGGCTAAAAATACAAATCTTACATAAAATCACTGTAATCAAATTGATAATGTTCGGATTAATCATTGCCAAGCCTGGTGCATATGATATTTGCATATGTCACTAAGTAGGAATAATGTTAAATATAATGTCTTGGCAAATATTATTTACACCTGTGTAGTATTAGTCATATCCGGATCCCACATAGGAAATAACTAGTTATATTGAAAATGGTTGAATCTAGGGATAAGTTTAATAAAATACAAGCAACAAAATGGACCACCTACCTAGCGAAGACCCCATTGGCTAACACTACTGAGTGTATTCCTCCACCGGAATCTGGTAGGGAATATAATACTGCCGAGGAGGCAGAAATTGCTGCTGAATTACACGCCCAACATGTCACAGGCTGAACCTGTAACATACTATATAGGGCGCTAGATGCGACTGATCGAAGATCAGTCGTCTTGTACCTTTTTATATGGTCAAGTGGTTTTATCTCTACTACCGCAGAGACAACCAAACCATCACACAACAATATGGATTTGCAGTTCAACCAGTTGTTATTCAAAGGAGAAATAAGAATCCAAAAGGAGTTGAATATGCATTATCTTTGCTGTGACCGAGGTGGAAAGCGCCCTTCCCAATCTAATGGTATCCGAGAGGCCAAATCTCGACGAATTGGATGTCCTTTCAGCATTCTAATTGGATATTCAACGCTTACAACCAAATGGACTTTAGTAGTCCAATAAAAACAATAACCATGCATCTTCTTCTTCCAGTACCCATCTAATATACCCGAGGAAGGAGATAACTTGGAAGGAAAATCGAATTAAGCCATTAATAAATCAAGGACTATCAAATACTCCGAATACTCCATGATGAGGGTAAGAGTTCACTTATTCAACGGCAGGACATCTATAACCTTCGGCAAGCAATATTCCGCCAATTTCTCCAGGGAAGAAGCCCAATTTAGGCCCTTATTACACTACTGCCCGATGAAGGGCCCTGGATAATGCAATATTGCACTGAAAATGGGCAGCACTTTTTTTCATCCACAAAGTCTGCCTTTAGTGATTACAGTTAAATCCATATATTCTTTGTATGGATGTACATATAAATCCAATCGTTTCAGGATGTGTAATAAATAGCGTTCCTCGCAGATTATCAGTCATGCAAGTTCCCTTATTTCTAACTTAAATACTTGGTAGGCTGCCGAGAATTTCATTGTAAAATGAATTAGTCAAGCTATGTTCAGCAAGCCAATATCCTTTATCCAAAAGCCATTCTATGGTGACCACCCTCGGGTCAGGCAAATCAGATTAGAGGAACGAGTATTCCGAAAAATTTTCCTCCATCAAAAATACTCCAAAAGTAGGAGAAAATAGCTAGTGGCATGAGCCACAATTGAAAGGTATCATAGAAGGGCAACTCCCCAAATTATATGTATTACAAGGGTAACTAACACTTTGGCAATCTTACAGACGACCCAGAAGTGCATGTCCATGTCTACAATTAGCAAGGGTAACTATAAAATAGAGTCGACAAATGAGGAGAAAAAGAGAGGCATAGTTGACACTCTTATGCGTTTTTAGAATAAAATATGGAGCAGCAGTCGGTGATTTAGGTTGTTTGAGGCCCTACCGCTCTGAGGCACTCGCCAATATCCTTCTAGGACTTATAGGCTACACCTAGAGGCTACCTCCAGATGCCTTAACAGCCAGCTCTGATAGATGTGAGGCCATCAGTGTTAGCTATGTATAGGAGTGAACATGTCTTAGACAAGACGAGGATACTTTCATTCTCTCCATCCAATCTCCTTTTCCAACTCAGACCTAGTTGTCTAAATACTCGGGATATTGTAGACTAGTTTTGGACTTCAGTATCAACGTAGACAGTCGTTCCAGAGACGAATTGCATTCTATTAAGATTGATTTACATACAGTATGCTTTGTCACATATGTATACTGCTGCACATGTGCATATAATAATAGAGTAGTTTGATTTATAAATACTTGTATTTACTAATAGAGCATTGTTGTGAAAAACTCGATACGGTCCACCGTGCACAGGGGAAATGGGGAATAGTGTAGGAGAACGTAGCCTACTAAGGAGCGTATATATTCAACGTCTCATCTATATGCCACACTCCTCTCTTCTCTTCTTAACTGGGATAGAGGAGTTGGGGGTTGACACTGTTGTGCGTAGCCAAGGCGCTAGGAAGGAATCGGTTCCGAATACCACTTCTTCAACAAGCATTAATGTTGAATATGGAACAGATGACTTAGTCCCACTGCCTTGAGCGGCTAGTGTCCCCAGATAGAGCTTCATACGAGGAGCCCAACAAGTCCCCCCACATTAATTTGAGGTTAAAACAAGTTTCCTCTCTTAAGGCTTCATACTTCTCCAGGTTTTTCGTCGACATGGAGGAATTTTGCCAGGATGCCAATTTCTGCAATAATCGCGATTGGCGTTCCAACCGGCTATAGGTGTTAGAGGAATCGTCGTCGTCTTTGTGTGTTCTATCGTCCAGCATTTCTTTTAATGCCATGCTTCGGTTAGTACATTCGAGCACTTCTACGTAGTATGTGAACCATTCTACCTACGTTTTTAAATAAGAATAAGCCTATTTCTGTAAATATTTACTCATATCTATTTCTAGAACAATCTTGATATACAGTATTAGCCAGCCTAACAACCACTCACCTACTGAAATCAAAATGTCTAGAAGGTTAAAAATAGATTCCTCCACTCTTCTATCAATAGAAACGCCCTTGTTTACGAAAATAGCAGCTCAAGCATACCCACGTTGCTGGGAGCGTGGAACATGTGTCTGAGGTCTTATAAACAACATTTCTAAAGAAACTGCGGGAATTTTGAAAGTGTGTAGTATGCTAGAACCTGGCAATGGATCATCCCGCCGAATTTAAAAATCTCGCCATACTCGCGTTGAGCGTGGTGGATAGAGAACTCCAATTTTTCCAAAGCGCAAAGTGGAGGTCCCACCTTGGACAGTGTTCGGATAAAGCCTTCTCAAGTTTATGGGACGGAAACAGGGACTTTCAATCTGTGTTTCTGTCTTTTGTGGGTTTCATTCTTTATACATTGGATGGACTAGGCTCGGTGCCTGACTACCTACCGATTTCAAACACAGCATTAAACGCTGTGCAGGGAGTCTTCCGGAAGGTACAGCCCTATCAATGGCCCGAGATCGCGGATATCTACGACGAGCTGCTGGAATATATGGACTGCATTTCAAGTTGTCTGGGATCTGGCTCTAGTTCCTCGGAAAATTGGCAAACTGTCAGTTACACACGTCGACTCGATACAGTTCCCGAAGAAGATGAATATGACTCCCAGAGACTGGCAGTGAACGCTCACCCATTTTGCAGAGCATAACGTGTTGTGTCAAGATCCGACTGAGCCGTCACTTGGTACGCAAAGCACACAGGCCATGTGTGTGGTATGAGTTTTAGTAAAGAGGGCTTGAATCAAGTCCTATGATATAAGCACCCTTAAATGTGCGTTGCATTCGATGTACGTAACGAGATATGAAAACATGACTTCTATTACCATTAAAAGAGGGACGTGATCTACCGACCCCCCCAATTCTCACCTCGTCCAAGGTGGAAGGTGTTAGAGCATATTGCCAAGCATGGGCGCCTGCCCCCGGTTTCGACCTCGCTTAGTCATCATTTATGTAAGCTAGCTTCTAGTAGTAGCGGCCATCCGGCCACCCTTTCAATAGAACAAGCAATCGCTTCCAACAAAATACAACTGTCACGTGCCACTCCCCCGTGTTCCTCCACTACAATAACCAGATCAATATTTTAAAGTAACTCCTAATTTATCTTTGGCAAAGGGAACATGCCTGCGTGATTGGAGCTGAATGTCCGGTTAGGATGTTGGGTATTAGTCTACGCTAAACATCTCCTGAGGATTCTATACTATTTGATAACGAGCGAATAAGAGTGTTACGGAAACACTATAATCCGCCTGACTTGGCGGTGCGGAAGTATCTGACGATCCATCCAACCCCTCAATCCTTTAGACAGTTGAGCACCCAGATACTCTAGGAATGCAAGAGACTCAGTTGGTTCGGATACTGTGATTCCCGGTGTTTACACTGAATGACATCTACTTCCTAGTTAGGCTAGTTGGCCTGTAAAGTTAGCTGATAGAATAGCTCCCTGCGCATCACTTCCTGTGATGGTTTGGTTGTCTCTGCGCTAGTAGAGATAAAACCACTTGACCATATAAAAAGGTACAAGACGACTGATCGAAGATCAGTCGCATCTAGCGCCCTATATAGTAAGTTACAGATTCAGCCTGTGATACTTCCCCTGAATTCTACAACAAAATACCGATTACCGAACCAGAAGAGTCGTATGACTTTAAGAGTCGTATGACTTTGTTTTGGAAAGTATAAATAAATTAATCGAACAGGTTAATATTGCTTACCCAAGGACTTTTGTTATTGATAAAGATAAGGGACTGTTACAAAGTCTTCAAAAAAATTTCTATTTAGGAATCAAATACTCTGTATTTGGCATATCAAAAAAACATCCTTGAGCATGTACAGCCAATTCTCCAACTAGAAGTTATACAGTATAAATATAAGACACCAGAGTTAGCACTCCAGGACCCTCAATATAAGAAATAAGGTAGAGCTGCATGGAAAATCTTTTTAAGCTACTTTATAAATGTTACCAACCCACAGAGGAGAAGGATGAAGAATGTGCAATATTTAAGGCTAAATACAGCGCAAATACCTGGAGTGAGGTTCTTATTTGCCTTTAAATAGAATGTATGGAGGACGAAACTGCTCAGCACTTTTTAGTTGTTATACAAACCAATATATTTACCTTGGACCGAAAACTACAAGGAATGAAGGAGCTCATTGGATTTCAAAGAAAGGTCTTCAGAACTCCCGGCATGATCCTCTAGGAGCAATACAGGCGTTTGAGAACACGGTTAAGTACCAACATGAGAAAGTACAGCAGGAGATAGAAGATAACAAATTCTACTCAACTAATGCACTTTCTTTTTCCTTTAGTTATTGGCAAGGTACAGTATCAACATACGCACTCACAGAGGTTTGGAAGATGATGGATCTATACCTCCCGGTTAATGGTGAAGGCAAGAAACCATTTAATTCAGAGTGTACTGGGGTGGCCAAGCGTACACTAGGAATGCCATGTATTTATACTATCAAGCAACACTATGAGATGAAATCATCACTACATATTCATGAGTTCCACTATCAGTGGTATCTCTACCCCAGAGAAGATCTTCCTCCATTTAATCCACAAGATCTAGCGTTGAAACCGCAGGTTGTGAAAGCTAAGGGGAGGCCAGCTGGGGCAACCAATCAACCAACACCAGCTCAGATAAGGGCCGCTTCTCAACTACCAGCCTCTCAGCCAGCCTCTCAAGATACAGCAACTACTAGAGATCCATCGGCATTTAAGTATGTGTTAGCTCAGGAAGAACTACCGCATGGGCGAGGCTATAAACCTGGTCAAAAAAGGACAGCGAGGTGGTCGTGGTCGTGGGAGTCAGTTAAATCAATCAAGTCAAAAAGGTGGACATGGAGGAGGACCAGCGGTACAGTAACTAGTAACACTCAAGAAGAAGTCAATATTCAGTTACAGAGCGAGGGAGATGAGGAAGTTACTGGAGATCAGGAAGGTAAAGACCTCCGGCGAAGCCAGACGTACTCGTGGCCGCCCAGCAGCGTGGCTGGGTGACAAATAAATTAGTACATTGATTAGAGTAGTACATGGTTGGTCGTGTTGAATTCTAAATGGCGAGCTCTGATTGGTTCAAAAATAGCCAGAAATACTATGAATTAGCTGGATCCTAGCCGATTTTATATGGGGAGTCGGAATATTCTTTTTTGAAGCAATTGCTTAATATCCGATTGAAGGGGAAGGCGCCTTTGGGGCCTGCGAACAAAACCTTCTTCCTCTTTCGGACTAGGTGGAAATTGAGGGGGAGAACCTGAGGTGAGTTGGTAATTAGATCACGTCCCTTAAAAGACTCCCCCCCCCCCCCCCCCCCCCAAAAAACACATATATGGAAGCCAAATCATCTCCACGTCCAGTTTCTTTACCTCAGCAGAAGCCCATCGAATAAATATAAAACACCTATAACTGTCTCACTTTTACGACCTGCCAACAAACAAGTCCATCTTCCTCAACATTGGCCAAACAACAGATACCATCGTTTTTTCACTAAGAAAGTATTGTCTCACAAAATTCAAGTCACACTGTCACTTTTAGGCTATGCCGCTAAACTCTGGTATGAATCGATCAAATTTCCGGCTACCTGAGGAGGATGTCCTGGATCCAAGGATCCTGATCCAGCATGTAAGCATAAGAATGTTTAATCATACTTCTTTTCTTTTCTTTTCTTTTCTTGTTTGAGAAATAAAGCTTAACACTAATAAACCGCAGGAATTCCAAAATCTGGGTCAGCTGGCCCTTCTTGTCGTCCTTCCTCGAATTGAATTGCTGCATGAACGATGGCCCGATTATGAGCGGTCCATCTTCGAGGAAACCAATCTGCTCTCCCAGATAATACTGATGTCCACACATTCTGCTTTCCAATCTTCGACTGCTCCATCTCTATTGCTCTTTCAAAAATATAGTACAAATGTAGATATAGATTCGTTTGTTACTTGGCCAGAATTCTCTATATCAAATGAGCCTATTATTGCACCTGATATGTTACACAACAAAAAGGTCGAGTAGCAAATTATTATCCAGGCAGAAATTTACGCTAATGGAGGGCAAGTTCAGGCTTAATTTGAATTCGTAACTCTTGGGTCATACTGTACAGGATAGAAGGCTAGCCTGGGAGAAACGTAGTACCATGTTATCTCGTACAGTACAAGATGTAGTTGGAAAGAAAAAGAGGAAAGAAAAAAGGGAAAAAGAATAAGGTACAGTACAGTACAGGATAAAAGGCCATTTCAGTCTATAATGCAGTCTAAGGAGGCAGCTGTCAGTTGAAGGATAGTGTTATGAATTATGATCATTCGCTCAGGGGGAGGAATGGGTGGCAGAAGAACACTATACTCGGCCCATCGCCTCCACGCCGCTTCCGGTTTGGTATACATACTATACATTTTTGGGGATATATGCATAAAGCTAGTTTGCAAATATAGTTAACTTAAGGGTGTGCATTCAACCATGTACAGTACTGTAAGGTGCTGCCATCGAATAAGAGGTTTAGATTGGCACTCATTCTTAGCACCACCAAGTCCCTAAATTTATTAATAGTAGCTGGTATTGCAATATCTATTTTAAGGTGTACCAGAATATAACACTCGACCATGATGTGGTCTATAAAGCTACTACCAATCTCCTTACTACACTGGTTACTGTACCTTTCCAACTCCTCAGGATGCAAAATTCCACGGTCCGTGAAGAATTGTACGAGCTTGACGGAAAGCTGGACCTGCTAGTTGAGCGGTTTTCCTTGCTTGAAGCGATTAAACCTATCTCCGATGTTCAACCTGTCCTGGCTAACTTCGATCTTTACATGAGCGATAATGAAGATAAGCTACTGGCGAGCGTTGGGCATGCCCAATATGCCAGTGATGATGATGCAAAGACCACCGAATATGCTTTGGACAAAAAGCTGAAACTGCTAGCTGAGCGGGTTTCCTTTCTTGAAACAATTAAACCCATCTCCGATCTTCAACCTTTCCTGTTTGACTTTAATCTTTACATGAGCGATAAGGAAGATAAGCTACGGGGGATTGAATGGAATATCCTCGATCCCCCTGATGCAACGACCGTCGGATATGCTCTCAATATTTACGATGAACACAAACAAAGACACGTCAGACTCATCACAGAGATCTTTCATGGCCCCGTAACCGTTATACTTATCAATCGTAAGGGTGAGGATATTGAACCATTACACATATTTTCGAGGACTATTGAAGGTGTCTTAGGCGCCATCCACAAGAGATACAACATCCACAAGAGATACAGCAACCACAAGAGATACAGCAACCACAAGAGATACAACAACGCCCTTCTCTACAAGTTTGATTTGGAATATGGTACTTCTGGTTTTAAAGGACTGAAATTTGTTAGTCCAGGCATATGGCGACTGGAGCTTGGTTCGTATGATTCGTATAATTCGTATGCTATGGTTGATGAAGTTGGTAACGATGATGATGATAAGGATGATGATGATGATGAGTATGATGATGATAAGGATGATGATGATAATGATGATGAGGATGATGATGATGATGAGTATGATGGGGATTCTTCTTATGATGAGGATGATGGGGATTCTTCTTATGATGAGGATGATGGGGATTCTTCTTATGATGAGGATGATGGGGATTCTTCTTATGATGAGTATGATGGGGATTCTTCTTATGATGAGGATGATGGGGATTCTTCTTATGATGAGGATGATGGGGATTCTTCTTATGATGGGCATATCAGGTCTTAGTTATACAAATGAGGTCTTTTCATCTATATCTCTTTTATTTAGGCATACACAATATACACATATACGAACTCGATTCTCTACACAGCTCGAAGACTTTAGTGCCCACCTCTCGCTGCTTTTTGCTCACTGAGTAGACCTACGCATGCCCTGAGCCGCCTTAGCTGATCACTGAGCTGATCACTATCACTGAGCAGGGCCTGAACAGAGGGGTGAGCCTGAGTATGTAGGCTCAATATATCATATCCCGTAAAGTTTTTCACCATTTCCCCCCTTTATGCACTTAATGTAAATAAAACGATAGTGAGGAAGTAATGGTCTGCATCTTAGGTGGTTGCCTAAGCCGAGAAAACCATACCGGCAAGTACTGTATGGTAGTTACAGTATAGTAGTCTAAGATATAAATGATATATCGTTCCCTATATTAGGCAACTGGTTGGGTGCAGCTGTTCGATCACCTTGCTGCTTTCATCCGCCCTGAGGAACATCAGATGGCATAAATTAATGCAACGGGGAATTGCGGCCATCATTCCTTCTGTTCTACCTACGAGGCAAAACTTCAGGAGGAAAGTAGCACATATGTTCATCATGGCAGATTTGTGAGTCAATGAGCATCTCATGAAACGCATCTAAGCCACGACATTGAACGTTCAAATACATAGAGTATGATAACTTGATTTCCACTACTGGCAAGGATAACTTGGCTAATCCGTACGCATTTCCGACGAAATTATTTCGCTTCCCTCTACGATCTGATGTCACCCTAATTGTGATGAACCGGTACACCTTGATAAAATGGATAGATTATATCTAAGGTGGCAATCTAACGAAAAATCAAACGTAAAGAAAGAAGAAAGAATTCTATCGTATGTACAGCAAATGTGGGAAAATCACTATGTTGTGGATCAACAGTGAATAACGTCTTGGTGCTTCACGCAGGGCTAGGCTTAGGCCGCATTTAGTGGATAGTATGCCTGGTATAATGCAAAGGTTGATACTTTATGCAAAACATTGCGGATAGTGGCTGCACGTTTAGAATTGCAATTTGCTTTCTAATTAGGTCATTTTGAAGCTTTTCATTAATTGCACAACTCTGATTTTCAACTGTACGCTCAAATAACTGAATCACGGAGAGAAGGTCTATAGTAGAGGCATCTAAATCACGTTTTAAAAGCCAGTAAGCCAATTCAACACGGGACGTAGCAATATTGCCAAAATTAATGCTCTGTTTGTCCAACATGCAAGAAATCGTGAGACTGTATCTGTATTAAGTCATTCGGACTTAATATACCGAATAAGGGTGGGAAACCGCTCATATTCAGTACGAAATTGATCCCATTGAGAGAGATACTCATCCAAATCCTTTGCAAAAATAACAAGAGACCAAAAGATGATAGATCTTCCCATGCAGCTTCAATTGCCTGCCTAAATTCCTCATCATCGTCAACGTAAGCGATCCCTTTGCGCAAAAGAGGTTTCGCTTTAGCGTAAATGTTTTGATTTATGTATATGCCAAATGCAGATAAGACAGTGTGCAAGTGAAAATATATGAGAAATTGCGTGGATTAGCGCTTGATCCTTGTTAACAAGTAGCGGGCCAGAAATTATATGAATTTGCATATAATGATCGAATACATGAAAGAATGAATTCATATGCTTCCTGCCGCTCATTTGTATACTGTAAGCTAAAACCAACATAAAACGTTAAATTAGTTGCAGTTGAGCCGACAATACCAAGCAGAGGCATGCGGAATCGATTTGTTTTGTGTGTGCAGTTCATAAATAAGTGTTATGATCATTTTCGCTCAGGGGAAGGATGGATGGCAGAAGAACACTATGCCAGCTACACGCCGGTAGCTTACTAGGTAGAATAACAATAATAAATGTATTGTCTGCGCAACCAAAGCGCTCACCAACGTGCTCTCTTGCTCTCTCTCTTTTCTTCGCTACTATCTAAAGGAATGGAAACGATTTAGGGGATGATACTGAGCGCTTGCCAAGGCGCTAGGAGTCTGGAGTCATCAGATCATCCCGAATCCCGATGTTTCTCCATTGATGCGCAGGGAGCTATTCTATCAGCTACAGGCCAACCATTAGCCTAAACAAGAAATAGATGTCACCTGTGGAAACACCAACAAGAATCATAGTATCTCATCCAACTGAGTCTCTTGCATTCCTATCTAGAGGTTTTCAGTGCGCAACCTCAAGGTGTTCAACTAACTAAAGGGTTTAGGGGAAGGATGGATTGTCAGATACTCCGCACCGCCATGTCCGGCGGATTATAGTGTTTCCAGAACCGATCCTGGAGGAGATATATAGGTCGCTGGCACTATGAATAGCTTCACAATCGGCACCTAGCTACAGCGCACCAACACCCCCGAAGAACGGTGCGGGGCACAAAAGCACGCACGATTACCTGTAGTCGATTGCAAGAAACAGGGGTAGAAGGAGTCTGCGTGTACCAACGTCTACTTTAAGCGTACGACACCCAGGGTAAATCCATACGGCAGTTTTGCGCCTAAAATAGGGACGTGGGAATCCCCATTATAAATGAGTGAATGTGCAGCGATCAGGCCAACTTTTAGCGTTCATGGGAAATCGCAAAATATCGGACCTTTTCTTCGTCATACTTCTACTCCTCGTCCTTTGTTCGACTTTGGCATGCCTCGGGTTAGTATGTAAGATATGTGGAGAATATGACAACAAAAAATCTGGGATTGTGACTGTAACGGTACGGTAGTGTCCACTCACAAGATTAATAAAAAGAATTGATGAGAAATCATGGAATAACATTTAGCGTAGCTACATCTGTCGAACCTCTTACATCCCACCAAAAAGAAGGGACTGAGCGTTCCAGTCGCAGATGATGTATCACACACAGGAGGCCAGATTGCAGATAGCGCACAGGAAGCAGCCGGCCACGCAGCGGACCAGGTAGAAACTGTAATCAGCACAGCACAAAATGCTGTCAAGACCATGGAGGCAGCTGCCCAATCTGCACTCAAGAAAGCAAACGCGACAATAGGATTCTCTCTGGGAACACAGCAAGTCTGTTCCGGTAGCGGGGATCAAAATGCCTGGGCTTGTGATCACCAATTGCCATTTGACTCGTCGATCCTCCCACGAGAAGCCCTCGAGGCACTGGGCAGCCAGCTGAGCTTCTTCATAAGCGTTGCGGAATATATCACGCCGGGACTGATCAATGGGCCACTGTGTACAGGTGTTTGCCTTATCTTCCTAGCAGATGGCCTGCTCCTTCTAGCATTGACGGTCAGTCGGCCACGGCGATGGAAGCAGCGCTTAACTGTGGCTTCATCTGTCATTATACTAGTGTTATTTCTTATCCCCTTGATTCCCCTGTTACTGCTATACTATGCCGTACCAAGCCGTTCGCCATTCACGAAAAGACAGGGTAAGGCTATTCCAGAGACGGAGGCAATCCTAATAATTTCTGCAGTGTGGGCGATAGCAATCATCGTGTGTTATAAGGTTAGGCAAATTAATGCTGACGGAGGGACCGGAGATGCGTACCAGGGGCCTGGAAGTAACAAAATAACCAAGCATACAGCATCCTGCTCACAGTAGAACACTATAAATCAGAGTGGATGCCATTTAGAGCGGCTCTTCTACCCTGTCTTGAAAATTGGTGTACTCTGAAGCATTTTTGCAAGCCAACAAAAAGCGGACCAGGTAAAGCCTGATGCATCTCATAGTCGCCTTATGTTTATGGCTTTGTTTTTAATCCGATCGATTTCCTTATTCAATTTGAACATCCCTAAACGTCACTGATTCTATCTTTTAAGGGTAGCGTTCGAATAACTAACCCTGGGCTCTTGTTCTCCAGATTCAGTTCAAAGTTCTATTAACCTGTTGCATCCCAACTTTGAAGCGTTTAGCTATGCAGGTGCTTCACCATTGAAGCAAGAACTTGAAGTCCTTTAACTTTAACGCTATATAAATCCCGCTGTTCCCAAGATAAACAGTGTTATGTTTCTATTGTACGTAGAACGAAACAATGTTCAGCTACACTACGAACGTAATCAGCTGTGTCAATAAATGGGAAGGACTGCTCATTTTTAGTGTACTGCTTCTATGCAAAATTCTCTTCAAGAAGTCTAAAATGTTTGTTCAGCTGGAATCTAATCTAATGGCCAAATAGCTGTGTACATACCATTTCCAACTCTACATTTCTAATGTCGGTCGGCTGAATACGCGTCTGAGCTAGTATCACCGATCATAATAATATGGATCTGTATTGAAAGGGATAAGGTCTCTTGAGGTCTCTAACTATCTGAATCTATCTGGGAGAATTGGATAAAAAGGTGAAAACAAAGGAATAAAGTCGGACCGAGAGAATGCTAAAGGTAAGTAATATTGTAATATTAGCTCACTTTGGTCGACATTAACTATACATAATGATAAGGGCCACAAACAACATTCGCTGAGATAGGCTATTCCAATCTGGAAAATTCCTTATATTTTAACAGAAATATCCATTATTTACAGGCACGTAGGCTACGTTAAACGCTATGAAATTTCGTCACAGAATATAGCGCCATAGATAACCTGCAGAAGTACTATTTTTTGCTCTCTAAGCATATCTATAGAATATGGGCCGTAGTGAGCTTTGACTGCTTATCTTGTCCCTAAAAGACTATTGAAATTACATAATATCGGCTACTATCGTCGAGTTATTTTGGAAGGCTCAGTTGTAGCGCTGCATTTTGAGGGATGGTTACAATTTTCGTGCCAATAGGGCCGAATGGTCCCTGCCTATCTCCTCGGCTAATTTTACTACTGCATAATCTGTGATAAACGCTCGTCTGTAGAGTCAAACCCTTTCCGTAGCCTGGTTGCGCACGAAGAGGAAATTTGTCTTGACCACAATGGACCCCAGTTCATATGCCTTCTTCGTCAATCCGTGATATCGCTTTCTGAAGGTACTGTCCTGATCTCACTTGGATAGGATTCGCTTGATTAGTATTTCTTACGGCTCATTCTGCAAGACCTGTAGATGTAATATACGTCTGGGACGGCCATTTATAGGGTTTATTCAACTAGACATAATAGTCATACATACGTTGCTAGTCGGCAAGCCTAAATCTGTTACAACTTGCATGTCAAGAGGTAGTCCGCATGATTTTTTGAGCAAGCCCCGGTAGTTCTGGCTACAATGTGGGGACTTGATGGCTCTCTTAATATTCCTATCCCGCAAATTTACTGAGCGATATTATATCCGCCCATCGTTGTTGTTCGTCCCAGGGAACGGTCAATACGAACTATATGCCCTTGTGCCAATGACACTTTCGCCGTAGGCACGGGACTAAACATCTCCACCTTAGCCGGTCGTATCCTTAATATATACCATGCATCATTGGACTATTCCAGCGTATCCAGTTTACCGGTTAACCCAAGCTATCTAGACTTTAGTCAGTTCTATGTGTAGCTGGCTCCAGTTTTTAGACGTATTTAAGAAAAGTCTTCATCTTAGCACCTTGGAACATCGTCGCAAGGCATTACTAAATATATTCATGCAGTAGTCGACACGGAACCCCTGCCTATAGTGGGGTTTTTGAACAAGAACCCGCTGAGGGGATGAGGGGTAAAGGCATATATAGCCCATAGAGCCCATAGCAAATGCTATACCGGTTATGATTGTGCTTACCGTAGGACATATCTAAATACCATTATGTCAGACCTATTTGGTGGGGCTGAATACGCAAAGTGGTACAGTAGAACAAGTATGTATTATTGGTCGAAACAATATCAGACGTCTGTTCTGATCAGTACGCCATGATTTTTCCTGTTATTTCCACCATATACATACGTTCCTTTCAAGAAGATACGGTGCATGGAACTCGAGTCTAGCTATACTGGTGGGATTCTACTATGCAGATGGTGGCGGCCAATAAACTCTGACGCAGCTGCTTTTAGAGGGAATATGCCTTTTTACTGCTAAATAATGCACAGGCATGGTATCGATTTGATCGTTCAATCCAGGCATCTTTGGCCCATCTGGCGTTACATCTCTAGTATTCAATGTAAGGGTTCTTGATCTTAAGCTAATATTGCAACAACGCAGTCGGCATCTGTTTTTAGCCGCAGAGGAAGCGATCAGGATACTATTTAGCCGTAATCTCCAGCCCGCACTATACTCGAGGCTTCCTCTACTTTCAGCCTACATGATGAAATCGGTTTCCTTTTCTATTCTCCTTGCCGGTATTATTGGCCTTGCCGGAGCTAACTATACGAATTGTGCCACTGCGGGCCTTGAGCTGGTCCTCACTCCTGGCCAAATGACTCAGATAGGGCGGGCCCCACTGGACACGGAATTGGCATATGCCACGCTTACCTTCGATGACCTGCCCCGAATGATCAACTTCCCGCCCTTCTATACGGGTAACTGCTTGGCGGGTGAGGACTTAATCCAGCAGGTCTCTCTCAGCCCCGATGTTCCCACCGGTTCGGGTAAACTCACCTTTACCAGCAGCAATGTGACGTGTTATAGCGTCCTTGTCGTCCCGCCTGCGCTGTCCGAACGGGGGGTTATATCGCGTGTGACTGAGAACCGGATCGTTTCGGTCTGTAGCAAGAATCACTACAGGAATCGGTTAGGTGCTTCCAGGTTTTCGACTGCTATAATAACTGCCTCAACAGGGACGCCGGCCCATATTACCAGTCCCAGGCAGAGCAACATGGCAGGCCGTAGTACATCCACCGCGATGATAGGTACGACTTCAGCTTCTGGGCCGATCGATAATGGATCGTGGTCGTTGCCGGCTGGCGGCGGTCCCTACATGGATCCGAGTATGCCACCAGCATCTCCAGCCGCGTCAGTTGCATCAGGAACGGGCGGAAGCCGTGGCAAAACCGAAGATGCTTCTCCTACAAACCTAAATATAGCCAACTCGGCATCTAGCGATAGTAGCCCTGCACCTATGACATGCCACTGCCCTGAATCGTGACAATGTGATGTAGATCCATCTTGGACATGATCATGCCAACGAGTGGAGGCAGTGTTGTAAGATACACAACACTTGTTTGGTCCTGTCTTTGATTGACGCTAATAAAAACGTCGGTTTTCTTCTGTAATATTCAATATTGGATTAGGAATGTGTCTTTGAAATGTTGTATATATATTGGATAAACGTCGCTAGACTAAATACAATGATTCAAGCTTCCATGAAGATGTCCGCTTGGAAGCTTGGTAAGCTTGCCTCTGTACACATTTGTCAGATATACCACTATACCAGAAAAAGTAGCGCTGTTTCAATTTTGCACATAATAATGGTATATCTGCTTTATCTGACACACCCCCTCAGCAGGTACATATTTTGTACATGCTGAACATATTTTTATGCCATTTCTAGTCTAGGCATCTGGATGCCTCGGGTTACCAGGGAGGTGGTCAAATAGTATATAAAGCATCAAACAAGACATTGCTTCAGACATCGAACAGGCATGAATCAGACATCTGACGAGGCATTAAATAAGACACCGAACGAGGCATCGAATAAAACATCAAACAAGGCCTCAAGGCAAGAAATACCCCCCAACGATGCCATGTTCATGCCTCAAGCGATGCCCCAAGCGATGCCTCAAGACGGGGTAAGGAAGAGAGAGACCAGGGAGCTAACATGGGTGTCAGTGGAATTTTAATCTCTGAATTTCAATTGGCTAGTCAAACCTGGTTTAAAGGTGTTGCATTTAATGTCTAATTGTCACGGGCTAAACCAGTCCAGATTGGGGCATCATGGGAAATATATACCCAATATCTCTCATAGAGGGGTTGGGCAGGCAATCCTTCTGAATACAATTACTTCAGACCCCCCAGAAAATCGAACAGAAATCTCTCGGCCAGCTGAATAACTTAAACGTACGGCGTGAGGTACATGTCATCACGCGGATCCCCCACCCTTCGTGCATAACCCTCTGTATTTCCGTATGGTCAAGTACGGGTCTCATGACGTATACATACATATAACATATTTTCCACCAAATACTTACGTATTTCTAGGCCAGGAGCAATTTGAGTGTTGTGATTCAGAGGAAGATTGAGTTGTCGTATTCACATTTGAAAATTTTGAGGATTTATATGCACAATAAACACCTGGATCTAGAATCTATTGTGAAACTCTTCTACATTATCGAGCCTTGATTCACAATATTGAGGAGTAATTCTATGTGGAAACTGCATTTTGGCAAACTCTCCACGGACCCCCCGGCGTAGCTTTATTATAAAAAAAAATAGAACTGGAGATATATATAGAACAGCGAGAATCAAAAAATAAAAGAAGGAAAAAAGAAAGAAAAGAAAAGGAAAAAAACAGAGGGCGAGAGATTAATGCGTGCCACATCATTTTATTTATACAGTATAAGATTATTTCTCCCCGAGCTTCATGTTTAGGGAGATTAGCATCCTAATGACATATAGCTACGAGCTCATGAGATATATTACACACCTCTGATACACGTAGACATCCAAGCAAGGTCCCCCCGACATCCCACCAGCCTGTTCGACTCGAGAATAGAGCCCGCCAGAGACTGGCTGACGCGCTTGCTGACATGAGTAGCGCAACTGGAAAGCTCAACGGCATCCAACGAACAACCAAGGCCTCCCTGAAAACAATTAAAGGACTTACCAATGAAAACAATCAGCTCAAGCAAGAGGTTACGTAAGGGGCTATATTGATCATTGTAAGTCTAGCAGGCTATCAGCATTGGAAGGATGGCTGATGATAAGAATGCAAGAAATCCGGAAGCTACATTCTATTGCGGACACCAACAATAAAGCCGACTATCTCGGGACGACCGATCCAGTTCCCCTCTGCGCGGGAGAGAACGAGCCATAAGCAGGAAGCTCCGCCAGGGTGTCTACCTTCCACCATACGTACAAGGAGGAGCATCTTCAGTACAATACCTTAACGTTCTTATGCGTACCATAGTTATACTACTGCTGTACTCCACCATCTTAAAATGTATGTAAACGTTAGGGAACGGAGGATGTCCTTAGTTCTTCAATGCACAATCCATCTTTATCTTCCTCATGTAGATCACTCTATACTTAGGGCCAGGAGTATCAAATCGTAGGTACATAAATATGACCTCTGTTTGCTCTGTAGTTATATAATGGAAACTAACACTGTATTATGTGAGCGATACAGTATGCCAACACCTAGAAGAGACTCTTCACGAACGACTTCTTTGGCGCCAGCGGTCGCCTAGGCTTCCAAGTAGATGCACCAGCTTTACCAGTATGTGGCCCAAAATACGCTGGCAGTAGTTCAAGGAGGTCTCTTTTCGCAGGTGATTTAACTCCAAAATTTCCGGTACGCTCACACCTAAAGGGTCGCCACGATCGCGAGCGGCGGCTGCCCAGCAGTGGACCTCTGGTATGTCCGGCAAGGAGGTTGCACTAGCTTCAATGAGTGGCAACAGGAAGGTGGAATCGGCTGGGTGGTGCAGGATGGCGCTGCGATAGAGGCTCTCCGGAAGTACAGGGCGGTAGGTTTGGCCGGCCTGGTCATGGGTGGATCCCAAAAGTTCGAAAAACCGAAGGAGGTGAAGAAGCGCGGTTTCCTGCTGCTCAATGATGGCGTCTTCCATGCCTTGGAAGCATTCATCTTTGTCCAAAGTTGGCCGGGGCAACTGCGGCTGCTCGGCAACACTCCTCGTGCAACGCCACCAAAGCAGCCTGAGCAGCTCCAAATGGAGAGTTCTCAGCAGGTCGATCCGGTCTTTATCCCAAGGGCCGCGAAGGATCTTGGTAGGGATATTGAAGAGACGGATTAGCGGTATTCGAAGGAGTTTTTCATGGCCTAGCATTGTATGGGGCTCGCCCTGCCCTGGGAGAGGGCGCACGTGCCAAATTGACTCCCGCCAAAATTGAACAACAGTTGCCGGAGTTGATAGGGGTCTGGCATCCAGGTTAATTGAATGGCAGGTGACAGATCGGTATGTCCACTGAAACAAGCTCTGAATGGCTTCCTGGAATCGACTCGGAGTGAACCAGCGGCAGTTGGTCACCTGGGCTTGCAGTCGACGTTGTTCATCGAAGGAGAGTTGTTGGTACCAATCTGGCAAAGCACCAGGATCGGATCGTGCATTTACAGCCATCTGTTCCCCCTGCGTGGAGGACGACTGAGATCCAGTAGTAATAATACCGTGAGGATCATACCAGAATGCATGCATCAAGAAGATATCATAGAACATCTTCTCGGATACCGCTTTGGCAATAAGAGGGGATGCCCGAGCAAGGTTGGGCTCCAACGCACATACATATATCATCTGGATGATCTCCACGGGCAGCGACTCTATCGTTGCTGGTGGACTCGGGTTGAATTTTGGTGGCATATTGGCTGTCGTTCCTACCGGGTGCAAATGCTGGTGGTGGACAACTGGGGCAATGGATGATGCTTTTCTACTTAGGCCCTATCTCAACATTCCTAGATAGTGGAAAAAGCAACCTAGGTTCCTGATGGAAAGTATTGGCCGGATTGTGTGAGGCCCTTTTTAAGCAGCATATTGTTTCCCGGGGTTAAACCCATCGATATAAATTACGAAAAGAATAACTCAAGGATGATGATAAGGAGGATTTAGCATAGAATCCCACTGTCACATGCGACAACTCTATAAAGATATAGACATAACTTTGACGTTCTCGCACATGTCAGCATGTATATATTAGAAACATCATTCTAAAAAATATTAATATATCCTATCACGGTAAAACTTGAGGGGCTTTACTATAAAATGGAGTTTGTACCTTCGCTAGTGGGTCACGGGACGGCACAGATATAGCACTTGATATAGTTACTCATCTCGTAGGGCATATCCGCTGAGAAATATCTGTCCTGCGTCTGATCCAGAAAAAGGCTAATGATCAGATCGATTTCTGGCTCCGTTCCTAGAATTTTGTCACAAAAGGTCGAACGGATTTGTCAGATATCCGGCTTGTCCCGAATAGAATACAAATTCATTGCTATAATCATTCGCTCAGGGGAAGGAATGGGTGGCAGAAGAACACTACGTCACGCCGGTAGCCTACTAGGGAGAATAACAATAACAACTGTATTGACTGCACAATCAACGCGCTCGCCAACGTGCTCTATCTTTCACTCCTTAGTCACTCTGTACTATCTTAAGGAATGGAAGCGATTCAGGGGGATAACGATGAGCGCTCGCCACGGCGAGGAGTCATCAGATCCCGATCTATCATAATCAAATTCTGCACTTTGCGTAACTTCTTTGTCCCGTCCAGTATAAGCAATCGGTATACACCCTTAACCGATGCTTTAGTATGCTGATTAAACATCTCTTTAAGCCAAAGAAAACCGAGAATATTGTTGGTCCAGCCATTATCACTAATTGCAATCATACAATCGGGTGGTAGCTTATATTAGTGGCGGACCATCTGACCACCCACCGCCTTTCCGCCGGCCACTAATAGCTGTTGAAGAAGTGGTATTCCGACCGATTCCTCCCTAGCGCCTTGGCTACACACAACGGTGTCAACCCCCGAATCCTCTATCCCAGAGAAGAGAATAGATAGTGTGGCATCTAGATGAGACGTTGGATATATATCTAGTTGAATATATACGCTCCTTAGTAGGCTACGTGCGTGCAGCTGGTATAGCTTCTCCTGCCCTATTCTCCATTTCCCCTGTGCACCGTGAACCCTGTCAAGGTTTTCACAACAATAGCTAACTACGTAATAGACTACTGTCAAATAATATGGGCGTTGGTGGACCAGAATCATGTGACTGGATCGGGGTAAACCCCCCGGTGGAGCACACAACAAAATAATCAATCAAGAATAACCAAGAAGAATAATCAAGAAGAGCCCAACCAGCTCAATTCATTCAAATAAGACCTTTTCACTAATCGTACTCTATTTCCTCTTCGGGACTAGTCATATATCTAACAACTACGTTGTTAGTTAGAGTTGGTGGCGCTGTTACGTCATCAACTGTAAATCGTCTACTGTGCTCACCTATAGCGATGCTGGTAAGCCAGGAGAACCGATGAAGTCGAACTTTGGTAGCTCCTTGAGGACCCAGTATGTCCTCACTTATCAACCGTCCTACGTCAATAATACTATCAATTGGCCTCTTTATGACTAAACGGGGATCCTAACCTAACCGTAGCCTTTTTAACATGGCGCCAACTATTCCGTCACGAATGGTATTATTTCCAAGTCTGAGCGACCATCTGTTTTTCCATCTCAACAAAGTCAACTATCCAATGGTGGTGCCTTCTGTGGGTTCCCATCAACAGCGCTCATGTTGGCGACAGTCTCTATTTGAGCGTAGTGCAACTCGAAACGGAAAAGGGGTGGGGGGTGGGTTTGACCTGCCTAGAAAATCAAGTGCATACGTATGGCATGGCTGACATACAAATTTATGAATTGTTTGGTACTATATTAAGTTCTTCACACAAATGCCGAGTACGCATCAATCTAAGGACACCAAGCGATCTAAAATGTTGGATTAGAATCCTAACGACTTGTGGATACGGCAAACACTTAACCGTGAAATTTCGCCTCCGAATCAGAGCTGTAATTATTCCAATGTTGATATTGACTTTATAATAAATAATAAAAAAATACCCAGTCATTTGAGAGCTAGGTGTAGATTTAACAAGAAGTTGTAGGGCAAAAAAGGAACAACTGTCAATATCGAAATTGGTCCTATTCTATTCAACCAATTATATTCATAATATGACTATCTGAAATCGATATAATAAAGGGCTGATCTCCTAAACTATGCAAGTCTTGCCTACTTACATGTGTGTAGGAGCTCGCTTGACAGCAGGATAATCGCCACACCAATTGTTACGATCATTCGCTCAGGGGAAAGAATGAGTGGCAGAAGAACACTATACCAGCTACAGTACACGCCGGTAGTCTACTAGGGAGAATAACAGTAATAAATGTATTGACTGCGCAACCAACGCGCTCACCAACGTGCTTCCTCTCTCTACTTCTTCTCTATCTAAAGGAAAATGGAAGAGATTCAGTGGGATGATGCTGAGCGCTCGCCAAGTCGCTAGGAGTCATCGGGTCGCGAATTCCGATGTTTCTCTATCACCAATGATTTCCGAATATGTTAAATATGAGCGCGAAAACGTGTAATCTCTCAAATTGAGGTAATTTATATCGACAAGAAATCTCTAGAAACATACATCATGAAGGGGCATATCAACACTGTGATGTCAATCTTGTGACAAAAGCCGCATTCCCTGGGCTGATACAAATTATCCTATTGGTAGAGTTCTTCTGTTTGTCCAATCTTGGTGGCCGCGAACTCTAGGTTTCCATTCGGAAGGACTTTTACTACACCAAGATGGGACTTAAGTCATATGCTATGCTTGACTAGCGTGACCTGGATGTGTCACACTAGTTGTCGGCCAGCTGAATCCGCGTATGAGCTAATTAGTATGTATCACTGATCTATGGATAAGGATCTTTCTATATTGAAAAGTATTGTCTCTGACTATCTGAATCAAACAAAGGAACAAAGTCGAACCGAGCGGATGCCAGACCCATTTTGGTCGATATTATCCTACCTAATATTAACCAATAATTTAGATGGTCTGACAAAAACTCAATATAGTAATCCCTAAGTTCGTCTGCCCGTGCTGTCCAAGTTTTATTGGTTGCCTAATGTTATCAATATCCTCGGACTTTAGTTGCTGTTCGTTGCCGCGCGATTTAGGGCGAGTTGAAGAGGGTCAACGTATGCCCTATATTTGCTCTCCAAAACTTCAAGCTGCTTCTAAACTTTCTAATATACACCGAATGAAGCGAGTAAGTGTTGTTTTTCTATACTTAGAACCCGAAGGCTAACTTTTCGACCTTACAGCCAAGTCCAGCTGGGGACTGTACGCTGTGCTATACAATGGCTCGAGTACTGGGAGAAAGATCACGCTTTCCGAAGCAGTGGAGGCCCAAGACTGATTATGAGCGATGGCTTGAAGGACAAGCTCAAAGTGATCAATCCGTGCAAAGTGCAGAATATCGTCCTCCGATTCCGGGTGTTGATGAGCAAAACCCCGTATTTCACCGTGTCATCGACGACACCCCGCGTAAAAACCCTGATAATGCACGTTCGACACACCCAGACACCACATACCTACAGGTAGACAGGCTCCATGGCGAGTTTCTAAACTCGCCGAAAGGCGCTGTTCATTTTTCATACCAACTGGCACTCATCCTCATCGTGGTCATTGCTTCTATGCAGATGATAATATGCCTTATAAAAAAACGATATAGTGCAAGTGGCCCTTTAACGCCCAGTCACCGATAGAAAACATCCGGACTAGGCTGCGATGCGAGACAGATGGAGTGAACAGCAATGACTAAGGAAGGGTTTTGGTTCTTGTTTTCTTACTATTTCTTGTTAGTATTTATAGTTCTTGGTCAAAGTTTGAATAATTGTACTCGCGCTATGGAGTCGGTCGAGTCAACGGCGTCAAAAACCCTTATCTTCTCAAACACCAACCATGACGCCCGGAAGGGCTTCTTTGGTTCCCATAAATGCTAATATTGAGCGTACGAGAGTTACAGCACCAGAGTCCCATTTTTGTGATCCAGCTTTTACTCGGGCGAGGGTCTGATCTGTAACGTAATCGGAAAGGGAGTCAGCCATCTCTCCTGCACCTCTACGATCGGTGAAAAAGCAGCCATGCAAAACGCCCAAAAATCTGCATATGTATATAAAAAAAAATTTACTACAATACCTAAGGCATTTATTGATTTTATGACCCCGATTACTGCAGCCAGAACACTTTGGTGGCCGTACGCATTGCTGAACTGTAGATGGCCATGCATCTACTAGTATGATATCTTGGGCTATTGGAGCTTATTCCGACGTTGTATACATATACTACAGCGCTTTGTTAGTAGCAAGACACTCTGTAGTAGCTGTCTGCCGCTTAGGTTGCTTTTAGTTTGATTTTTGCTTATTTGCAGCTTGTAAATCGCGCACTTTTTCATGTGCAAGAATAGCTTCTTGTAGAGAGCCATATCATTTCATGTCCTTTAATAATCTTATCTAGTCGCACTTCTTAAAAAGATAGAGGACTTGAGTCCATAAAGAAAGAAATGTTGAATTTGATGAAGATCGCTTGTATGGCCCGAATGAGCCTTTCCTGGAGGACCTACTGGAGAAAGGTCTTCCGCAACCACCTGTTCAAACGATGAAAGGAGCTGATTCCGGTCAGCTAATGCCTGAAGCTGAGCCGGAGCCAACTATTGATCTCCTATATAGAGATGTGACTACGGAGGTCAAGGTAACGGTGCTTGAACTTTGCGCAGGTGATCAGAACATGCAAGAAATGACCGAAAGCTGCACTGAAGAAGTGAATGAACGGTCATATGAAAACCGTATTCCAACGCCTGATCCAACTCCAACACCACAACCACGGAGACATCAACTACCTGGGTCATGAGTAGAACCTGAACCACCTCAACAACGTCAGGTTATTGAGATAAGTCATGATAATGATTATGAGGACGAAGAGAATGATCAAATAGGGAGCCAATTAGCTGAGGTATTGCAGGATTGGGGCCTGCAGGACTAACGCGCAATTGGCGGACAGATGCCCGGCAATCAAGATATTGCAATTCGAGCCAATGGAAGACCTTTAAGACAGCCTAAACTACGTAATGATCGAGACGATTACGTGACCACTAAGTATCATAGACAACCACGCAAGAAAAAGGATAGAGATGATGAGATGATGAACAAGAGGTGTCTGCCAATTACCATGCCTTCTTTACAACATTTCAACAGAGAAGTAAAGAGCCTATACAAAATGCAAAAGATCTTCACCACTAAAGACATCGAAAATGATGTAAAGCCATCCATTATGGAATGGGTTTATGCAAGCAGCCCGATCAGAATTGCAATCGCTTGATGAATGGGCACTTTTGTATCATTGACTCGCCCGCAGCAATCAGCGCAGATTTTGCCGCCTATATGGGTATATGCATATAAATTTGACGTGAACGAAGTGCTTAAACATTGTGAGGCAAGTCTTTACGTGCAGGGGGACCTGCGGAGAGTGACTGGGGATGGTAAGTCAGCTGCAACTTTAGCTGCGAAAACGTTTCGTACCTTAATAGCACTCGCAGACTGCGGGGGATCTAGACATTGCGCAGTATGATGTTATGAATGCCTTAACTGTATAAATTCAGAACTAGATGAGACTGTATTTGTGGAATATCCAGATGGATTTAAACAAGGCGGACTTTGCCAGGAGAGCTTTATATGGCCTTCGGCGTGCACCCCGCTCCCTGCAGCAACATGGAAAACCTTAGGATTGAACCAGGTGAACGAGTGATTATTATATTTTTCCGTTGGTGACCTTATTATGGTATTATAATGGAAGAACAAAAAGACAAGGTAGACCACATTGTTCAGAAGATTAAGGAGAAGAGTAAGAAATATAAGCCCCGAGAGCTCAGAGAGGCAGATACCTTCCTTGAAGTTAGAATTATAGAAGATCGCGAGGCAAGGAAGCTGTGGTTCGTTCAGGGCGCATATATTGAGAAGATAACTGTAAAGGGCTGGAGCCCATTTGACGTCTCGGGCCAATGTCCCTATTGTCCCTATTGCCCCTATTGTCCCTACTGTCCCTACTGTCCCTACTGTCCCTATTGTCCCTGTTATGAATATAGGATCGGCCCGAAGGATTACCCGAAGGATCGGCGAAGTCCTCGCTTATATTAGTGGCGGACCATCTGCCGGCGGAAAGGCGGTGGGTGGTCAGATGGTCCGCCACTAATAGATGTTTTCCCACAGACGAAATTCCTGTATACTAACTAAGTTCGCTCATCCAATTCAATGGCTTAGTTCACTCTATTCAATGTCAATTCCTACTGTAGATTCACAACAGTCCCTATTGTCCCTAGTGTCCCTTTTAACCCTATTAGCCCTGTTAGCCCTGTTAGCACCTTTAGCCCATCGGCCCACGACCCACGTCACGTGACTTTCCAACTTATTTCCAACTTATTTGTTTACCGCTCATTTTCCTCTTCCTTTCTTCCCTTCTTCAACGATTCCTTTTTATACATAACCTATCTTATAGGTTCTACGGGCTCAGCCCTTGGCAATAGCTAAACGATACTCAGACTGTTGCAAAAACGGTGCAAGAGACTTACTGTCTTTGATTCTTTCTTGACAAGGGAGCTAGTCCCTAGATGGCTAAGCCTAACGGTTTCACCAATCAATCCTATCAGACTCGTGCACCTTTTTTGCAACCGCGTGTATCTAGAATCGAACAAAATACCGCGTCACCTATGCTGAATTTGGAAGAGTTGGAGCCATACTATGGACAGACCTCTAATGCACAGAGCCTATCGTTTTATTAGACAATTGAATCAACCTTACTACTAGTATATCCTATAACAATGACACGACCAGATGTTTCAAAGCCCTGCTCAGAGCTTGCAGAATTTCTAACTAATCCTGGCCCTACTCATTTTATTGCCACTAACAGTGTCATTCAGCATTTATAAGGGACAGGTAGCCTAGGAATCGAATATTCGGGCATTTTGAGCCGCACTTGAGAGAGTTTGGTTATGGCAGGTGATGCGGCATATGCAGACAATCTAGACCGGAAGAGGTCAGAAGGCTATATCTGCCAGCTATATGGAGGACAGTTAGATTGGCGCAACACTAAGTAGAACACAGGGATAACTTCAACCATTAAAGCAGAAGTCTTAGCTATTTCAGCTGCAGCTAAGAACGTATTTTGGTGGAAAGGCTTATGTATTCAACGTAAGTGAGTTGGATATGCAACAAAAGATCTCTATTTTATGCACAACCAGCAGAAGATCAGACTCCTGACCAACGAAGACCCTAGATTGGTAGCTCAGCTAAGATATGTGAACTCCCATCACCACTGGCTTTGCCAGGAAGTTCAGGCGCGTAGTATTCAAGTCAAATGGATCGAGACGGCGAGAATGCCTGCAGAGGGCTTAACGAAGGCAATGTCAGCTCAGAAGCATGCTCAGTTCGTTAAGATGATTTCTTTGGGGGAATAGATACGGCGGCGATCCTAGAGAGCTTGATTTTCCGAGGTGCTTTCTTTCCTTTATTCATTTTTTTGCTGGAGTATCCGAAGCTGATGTACGTACCTCATATTGTACTAGAACTTCCCCCTGCATGCTAATCTCTGCACCTTTGATCATCTTGTCAACTGCCTGGGTAATTGTCGGGGGGAATATCTCATTTTGCTTGGTTTGGAGGCATTTGATTCGCTTCTTTTGTTGAAGTTGGTAGAGATCTGCTGATGCCTTCCCAGAGCCAAATAATTCATCACTATGTGCTGTAGATGGAGGTGTTGGTATTTTTGTTTGTAGCTTAATAGAAAGCTTTAAAAGTGCTCTCTGTGGATTAAGAGGGATTACCCAGTTGCTGTAAATCCACTCTGGATATTAGAGATGTAAAAAGTTATTCTTGCAGATTGAGTGAACCCCTCCCTGCGTCATCTCTGCAATACTCTGGCCTTATTTCTTTTATAATGGAGAAAAGCAGCTCACATCAAGTGGTTGTAAAAGATGTGAAGATTGAGGAGGCTTATAGAAAGGAATAATCTTTCTCTCTGTACAGAATTAATCAAATTCTGCAGTTGCGTGGCTAGAATGGCCATCAAGAATTAACAACCGGTATGGTCTCTTAGTTTTTAAAGCTGTATTCTTTTCAAAAACCTCTTGAAGCCATTCAAAACCAAGCTCATTTGTTGTCCATCCATCCTCAGACTAATCCGAAAATCTTGTGGAATTGAGGAATACCACTGAGCTTGGTGTTTCTGTCCACTCAGGATAATCTGTGTAGGCAAATCCCATCTAGTAGAATTACACAGAATTGAAGTCACCCATTCACGATTCTCTGGTTGTAGTTCTTTTGCTCGGCTTTCTCTTGTTCTGAGCTGCAGATAAGCTTTGCAGTTTATGTCATGCCCATCTGGAAGCCTGCCTCATCCATGTTGTAGATATCTTCATCTAGAATCCCATACTTTGTCTGGTCTCATTAAAGACCTTAAACCAGTTCCGAATAAGCTCTGGTTCTTCACATCTTGCACGTTGATAGTTATACTTCTGATTATATTTAGAGCAAAGCTCTGGATGACGCTTAACAAACCGGTTTACACATTTTTAGCTAAGGGGTGCTGGGGATGGTTCGGAGGAGGATAGCCGTGCAGAGAATAGTAATCCTGCTAAATATTCAACAATCTTAGGCCCCGGGGGCAAGCCACGTTAGTACATGTAAAGACTCCATGCTGATAGAGTAGATTATTCAGTTTCTGATAGTTTTTTGCTCCTGTATCTGCGCGTACATACAGAGACACCTTTAAGATGTCTTCGGAGTGTTCGTTGATTCATCAAATGCTGCTGCTGCCTTTGGGGTAAATGAAAATTGACCTTTTTGAAGTGCATTAAGAGCCAGGAGGATTCTCCTATCATAAGAATATCCTCCATTTGATAATGCGGATAGTGTAGAGTAATCTGCAATTGTTGGTGATGCTGCGGGAAAAAAATCGGACACTCGGTGTCCGATTACGTTAGTTATTCATCCACCGTCGATTTAAGATTTTAGCGTAGCCTCTGGTGTCGCATGCAGATGCTCCTCTAATGACATGTCGTCTTGCCGCAATCTCGTAATAGAACTAAAGAGGCCTGGTATTTAAGCCACACGTATGTACAGTACTATGCTCCTGAATATACACATTCCAAAAGGTAGATACTCCCAACTACACTTGCAAATACCTGCAGTTATAGCACAATGGGTATCGAGTACGTGGAATTTACCGATCCAAATGACCCCCTTAACCCCTTGAACTGGCCCTTGGCCAAGAAGTAAGTCGCCCCCAAGCTCAATAAAAGGGGTGGGAAATATAAAAAGAGAATAATGGCTTGCAGCTAGTCTAGTTACTAACAATAAATACAGGGTCTACACCCTCGCACTACTGGGGGTAGCGGCCCTGACTGTGATCATCGCAAGCAGTATATTTTTCGCCACAATACCTGATGTGATGGTCCTCTTTGGTGTTGGGAGAGAGGTTGGAATGTTGGGTATTTCTCTCTATGTGTTGGGGTTTGCCTTTGGACCACTATGCTGGGTCCCTTTCTCCGAGCTCCATGGAAGACGCACCCCGCTGGTGGTTTCCATGGTTGGATTCACCGTGTTCATATTCGTAATCGGGCTTGCTCCAAGCCTCTCTGTTCTTCTGATTTTCAGATACTGTGCGGGGCTCTTTGGTGCTGGCCCTCTAACACTCGCTGGTGCTACTCTAGCAGACCTCTCCTCTTTTCCGAAACGAGCGGCAATAGTTGCTAATTTCTGCGTCACTACATTTATCAGCACACTTGTTGCACCTTTTATCGGTGGATTTATAGTGATGGATGCTGCCCTTGGCTGGCGCTGGACGGCATTCCTTCCAGCTATCCTGGGCGGTGCAATCAGCCTCCTCTTGATGACCACTTTCCACGAGACTTATCCTCCCATTATTCTGGTTTCCAAAGCGGGCCGGCTTCGCCACAAGAGTGGGATAGGGGAACAGAGCCAGCTCATAATCGCAGAGCATGAGGTGTCGGTAAACATCCGCAGCCTGCTTGATACTTACTTGTCGCTGCCGTTTAAGATGTTAGCATTTGATCCTATCGTGTTGGGGATGAGCATCTTTGGGTCGTTTATGTATGGTCTGCTGTACTGGCTTCTGACCGCGTACTATGTGATTTTCCAGCAAATCCGCGGCATGAATCCTGGCACTGGGGCATTACCATATATCGCGATAGTGGTTGGCCAATTCTTCGGAGCCCTTGCGGTACTTGCATTTCAGCCATGGTTCTCGCGCAAATTGAAACAGAAAAATAAAGCTATGGCCCCTGAATGGCATCTTCCCATTGCTATCCCAGGGGCCATTTCCCTTGCCGCCGGTCTTTTGTGGCTAGGATGGTCGGGCTACGATCATACATTCTCGTGGATTATGCCCACTACATCCGGCTTTTTCACAGGATTTGGACAGCTGACCATGTTCCTTCCCTCAATCTCATACTTGATTGACACACACCCAACTAGGTGGGTATCACCAATGGTCCTTGTTGGCGGAATGTTCTTACTGAGAAACGCACAGGGCTGCATCCGCGCTGGCGGCTCATGCATTCCTGAGCTCCATCGCTGGCGCTGCATTCCCACTTTTCTCCGTCTCTATGGTGGGTTCCGCGCACCCTGTAGTGGAAAGATTAAACTAAATGATGCAGTTTGAAACTCTAGGTGCAGAGTGGGCATGTACACTTCTGGGATGCGTTGGCATCCTCTTGGCCTCTATTCCACTTATTTTCTATTTATACGGAGACCGCGCTCGGAACAAATTCTACCAATATTCGTAGGCTTTTTAGAGATAGCTCGCTGATAATATTTAGCAGAATAAGAATACTTGGATAATAGCCCTGTGGTACGGTATCTGACTGCGAAATAGTGGCCGAGATAGCCGACTTTTGATTAACTATAAGTACGGTCGACAATTATGGTAATATTCAATTGTTCAGCACCTTTCTCAGTCAAATGGTTGATGATACAACATCATCAGATCGCGTATATTTCCTGTATGAGTTAGTTTACATTTTTCGTTTGTTTACCTCGCCTTTATAAACGCGAGATATTTTGATAGTTTAGTTGAATCAGAGACCTAATTCAATGAAGGATCGATACGCATAATTTTATGGTCGACAAGTACTAACTATATCTCGCTAATAAAACCATATTATCCAATATTCCATCTATATATCCTAACTATATGCTTGCAAATTAAGCCCCGGAAAAAATAAATTCTGAAAAGTTAGTGTCAAGCCTCGTGAATTTCTGAGGACTACTAGGTTGCATATTCATTTTCCTTCCTACAGCAGGCACCTCTCTTTCTCCATTAATTCTCAGTATGGACCGCAAATCACTAAATTTATGCCAAATGGCTAAAGTGGATATTCTTGCACAGAGTATCAGACACTGCAACTATTTATGCCTGCTCGAATTTCTGAAGTACTTGGGATCGCAGTATCAGGATTCTCCGCCGCAACAAACGGGCCCAATATGCCAATAATCTGCAGAGGAATCGAAATGACAATTCGCTAATCAGGATAGGCAAGAAAGGAGCTGCTGCTGCTCTCTGGGGAAACCGTGCGAAATATGACTGAGCAACGAGGCCCTGTTTCTTGTACTTCCCGGCCAATGCAGCCCGCGGTAATATCCACGAGCAGTACTCGTAACGGCGACCTCTAAGATACCACCCAATTATCGTCCTCATGGGGTTAGCGATGATCTCTACGATGTGTCAAACAAGATTTTCTGCAAGAAAACGTCGGGCCTTCAAAACCTTGCCGACAAGGCATTAGATGCAGACCAAGACTAGAAGGGCAGGGCTAATCCAAACGGCTGGCATGACAATGAGGTTTCCAAGATATATATGTCTAAACACGGGAATTTGACATCACACTTATATACACAAAATCGAGACAAGCTTACACCCTATAATAAAGTGCTCATCCCAGGTAGACCCAATGCGAATTAGCATTTTCATCCTACTGAACAGCCGAGTCAGGACATCCTACCAATACTTTCGTAATCAGATCTGTACGGCAGCTTCAACAAGTATTCCACAGACAGGCAGCTAGTGATAACTATATCGAAAGTAAGGAATAAGTTCACTTACTCCTCTTCCCATTCGTTCTCACGACGGATTTGCTCTTTTTCTTCCAGTGTGTAATCGTTTGGAATATGGAAGATTGTGCAGATTTCGTCGGCGGATTTGCCCCTGATTATATTGGCAACGGTCTTGCAACAGAGATCCAGCAGCTTCCTGATATCAAGGTAGTTTGCTGCCTATCATATGCAAATCTGGCATTAACAGGCGATTCCGATGCTTTGCCGCAAAGTAACATGTGCATACAAGTATGATCTCAAAAAGCATTTCCTGGTCAACCTGCAGGAAGTTCTGGTCCCATGCATTGATTTCCTCACAGTAAACATCATTAACATCGTCAGGTGTAGAGTCGTGTTTGTGATAATCACACCATTCAAAGACCTTTTTCAACACTGATTCACTGGCCTGTGGCGAGCGAATGATTGAATGTCATCGTGTATTCTTCAAAATTGAACACAGCGGCGAGAAAGGAGAGTAAGCTGCCTTACGTTCGGGATTGGTATGGCTTCTTCTATCTCACACAGATTGCCCAGATCATCTAGCATATCCTTAATGAGAAGAGATTGTTTCGCGGTATCAAGCTCTGGATACAGAAGTTGGATATTAGTCACTCATCAATGCAAAGACTCGAGTCTGGAATAAACCGATCAACTGATCTGGTGGAGTGTCAAAATGTTTAAGCTCTTACCGACAGTAATATCGACATTGTCCGCACTCGTAAAAGTAATATATTTGGGTTTGGGCATCTCGGCCTATTGGTGACCTTATAAATGTAATGCAGAATAAGTATTTGCCCGTGAACTTCTGGTTCGTGCTAAAGTAAGCTGCCTGGTTAAGAAAGGGAAACCTGCACTCTATTTTTGGATACTGTAGGAAAAAGCGGAAAAGAAAGTAAAAGTTTCAACATAGGACAGGAGCATAAATACTACTGATATCTCTACTATAAGTGCTAGGGGTAAGGGCTGTTACGTTGCAGCTGCTGTAAATTCCGAGTAATAGCGGGCCTGACGCAATTTAAAACCCGGTCAATTCCACCATCATCTATTCTTTTATTCTCCTACATACGTAGATACTGTATGTGTTATATAAAGATAAAATTGGCTGTTATACTCTTGAGCCTACTGGGATGCGCACTGGTTCTGGCTTCTACTACCATTGAATTGGACACCTAACCATAGAATATACGAGTAAACAGTCTCAACAGACACTATAGCGAAGGGGGGGGAACAGGTAATCAATCGTGTTTTGGTGGCGGAGCGGATTTCTTCGTGTAACTCTCCAACAGCTCTTGTGAGGCTATGAATTTGGATGATTAGATAGATCATCAGGAAATGCCCCGAATATTCGATGAACCCAGAGTCAAAAAAGTGACGTAGAATAACCCGAGACGCTGTCGCTTAGCAGGCTCTGAGACCAGAAAAAGTGTAGAAGAAGGTCCCTGGCCACTATGGACTATCTCTCACTGAGAAACCGCTTCCATGACTGCATCTCCCGAGAGAGAATCGTATTCTACCTCCTCCATCACTGTGTTCTGCTCCCTGAGGCGGGCCTTTACGTCACTCTCGAAATGGCCCACGTAACCGATGTCCCCCTAAGCTGTTGGATCATGCCCGCACATCTGCCGCGTTTTGTCATTCCGCAATGTGTCGACTTTTTACCGATCAAGTGTGCTGACATGGAGAGTCCTTCCACTGCTGGCCTCGCATCGGGGTGGACGCGGGATCAGGCCCCAGAGACTGTAGGGGATGTGGTTGCTGAAGGAACCCGTCGTCGCAGCTCACCTCCAATTCCGAAATACCTAGCAGGTTGCATGCGACGGACAAATCTCACACTAAGGCTCTAGAGTATCACACTCTGCACCCATTGAGCCACGCCCATCACTCCTAAGGGCTCCTGGTGTTTTACCTGGATCCCTACCTGGATTTTATCTTGGCCAATCTTCTTTTGGCCATTTTGATTGACCATTCAGATTGTTATATTCGTGGAACTGTGATACAATATAATAAAGTGGATAGTTTGTTACCTTTGCCAGAGTTATCTTGTGAGGCATATTGATGAAGGCTATCAGTTGGAGTTCAAGGGAGGCAAAGGCGACGGCCACCGCCACCGAACTACCGCGAGGCTAGGCCGAGGGACGAGCAGAAAGAGTTAGGTTTACTTCCGGATTAACCTGTGTCCCGCGACAAATCCTGTGGGTGCCACGGCTAGGTGGTAGCCTTGTTCGGTAGGTTTGATTTGATCTGATCTGATTTGACTTGATTCGTCAGGCTTTTCACGGCCTTAGGCTGCATGTAGCCCCCAGAGTAGCAGTGATATCTACGAGTCCTATATTAGCACACCAATTTGGTTAATATGTACAGTTTTAATCAGGCATCCCTCTCCCAAAGTAACCCCGCGTAGTCGTCTTATTTTATGACTTGTTTTTGTTCCTTCATTTCTTCCTTCCTCCTGAACTAATCCTGAGTTGTTGACAACCTCACTGTTTTTTATACCATCTCTAAAATTGCTTTTATGACCTCTAAATTAGGTTTAGTTGTGGATCGCCATCAACCAGTTTACCGTCCGGGAGAAGCTGACTAGACCGACCGCCCAATGTGTACGAAGATCACCAACCCGTGATCCCATTACCCGAGTGACTGCTCGACGGAGATGATCCCATTTCCTACATTCAAATAGGAAGTGTTGCACGGTTACCTTGCCGTTGCCACAAGCGCAGGTCTCGCTGTCCGCTCTTCGAATACGATGGAGGAAGGAGTTATCAGATATACGGCTAATCCCGAAGAGGAAATAGAGTACGATTGGTAAAGAGGTCTTATTTGAATGAATTGAGCTGGTTGGGTCTTCTTGATTATGTTGATTCCTCTGTTGTTTTCGTTGTGTGCTCCGCGGAGGTTTTACCCTATCTAGTCACATGATTCTGGTCCACCAAAGGCCATATTATTTGACAGGAGTTCAGTCGGGAGTGGCGCTTATACATATGTGGAGCTGCGCCAAGATCGACATCTTCTATGGGTCAGATAGTTGTATAACAACTATGACGCCCGGGCAAAGCGGCGTCGAGGAGCCATGTATATCTCCCGCTACCTGCTCTCCCAAACTCCGGCACATGAAATTTCTAGATGTTTTGACGGGTCTTCCGCCACGCTGCTGATTTCAACTGCACTCGCGCCCGCGCTGGGACAGTGGGGGAGTCGCTGGGCGGTGTGCGGGCCGTCGGAACTCTCTCAGATCGTCTGCTGTGGCATGTGGAGGTATCCAATGCAATTCAAGTTTAATTCCGGTCTCTAGTAGGTGGTGCACCTCGAGAGTGATAGCCTGATAGCCGTTAAAATACTTTATCCGCTCTGGTGGTGTGGCTTCGCCAGGACACTGCGGTTATTAGTGAGGTGGCGCGAACTATTGATGGTAACATTAAAATCCGGGAGAGCATCGTTTTTCACATGGGTGACTGCTTCCTAGATTGCGCCTAGTTGGGAGAAATATACATTTATGACGGTATCCTTCCCCACTGTTTGAAAATTCGAGTGGACGATGGCCTTGTTGGCCACGGCTTTTATCCCATTCCTGACAGTGCCTCGGAGGCTAGAGCTGTGGACATTAACATATCAGCCCGATGGCTTCGCCTCGGTTGCAGCGACTCCGACGCCTTTGCAGAGGTGTACATGACATAGGAGAGGCTCCGCTGCCATGGGCCAAGCGCAAAAGGCTTGATGGTCTCCATATTTGGCGATAGGTGAAGGGGACGACACTTTTCTGAAGGCTGATGTCCGTTGGCCCAATGGCCGCTTCCGCCTGCCGGACACCATACGGAATGCTTCTATGATGCATTGGGCGGCAGTTCTTTGAATGATGTTGAAGGCAGAAGTCACCCACAGTAGGGCTATAGTCTCTACCCTGTGGGCGCAACACAGCAGATGTAAATAACTGCTTAGCCGCTGCTGGAGTAAGGTCTTTGAGTCTCCTCAACGCTAAAACCGTCATGAGGCCCTTTTTCGCTGCAAGAGCTACGTGCAATCTGAACTGTAGCTCTTTATCTATTATGACTACAAGCAGCTTGACTTCCAGTCGTGGTGCGACGGCGGTGTCTCCGACCCACAAGGGAACTGGAGGCAATTGTTACGGAAACACTATAATCCGCCCGACTTGGCGGTGCGGAAATATCTACCGATCCATTCTACCCCTCAATCCTTTAGTTAGTTGAGCACCTAGATAGGAATGCAAGAGACTCAGTTGATTGAGATACTGTGATTCCTGGTATTTCCACCGAAGGACATCTACTTCCTAGTTAGGCTAGTTGGCCTGTAGCTGATAGAATAGCTCCCTGCGCACCACTTCTCCTTAATTCCACAACACGTTCAAATATAATCCTTTTACCGATCGTGCTCTTTTTCCTCTTCGGGACTAGCCGAATATCCAACAGGAGATAGTGGGGGTCCCTGTGGTAGTCCGGCGTGTTCGATCGGCATTTCCTCCAAAAACTGAAGGTGTAGCTCGTTCGGCGGTCCGCGCAAAAGCTAGAGACCCGCTGGACCATTACTTCTGGGATCCTCCTCTCTCGTAGCATTAAGAGAAGAATATCGTATGCCACCCTGTTACAAGCAGCTTTAACATCGAAGCTAACCAGGTTGAGAACTTTCCCTGTTCTCGACGCATAGTATATCTTCAGAGCAGTACCAAAATACAACCTCGAACTCATGATATCTTTCTATGTGTAAAGATGCTTCTTATATCTGTACTTATAAACAGCCAGCTCAAGGGGAGCAGCCAACTATATTTCTATCTGTTCTGTTTCACAACCCCCGCCTGCTGAAGAGAGAAGCTGGTTGGGTAGCCCTCCAACCCACGCCACAGTACATAACAAGCTAGTGTCTAGGTATCTCTTCCGGTCAAGCGAGCCACAACCGCAATTTCTGTATTGGTCTCAACATCAGGCGTTCGAAGTCCAATCATACAGGCTCGACGCCTCACCCAGGTGCCCATCGTTCCGTGTTCGTCAGCCCTCTCTTTAAGTTTGCCTCTATGAGCTAGATCCCAGCAGCGAGACAAGAGTCTACTTACGTGGTGATTATTAGCCTTGGCAGCAACTGCGCGGCCAGTTACGCCCCTCGAGTCGTACCTGGGGCTGTGATGTGATTTGAGATAAACGGGAAGTTGGATCCAACGGGTATCGAAGGGTCCGGGAGCCAGCTAAGCTAAGGAATACCGGGTTCCGTGCCAGAAGCTTCCAGATGAGCGACCAGTCGTCAAGGTCTTCAAAATCGTTAGGGTATATCCGCAAACAGAGCTCTGTCGACGATGGCACCTCCGCGCAGGAAGAGAATGAGGAGAGGCCAGATACAGAGTCCAATATCCGCACATGCCTGAGAGCAGGAAACGCGACCAAGGATGCCAGGCTGTTCTCCTTCACAAACCCACAGTCAGAGATGTAGAGTTCCTCGAGATTTATTCCAACACAGGTCAGCCAACTATGCAAATCTATTCCGTTGGAGAAGGTGATTTCAAGTCTCCGAAGCTGGGAAGCTCGTCCGCGCCAGATGACGCTTCCCCGCTGCGCGCCCGATATCGACAAGGAGTGGAGCTGCGGGAATTGGTGAAACTGGAGCATGGTACAGGGCCCCTCTCCATGTCTCAGGCGCTCTAAACAGTAGCAGCAAAAATTCAACGCCAGCGCTTCTAGGACAGGAAGCGACGGAAGGATACACAGCCCGGGTTCGTGTTCGATGCAGAAGAGATGCAGTTGCCGCAGGTGGTTAAAAGTCACCGGAACCGTCCAGATCCGCGGGGACATGAAATCCACACTCAGGCTGCGCAACGACGGAAGCGCGCCCAGCCGCACCAGAAGCGTCTGAAAGCTGGCCAGGCTGGGGGGGTAGCTGATACTGCGGCATAATGAGCCCCGGCAAGCGGACAATGGTCTTGGGCACTTGGGTAAGACTGACCTGAAAGTACGGAGATTGACAAGAGTGGCCAAGACGTCAAGAAATTCCTGTTGAAGAAAGTCCTCGTCGCCCCAGACATCAACCTTTCGAACATATAAAGACCATTGTGTCACCATCTTCAATAGGCGATTGGGCGACAGTGGAAATGGCCGGGAGTTCAGAACGGCTGGGTATGCCCTGTCGAAGCGGATCTCCAAGGCACGGAAGAGGTAGCGCGCCGAGGAGAGTCGGAGTGCCTCACAGCTGTCGTAGACATTCCAAAGGTCGCAAATATTCAACTGCTGCTTCGTCAGTGCAGAGCCTTAGGGCGATTCCGCTTCGTCAGGAGGGAAGGGGCTCGACGGCTCACGTTCTCGAGTACTAAGCCGAGGATCTCGACTGGGAACGCCAGAAGAGGCATCATGGTGGACTAAGAAAAATTTTCAGCATCCCAAGATCGCACCATGCAACCATTGTTAGCCTAAAAATGTACATATAAACTATTCGATACGTACAGTGGAACAGATGGCATGCAGAAAACTGATTCTCCCGCCCTCTGGATGCAAGAGGATTGCGCAGACACCATACAAGAACCGCTAAGAGAGCTTTGTGGGTGTAGATGCCAATATTTAACACCGGGCTATACCATCTTACACCTGCGCGGCTGTTCAGACCATGTCTATGCCGTTCAGTAGCAAACTAGACTGGATTCCAAACTGCAGGTGGGGGACATTCCGCTGCAACAGTGTAGTCAATGGAAATCCCTGGGCTGCTGAATCTGAGGGCGCTCACCGTGCCCTCCTGCACTACAGGCAAGGTTCGTCGTCTACCGCCGGTATGCCAATGGACGAGGGGCAAAGTTCTCTGAAATGATTGTTCTCCCGGACGATTTCCTAGGGCCCTTTTTTCCTTTTCTAACCTGATTTGGCCTCCATTTATTTTTATTTTTATTTTTTCCCGTGTGGCTGGGTTCTCAATCAAGTCACAGTCTCTTCCCAACGCGCAAGAAAATAAATATGCCATCCTATAAAGAAGCATTACATGCAAGTCAAAAATAATCCTCCACTGGGTTGTCAGCTTTGCTACTGTACCAGGATACAACAGACATGGGCTTCACGCAAGCAGCTGCAGGAGACAGCAGTGATCCTGCACCTCAGCAGAGCCCTGACTCTCCAGTGTGGCTCCTAATCAGACCGAACATCACCCATTCTGATCCCCGTCAACTACGGCGGCCTGTTCCTTTTCCACTTGCACCAGCATCATAACTACCAGACAAGCGTTGCCTGCTCGAAGCAAATGCTTCCGCTGCATTTAAGATGCTCCCAAAGCAGAGGAAGATTGAAAATATTCCGTCCCGTCTACCGAGGACCATACTGTTACACCTAGACTCGGGCCTCCTCCGGCCCAAGAACAATCATCGGCCACGCATGATGGTTCAGGCGAAAGAACTGATGCCCTATCCGCTGCTCCATGGCATAGCATAATGCCTTGTAGTGGGCTGCTAACAGACATACAGGATGAGGTAGTCCCTCACGACCACATGATATCTGGAATGGCAGGTATACTAATTGGAGCCCCAACGTCGTCATATCGATCAATATAATCAAATAAGGCTTCATATTGGGCAGGATCGAGGAGTTGGTTAGCCGGTTTCCGTGTGATTTTGCTCTTTTTGCCTTGAATTCTTCTATGAAGCCGGTGATAGCTGATCCCATGATCACGCGCAATTTTGCAATATTTGTACGCGATTTTTCTTTTTTTGAGCTTCGTACACGTGTAGAGCCTTTAACAATGGCCTCTTCTCTTTATAGTTGACTTCATGGTTTGATGGTGGGAATGGCTTCAAATACAAGGTGTTTTGAATATATTGATTTTTTTGCGTTGAGCCGGGAATTGCGTTGAACTGGGCAGACCCTCCGTAGGGGGTCTGCCGGGCGGTGAGCTGGAGGAGACGGGTAGTGGTAAAACACTGTGAACCATACTCCGCAAATAATACGCGTATTCGCAAGTATCGCGATATCCTTCATTGAATTAGGTCTCTGATTCAACTAAACTACCAAAACATCTCGCATTTATAAAGGCGAGGTGAAGAATGCAAACTAACTAATGTAGGAAAATACGCGATCCGATGATGTTGGATCATCAACAACATTTGACTGAGAAAGGTGCTGAATAATCAATATTACCATAAATTTAACGTAACCGGTAAGCGAGCCGGACATGTAAGCCAGCCGGACACCACTGTATGCCATATTACATGCCACATTCAAGAATCATAATATCTCAACAACAACATATTGAGATGCCTTGAATTTTATTGCATAGACTAATATAATGGACTATACATAGATAGTAAACCAAGAACTGTATATAGTGCATATTTCTGTATATTACAATATAAGGATTTTAAATACAGTTGTATTTAAGTTAAATCTGTATTGTAGGCTAGGAATGATTTATAAATTTTAAATAAAAGAAAAGAGAACCATGTACTATGTACATAATATATAGGACTTAGCTTCAGTACTATATTTCTAATAGTGGCTGAGATATTAGGGTCCTAAAAAACACGAATTAGTATTGCATACAGTGGTGTCCGGCTGGCTTACATGTCCGGCTCGCTTACCGGTTACGTTAAGTTATTGCCGCGCTGCCTAATATAAAACATCACCAGAAAAATAGGCCGAGCAACAATAGACAGACGTAGCCTGTAATACAGTTAAACGTTACTGTAGATTGTTACTTGCTTAACCTAAGAATAATAATACTGTCTACATTTTTATCGGAAGAGGATCAAATTATTAAAAATAAGTAAGTATTATATCTAAGCGCTTATAAAATATACTATGTATATATATATATTTATATATTATTAACTTCAACAAACTACTAGAGCAAACTCTACTTTATAGATATACCACCAAACAGGTAATATTCTCGTGTTTTCTAACAAGCCTGCCCATATTACGGAGGTTTTGCTCAATTTTGCCACCCGCATCATATTATTCCCTGGTGCTTTCCACCAGATCTTACACATCTGCCTCAGCCTCTAGATGTGTGATGGTTTGGTTTTCTCTGCGCTAGTAGACATAAAATAGAAAGGTACAAGACGACTGATCTTAGAAAAAAGGTGGAAGTGGAAAGCCAAGAGTGCTGCGGATATACTAGCATGAAGGAGTCGAGGACCACGACAGAGGGCCTAGGGAATAGTAGTCGGGATGAAAATAATAGCTGGGTGACTGGATATGATGGTCAGCCACTATATTGTATTGATTATGACCCAGGGAGGGTATAAATAACTTTAACGTGGCCATGAAGTGTACAAAGTGTCATTGAACCTATAATCTTCGGGGTATGGGTCAAAGGTGACGGGTATTGTATAGTCATAAAGTGTTAAAGTGTAAGGTAATACTAGCTAAATTATTATATATATGAATTATTCATATGTTCATGAATAGTGCGAATATTAATAAGGCCAATATTCAATGATTCATATTCATATTCGCGAACATTCATGGATATTCAGGAATATCAATATTACTTACGGAGCTCCTGATTCTTCTGGGCACAATGAGTCTTAAATTACAAGACCTGTGAAAATACCTACAGTAAAGTAGCCTACTTGAACCTGACTGACGGATGCGTCATTAATGTTGAGGCTTCTCTGAGTCTAGACTACTCGACCAAAAACTATGCATACATTTGGCAGACTTTTCTTAGAATTATATCTTAACAATTAATATCAAATATATGCTATGGCAAATACAAACAGCAGATAAGATACCTAGCCTATACCTCTTACTACCTCCTATTTTGCAGGCTCGCCCATGATAATACTAAACTGTCCCCCAGCAGCTGCTGAAACCAATTTCTTTCCATCTATATGTTTGCTCTTAACAGGCGTAGGCGGCTTGATCTCGTCCGCATCAGGATGTCCTGCCTGACCTTCGACATTGAAGCCCCAGCTATATGCCTGACCTTGCGCCGTGAGAGCAAAGGAAGTATCAGTCCCTGCGGTTGCAAAAACCACGTTCTCTAAAGAGGGAATGACCTGCGGCTCTAATAGAATCCGTGGTCTACCACGTATATCGGAGATAGTAACCCACGAGGGAAGACTCTGAGGATCATCGAAACCAAGTGCGAGATTTTCAATACGACCCCAGGTTAAACACTGGCCTTGTTGACTGACCGCAATGCTGTGATCTTTCCCGCCTTGGATAGCGGTGATCTGCGGATGTTTTCGAAACCCTAAAATCTGAGTAGGATAGACCACGACGGCATCGCTCTCGCCGGCGTTTGTTGGGATACCTGTTTGGCCGAAGTTATTTGAGCCCCATCCATACACGTCACCATTTTTGTGAATCGCAAAGGAATGATACAACCCGGCTCCAATGGCGGTAATACCGCGAGGGATCGCACTTTGATCGGGGAGAAGAGGATGGACCCCGCGTGAGCGACTTGCTCGTCGTCGTCCAAGCTGGTACTGCTCATTGTTACCCCAGCTGAAGACACTGCCTGTGGATGTTAGCGCGAGGACGTGTTGCGCGCCAGCGGCAAGTTTGGTAACGTTATTAAGGCCGGGAATTAATATCGGTGTTTTTTGGATTTTCTTTTCAGTATCAGGGAAGAATTTAATCGATCCAGAGGTGCCCTTATCATTAGTTAATATGTGGTTAGTCAAGCAGGTGAGCTAATGGAGAAACATGTACCCTGAAGGTCCCCCAGCCGTACACCCGTCCGTCCTTTGTAAGAGCAAATGTAGCACTGTCCGTAGCTACCAGTTGAGTGAAGACCGTCCCGTGGGGGAATAACGAGGATTCTATAGGTAAAGGAGTCGCTTCTTTTATATTGAGCGTGACCTCGTCATCGTCATCATCATCATCATCATCATCCTCGCTATTAGAGTCTGGTTTTACTTCGTCGACATTGTTATCATCAGTAATCTGATAGTCGCTACTCGGAGCATCGCTCTCCTTCCTGTCTTGCTTGGTATCTCTTGCGAGAGTTCCCTCATCATTGACACCCCAGGTCAAGATCCGATTATCATGCGTAAGAGCGGCTGAATGAACCCCTCCCGCAGCAACCTGGACCACTCCCACCGTTCCCGCCGGCAGATGCGTGTTCAAGATGGGGCGTGAGAATCCCGATTTCCTCGTTGAGTTTCCCAGACCCAGCTCACCGTAGGAGTTGGTCCCACACACGTAGACATCTAAGCGCTGGGTCGGGACATTGTTTTCAGCTAACGTAATCGGTAAGCGAGCGCCGCATGAAAGCGAGCGCCGCACCTTTGTATTCCATATAAAATGACACTTTTTGAGAGTCTAATATCTCAACAATAAAGCACCTAGGGGACATAAAATTAAATATACAGTATAATATAATACAGTGTATATATATATTAAGCAGAGAAATTTCCAGAATGAATATTTCTCCAGGTAAGATAAATTACAGCTGTATTTTTTATACTTTCAGTTGTCCTAGTATTTAAAGCCAAGAAAACTACCTAAAAACATGAAAATATAAAAACACCCTTTTAGAGTTCATATATATGTTACTATCTTATCAAGATGTTTCTATATCTACTGGTGGTTGAGATATTAAGGTTTCAAAGAGTGCCATTTTATATGGAGTACAGAAGTGCGGCGCTCGCCTTCAATGCGGCGCTCGCTTACCGATTACGTTATTGACGATCTCTCTCTTAGTTACATAATCACGAAAATAAAATAAATAAATAAAAGGGTGGTATCACCACTCACTACATTTCTGCCATTTAAGACCCTTTGTAGTTGTGTCTGACGTTCGTGCAGCCTTTCTTTTCCGCCCCGTGGATGCGCTTGTAGACTTGGGATTGGACAGCTTGGCATGCAAAACCTGTTGCTGCTGACCACGATCTGTGGTTCTAGAACAACGTTTGGGAGTCATCTGGTTGAAACCACTTTGCTGAGAATAAATAATCAAGTTAGTGGTAAAATACAAGAGAGAGTCAGCTTTGTGTTGGATTGGAATTAATTCAAGTCCCTGTATGGACGCAGATGGTGGGGAGAATATACAACATACGGCTGAAGTGGGTTTGTCTGCTTCCTTTATACCGTTACAAATCCCACATTCAACAAAGTTTTTCTTTTTTGTTTGGTGGCTTATGTATGCTCCTTCCTAGCTGTACCTAAAACTTCGATCCTCTATCTATCCAGATAGATCCATATTTTACCATATCATATAAATTTTCATTTTGTCCAGGCAATTTGGCAATTGAGATTTTAACTAGAAGATAGAAAGCCGCCGGAAGGATCTAAGCAGGAAATCTAGTAATATATAAATAAGAGACAAGTGTGACAAGTGAGTTCTAAGATACAAGAGAATAATAAATAATTTAGGAATAGCGCCATTGAGTTTGTCAGTGATTAGAAAATCCTCAACTGGTCCTTTCTGACGACGGCAGTGTATTAGTCTTAGCGGGCAAAGAGCACACAATGCCCTGATTGTAGGTCCTCCCCGAAATGCGCTGCTTCTTGACGCTTGCGTTCACTCTCTTATTCTCCTAATCTTTGGCAAGGTATCACTACCTGCAGTTGTGGACCCTGGTGAGCCCAAATGGGTCGATTCATCATTAACAAGCAACGAGAAGGAGTGGTCGTCTTGCGCAGCAGAGATAAAGTGAAGTAAGACCCTGGTGAAAATAAGGAGTAATTAGTAGTCAGATGTGTTATTACAAGGCCGAAACAAGAAAGTGATAAGCTGTTCTGAATTATTTTTAAAGATCACTTGCCTTAGGAAACGCAACAAACTGAATGAAATGAAGGACCTATCTAACAAATTTAAATGAAGATCATCCGCATATCCGAGGATTTCCCGGCGGTCATCACAAATACGTGCGTACTCCAGGAGCAGTCGGTACATGTACACTTGCATATCCTCCTTCCGTAGAACTTTCTCTGCCCAATGTTTGCCATCCATCGCGACCTTCTTAGCTACAGCGTCGTGCCCGGCATGATTGCCGTATCCGAGGAGATATTCCATAATACCATATATAATGAATGTTGTGTCCATGGGGATGAAATGCGCCCATGGGATTAGGTGCGAGTCGTGCCATTCGTTGTAGATTGTGGCCTTGATAGGAAGCGAGGTCGACTGGAGAAAAGCACGATACCGGCCACTGAATGAGTTACCATCGATATCCGGAAGGTACTTGTTCTGGTATTGGAGCTTCATTGGTACCATAGGGAAAGCTTCAAAATATGGGTCACTGTATGAACAGTGAGAATCCCGGAGTTGGGGTAGCATTGCAACCCAGTGAAGCCGACATCGGTGTATTTGGCGAGTAATTTGGGAAGCTTGCCACTGCGGCCGGATGCCAAATCATAGTACTCAAAATCAGGAAGCCGGAAATCGACAAAATCTAAATTAGCCCTTTCCTGAGCTGTCCAGACCGACGTCGCATTCATCATTGAAAGGAAGCGGTGTTGCTGGAATCCAGTCCAGGATTTTTCTCTGTTCCTCCCCTGATGCTACTCCGCGCCAGAAGAAGATGTCCTACTTATTGGCCCAGTCGCCCCCATGATTATCTTTTCCACCAGAGTACAACTCCTCATCTGCCCAGTACATTGCAGAGGGATGAGGATATCGTTATTAATTGGAAGTTTCGATCCCCAAATAGAGGAAATAGCTTATGAGTCGTCCTAATAGTGGTCGGCTTAATAAAAGAGCCATGCAAAGCCTGGAGCTCAGGCCGGATACAAGGGTCTTTTGACAGTGTCCAGTTCTTGATATATCCATCTTGTGATAAACGAACATAGTTATAGAACTCCGGTGCGGGATTGGCGAAGTCCACGCTTGCAATATCGCTATTGCGAGAAGGGCTGTCAGACGGACACGCGACTTTTACCGAATGCCAGTAAGGCTCCCTGTCTCCATTCGTGAACCCAGGGTCATATGGCTCCTGATCTTCCGTATTCAGGTCGGGAAGGGTCATATATTCCGATACAACACGTTTCGGATTTAGGACGCGTCGGGACGTGTGGTCCTACCTAACGTGTTGGGCAAGATCCTCCCACGGGACAATTATGCGAGCTCATCCATCCCGTTAAGAGGCATATCCAAATCAGGAAGATACTTCTCAATAGTTCTTAAGAGATCAAGCCAAGCTTCCATCCATCCCGCCGGGGTGCCTCCTATTGGCATAGCCGTATGGTTTCGTACTATAATGCGAGGGGTAAAGCCACTGGCTTGTCGGCGGAACTCCCATGGCTCGATCCCCAATATGGACTGACATCATGATAGATCTGATCGAAGAGTTCCTCTATCATTAAAGCTCCTCTGTCTTTTGCGAACCGGTGCCATTCCGCGAATCCAGGCGGAGGGTGTCGACCGCGGCGGCGACGGTACAGCTCGGCCGCATTCTCAAGCGAGTCGGCTTCTCGGCCAAGTAGAGTCCGCCATTGCCTGTCGGCCGCGACAATCAAGTGATCGATCGGATGTACGGGGCAGGATTACGATGAAATCCCCATGCTGGCGGTGAGGGGTCCCTAGACATGTAGAGGTAGATGGCACTGAGAGTGATGTATAGAATGACGAGCAGTCTAGTCAGGACGTTGAGTCGAGATTTGACAGCCGTCAAATGAAACTTCCGAGGCCGCAAAGGCAACATCTTTCGGCGAGCGGCGTGGCAGAAAGGCCAGAAGACCGCGATATTGATTAGTTAGCGTCAATTTACATTAGATAATTCGTAGCCGTTCTATCAGAAGAACAAAGGAAATATAAAGCAAAAAACTAAAAAAAAATAAAAATAAAAAAAACTGAGCAGAAAATATTTAGAAGAAATCTGTAAGTGGGTTGTTTTGTAGAGATGCGCACTTAACAGAGAATAAACGCAGAGGATGGGATGGGGTGAGATATCAAGGGAACAAATCTTTCGCAGCAGATTAATACATAGCAGGAATTGGTTCACAACCTCGTGGGCCTGCCACTGTGGATCTCCCAGGGTCCCATATCCTGTAGTACCTGGCAGGCTACCAGGGCTCCCTAGGTACGTACGCTGTACCAGTACCAACCGGGATGAGATAAATAGGAGTGAAGTGGGCCACTCACCCTAAGTGAACGTGCTCCGCGCCAATCTAATTTTATTGCCTACCTACCAGTCACCTGCTATATGTACCTAATATTACGAAAGACACCAACTAGGTACTAGGTACCTAGGGAGTAGACAGCTTAAAGCCGCCTAGATCCCAGTCACATTCTTACCCATATGAACTTTTACTACAGAAAAGGGGAGCGAAATAATAATATTCAACCGATATCTTGAGGTAACCGTTGTAGAAGGAGATTCCATATCTTGTTTGGACTTCGCAACGCAAGTGCATGGATCGATAGACTAAGATCTCGGGAGGAAAATGGAAGCACCATGATAAATAATACGGCGTACTGGTCCGTAAGCGTGGGTGTTATTAGGTGGAAAATCACTGGGAAGGCAATCAGAGATTTTCAAGCTACAAGGCTAGCGTCCATAAGTGAATACTATCTTACCCACGCTAAACTACCAAACTAATATGTAGTTAGTGACTTATTTATTGCTTCAAGCCCGTCCATCATCAAGGTTAGCTAGCAGCGTCACCTTCGCGATACATACCTAAACTTTGCTGGGGTTGCATAACATTACAATCTAGAAGATCCACCGTGAACTGGACAGGACCGACGTGTAGGCCACGACGTTCGGTGGACCCAGTTGGTTTTACTGTAGTGATGTCATATGCTTTGTGCAATATGGAGTATGTCTTCGGAGAAATGCCACACCAGAAAATGTACAATACTATGTATACAGGCATGTGTACTTTGGCTGGGCAACTGTACATACTTTTCTGCACCTATTCTTGGCTGGTTGTCTCTCTACAAATTGCTTCCTTTTATTAACTTCCCCAGAAAACACCACTACTATTTCACATAAAAGATCCAAAAGAAAAGAGAGATAAAGGAAATATAACAGACCCTTAATTAGCTTTCCCATCCAGATGGTTAATATTGGCCACAGCTTTTGTATTTGGTAGAAACGGCATATGTGTCCCAAGAGTCGACGGATCAGGATTCTTCACAGACAACGGCGTTGATATAGGTGTGAATAATGTAGGGTCTATGTTCGCTAGACCTGTCAGCATTGACACTATCAAGAAATCATGAAATAAGCCGTATGTCTGAAAGCATACCAAAAGACTTAAAGGGAATGTTCTGGTATAGAGGCATCACGCTAAGTGCAGGCGGATGCGCTCTTCTAGGTGCGTGATGAGCCATTGAAGTTTTTCCTTTCCTCAGCCATATATGCTCCGTGCCTTTTTTGTCGGAGGCAATGTCCTGGTGCGCTTTGTCGAGGCTAGCCTGAATCTTGGAGACTGCTCTGACCAGCGCAGAGGTCATCTTCTGGGTCTCCTGAGTTGTGTCTTGGAGTTGATTCTGGGTCTTATAAAGGTCCCTGGTCCCAGAATCACCTTTCTGCTTCATGTCTTGAATGTCTGCGCCGAGAGACCATATCATGTCCTTCAGGTCCTCCAGTGTCTCCTTTTGCCGGGCACGGGGTTGACGCTGGGACTGCTTGTTGTCTTCTGTCTGCCGATCTATTGCCTATATTAGGGCATCCACCGATTAGATTACTTATTAGCAGACTATGGGTACTGTATCCTTACAGTATCTTTTGGAGACATCTTCTCTGGGTCTGGTGATGGGGAGCTAATTCAAGTCAATGCTTGTTTCACTCCTGCCGTACGATATGGATGGAAGACTCACAGCTCCAGATTCGGAAGCTCCATTGCCAATCAAAAGGCGCCTCAACGTTCAAAATGGTGTGTAAAATTAAGTGGCTTGTTCTTGCTCTCTGGGGGATCTAAGTTGGTAATTAAACAAACATATCATATTAAGACGGCAGTACTGTAATGTGTAGCGCAGAAATTAATCTTTCTTCTGCACATTGACGGAATACCTGGGTGCAATGGTCAATTTATACGTAAGAAAGACACCCAGGAAAGTGGCTCAGGAAACTATTTCCCAACCGCATTTACTGTACCATACCAAGCTTATGATTGCACATTGAGATCAACAATCAGTTGCTAACCACATTTTCTAAGATGGCTGGCTTTGTCCATTGCAGGGTGATGCGTCAACATCCTCGAGGCAATACTCCAACTGAGGGATGTGTATTTTTGTAAAAACTTGCAGTCACAAAATAATACAGAAAGTAGCAAAGCGCATTCACCGGCCATAAATATTGCAATAGTATGATTGTATGTACTCTACAGTTTCATTTTCCAGTTTCCTTCTTCGTTCCTTAATTTTATTCAATACTGTTGAATAACACGGTCACACAGTACGTCCAAAGGATGCCATTTTCCTACCATGCTGTAAATTGAAGATCCAACCCGATGCCCACCTTTTGCTCCATGTCCCATCTTAAAGTTGAGCAAACTGCTGCTGGATTTGTAAGGTGCGTTTACTGTAACTTTTTGTTTTACGGCAATTCTGCTGGTGCTGCACAGCCGTGTTCGTGTAAAGCCGTCCGGTAAGTCTCCATTTGCCATTCTAGTTTGGCAATATCGTAACGACATTTTCGAAGTTCTTCTGGCAACCACCTGTTCATTGGATACACGCAGTTAGTCCAATTCTGCCCTAGGTCAGGACCTCCCTTGTGGGCGTCTACTTCCAATGTAAAATGAGTGACTTCATGGAGCTCAAGCAACCGTTCTGTGGATAGTAGTAATAGAAGGTGTGATGTAGGTCGTTGCAGCTGTGGGATTGTCTTTGTTGATGTCTTTGGATACATAGGCCGGTCCGATTGGGTAGGACAGAAATTTTTCGGTAAGCGCCCAGAGGCGGCATTCGCAGGATTCAGTAGGGCAAACTTATTCATATAGGACAATTAAACCACATAATAATAGTCGGGGTAGTTAGGACAACACGCAGGCTTGGGCTATATTTTTTCTCTCCTTGAAGATGCTGACCGTCTCCTAAAAGACTGTCGTTATCTCATTTGCCTGCATATTGCTTTCTAGATATATATATTTCCAACATGGGCGAGCTCCTAATCCTCCAGTCGGCCAGGTTCTCTCTAACAGAGAATTGGCAAGCCCGTGTAATAAAAGGAAAAGCTAAAAAAGCTGATGTCCAACTCTAGGTCTATTTTAACACTATGAAGCCTACAGTAATCATACACATAGACTGCGGTACAAAATATCGTGATTCAGTTCTCCAAGATTATGTTTTAGGAGCCAAGAATATGATAATAGTGGGTGTATGTAGTAAAAGGGTGTCTGTTCACGCAGCTTCCAGTGACCGGTAAGCGCAATGGCGTGGATGGAATTACCTTGGGGTATCCTAATCCCGCGGCCATCTGATATATCACATTCAGGGGCTAAGGAACACGTAGACATAAGGAAGCGTTTGTCTACGTTCTGTCTCCTGGATAGAAGAATATACTCACCAAGCGATCGCACGATAGTTTCAATATACTATCCAGTCACCGCTATCCTAGCACCTCACGACATAGCTTCTTCCCCGAGATTCTCAACAGTTTCATTCAATTTAGGTTTAGGACCGTGACACCTGCTGGCATTTTTCTTTTTTTTTTTCTTTTTTTTTTTTTTTTTTTTTTTTTTTTTTTTTTTTTTTTTTTTTTTTTTTTTTTTTTTTTTTTTTTTTTTTTTTTTTTTTTTTTTTTTTTTTTTTTTCTTTTTTTTTTTTTTTTTTTTTTTTTTTTTTTTCTTTTTTTTTTTTTTTTTTTTTTTTTTTCTTTTCTTTCTTTCTTTCTTTCTTTCTTTCTTTCTTTTTTTTTTTTTTTTTTGGTTGCCCTCCGTTTCACTAGAGGGACAGAGAGATTGTCCCACAGTAAGGGAGCGTCTCATCCATTTAAACAATTGCAGGCAAAAAGGGGTAGCGTTTTTCGTCCCTATCGAAGTGAACTCCTATAGTACTTCAGAATGAGATAGGCTATGTTCTGGAGAAGAGCGAAAAGGAATTAAGAAAAACTGAGGGAGGTAAAGTGACACGTTTGGAAGGATCAAGCTTGATATTTCTCCCATCCACTATGAGCCCTGTGTAAGTAATACGTAAACGTTGCATATACATGCAGTTATGACTTTCGACAAACCACTTCATACTTCATTCCATTAATTTATACATAATGTTGGAAGTCAGGATGCCTAAGGCACCTTCGGATATCCTGTGATCTGACACTCAGGGGCTAACGGACACGTAGACATAAGGAAGCGTTTTGTCTACGCTCTCTCTCGAAGATTGAATATACTTACCATGTGATACATACTACTGTAGATGGCACGATAGTTCCAATATAGTATCCAGTCTCCGCAATCCTAGCACCTCACATAATACCTATATTGTGATTCCCAACCTGCACCTGTATCCTAAATTAAAATTCACTGCTTACTGTAACCCGTAGAACACATGATGGAACGCTAATTTAGGGAGGAGGTATTACTTTACTGTAAATCACTTTGTTCCTGTTCGTTTCGGGACTTGTTATCGTCGACAAACTAATCCTACGATACGAGGGTCACCTGCAAATTCTAGTGAGGACTGTACATCTACTTTGTCAAGAATAGGTCCGTAGCCTTTTCGCCCGCCATGGGCCCGACCTTAAATGTTTATACCACAGTACAAAAATTCGTATTCAATGCGAATTGTTGTGGAATTCAGGGGAAGTGATGCGCAGGGAGCTATTCTATCAGCTACAGGCCAACTAGCCTAACTAGGAAGTAGATGTCATTGAGTGGAAACACTGGGAATCGCAGTATCTCAACCAACTGAGTCTCTTGCATTCCTATCTGGGTGCTCAACTATCTAAGTTAAAGGATTCAGAGGTTGAATCAGCGTCAGATACTCCGCACCGCCAAGTCGGGCGGATTATAGTGTTTCCGTAACAGGAATATATTCGTCACCTTTACCAACCCCCAACGCGCTAAAAGATTTGATTTAATACTCCATATCGAAGTCATCCAGTTCCCTACCATCTCCACTATACCCGATATTGTCCCGATTGTCATCTATGATTCGCCCGTACTCGATCAGTAGAAGGAGTATGTAGATTTCAATATCTTCGTCGCGCAGCACTGGTCGCGGCTCTCCGACGCGATCATCTTTGCTTCAAAGTCATGGCTGCGGATGTATGGCTCTTGCTGATCATTATGCATGCCCTTCCCTACAGGTGAACCCATGCCAATGAAGTAGGTCATAAGGGAGTAGAGTTCGTCGTATCGATTGTCCAGCGGAACGAAATGCCGCCATGCAAAGAGCCGCGAATCATGCCACTCTCTGAAGATTGTCGCTTTGAGGCTCAACGACTTACTAAAATGGAATGCACGCCATCGACCTGAGAAGCTATGACCATCCACATTGACCAGATACTTCGACTTGAACTGCTCACTCAGTTGGGTAGAATTTCTCACCCCTAACACCCAGTTGTAAAATGGACATTCTTCGGGGATGCAGCCCCAAAATTCCGTGAAACCAACATCAAAGTGCTTCTGCGTGAAATCAGAAGAATTGAAGTAACGATTTGTTTCGTAGGCGTGTTGTGCGTTCTCGGACAAGATCGAGACTTGTCCATTGTGGTTTAAAGTTCCGTTGGAGAGAAGAACCAATCGCTGGCGGTGCAGACGGTGCCAACTATCTGCCGCTGCAATCCCCCCCCCCCCGGAAGAAGCTCCGCGCCAGAGGAGAGAATCTGCCTTGTCTTCCCACTCGAAGTCGAATTTTGGGTCATAAAGATACCGTGGGTCTGTCATGGTGTACACGTTCGCAGGGAAAAGAATGTCATTATTGACGCTGACCTTACATTCGCTGAACACTGGCAATAGTTTCTGAGAAACAACTAGAGTTGTCGGTGAGAAGAGAAAGCTATGCTGGTCCTCGATCGCTGGTCCCACGGTGCAAAGGTCGGTGGAAAGATTGAAGTTGCTCACAAAGGCCCCAAACTGCGTTTCGTATAATCGTGAATTGTCATGCCTGAGGCACCACCCGGGGATTCGGGCGGACAAGCCGTTTTGGCGATCTCCATGAACTTGTGATCTGGGGGCGAGAACTACTGGAGGTCCGTCTGCTCATCCCAACTGTCCTGCACCAGCGTGAATTTAAGCACATGGTCCATACCTTCCGTAAAACGATCCGCAGCGGCAGGAATCATCTGCCTCGACTTCTGCTCCGCCTCAGGATGTTTTTGGATGATTCCAAAAGGAACCACGATCCGGGGTTGGTCATGGATGTTCACTACAATATCCATGTCGGGCAAATATTCGACAGATTTGGAAATCAAGGCTGCTAGCTGGAGGCGGATGCCGTCCATATCGTTGCCCGTATTTAGCGACAGTCTTGCGGAAGGTTTTGGAGCGATCGTCTTCGTACTGTTCCCACCGTTTATTTGCATCCCGTACTAAATCAGAAATAGGGTGCGTATCGTACGCATAGAAGCCAGGAAGCTATGGGCGGTTGAGAATCAGCAAGACACCATGGCGTGATGGCAGCGGCAAAAACAGACCGTGGCTTGGATTGGAAATATAGCTATTGTAGAGCTATTAACATTGTAAAAGAGGAGTGCACCAATGCAAACGGCAACAATGATCAGATAGAACGCTAAAAGTATGGCGGAGCTCTGGTATTGACAGATTTCAGGCAGCCTATTAAAGGCACAAGAATTCATGGTAGTATCACAAGATATGAGGAGTAACAGTGGTCCTAGACACACTACTCAAGGAAATAGTGAGAAGTCCCTTGATATATAGCGACACTGGTAGGGGTTGGCCATAGCTCAGTGAATCGCAGCTCAATGATGAACAATTTTTCGATACTCACCAGAAATTTATGAAATCGAATATTACTTAATAAATACATCTTATCTATCTATATATATAATTAATAATTACCTTTTAGCATACAGGTATTTCGCACGGCAACATGAAAAAGTAGATTTTTATGTAGCAATAAACTTTGTGCTTATTAGGGCTTTATAAATACTACTATATAGTGATTTGTTCCACATTAAAATTCTTATTTTGTATGGAAGAATGGTTTACCATTGAATCCCTCCTTGGGAGACTGTCTGCCTACACAGTGATTTGATTTCAGAGTGATCCCCTCCTCCCCGAACCAAAAAAAAAAAAAAAAGGTTAGCGGCCTAAGCATTTCGCAAGGGAGGGAGAAAAGAATAAATTTCAAGCACTAGATCTATTGCTGAACATCAGTTCTTAATCACATGGGGAAAAGAGCTGCCAGATTTTAAAGGAAGTAAGTAGGCTTCTTATTCCGTGGTCACCAGAATTTTGCCGAAGTGTAGCAATTTGTAGTGGGACTAGCGAACAAACCACACTCAATTCATGCCTTCCACAGTTACTCCAGTATCTTCTGGGGGATATCGTCCCGGAGACACCGATCTCAAGCTAATAGCTGATAACTAAGTGAAGTTGGCCCTACATTAAACGGGAGATTGGGCCAATGGCACAGCTCACTTGAGGGACGGGAGGATATAATTACACTGACTGCGGGTAGATCGCGGTTAGGCAGCTGGGCGTTACGACAATTAACACTGATGTGATTCCTTGGTCACACAGCTATCCACTGTGCCGTTTGCGGACTCAGCTTTTTTCTTTTTCTTTTTCTTTTTTATTCTTGCTAGCAAATCCACGCGCTAGCCTGGGTGTTAAGATGGATGCGGCGGCAATACAATAAGCATCGTATGTTCGTTAGGTGGCAGGTTGTAGATCCATTATTTCATCCCCGAAAATTATCTGCTGTGCTTTGTATTCAAATAACCTCGGTTTCCCTAAAAAAGGAAAAAGAAGCGGACAGGCAGAATATTCCTTGTTTTAAATTTCTCATTTCGAGGTTGACTATGTTAGGCTAAGAACTCTGTCGGACACGGAATACAGAAAAATTGCCATCTCGATATAGCTGGGCAATAAGCTAATAGTAGGAGGGCCAACAACTACCAGCTCACATAAAAACTTTTTATCGGTCGTTTCTCTTGAAGTTTAGAGGGCGCTAAACACCCCTTTAATGTCCTTAACAACTATATAGGAGAGGCTGTATAGAAGACACCTGTAGAGATGTGTCTAGCATACCGTGCAAAAATCCTGTTGTTTTCGTATACGTATAATATGGTACATAAGACGGGTGCCAGCTCGGCGTGGGCTAAAAAAACCTCGGCGTGGGCTAAAATTCTGCCACCTCCGCCACCGCCTTTTTAGACCACGGTGAGCCTTTTCTTGGCGTATGCTCAGCGTGGTCTACTCCGTAAAAACAGCGGTGAGTCTCGGGGCAGAATTTTAGCCCACGCCGAGCTAATACGTACAAGCCCTATGGTAAGAGTCGGTCATTCTTTGGGCAAGTTATTATTGATATCTAAGCCCCACCAAACCAACGCGAGTAGGGTGGCTGTGGAGAATTGGTATTGAACTTAGGCAATCAGCTAACTTGGTTTAGCATCTCGGTATCAGGAGTGCGGCTACATGGCATAATATAGCATCTTTCTATAGACAGCACGTATCCCGCGAGACCATGGTTAAGGGCATGTAGTGTATCAGCAAGCTTACCATGCATATAGGAGAAAATAGAAGACATTATTAAAGCGAACTTAGACTGTGAACCTGTGCATCCAGAACCCAATGCACTAGGCCTGTTCATCATTCGTTATTATTAGACAAATAAGCCACGGAGGCAATACATAGCTGTTAGAGGGACATACTCCTATATCATCGACCCATCTTTCGCCTGATATATTAGTTGATCACGACTTAAAAGGTTACAACGCTAACAAAATTTCTGCCAGTACAAATATATCTGAGAATGTTGGATGGATTGCGATTAGCGATAGTAGGAAATCAGCCTGACATATACCTGCACCATACAGCATTTTGCTCAACACATGTATATACTGTAAAAACGAGATAATTAGGTATATGTTTTCAGCACCGCCAACCGCCACTAAGGACCTAAGCAGCCAGTACTACTTTACGGCTGTGCCTTTGTGCCGAGGCTAATCTAGACTTTAGAGTTACACCAACTATCCTCAATCGAGCTTGTTCCATTCAACAGAGTGATGTAACAATGAGCAGCTAAGGCAAATAAGTTACCAATTGGCTTAACGAAATGGAGGCCCTCCGTGGTTCTTTTTTTTTTTTTTTTTTTTTTGTTATGTTTTTGTCCTTCTCTGGCTGGGAGTTTACGTTGAAGTAGACCAGTTCTCTAAACGTACTTAATTATAATGCGGGTTAATATAGAGAGCCTTAGTGTGAATAGGTCATTTTCGCTATAGATTTACAGTATACATCATAACATTTAAGTATTGTACATGTATGGTGATCTCTCATCGGCTTAAACATTCACTCACATCGGATGTAAACTAGGAAATAAAGCAAGTACCTTTCAATATAAGCTCTCGATCTCGCTCTCTTTCTCGCTGTTCTCGCTGAAATTGCCGCTGCTCAATTCGATCCTCTCGTCGCTCCTGTTTTTGCTTTATTAGCTCTCTGTTCCATTATACGCCTCTGTATTAAATATTCCTGCACCTGGTGCTACATCTCAATCATTCGGTCCATACTCGTACGGTTCTCCTGCGCCGCCGAATGTTTAATTAGTGTAGTGGAGGAACTAGAGGGATTGGCAGGTGACATCTGTATGGATAACTATTACCCTAAGTCCTGGTTCGAAGAGATAATAGACAATCAACAACCTTCTTGCAGACCATGGAGCGCAGTTGAGTGCAGGGAATGTTGTCTTCTCTCCTGCCAGGAACTCGTGGGCTCAGGGCCCACAACTTTCTAATTGTCTAAGAGTGTCGCCTTGACCTACTCCTTAGGAGTCTACCATTTTCCTCTCATTCATTAGTTGTCGAGATAACCACAATATCGCGCCTTGCTGGCTGTGAAAATATAATATTAATGAAGGTGGGGTGCTTAGTAGTGTTGCCTCTCCTCGTGATATCGCGTTGGCCCAAGTCTCATGTTGAGCGTGAGTACATAATATTAAAATGCTTCGTCCGATCCGCTGGGATAATCCAGCAGTAATTATTTCGGTTCGTACAGTTCTCCTCGTGGCACCGCCATCTCTCTATAAGCTCCAATTGAAAATGTCCTGCAGTGCGAATACCTTCAACTTGGTGCTTTATTGCTCCTGCAACCAAACTGTACGCAAGCTCTGAGGCGTCTGGGCGGCTGTTTTGGTGTAGAAGGCGTACTCTGCGGCGGGGCTTAACGGTATAAATCCTTCTTTTCTTTTGTGTGTTGAACTCGCTGTTAGCGCTTGCCTAGACAGCAATTTAAGAGTTATCTCAAATAAAAGAACCATCTGACCCTTGCGAAAATTGGTCCGCTGCCTCTCTAGCAGTATCATCACCTCCGCTGCGGCTGCAATTGAGAAGTTTCAAAATTATGTTGTTTCGATCCTCCCCGGCCACCATCATGCTTTATAACAGCCATACGCGTGACGACTTCAAATTCCAAGCCATTAACAGCTTTATCGATCTGCTCCATCAAATGCTCTTCAAAATTCCTAATATCAAAAGTTCTACGTGAAGTGACGTGCAGGATCTTCCTTAGTGCAAGCTTACCGTTAATATGGACTGTAACCCAAAACTGTATGTAAAAATCCCCGTTTACCACGGCGTCACCAATCTCCTCTCCCAGCTCTGGGGTTGTAATAGAATCGCCGTAGTGAGCCTTCGCCTCTGCGTATGGACGAGGGGTTAGTAGGGACGGTTCACGAGAAACTAGGCGGGATCCTGAGCGAGATTAGTTACCCACTATAGGGTTTGATGATCCTGGCCCTGCATCGCGTGGAGGGGGTCCTGGTTTCCTCCTTTCGATGGGATGGCCCCTTTTCCAGGATTTATTTCTAATCCTAGCGATCTCTGCAGCTGCACTGTCGGGTGTATACTTATCATACAGTATCGAGCGAGTTGTCAGCCCCTCGCCAGTATTGGAGTGTTTAGGAGGCATTTCCGACGTTTGAATAGCCTCAATTCCGACGAATTTGGCATTTAAAATGCGTATTCCATGGTCAACAGGTATGAATTTCGAATATCAAAGCTCGGGGGGAGTTGTTCCGAACTTGCGCGAATCTAAGCGTTCGCGCTACAGTAACTGTAACTCGACTTTCCCAACTTGTGAATACGGCAAATAGTTTAAACTCCAGACAGGAGGGCGAACCAGCCGCTTCTGAATATTACTGTTGTAACACAGTCGAGATGGAGCACAAGCGAGCCGCAGCCCACACATCCTCAGTTCGTTATCTACGCCCTTCAATTACAAAGAGCAATTTATAAATCGACCATACTATTGTACCAAAGTCATTCCAAAATGTCGAATCTTCATCGCGCAAAGAGGATCTTATTGGCAATATAACCACATAATAATTTTCAGTTTTACGAATGGTGCACTTACTATATTTTGTGCATCATGGACTTGTGACCGAGGATCGTGGGAAGATTGTCTAGCTAGCACAGACATGTATTTCAACCTATGATGACACTAATGAGAGAGCTATATTAATGAAAAATATACAACTAAAGCGAGATACAGTACCCAGCTTCAGAAGAAGTGGATTCCGTTATCTTCATACTATAGCAACAACCACCAACTACATAGTTCCTACCACGTAGAGCGACAGGACCAAGAACATCACGATGGCTAGGCAGAGTATTGTATTAATCACATTGAATAAAGCAGTATGGTTTTTCTGTTGCATAAAATACACAAATTTGATAAAGACACTCACGGAAGGAGTACTGCTAGACGACAAGAAATTAAGCTCTTTATGCAGCAACATATATATCCCTTTAGTGTCACCCCCACGGACTACAGCTTAGTATGCTCTCTCCCAAAATCATAAGAACAGACATCCCCCAGATTGTCCAAACCATTATTTACTCTGAAATTGTTTCGCGAGTATATCGCCAGTATGGTATTAAATCACTACCCTTGTTTTAAAGTCATGTAAGCTAACCTTGAGCTTCAATAGTCCCAAGCGAAAATGATTAAGAACCAATTTTACATAGACTGGGACACCCCGATCAAGCAGGGCGGTTCAAGTGAGATCTTCCAAGGTAAATCTACCAGAACGGCTGCTGGAAGTTCTTTGCTGAGAGCAAACCAAAAAGGCACGGACATATTCACGGACAAACCCGTCCTCATCAAACGGGAGAGGCCGAAGCAAGGCTATACACAAGAATGCAATTCACCCCTGACAAGAGAGTTCCACGTTTATCAGTCATTGCGGAATCGACATGGCTTCCCACGGGTATACTGGTTCCTGGAGATTACCGGCTACCGGCTTCTGGCTATGGAGCGTCTGGGGCCTAACTTGGAGGATTTTCTAAACAAACATGGGCGCCGACTGAGCCCAATAATTGTCTCCTGGATCGCATGTAAACTTTTGAGGAGGGTTGAATGCCTCCATGAGCAGTCATTTGTCCACTGCGACGTCAAGCCCCAAAATTTTGTTTTGGATTCCATTGACAGTCCCCGGCAGATCTACATGATTGACTTGGGTCTGGCAAGACGGTATCGTGACTCTAAGATGCTTTACGCCTTCTGGCCCACACAGAGTCCGCTTGGGACCCCCCAGTTTATGAGTGTTCGCAGCCACTATGGTTATCCGCCCTCCCGTCGGGACGATTTGGAGTCTCTGGGATATCTCCTGGTGTACCTTTTCCGAGGGACCTTGCCATGGCAGGCTCTCGATGCCTTGACTGAGGAGGAAAGGTTAGGGCAGATACTCGAGTAAAAACCAGGACCACGCCTTGGCAACTTTGTCAAGGCCTTCCTGAGGAGCTCCGGCGATTCTTCAAACATGTCAACGGTTTGGGATTGGATGATAATCCGGACTATGATGGGCTTTGGCAGATGTTCCGAGGCTTGTATAGCCGTTTTCTCCAGCTGTAATCTGCTGTCTAATGATGGCTCTGCCTACACGATAGTGTGACGACCTTGTCACCTGGGTCATGTGAACTGCTGGTTTTCCCGCAACAATGTTGTCATTCAGATCCATTCCTTCTTTAATATTCTCGTTGGAAAGCTACCTAGTTAGTGGGAATAGATTTGTTTGTTATATGACGATATCCTGTCCTAGATTGAGCCGTGACAGACAGAGCCACTGGCTGAGAATTGCGTGGTGTGCGGCTGGATCTTTCTACCCTACAATCCTTTCGGATGTACGTTGGAATAACGCTTCTACAGTACCTGAGCTGTACTCCGTATGCTTATAGCAAAATTTAGGGCCCCGGCTGAACTTGTCACCATTATTCCTACTGTTGTCAGCCGCCCTTAGAAACTAGTCAATATTTACGTGATCTCTAGAGCACATAGGAGTGCTTATTATGCCATCTCTCTCAGGTACACAACAGTTGCATGACGAAAGCTTATTGTACGTAAGGAGTAACCTCATATTGTTAAGAAGAGAATCTACTAGGGATGGTAGCCAAAAAAACATGTGCATACATGGAAGCATGCGATTATACAAAGAGTCGCAAAATCTTCCAGAGATAATCGTTATGCGCATACAGTATGCTACCTTGTAGGGTAATGATCATCTCTCGTTTTCGGGGTCAAACGGGTCGCCCGCTTCTCAGATCTTTCCCTTCCCGTTTCTACAACCACTTCGCGCTGTTGTTGTCCACTGAATAACGTAACCGGACACCCAATGGCAAAGTTTTTCACGTCTCCTCCCAAACTCCATTATCTCAATTTTCCAAGCCTTTTTTCATTATTATTAAAATGAAAGAATCAAAATGGCTATCGAAGCATGGAATACTGTAGTAATTGTCAGAGCTTATAGATATGAGCGATATTCGGCTTCATGGATCCTCGATCAAATTAATTGACTTTCTTGACTAATTTACATGAAGTCATCCGTGTGAGAGGGTCGCTTACTAGGGCGTTAGGCCTATTTGATAGCCTAAGGCATTTTTGTACCTCCACTGGCTTTCTATCATCGACTTCAAGAGTTGACTGCACACAAAGAAATACTTGCTAATGGCCGAAAATTATCTATTCTTGAAGATGACCCCTTAAAGAAACGAAGTATTAATATGGCTGAGTGCGGTTGTGCCTCTACAAATCTTCCAAGTTTGATATCTTGCTGGTCTTTTAATATCTGTTCGTCAAAAGTCTTCGTCTTCATCCCAGGCCTCCATCTTAAATCTAGTCAGTGATAAATGGGTTACTCGATTTATTTCACGCCACGATGATATTAAATCAAGATAGAATCGTTGAGGCTAAGTGTGAAGATCCACAGATTATTCAGGGCTAGCTTCAAATTAGTTCGAAATACTATACAAAATTATGATATCTTAGGACAAGATACCTACAACATGGATGAAACTGGCTTCCAAATGGGTGTGATATCAACTAAAGCTGTCTGCGGTGCGGAAACATGCAATTCTGATATTAAATCAAACCAACCAAGCAAATAGATGGATTGCATCAATTGTGGCTGTTGGAGCTGTTACGGCTCTGTACAGCCTGTGTAACGACCGACCCAGCGTTGGTTTGCGATGTCGGTTTCCGAAGCTCGTTGTTTGTTCTATCTACTATGCCTGGTCGAAGGGGAACAATGGAGCGTTGTAGAGTAGTATATAGCCGGTGCGGTAGCGTAGTGGTAACGCACCGAGGCAACCTTTGAAGAGCAGGATTGGTCTCCCTCGCCTTTTAGAGGTGATGGGTTCGATTCCCGTCGCCGGCACCACAATTACCACCTCAGCGTCTCTATGGAGAGACACCATAACACGGGGTAATGGAGTACCTCAGCCTTTTCACAGGTTAAAGTGGAAACAATCACAGGCCCATCAGGCGAGGCACAAAGTTCGCCCTCAGGAAGTTTGGAACATCATAATGGAACTACCATCATGTATCTAGAATAGTCACCTGCATATCGCCCAAGGCGAGGGGTCAGCGTATGAATACTACTACCACTGTAGTATATAAGGATATCCACCCCACTGCTCACGTCGATCCTCTTCCTTTCCTCTCTCCATGCTTTAGTATTCTCGTTGCAGGTACCGAATAAGTCGACTTGGTTTTATTTCCATCTCTGTTTCGTAGGTCATAATAACCTGGCTATATAAAGCGAGGCCGTGACATATACCCAGGTTTTCGAAAATGTGATCTGGCTCATGATGTCCCATGCGACTTGGAAACATTCAACATCATCAAGAAACCCCGGATGAGAGTTTCTGGAAACCGCTTACAGTACTTGATATAGTCACTCATCTCGCAGCTTATCCAATGAGGCAGGTCTGTCTTGCATCTCATCCAGGAATCGAAGCCCCTGGACTTCTACCCACCAAAAACAAAGCCACGCCATCAGTTCTGACAAACTCTGTTTTCACCAAAGTCAATAATAGTCTGCGAACATATTTCCAATCTGGGCAGCCAGAACACACTATACAGAATGGGTGTCCTGCGCTACAGGAGAGATGCAGAGGTCCAAGCCAAATCCCAGACTCTAAAAACATAAGCATCGGCAATGCATTCGCACGCAGCAGGTCAGCCCAAGTGATTCCATCTGGTGTACGTGCTTTTCCTCTAGGGATAGATGGTACGTGCTATAACTAGTGTTGTTATACGTTTCTGGTGAACTTGGAGCCTGCTATATTTGCCAGAATTAGCTCCATGTATAGTACCTTTTATCGGCTTCAGATACAGACAGCGGGACACGGATACATTATGCTTGTTATGGTGATGAAAATTATCCGTTTGGTCGTATTTACCGCTCGGCCGTGGAATACGTTAATTGTCGACAAAAAAAAACTTCCGTGCAGAATCAATTTTTGAAAGCACATCCCCAAACACGTTCAAAAGCTCTCAAATTTAGGCAAGTTTCTCTTTGCGTCGGCGACTATCGTTTGATACCAATCTCTTTGGTATCGCGATGTCGTTGCGAGCAGGTGGAAACCTGCGTGGCGGGCCCCTTGGGGTTGCGAGAACACGTCACGTCACGTCAGCACCACGAAAGCGCTCTGTCTCTATACTATAACGGCTTGCGCCTTTGGAATATGCAAAAGAGCAGAATGTGAGGGTCCGGAGCCCCATTATCTATCACTTCTGGGTTGCCGTTTCGGTGGGCAATGACATGCTGCAACAACTCAAGGACGACTGGCGCAGGGCCAGGGAGACCCTGCAGGAAAGTGTCCTTGCCACGCAAAAAGACTTACACGCCATGCACACGGCGACGCAATCATTTACCATGCCAAATACACAGTCTGCTGCACGTGTCTGGCCCATATCGCCGTCGGGGCACCGCCAACGACGCAAATGCAATGGACCACGGCTCGACAACCAGTCCGGCGGCCACCGCGATGGACCTCTCCAAGGACCATGAAGTTGGCCTGAAACTAGGTGAGCCAGCTGCCGTGCAGAGTTTCCGCCGCTGCACCACCATAGAGATCAAAAACCGCGCCGAAAAGGCACAGATTAAGGCAGTGCGCCTTCCCTCGATTCCCAAGCTTGCCTCGATCAAAATTCGTTGCCGCTCGGCAGTGTTTGGGACCTACCGTATTCCGTATGATCACATGGCCTCTCTCAGTCACCCTTCTAGATAACCAGTCAGCTCGCCTGAGCCCCCTCTTGAATTGAAGAGAATTGTGCCTCGCGAACAGGCAGCTCAAGTCAGGTGATCTCTGAGCCTGCGGTCCGCCAAGGAAGCCGAACTTGCGCGATGTCATCGCGACCGGGTAATAGACCTCTGGAAGACAGCTACTCTGCGCGTCCCGACGTTGGGGGTGGTGGTCCACGAGGTCCCCGTCAAGGCCATGGGTGACCTGACCATGACCCCTGACCGGGATCGCGTGGCCAAACAACTGCTATCTGAAAACGCGTTCAGCTGGAGCAACGAGGCGGAGGTTAACAGCATCGGCTGGCTCACCAACCCCCAGATTGGCAAGAAACACTCCGCCATCATGACGTTCACCTCGCCACACGCGGCCAACCGAGAGATCGGCACCAACACGATCTGGACTAGACGGTGCTTACAACGGTCCTGTACGACCGATCTGCACGCATACATCAATGCTACAACTGCCAACAATATGGTCACATAAGAAGCGTCTGTTCCAACAAGATGGCCTGCGCACACTGCGCGGACAACCACTAGACCTACGAACCAAGCAACAACCAGTATGCCAAGGGGGGGCACACATGCCGCGTGGTCCAAACGCTGTCCCGAACACCCCGAGCAAGTCGAAATGGTGCAGCCGATGGTCGCGGTACCCCAGCGATACCACCGGATCTCCCCGTGGCTGAGTATGGAGAAATCATCCCAGGCGGGGTCCCAGGATGTCTCCTGAATGACGGAGAGCCCCGGGAGTAACGGCCTGGAGCCCATCACCAATGGAGCAGCAAGCCCCGTAGCGAACATCCTCGCTCGTCTTTAAGAAGCACCAGCCCTGCCACAACCACCAGATTAGTGGCAGGTTTATCCAACTTTCAGGGGGTTAAGGCGACTACCGGAGAAGCTGCACAAAGAGAGGGACAGGCCACGACCCAGCCCCCAGAGGAGACAGAGATAGAAATAGATAACACCCGGTGAGCCACGCAGACTTGCGGGGGGCCACACAAAACGCCGTATGTAACGCTTATTTTTAATCTCCCACAAGAAACAGGCCCAACGCCGATACAGTACGCCACGGAGCCAGAAATTGGTGTAAAAACACCAGTTGCCTTTACTAGCCAAAGCAGTAAAGCCAGCGACGTTACAGCAAGCACAATTACCAAACGACGATCTGCACGACTCACGAAACAAATACTGGAGAGCACCGATGATAACCGGCCCTCTAAGCAACCACGAAACGACTTCAACTCCAGAACCCGTAGGATTCAAACTCCAAGGAAGTGGGAGTCAAGACAATCATATGTCTTAATGCCTTGGGAAGGCACTACTGCACTGCGTGATCGAGCCGCACGAGACAGCTCTTCAGGGCCACGAAACCATTTGCTGCACAAGCCCACACGATCACTACATTGCATACACCGACTGCAGCGGCCACAGTGCCCAGGGAGGTGCCGCGGCAGTCACTCTGAGAGGCAATGAGGTGCGAGGACGCTACCTGGGCACCAAGAAAGATAACACTGTGTACGCAGCCGAACTAGGTGGTATTCGAATGGCCTTGTCTGCACTGCCGAACCGACTCATTACATCGGTGACTGTATTTGCTGACAGTCAGGCCGCGATTCAGGCGGTGGCCAACCCGGGACGCCTCGGCCGAGGCCATCTATAGCCACGTCCGCACGATCCGCCAACGGGACTATGTCCCGAGGGTGATCATCCGGTGGATCCCCGCGCACGTTGGCGTGCCGGGCAATGAGGCAGCGGACGAGGCAGCGAAAGATGTAGCTATAGAGGTCAATACAAGGTTCGGAGGCACTATTACCCGACTCGCTGCCGCCACCAAACGCGCGGTTCGCCAACGGATCCGAGCCCGGTGGGAGAAGCAGTGGGAGAGAGAAAGGGGTGGCGAAGCCGACACGGCGGCTGATCAAGTCTCCAAAAAGGAGACCATTGAGCTCCATAAAGGGCCCCCAATGGTATATTCCCCATAATTGTGCAGATGCGCACCATGCGGATTGGACTAGCGCACTTTCTGTATAGGATCAGGGCATCCAAAGGCGAGCGGTGTGGCTCCGGGGAGGGCTCGCAGACCCCAAAGCTCGACCCCCGGCTGGAAACGACCCAGAAGACCATGACCGGATAGGCCTCGTGGCCATGGAATTAGACGCTGAAGACGATGGGTAGGAGGTCCCAAACAAACCGCGTAGGAGTCAACCCGGCAAAATATCAGAAACAGGAAGCAACACAACAGCATGGTGAAGCAGGGGACGAGAGGTCATAACGCAGAGCTACGACGCATTGTGGCAGGATGGGAAATGGAGACATTCCTTTTCGCTTAGTTGCCTTTTTTTACATTTAGCGATCTGCCGACTTTCCGTTGTACGCGTTTAGGCAAGCGCTCGCTACTGTCTTTCTTATGTGGGATTTTTATATGGCGTTTAGGACCTCAGGTTCTTGCTTCAAAGCAGCTGCATAGCTAGACGCTTCAATAGTCGGGCTGCAACAGGTTAATACTGTAGAACTTTGAATTGGATTGAATTGAATTGAACCTTAGCAGAAGCCCATCAGACATACCAAATGAGCCCACTATTGCACCTGATATGTTACGTACACAACAAGGAGATTGAGTAGCAAATTATTATTCAGGCAGAAATTTACGCTATTGTAAGGCAAGTTCAGGCTCAATTTGAATTCGTACTCTTTGGTCATACTGGATAGAAGGCTGGCTTGGCAACATAGTATCATATTATCTCGTACAACAAGTAGTTGAAAGAAAAAAAGGAAAGGAAAGAAGAAAACAGAATAAGGCGCACAGTACAGAATAAAGGCCATTTCCGTCAATTTGCACTTTCCTTGTCGTCCGGCCAATGGCAGATGTAGTCTATGGAGGCAACCGCCAGTGGAAGGATAGAAAGTCATGTCCGGAGCCAACACTGAGAAATCCTAGGTGGCGAAAATTCCCATGGGGACTGGGCATCCGTAGTTTTTTTTTATAACTCAACCGAAATGGCCCAAATGTACTATACATATTTAGTAAATCTCCATCTCGATAACTCTGCAAATTCAACCAGGCATGTGCCGTCACTGTACACCTACTCAATAGCATAAAATCCCCAGTCTACTCTGGTCCCTTATACCCTTATGTGCCAATACACGAAAAAATCTGTCAAAAGCACTCCGGGACGCGACCGCCGAGTATTCCACCCAAGTCTATTACTATATCGCCAGTGCGCCTAGCCAAGCTGAACGGGCACAACAGGCAGCAACACTGGCCAGGGCTGAATTCATCTACGTGTCACAAGCTGAACCTGTAACATACTATATAGGGCGCTAGATGCGACTGATCGAAGATCAGTCGTCTTGTACCTTTTTATATGGTCAAGTGGTTTTATCTCTACTAGCGCAGAGACAACCAAACCATCACACTAAGCTCGGGATCATTCGTGATATTGAGCAGGACCTGGCGGTCCAGCAAGTAGGTTCGCCTCGGTGGCAGCACTTGGCATGCTTCCTGATCCAGACTAGGAGCCATTGTTAGCATGTTCTGGGATAAATTATCTCTACGCATGTTCAATTAATCTATCTGATCTAGACAAAACTTATAACGGCTGTCTAATTTGGGAAGACATTTATATCCGGCCATCGAGATTTATTCCGGAAGGACAGTAAAGGGTCAGCAATAAGCGAAATAGAATTCATCTTAATAATAATTGCTCCATATCACAACTATGTTTAGATATTCTGGAAACACGTGAATCAGCGATGGGACTCAAGGCTGTCGACGATTGCTCTGCTGAAATACATAGGCTTCCGAAAATATCCTAATTTTAGATAGATTAGAACAAAACCAAAAATAGATTGCCATAGCCCAAGCAAATTATATATTTCCGTACATTCACAAAATTAAAGCAGTCTTACACTTTTCTAATGGTCAGTTTCAGTCCCAGTGCTAGTGGCCGGGATAAGTTCATTGATACGTATATCCAAAATATGAAAGAAAAAATAGAATGTGAACTACGAAATGGAATGGATCTAATCTTGCAAAACCTGACAAATTTTGCAAATGATGAACTCTCAAAACTCGCCAGGAGAATAGAGAACGAATTTCTAGGTACAAAAGCGGTTGAGAGGAGGGCCAACATGGACAGTATCATTGGTGCTCAAGAAAACCAAAGTGCCCCTAAGAAGGGATCAAAGCGCCAGCCTCCCAATGGGGGGCAAGTAACATTGAGAGATGCATCTTACCAAGCTCATAACCAATCACCCCCGACAGTGTCTCCCGTTCGAAAGCCTGCTGACAAGTATTTAGAACCCGCTGGAACCCACAGTAGCATTGAACCCCACGAGTCCGGAACAAAAAAAGGGCAACTACCCACAGGCAAAGGAACCAGAAAGGGCGGGCCGCCTAGGGGGGCTTTGACTCGGACCAAGGATACAAGTCCGCCCAACAGCCGGGGAGGGTATCAAGGTGAAGCTCATGAAGGTCTTTCCCGCTCGCTTCTCAGAGTTTTCATTAGCATCTTAAAGACTGAGGGGAAGCGGCCGGATGGGCACAGCAACACAATACATAAGTATATACTTGTGGTGCTGCCTAAAGTTTTATCGAAGTGCAAAACCAAGAAAGAGGAATCGGAACAGATGCAAAAGTTTATAGCAGAAAAGTTACCGGAAGACCGCAGTTCGAATCAATTGTCGCAGATACGGGACGATAAATCTGTGCAAGAGGTCCTTCAGTGTTGCATCAGTATGATTGACGAGTTGGCTACTACTGAGAAAAATTGGTACATTAGAAACAGCTGCGTGGTCATTGGTAAATGGCTAAACAAATTGTGATACATGTATAAGTACTGTCTAGTTTAGTGTGTTGTTTTTTTTAACAATCGTCATAAATCCAACTGCTTTATTTGCTCTAAGGTAGCAACACGCTCCACTAAGCTACTATTCTGGAAAGCTCCATGACGGTGTTTTCCCGCATGTTTGCAAACTGCTGCAACCCAGCAGCACTGTAGTAATATTAATTATTCAGCACCTTTCTGGGTTATTAAGTTAAATGTTATTGATGATATAACATCATCGAATGACTTATATTTCCTATATTAGTTAGTTTACATTCTTCATTTGTTTACCTCGCCTTTATAAACGCGAGTTGTATTGGTAGTTTCGTTGAATCAGATATTTCTATGGAGGATCGAAATTTTATGGTTGACAGAGCTAAACTTGGTGTGATGTATTTCCCATCACCAATCGTGTTTGGCTGGTCAAAACAGACGGGCGGAAAAATATATGAAGGGCTGCCTGCATACGTAAGTACCGATTTTGCATTGTCAGCTTCACACCACCCAATAATCGTACCTGTTTAAATTTCTGAGCAGCGGGAGCCAAAGCTGTTACTAATCAAAATTTCATCAAATGAAGCTAGCCTCGCTTAGTTTAGTGTGAAAATTGAGAAAATCAATGAACGAGCTGTTTGTGAATCTGATACTGCAAACTTCTATACCTGATCCGAGGGGTCTGTTTCAGGCCGTGAAGCGATCGTTGCAGACGGCAGACGTATGTATATATCCTTCTGTCGACTAAAGTGGGCCAATATACTGTACCCAATCACTCACCGCCCGATATCACTCAACGCCCAATTTTCAGGTCAACCAGGAGAGTAGAAATGAAGCTATACTGCCACAACGAAACGATCAAATGATTAGATATTTTGGCGGAGCAGAATGTAATATACACAGAAGTATATAGCTAATTTTTGGTGTTGCGGAATCGCTGGGGAAGCCGTGTTTGCCTTCCACTTCTTCCACATTTTTATTAATTAATATCTTCCTTTTCCTTTGCTGTAGCAGGTCCTGTAGCCTTCTTCTGATCTTTACTGGCCTGTTTGATGTCATTTTGAAGTTGTATATCAGCTTGTTTTGCGGCCTTCTCCTCTTCTTTCCGGCTTCTCTTTTCCTCTGCTTCCCGTATCTACGCACTTTTATTAAAAGCCCTTATTCTCTTCGTTCTTCAATCAAGCGTTGTTTCTCTTCCTTCTCCTGCTGCCGACGTATCTTATCCTCCTCTTTAGCAGCTTTAGCGAGCCGTGTATCTTCTTCCTTCTCAGCTTGAAGGTTGCGTGCCTGTTGAATCTTTTTTGGGCTATAAACGACTGCATTACCATCTTCTGGAGCCTGAAGTTGAAGCTGTAAAGGCTTTCCACGCTGTCGCTTCTTCTGCTCATTCTATAGAGCTTTTTTCAGCCCTAAATTCTGCAATTTGAGAAGAATATTCTCTGTAGAAAGATGCAGTATTGAATCATTTAGTTTCTGGACATCTTTGGGGTAAATATCAGAAACAAACTTTCTTAAGAAGCTTCTCAACGCGACGCCAGTCTTCTGCCTTTAAAATAGATTGTGAGGACTCGCTAGAAGAAGGTATTTCTTCTTCTTTCCTGGTAAAGCGTGTCAAAACAATCTCCGGATCTCAAGGATGTAAACCAACGATTTCCATGCACTGTTGATATTTTTGATTGAAAAAGCCTTATTCCAGCTTGACCAAAACAGTCTGAAGAAATCCCGCTTTGTAATATGGCTTAATCCTTGACATTCGTGCATAAATTGCTCCAGTTCATCATTATATGCATAAGAAAGAGGACTAAAAAGGCTGACATCAAGAGGCCGCAAACTGTGTGTTGAATGAGGTGGGTAAATAGCTAGAAGGATCCTATTTGCATCACAGAAGTTAATAAACTTCATGGAAATATGGGAGCCGTGGCCATCAAGAATTAGAAGTCATCAACGCCTTCGTGGCTTTACTTTTGTTTCGCGATCAAATAAAGTAGTAAGTCATGCATATCCCAGCCCATCACTTGTCCAGCGACTAGGTGATGATGTGAAGAAGCAGTGGTGGTTATTAGGATTAAAATCCTGCAGCGATGTACAGTATCTTGGATTTTCCCGATCCGCACAAATACAAGCAATTGTAGTAATCCACTCTCTATTTCCATCCTGCAGGCGTTGTTTGAGCACTCCCTGCTCATATAATTGTCGTGAAAAATTCTTTTTACCTTTTGATAGTACACCGATAAGAAATCCTTTCTCATCCATATTGTACATATCTTCAGGTTGAATCTTATATTCCTCAATCTTTCTGACCATAAGTTCGAAATATAGTGCATATTTATATGCAGAATCAGCCCGCTTGTGTGAAGAATCAATCCCAGTAGTGTAGCAAGAAATAAGCTGATCTTTATATCTTTTAAGAAGCGGTTTGGCCAGCATACTCCAGGCTTATTTCCAGTGATTTCCTTGGCAAAGTTTTGCAACATTGATGAAGATGGTGGTAGGCACACTCAGCGAGAGTATTAATCGATTTAATAAGCTCTTTGGCTGCTGGTTGTTGAGAACTTGCCGATTTTCACACTCTACTTTGCGAGAGCTCTGTATACCGCGGTGATGTCTTGATAGAGTTGACCGGTCAACAACATGCTTTTTCGCAAATTTTGTATAATTGATCTTCTGGGCCCAGGGATTCTATATATGCAATTGCTTCTTCAATTGAGCCTATTTTGAAGGTGTTGTGGTCTATCTAAAACGTCGGTGTGTAGATGAATATTGGGCATTGAGACCAAGGCCGAAGCAGGCAGGCGCTGGAGGATTCTAATCTTAGATGGCTACGGTTCTCATGTTACCATGAAGTTCTTGAACTATTGTGAAGCTAGTATGACTCTTGTGGCCACTTATCCGCCTTATTCTGCTCATTCCTTGCAACCACTAGATGTTGGTATCTTGGGCCGCTTGTAACTGCTTATAGCAAGATTTTGGAGGCTTATCTGAAAGAATGCCAGGGCCTAAGCTCTATTACGAAGTGGGACTTCTTTAGGCTATTCTCGCCTGCCTGGAAGAAGGCCTTATCTGCAAGAAATATTGAAAATGCATGGAGATCGGTTGGCTTATGGGGTTTTAATCCTGAAGTTGTATCTACCCGTTTTAAAAAAAGTAGAGGACCAACGGCCCTCTTCCAGTGGCTCTTCTAGGTCTTTTTACATGCAGAAGATTGGAGAAAGATCGAGCGGCTTATTAGAGAGATTTTGCAGATATTAGAGATGAAAACACTAAGCTGTTAAGCTGTACCATGCACCACCTCTCTACAGAGAATATCTTTCTTAAAATGGAGAATGCAGGCCTCAGAAAGACATGTGAGTGTGAGAAGAAGCGCCGCCAGCATGGAAGACCTGCAATTTGAAATCCAGGCCCCTGAGGGTGGTGGTACAGTCTTTTACTCTCCAGGGAAGGTCCATCAGGTTCGGCAGCTTCACCAGGAGAAGGCTCTACAAATACAGCTTGCTAAGGCCTCAAAAAAAAGGAAGTGAAGCTACGCCATCAACAGGCAAAGGAAGGGAAACAACGAAAGTTGCAAGAACGGAAGGATATAAGGGCCTCTGCACGAGAAGCCCGCCTCCGGAGGCAAAGGAAAAAAAGCGCCAAAAGGAGGAGTGCCTGGCCAAGGAAGCATCTGTACAGCTTCAAAATGACTTCAAAACGACCAGAATAGGCAAGAAGAAGTCCCCAGTAACATCAAAATCGAAGAACCAAGAAGTTGTTGCTGCCCCAGCGCCTGAAGTTGTTGATGAGGCCCCTCCTACTAGAAACTGTCGAGGTGAGCAGATCCGGCTACTACAGCGCTTTCGGAACTAAATAAATAGTTGTATAGGCATATTAGGTGTTCAATTTTATTACTTTAAAAGATCTCTGTATAATTCTAATTGTATGTGGCTCTAAATCTTCATTTTCAACGTGGTATTTCGGGTGGAAGGTGTATTGGGTGGTAGGCGGCAAAGTACGTTTGTACGTTATTATTCAGCATCCGCTTGGTCCGACTACAGATAGAGACCTGTTAGATTTTCTGGGGAATCTGAAGTCGTTCTATTCAGAAGGATTGTCCGCCCAACCCCTCTATGAGGAGTATTGGGTATATATGTTCACATGATGTCCCAATCTGGACTAGTTATTCTGACAAGACCTTAAGAGATCTTATTCTTTTCAATCCAGATCCATATTCTTATATGATCGGTGATACTAGCTTATACGCGTATTCAGCTGACCGATACTTCCCTACTTCTTGTCTGTATTCGAAAAGCTGGACGGAGGTGTAAAATTGGCGCCGAACAGAACACTAAGCGCTTTCTGCTGCTCACCCGTGAGGAGCTAAATTTGTCGACGGTCACCGTGAGCTACAGTGCAGCTGTCAGCGTTCAAAGTATCGCAGTTTGTCATCTGAGCTTCGTAACCGGGGTTTTGAAGAAGAGCTCCGGCCACCGGTCGTTCCAGTTACCGAGCTTGCAGCCGTTTGCTTCGCCACCGAAAGTGCAGATCCGGTGCGTCTCGTCCGTGAGCGACACTATGAACTGATCCACCTTGATACTGATCGTGGCGAACTTGCCCCTATACTCCTGAGGGTAGACGTGGTGTAGCTGCGTGCGCTCCCAGGTAACGGCCAACAGGTTGCGCATTGTCGTTTCGCCTTCGGCGGCGCCGCCTCCGTAGCTGGGATAGGCGGCGTTCCAGCCAAGTCGGCTCGGATGTTTTTGATCCTGGTATGGCGGAGCTTCATCCGGTGCTCACTCTGTTCCTTCAGCGTCTTCTGGATCGTCTTGGTGACCCCAAGCCTGCTGTTTTGTCCACATATCCCATTTGGTTCTTGACTTTCACGAGACCAGATGGATCGGAATACCCTGTGGGTTTGCAGCTCATCCAGCTACCGAGCCAGGGCGCGTAATATCGTGCACCCAAGTAATAAAGCCCGCCCTCTTTGTCTCGCTCTTGCTTGCCCAGCGGAACCGCTTTGGCCTCTGCGGGTCCTGCATCTGAAAGGTGTGCTGCCGTAGGGAGAGTATTCCTCGTACGAGACCAAGACTCCGTCCTTGTCCACTTCGACAGCGACCGCATCGAGGTGGGTCGCTAATCTGATACCGGGCAGGCCGGTAGAGATGATCACCACCAGTCCAATCTTTAACTAGTGCGATCCGGCCGTTTGACCCGTGAACGTGGAATGTCTCTCTTTGTGAAGATATCGCCACTCTGTCGCCGGCGTACTTGCGGAACAGTTCGTAGTCCCCCAGATAGACCCACTCCTTGAACTTCCTCGGGGACGTTGCCGTAGCGCCTTCGCTCTCCTGTCGCTCGGTTATCTTACGAATCCTCGTCCCGCGGCTATCGTAGACGCACCACGTACGCTCCGGCGTCGCGCCGACGTCATCCCTCACGACTTGCCGGCTGGTTGTCTGGAGCTGCTGCAGCGCGTTCCAGTCCATGCGCGCGAGGTGCGGCATCGACGTCAGACCTAAACTCGCCGCCCTCCCAGTCGTAGCCGTAGTTTTCAGTCAAGGAACCCACCCGGGCGCTGTTGAGCTCACACAGTACGCCCTGGTCCAGGATTGGCCCCGTCGTCGGCGGTGCGGTTCTGGACGGAGAGAAAGTTGTGGGCGGAGTCGTACTTTTAAGTCTCGACGTAGCGGCTTACGGCGATACCCTCCCTCGGCGCATCTGATGCAGCTTTAAACATCTGGAAGGCTCCTAAAGCGTTCGGACCGCTGCTCCCGCCCTGCAGATCGTTTCCCTTGCCTAGCTGTTCGCGGCCTGAAGATTCGATGAGGCGGTACGTGGGATTGTAGGTATACTCGACATCCGGGTTGACCACGCTGTTGCGAAGAAGACGTTCTGTTGCCGGATGGGTCGTATGCATACTCGGGACGCTGGACTTTAGAAGAGGCCCTTTGGTTTGGTGAGACAGAGTCCGGCGGATTGTCAACTGCAGTGTAACAGCATCGAATTCGTTTATCGTACGGTGGCCGTTGCCGAAGTAGACTGTCGTTGCATACGAGAGCTCGTTATAGTCTACGCCGGCGACATACGTTTCCCACAAGAGATCTCCGGCTGCCCTCTTCTCGCCTCTGACATTTGCCTCGATCGTCTCCGGAAGTCCGGCGTCGTTGTAAGTATAGCGCAAGATATACTTCTGTCCGGACTCCGGGAGCAGGTGACCTGGCCGAGAGCATTTTTGCGTCCCCTCAGTGTCTAATGTCCGGGTCCAGCACGATGCGTCCCGCGTCGTTCCAGTCCAGAGTTGAACTGTACGCGAACGCAAGCTGCCTCTGTGGGTGACTAGGGCACTTGTGAAGTCGTAGTCGAAATTCGTTTCAGTACCTGCCTGGTCGTATATTTGGAAGAGCTGACCTCTCCAGTTCCACTTCTCCGGCTCTGATTCGCTCTCTCCGTAGGTCCGCAACTCGAACAAAACCTCGCTCTTTGTACCCTCGAGCAAGAACTTCTTCGTCTCTCGACCTAAAGCGTCGTACTCCTTTCGCCACTGCTGTCCTGGCTATGCTAAAATAGCACCAAGCTACCCGTGATATCGTAAAGCGTCCAAGAGCTCGAGGTGTTCATAGTCTCCTCTAGAGCGTCATTGCCGCTTTGTCGTACCTTTTCCGCTCAACTAGGCGACCCTTTGCGCCTCGCGTCTCTCGTGATAGCCCTTTCGCATCCATCGAACACGCGGTACGCGGTAAACTCTTCATCACCATCCTTGGTCAAGAGGAACACATTCCCATCGCTCTGCCGCTTCTCTAATCGTTCTATGGGTAGATATTCGCTGTCTGCCAGCCTCGAAAAGTAGCCGCCCACATCCGTGTCATGCTTCGGGTCCATGAGCATTGTATCGTTGGCGTCAAATGTTTTCGTCGCCCATGAACTGTACATCACTTTGGACCACGTGTTGTTCGGCATCGCTGACGCCGGCTCTATGGTCGACCTGGAAAGCGTGCGTGCCGTCGAAAAAGGGGTTGAAGACGAGCAGGGCATTTTGCCCTTGTTGTTGAGCACTTTTCAAGCGCTACCGACCCAACGGGGGTCAGCGGCGTCTCCGGTTACACTCAGCGATGGCCTTGGTTTGGATGGCACGGCCAAGACCGTCAAAGTGGCTGAAGAAGATTATAATCTTTGTCTTGGACCCCTCGGCGATTTTGTGCACGTGTGTGACCCTGCTGAGTGATGTAGCGTAGATCGGTGTGATGCCCCTTTTCCCTTGGAATACTACTCTAGATCGTAGATGTAACGGACCGTAGCGCCCTTGAGCAGATCTGCAGAGTGTTCTAGGGGTCCACGGCAAAATCTGCTCTTTCGTGCTCTGCCAGCTCTGGTGGATGTCTTGTAGTGAGTCGCTAATTTGCTCGTTCGCTTTTTCCGTGACTGAGCTGGCGATCAGTCGCTTGAGACAGCCGTACTTGTAAGCCGAGCGGTTCCCATTCGGGTCCGTCTCGAGCACCAGCTTCATGATGTGGTAGCTGTGCACATAACTTGGGACATTCCCAAGCGCATCGGTGCTGCTCTTGAAGGTCAGGAGGTGACTGTCGAGCTCAATTCGTGCAAACGAGAACCCATAAGGATCGGTGATCCGGAGCGGTGTGAGGAAGTGGCTTGGGCAGATCCGGGTGCGGCGGACGGCGTCGCAGTTGGGTCGGCATAGAAGTGTATCTGTTGCTAAACAGCTCCCTGTAGCTCTACAGAAGCTGTATTGCCTTTGTAATCGATCTTTCCCCAGTCAATAGAAAGACACTGGCGTTGGAAAAATTGCAACTCGTCCAGGCTCGACTTGAAGCCAGTAGATAGATTGATAGTCTAGGAGAGCAATCGCAGGGCATTCTGCGCAAGGACAATGGTACCGTGCGCAAGCAAAGCGCTGAGTGGGAAAAGTTGGCAGGGACTCTGTTGAGTCGAATAGGAGCGCTCTGCTAACCCGCCGCTGTCGGAGCGCGCAAGCTGTACACCTGTCCGTTCTGGAGACGGAGCTGGTTTGACGTCCAGCCACCTGCGCCTTTGTCGAAAATGAGGGCGCTGCGTCTAAGGTCACCTTGGTGCTGAATGCCAAGGCCGTGTCTGGCAGTAGAAGCGGTACAAGTCTGCAGACGTGAGACTGAAGAATACATCTGACGAGTCTTTCCCGAGAGCAATCTCGTTGGAAGCTGCGAGGACCCTCAGGATATCCAGTAGATATCCAGTATGGGCTTTCGGGTTGGAGACTTGTCCTGCGACTCAGGTCCACGGACGGTCCTCAGCAAGGGCTCAGCACAGCAATATTCAAGTCTGGGAAAAGGGGCGTGAGGGATTCTAGAACAGTATCACTGGCTAGCCGAGTTTGAAGTGGCCCTATGATGTGTTGCAAGAAGAACACGCGCCGGGCATTCAGCGTCTCTTCGTGTGCACTATCCCTCTCCTTGTTCTGGTACACGGTTGAGTCCTCGGTCAAGGGTGTCCCGGGAAGCACGAAGGATATAAGTTCAGAAAGGCGTGAGCAACTTCGTCATTGCGTGAAGGCTGCAATCTGGTAAACTTCCTCTCGATAAATGCTGTGGTTAGCCGTGCGGCCAGAGGATCGAATAGTTCAGCCAAAGCGGCTGCGGCGTCAGATGGCGAAGGCGTTGTATTGTCCTTATCGACTGCTGGCAACGCCTCCTTGCTGCTTTGATGTTGACCATGATTTCCGACGCGGCGCATGCCGCTTGCTGGGGCGAGAGCTCCGAGTCTACATCCTCGCACGCAAGGCTTCTTCGTTGCCGGTGAGGAAACGCAAGCTAGTCTAAGCTTAGGGCGGCATACGCACACTGCTGGAACCGTTTGATGATGTCGAGTGCAGTCTGGGGGCTCACAAAAGCGGAATTGTTCGGATCCACAACGCCTGGAACGCTTCAAAGTGGGCCAATTCCATCGCGGGTATGTGACAGAAGACGGATATGTGGTACATAGCAGTCACCTTGGCCAGGTCAAGCTTGTTGTTGTCAATCTTCACAGCAGCGACCGTCGCCGAGAAGCCCTCCTCAGTCGGCCTGCATATCATTAGCAGTGGTGTATGGTTCGCCTTCAGGCTTGCGTCGGCGCCGGTTTTGCCTTTCAGGAAGAGCCGTGCGCAGCGCGACTTGTCCCTATTCGTGTCCATGAGGCCCTAGAGCGGCATCAGCTTGAGGATCTCAATGCCCGTGAGAGTCGATATGCACTGCACTGCCGCCATTGTAGTGACGGTCTGCGCTACGACACTCATGCCGTTCATTGCGTCGCCAGCGCCAAAGAATGACAATGCAGTCGAGATCTTGCAACGTCCCACCAGGTCTTGCGCCAGAGCCGGATGCACGACTGCAAAAGCCTATAATCCGGCTCCGTCAGCGGAGCGCCTACTTTGTCCTTAGTCAGGTAACGCAGTCTCAGGTCCTCGAGCTTTCCAGAAAAGGTGGGCGACCAGTCCGGGCCTCGAGCACGAGCCGGCCCTGGAGAGTCTCGCCCCCTGAGAAGCTCCAGTGCTCGACCGTCATGCACGCCTGGCGGAGCAACTGGGCCTTTACGAACGGCCGCCTCTCCTCTTTCTCCTTGGACAGCATAAGCTGGTCTGCCGTCTGTCCGTCAGCCGTCTCGTAGCACCAGTACTGCCCCGTGCCTAACCGTTCTATCTTTTGTATGTACGCCTCGTCTTACATGCTCAGGTCGTATATCGCCTTAAAGAAATTGGGAGGGACGATGGAGGAGCTTGGGGTTGTACGTAAGTTGCGGGGACAGCCTAAAATACTCTGCCGCACACGCGCTCTCCAACACGCTTTTGGCTATTCTGAGAAAATAAGGGTCAGGAGGTGTGACTCTATCCTTTGCTGCCAGAAACAGCCGAGACTCTGAATCAAACAGCGCCCACCACCTCTGAGAGCCATGTGTTGAGAGGTGCGAAGAAGAGGCACTGGAGATCGAGCGCCTGGCTGTAAGGAACACGGTGAGAGGAAACGTCTGGGCGGCAATCTGATCATGGTAGATGCCTTGGTCTGTCATACTGAACCCCTGGATCGGTACTGGCGATGGCGGGACAAGGCTGCCGACGTTTTTGACGAAGGACTCCATCACCCCATTGGCGAGGTCGATGTACGGGATCAAGGACAGCTGCAGAGTCCACAGGCCCGGTCGTGCAGCAAGCTTGTCAAAGAGACTTGGAGAGGTTGGCTTGGTGGAATTTCTAGGGGTGTTTTAAGCATCCGGAGGTCAACGTAATAGGCCGCCGGACTGGTGACAGAGTTGCTGTCGTCACAGGCTTCAATCGTGACATCGCCAAAGATCTTCGAGTAGCTCGTCACCTGCTTCGAGGGAGCTACAGCCGGTGCCGCCAAAGAAGTTGACGGAGCTGGATCTCAAGGCGTCGAGCGAGACGTCGTTTCTAGACGCCAGGAGCGCCGTCCATCCTGCTTGCTCGTTGCGCATGTCCACGAGCGTGGCGTGCTCGTGGACGAAGGCCTTGAGCGCTCGATGTCGGTGTTCTCCCCAGCACTCGGTACTTCAGCCATGGCGAGCAACTGTCTGTCGAGTCCTGACCTATGTTGAACCCTTTCGGAACGGCCGTATCGAGCAGCTTGACCACCGCCGTCTTGATTTCCGCCGGTGTTACGCTGACCTGTCCAGCCGACACCAAGCTGTGTAGATGGTCGCTGTCGGCTACTCGGCAAACAGCCTTACCTGGAACTCCTGAACGCCGGCTCCAGCGCGACTGAGAAGAATGCTGTAACACCGTGCAACATGTGAGATGGACAAGACCTCTTTCTGTTCCCAGAACAGGCTGGCTAGCTCAACATGACCAGCAGTAGCTCTGTCCAATGCTGCGATGAGGGCGAGTCAGCTTTGCGACTTGGAGGAGTTGCCGGCACTTGTGCCAATAGCATCAATGGCCTGAGAAATACTTCTGGTGCCGTAGAGAGCGGCGAAGAGTCTGATGTCGTCCTGTACGAGACCTTGCAGGAGCTTCTTGGCCTCCTTCGGCTGTTGTGGGACTATTGTCTGTGACCGAGTCATCAGAGGCTGTGAGCACCGTCGAGGCGAGAGACGCTTCTAGGGCTCTCAAGGGCTCTTTTACGCGAGGAGGAGTATGCCACGGACGGCACTGCCGCCACTCACCGTGCATATTAGATCAAAGATTATGGTGTCAGCGTCAAGATTCTCCAACAGCATGGCATCAGCGACGTCGCCTTATGCCAGATGTACCAGCGAGAGCAGATTGCGTACCTCTCGGAGGGGCCTCTGGATGACCAGCGTATCCAGCAGACATCACCCTCAAGATGGATGACTACGACAACATTCTCAGTTCGGTTCAAATATACGGGCGATCGGCGGGGAAGTCACCGCTCGATGGAGAGCCTGAGAAATTGCAGGAGACCATGCGCATAGCGCTTGACATGTTGTACACCAGCGCTGTGGAGGACAGTCTTGAGTACCATACGCCGCTGCAAAATTCTGCGGCCAAGTTTGAGCTTTTGGTATCGCCATCAAGGACGGCCAAGTGATGTACCAGCCCGACGATTTCATTCTTCGCCAGTTCAGCGAGGTGCCTTCCGAAGGTCCAATCGCCGACGATGCCCTTACAAAGCGCGTCATGGCCAAAAGCCTCGCCTTGTTCCCGCAAGAACGATCCGACCGGCATGTTGGACCAAGACGAGCTAGACTTCAGGGCATTGGAGGGCATATCGTACACGCTCTCTCTGACGCCGGAACTCCTTGCAAAGTATCAGCGCGCTGGCAAAGCCTTGATCCCAGACAAAGCAAATATCCTGGGCAAAACTTACAAGTACGAGAACCTGCATGGTGACGGGAGCCGGTGGCTACCGACAGCCTGCATTTATGCTGGGCTTCCTGAAATGGCGCGTTGCGCTGGTGAACTACCTCCTATAGGGTCGATACATTTCGGGCAGAGGCATCACAGACGCGGACGGGATATTCGAGTTCCTCCTCATCGACGTGCAGATTGGGGTGTGTCTGCAGGAGTCACGCATCAGGCAGGCCGTCTCCACGGTGCAGCTCTACTTGCGAAGGTGCACCCTCAGGCTGGGGAAGGTGGAGCAGGTCGCGAGAAATACGGTCAACATGGACCGTTACAGGCTGTGGGAGGTGAACCGCAGGGTCTTCCTCCACCTGACTGGCACAACCATGCGCGACGACAAGACCGAGGTGTTCAGGCTGCTCTCGTCAGACATCCTGCAGAACGACCTCAACAGCGCCAAAGTGGTCGGTTTAGTCAAAGGCTACGTGTATGGCATCGACACGATAACCGACCTTGACGTGCAGGTCTACCTGTGGAAGAATGTCGAGAACTGGAGCGGCATGTTCCACTTCTTCACCCGTACGAGGGCCGCACCGTACATCGACTACTATCACACGCTCGACATTGTGCCGAGTCCCATGGGCAGGGGATCAAGATGTACTGGCAGCCCTGGACCAAGATTGATGTCGAGCTCCCGGTGCACGAGGTCGGCGCCGACGACAACCCCCGCCCAAGTCGGGATCGCACCTGATTCCCGCGTTATACAGAGAATGTGTGTTTCTCTTCTTCACCCAGATCACCCTCAAGACAGCTCCCAACGGCGCAACCAAGGACAAGGCGATCAATGATATTAGCAACGAGAAGCCAGACGCCTCCATGGCGTCAAAGTACTGGCAAGTTCAGATCGGCTAGACCGAGCACCGCAATGGCCACCAAAGCAGATATTGCAGACCACTCTAGATGTCAGAAGTGCCCAGAGCACCGACTTCCTAATTCAGGGGCACGCTTCCGGCGAAGGCTGTCTAGGTCGAGACAGAGAATCTCCCAGACGTATTCTCGCTCAAATTCTGGATCCGGTCTACGCCAAGCTCCTCGCCCCTCCTGCTGGATCAAGCAGGGCGGCGGCGCCTTCGCCATTGCCAAGCAATGTTCCCGCACCGAGTACCAGTATTTTTGTCATCGATGTGGAGCGCTGGATCAATGCAGGGGAAGGCCAGCAGCCTCGGTACCTCAACTATCCGCTAGGAGGTGGTAAGTCTGTCTGCCTAGTGGACAAAAATACAGTACTACGTCGTAACAATACATCGGTCATGTTCGACACGACAATTAAATAAGAAACTGATTGGTATTCCGTCCCCCGTTTACCACCAGGGGAGGCCTACGACAAATAATTATATGCAGCATAAACAACGAGGACTAAAATCGAGTAAACCAATTTACCGGTCCATTATATTCGTTTACAAACCCCTATTCTGTCGCATGCACAAATCCTATAATGACCAAGAGCTAAGAAGCTGCGTCTCGCCTGCAGGAGTTGTCCAGGAATCTTCAAAATCGCATATTTTTTCCCCTCCACAACAATCCCATACCCTAGTAAAGCCTGACAACAGTTTGATACCAGTGTTTGACTAATCATTATGGAGCTTGTCTAGAGCTGGTCGTATCACTTGTCCTCTCGCAGAACATTTAAGGAGAGCCTAGCATGCATTATGGTCATTTTGATCCAATCATGGAGAGGGATTGCCGCAATTCTGACTACGACTGTGAGTGTCGCTCATACCGTGAATTTACGTGTCTCACACGCATATATAGGAGCTAGGGTCTCCCATGCGTTTCAAATAGATTCGAATGCTTTAGGGAGAGCTACTCTGTAATTCGAGAAAGAGATCCAGCACGGGTATATTATCCTGCTAAAAACACCTACTTCCTGTTTTGAGGTTCTTACTTGCACTAAAATCATGAAATATAACGATATCATGAAGATTAATACGAAAATAGTATTTTGGGTGGCATGCGAGGGCATAGGCTAGCTTCCAACTTCTCACTCACCGTAGCCTTTCTCCAAAATTGAATTATCATCACACGCTAGCCACAACCTAACTGGAGATCAAAGTTGGTGACGACAATGTCACGTAATGATGGGAACAGATTAATGTAAGATACACTCGTAGTAGTAGTAGTAGTATTCATACGCTAAACCCTCGCCTTCGGCGTTATGCAGGTAAACTAACTATAGTTATCTCTGTACTGTATGTATCTAGTTATAGGACTATTACTTAACACGAACTTAGCCTCAAGGCCTGTGGTGGCCCTTTTGCCTTGGTGTTATGCTATGCGGCCCCTCTAGACCGCGGCTTCACAATTCCCTTTAAAGAAACAAAGAGAAACAGAACAAAACCAAACCAAAACACAAAAGAAGGAAAAATAGGAAAGCCTCAGAGGCATTTCCAGCAACCTTTTTGGCCCCATTCCTAGGGAGTAATTCGTAATTGCTATTGAAATAAGACACATTATAGTGACTGGTTTAGCTGTAGGTCACTCAAGACCTAGTGTAGATGTCGCGATAGACCCAGACAGCGGAGGTCTAGTCATCTCCCACTAACGATTATAGTGATAATCATTGAGTTGATCTTAGCGAGATAAGGCAACCAGGTAAGCCTTAGTTATTCTTCATTGTCGCTGGTACGGTTGGGTGGAGGCAAAAGCGCATCCGTTAAATTCAAGCCTGTGGACTATCGGCAACAGGGTAAGCCACAGAACAGATCTATTCGCCGTATAGGCAAAAGACCAGCAGACTTCTTCAGTTCACCAATTGTAGCGAGGCAAGATGGGAACACAGCATCTTGGCTATTCATCTTTGTTTGTTGTTGGCTGCTTGTCAGGACTTTCACGAACGCGTCGGGTTCGCGTTCAGCCATCTCAGACCACCACTTGGTTTCCTCAAGCGGCACCACCATGAATTGCTTGAGTACTGTACTCGTCCCCAGCACCACAAAGAGGTGTTTGCCCATCGCTGGGGCTGTACATACATAGTAATAGTCTGCTCCCCCAGTCTTAACTTCTCCCACTCACTCAGCTAAAATCATTTTCCTGCGCAATCCGATTTCCGTACCTATTCATGTTCCATCTTTAAATGCCAGTTGCTACACCTTCGTTTGTTTCCACGACACCGGAGTTAAGATCGTATTTTGAAAATGAGAATTATCTCACAAAGGGGAAGTCGAAACCTAACAGTCGCTCACAGACTTTGATCTACCATAAATGGTGGATTAAAGTGACATTCAATGGCGCAGTTTTCCATGTGAGTAATTCCCAAGTCAAAACGCGAACGACGCGAAGAATACCAAGGTTTTACCAGATGAAAGATTTTAAATCACTCCCTCTACTCGATGATACCGTGACAGAATGAATTTTGGAAGAATCTCCGGAGTTAGTGGGCCTTATCAAGGCGAAGAGTGAACCAACGAATGCAACAACAGGTTTATAATAATCGCCAGCAAGATGCGATACACGATTCAGGAAGACCCACCAATGGTCATGTATGCATTATGCCTCGACTTTCATTCCTTCCGGGCAGTCCACTCGGAACTGATGTGTACGATGTAGAGATTACTGATGGAGTGTTCAAAGTTTCCCTTGACAGCGAAAAGATTCCATACATACTAAAGGTCATTAATCGACCTCGTTATCAACCTCAGGACATGGACTTCATACGAAAGGAGCTGGAAAATTTCGAACCTTTCAGGGTATTCCCAGCATTGTACAGTACAAGCCTGCAATCGATGGCTAATAATAGGAAACGCCGAGTGAGGTTGTATTTAGCGGACAGCACACTTCACTTATGACCATGGGGGGTCTCTTTTATTATCAACTTTATCCGGGACCAGTATACTTAAACCCGCGTTAATAATGCCCGCATCAAACTCACAATGTCTAAACCTCTGCGGCTTCGATGCCAGCAAGAAAGTCGCACTATCTTCTCTTCCTGCCGAGATTCTCCTCATGTTCATCAGGCTGCTATCCCCACGGGATATTCGCAGCCTATCATTGTGCAGTAAGAGGTGGCGGATTTTCACTCTACCAAGTGTATATTGCCATATTACGCTGTACTTCTCGAGTAAAAGTCTGAACAATTTTCAGTCACTAATAGCTTCGTCGCACGGGCAACACATTCGGCATATCACCTACGTCGCCCCCTTCCTCACCAAGCCAAAAACTAGCGTGAACTCAATTTTTCCGCATCCACGTGAGTGGAATTTCAACTTGTAGATAGTTGCCCGCTAATATTTCTAGGGACGTTATGGTCCCAATGCCCAAGTTATCTTCACCTCACAGAGCAGCACCAAGCCCAACTGTCTGCTGGTATTGAGGTTGCTTTACAAAAGGCGGCTCTGTCATTCCCCAGCATAGACTCATTTTCAATGAGGCTGGAGCTATTGTATATCCCGTTTTGCCGTCGGTTTGACACTGATATCTTGTTTTCAGAATCCATCGCGCAGCATCTACGGTCGGTCCTGCCTATGCTGAGTAGTCGCAATCCCCCATTTGGAGAACTTGATTTGGACGTATTCCTCTCCGATAATACCAAGATTGACTCAGTCGATCCTTATGACACAATATTTCAAGGATTGGAAAATATTTTCAACCAAACTAAAACACTTCGACTGCGGGGCCAAAGTCGATTTTGGGAACCCATACTGGATCGTGTCAGCTTGCGGTCGGTGACTTTGCTTGAATTGAATGATTGCACATTTACCTTTCGAGCACTGATAGACTTCCTAAACCGTATCAAGCAGCGGCCGATGACAGTCAAGCTAGACGCAGTTCATGTTCTTTCAATTGTAAACCTGGGCAGTGAGAAGATATTGGGTTCACCATCTGAGGTTCACAGAAAATTGCATCTAGATCTTCAACAAGTACTAATGTCGAAAAATCAGAAAGAAGAGTACGTCTCACTCTAACTAGCATACGCACTAAGTTACAGGTGATACAGATATCTTTGTTGTCCCCCCAGGTCCCAGGCCGTGTCCAATATTGTCCGACGTATTCTTGTGTAAGACAGGGCATCGAAATGATATGTTTTTACGCACATGTACCGTATGTATAGACTGATTCCGGCTCTCTGCATGAAGAGTTCATATTTTCCCCGTGTGTGAATAGTCAAAAATAGGCCCATTGATCTTGAGAATTATGTGGTCCTTACTCTCTTGGGTGTAGCATCACACGCAGTACAATGTCGTGTGACAGAATCACAGAATATATAGAGAGTTGCCGTGGGGGGGATTCTGAAAACAATGCATTCTTATATGTTGTAACCAGATGAAGATTGCACTATTGTTATTCTGATCTGAAAATTTCATAGTCTGTACACAAGTTAATCATGTTGGCTTCGAGTCATTCTGATCCTATACGGAATTTATTCTGTGCACGTGTTAGCTCAGGATCTGAATTATACCAGTAGACCATAAAGGCCGCTATGTATGTCTGATCCCCATGGGGTCAGACGGTCCTGAGCGACTTATATAGTAGCACACTGCAACGTTAGGCCGCACCCACACGCACCTAACAGTACGATACTCTACGGTGGTTGGTTGGTTTGTTGTTTCATTTACCCTGATCTTCGAAATTAAATAATATGCAGGCTTCCACAGCAAAAACTATCCATTTATTACGGGCGAACTTCATGCCTCGCCTAGGGTCCTGTGGTGGCCATTGTTTTTGATTGTGGTGTTGCGGTCTCCTTCGGTCCAGGGTTTTTACTTTAATTTACCTCCAGAAATTAGCAAAGAGTGGCCGATAACGCCCTCGAATTCTTGCTGTGAGTCCATGCGGATAAACAAGTGACGGCTAGCTTCACATTTAATATCTGGCAAAATCCCCATAAACACTGGTAGTGCCGAGAGTAGAGATTTGATAGCGTGATTCTTGCTGCGGGGGTTAGTGGATGCTGTGGTGTAATCAGGAATTGATTAGGATTATTGCCTCAAACGGAGAGGGTTTGCTATGAAAATGACTGTTTGTCTATAATGAGAGTGCGTGGTGCAATAGGAGGGTCACAGCGTGCTGCACAGCCGGTGTTTTGGTACGGGTGGTGAGGATGATTTTGATCCTAGTCACAGCTGAGTTCGGGGAGGAGTCTTTACAGTAGAACCGTGGTGTACGATGATTTGGTTGGGAGGCAGTCACGTTTGATGTCTCGGGGGGGGGTTGTCCGGGTTAAGGGCCTTCCCTGGTCTCAGTGCTCCAGAAAGTGTCTTCGAGAAATTAAGCGTCTCGAAGCATGTCCTCCCATAGACAGTCCCCTTTGTGGTACTCAAGAAGTTCTTGGGCGGAGAAAGACTCCACTGGTCAAGCTTAGACACCTCAACTCTGCTGGCAAAACAGTGTATATTGTCATAATCTTCATTAGCTGGGTCGTGGTAGAATCCACACTTTCTCAGTTGCTGCAGTAATTTAGAACGTATCGGAAACGAAGCCAGGTATCAAGCACCCACCATTCAGTGATATGCGCCGCGTCACGCAGCCAGATTAGGACATCCTCCCCATAGTCCTTCTCAGGTGCTATGGTCAGTTTATCCAAGCCTAAGAGCTGTTACGCCGCCATCATGGGAAGGGACAAACCACTACTAGAAGGTGCCGAGTAAATTCCGTGCTTATGTTAATCATTTAATACACAAACATGGATCACACACTGGTCTCTCGACAACAAGCATTGTTTTATTCGAGCTGATCGTAGCGGTTGGTCACGGATGGCATTTAGACGGAATTCCAGGTGGTGAGGCCAGTGGTGTCGTTGGTGTCGTACACATGGCTCAGAGCTTTGGAGAAATGTGGCAAGCGGGGCTGACAAATCAGGTTTTCATGCTCGCAGTTGAAATCTACCATAAGGGGACACGCCGCACAAGGTGCCGACTATGCTTTTCCACGAGTAAGAGTACCGGTGGACAATTGCTTCCTTCGCTGTGATCCCGTCATATGACTTCTGCGATTTGCTACCAGTAGAACTCTCGAATCCAAAGAATGAGCCAGTTAAAATCTCCGCAGTACGAGTCAAGTTCGCTGTCTGTTCCTCGACGCTGTCAGTGATCTGTTGGATATAGTGTAACGCGGCACTGGATAACGGAGTCCTTCTGCAGCGAGAACACGTTTGTCTGTGTTCTCTCGAGTTTCATCAGAACAACATGCTTGATATTGACGCTACAACTTGCTATAATCTGGCGAGTCGAGTCAAGAAGGGACATTCTGAAGGTTGGATATATGTAATATGTCTATGTTCGGTCGAAACTAGAAAATCGCAGGAGGAGGAAGTGCGGGACAAAGCGCTGGAGTATTCTATCTGACTATTTCTCAGTAGCAGCATGTACTGTAGCATCGGGGCTCTGGTAGAACAGTAGACTCCCTATCCTCGCTTGTATTTTCTGAGTATTTTCTGAGTAGTATTCAAAGCCTATTCGCTCGTACGGCAGGGGCTTCCACGGTATTTTATAGTATACGTAGAGAATAGAGCCGCATTATTGCTACTCTATATGTGCATCTGTTTATAGTAAACTATTATTTGGCCGATGCCTGGTGTTCTGTTCTGCGGAAATGGTGGCGCGCGACTTCGAAATCTCTCACATACCTCTGCAAATTCCAGCACTTAAGATGCTACTATCTACACAACATCTTTTAATCTACCCACTTTACCTTACCCTACTCCTCCCAGCATAAAATATTATTAAACACTTTTCCAATATTTCCCCGTAGTTCTTGTTGCAGCCCACTAGCCGCGGGCAATCAATCAGTACTGTAGATCACTACCTTCCCCCAATTTCAACATACCCCGACCGTGTCAAAAGTGAAGCTTTTGAACCACATACAATTTGAATTATACAGAGATCTTTTCAGACACTGAAACTGAGGTCCTAAAAAAGTTATGCACGAATTTTAATCACTCCGAAAGCGATGTGGTGACCGGATCTGCCTTCCTCGGCGATTTACCGTGGCACAAGCCTCTCCAGCACCTGAAGTTGCTGGAACAACAATATTTTCCTAATTCTTTGCTTCTGGGGTTGCTGGAGGATTCTTCTTGCATTTTTTGGACTGTCTGAAGTTATTTTGGAGCTATATATTGGCCTCTTTGGCCAACCGATCCTCTTTCTTCAGGCGTGTCTTTTCCTCAGTTGCTTGGGCACATATCTCTTGACTAGATGCTCTGACTCTCTTCCTTTCTTCAATTAATTGTAGCTTCTCTTCCTTTCTTTTAAAGCCTTTGAAAGCTGTGTCTACTTCTCTTTTTTCTGAATGAAGATCCCGAGCTTGCTGGATTTTATTAGGAGAATAGAATACTGCATTGCCATCTTCAGGAGACCGTAATTCAAACCGTAAAGGCTTTGCACGTTGGCGTTTCTTTTAATCATTCTGGAGAGCCTTCTGCAGGCCCCTATTCTGCAGCTTAAGCAGGATATCCTCTGTGGAAAGATAATGCATCATTCGGCTCAACATTTAATGTTTTGTTCCCGGAAGTCTGCAAAAAGTTCTCTAAGAAGCTGTTCAATATTTCTCCAATCCTCTGCCTGTATAATAGGTCGAGAGAAACTGCTAGAGTAAGGTCTTTCGTCCTCTATCTTGCTAAATCATGCCAATACAACTTCAGGATTAGAAGGCCATAAACCAACAGTTCTCCACACGCTTTCAATATTTCTTGCAGATAAGGTCTTAGTCCAGCTTGTCCAGCATAGCCTAAAAAAATCCCGTTTGGTAACACAGCTTAGGCCTTGGGATTCATGAAAAAAATGCTTCCAGTTGACCTAAATAGGCTGCTGAAAGGGTCCAAAGTCACTAACATCAAGCGGCTGCAAGGAGTGCGTAGAATGAGGTGGGCAGGTACCCACAAAAGTTTTATTAGCTTTACAGTAACTTAAAAGCTTCATGGTAACGTGGGATCCGCAGCCATCAAGAATTAAAACCCTCCAACACCTTCTAGCTTTGGCCTTTGTTCCCCGGTCAAATATCTGCTGAAGCCATGCAAATCCTCGCTCATGGTTGGTCCAGTCAGAAAGTAAAGATGCAAAGAATCATTGCTGGATTGTAGCATCAAAATCTTAAATCCAGGAGTCTTGTAGTTTACCAGATACCTTTGATATATCAAACCAGGAGAAACTAAGGTCTGGTCTGCACAAATACATGCAAGTGTAGTAATCCGCTGATTACTGTCCTGTAGGCATTGTTTGAGACCTCCTTGCTCATATAATTGCCTAGAAAAGATTCTCTTACCCTTAGGAAGCAACCCAGTAAGAACTCCCTTCTCATCCATATTATATATATCCTCGTGCAGTCGTGCTGTATATTGGTTCCATGATTTTTCGGCCCAGATACTTAAAGTATAAGCATATTTAAATTTAGAATTAGCCCTCTTGTGTGCAGAATCAATACCAGTTGTATAGCAAGATATAAGGTCCTTTTTATGCCTTTCTAACGAGCGGCCAGGCCAGTTCTTTCTTGGCTTCGTTCCAGCAATTTCCTTTGCAAAATTCTGTAGCATCTCATGCGTATAAATAAAGGTCTCGCTCCTATTGCTTATCTGTAAAGACACAAACTTTGTGGCCTGCTGGTTGTTGAGGAATCACTGGTCTTCATATTGCTCCTCCCTCGACTGCTGAACTCCGCGGTGAGTCGGTGACACCTTGATAGCGTTGATCAATCAACACCTAACCGTTTTGCAATTTAAGTATAGTTAATCCGTTCTCCTGGTCCCAACTAATTGACTGCAGCTAACGTAGCTTCCATTAAAGCCATATTAAATAAGATATGGTGAATTAAACATCTGCGTTTGTAAAGTCGGTGAGTAAAGATTTTAGGCGGCAGGCGGTTCCGGGCGGCAGTTGGTGATCCACAGTAAGTCAACCACAACCACAATGACGTCAGCCTAAGGTACTGTCAAGGTATCAATCCTCAAAATGCCATGACACCTAGAGTCCTGGGAGTGCCGTGCGTAGTAGAAAGTTTACCACATCGCAAATTGCGAGGTGCGTAGATGATGCTCTGTGTTGTGAATCTACAGTAGGTCAGAGGAATTGGCATTGAATAGAGTGAACTAAGCCATTGAATTGGATGAGCGAACTTAGTATACAGGAATTTCGTCTGTGGGAAGACATACTATATAAGCGAGTACTTCGCCGATCGTGCGGGTAATCCGATCCCATATTCATAACACTCTGTGACAACTATCTGCAAGAAACCTCAGTTCCCGGATCCCCTCCAAGCCTTGTCTACATTGTCTAGTAGCATATAGAGAGATAAACTAGTGAAACAACATCGAGAGCATTCCAACATAATATTGTCAATCAGATCTATACTACACTTCTTCAGCTGAAGCAAACAACAAAGACATGGGCAGCCATATGACGAAGACTAAGTCCAAGAGCGTGATATGCCGGCTCCATTCGTTTCTCCAATTCCAGCAGGTCTCCATATCGGCTTGGTTTCTCTTCGCACCATGGGTGGTTGGTCCCATGCCGTTACAGGCGTCCGGATATTGTCATCTTTATTATGCATCACTGTAGTGGATGGCAGCTCGACGATATCAATCGAAGACGGTGGGTATCCCGCGTCTTTCAGTTGACGCATTAGGGAACGTAAACTCTCCGGGCTGTCCGGATGGATATGGATGTGGTAGTTATAATTGCAGATTTTAGTTGATTGCCTCTTTCGGTGTCGTCTGCAGGTGCCGTCCGGACCTAGATGCCGACTCCTGTGGCCGCATCGGCTGCAATTTGGGATCAGGTCCGATGGCAATGGCTTGTGAGACTTGAAAAGCATTATCTAAAACAGATTGGAAAGCCGCGGGTTTCTAGAGTCATACCCGGACACCGGTGTGTGGTATGGTACGGACAATTATATCTTCGCAGACTGCCTACGTGTGTATAAGATCGGCAGACTCTTACTTTAACAGCCGGCTTTTGGCTGCAGCTTATCACATCATAGATGAATTAAGCCATGCCATAAGCCTTGAAAACGTGTACAATAAAGTGTATTACATACATACAGTACACAGAGGGAGGGCGAGGATGCCTGCAGCAGCACTGAGTTACTCAGGACTCTATCCTTGAAACACTTTCCCGTACATAGCAATGATTTCCCCTAAGGTATGGAATATGCGTGAGCGAGCAAGCGGTGAGAGACAGAAAAAAGGAGAACCTATTGACTACAATTTCTTTCTTGGCTGTGAGGCGATATTCTTCGGCGATTCATTCGATGACCAATGTATCCGCGACCACTTCATGCGCACGCTGGAAGTCTAAAACAAGACAGTTTAACGCCCTTCGCCGTCGAAGAGCCTACAACGAAGGGCCTCCAGTTAGTAACCGAGCCCTTTACTGTGCCCTTGAACAGCGCTGCATTTCGGTTATTCTAGTGCATATTGATCAATTTTCTCACCCTAGCCCCGAGGAGTGGGAAGCTTTCATATCCAAGAACATGTGAATATCCTCCGAAGAATCGGGGTCATCATACTGTATCGTCTGGTTATATAAACAGAAAAGAGATTTACGCCCCACGAATCCGATCAGCCGCTACCAGGGTCGGCTGGCTACTCTGTGAGGCGGCTTGTACTGTCGGTAGGATCCGGTCAGATACCCAACATTGTTACAGATTCTGCGGTCCGGAGGGTAAGTCACGAGGAATTTTCAATAGATCTGGGACCTTATCATGAACACCTCATAGTAATGATGCTGATTTCTTCATTCACCTTGCCCAAAGTGCCTCCGGCTCTTTCTTTCCAACGCCACGCTTTCTCTCATGATTCATTGATACCTGATGAAGTAGTACAAGAAACGACGAATTGTTTCCCTCTAATTGTGTGAAAGCAACAAAATCATTGGAACAATATGGTGCTCAGCAAAGACAAAGGCTAGTTACTTGCATTAATTTTTGAGAACACACTGACCCTCGGAAAAACATGTGGATATGTATATTTCTCTTTCTGTATATATCCGCCATAAATTAAGCTAGAATATGGGCTGTTGAGAGCGTTCCAACACTAGACATCAATAAAATTGCCGAACGAAAATACACTAGGGACCCTTGTGGGGGAAATTTCCGTCTTCAGGATAATTTTCACCTACTGTACAAACCCTCCCGGAAGAACCTTCTTTCAGGTCTGTAATGTATCGCCTGTCGTACCCAAATATGCTACACAACCCATGGCTTTCCAGCACGCCAGCTCCGGCCCCGCAAGTGGATTGATAAGCTGACTAGCCAGTAATTATAATGGTTCGCCTTATAATCTAGGAGAATAAAGGTACGGCATACATGCAGTACCCCAGCGGACCCTTTACATAACGGTGCTGCGCCTGATGCCTCCACCCCGACAAAGCAGACTCCCGTGTGTTTGATGAACGGGTAGAACGCGCTCACCCCTCCGCCTCCCGTTCCAACCGTCGCCACGACTGCATTTTGTAGGATACTCCGGTTGATTCGGCAAATTAGGTCATCGTCTCCCTCCCTAGAATAGACTGAAACGTGCAGGTAATCATCAATACGGGGTGTGGACAGATCAGCCAGCACATAACGTGGTAAACTGACTCGACCCGGGAGATGGCGTATCTCGTGTCTTCACTAATAACATCCCTCAAAGTGCCACGGCCAGCACCAGTTTCGGCGAGAATTACGGATGTTCCTAGTAATTGTATCTTTCGGATGCCCGCGGGTTAGCAAGATGCGTCTCTAGCTCCCATGAAGACCATTTTCAGCAATTAGCACAGCTCCGCGCATACCACCCCATGACTCGCAGATCAACACTCTACCTATTGCAGATTCGGACTTTCCTGCTTGTTGGGCGAAGAAAATTTGACCAACGATGCACCATGCATTAATGCTGCCATAAGTCTCCATCTCTTCCCGCTTTAGCCAGATTTTAATTAGCGCCTCCAGCAATGCGAGCCGGGCCCCAAGCTAGCTGGAGTGGGCTCGCTCGTAGCTTAACGTAGATTACTAGCTGCCGCCGGACCCCAAACGATAAAATTGAAAATGAAGCTTTTCGACCACACACAATTCGAATTAGATAAATTATTTTTGGCGGAATAATATGAAGCTGCTAAACATGCTATATACAAATTTTAAGCATCCCGGAAGCGTTGTGGGAGGCGGATTTGCCTGCCTCGACGACTTGTGGTGGGAGGGACCTCATCAACTACATTAAGAGGTCTGTACAACCGCAACCTTATTATTTTGAGCTGTACAAGGCGTAGACGTCTTCTTGCCTTTCTTGCCCGATTTGAAGTCATTTTGAAGCTGCAGAGAGGCGGCCTTTGCTAGCTGCTCTTCCTCCTTTTGGCGGTTCTTTGCCGCTGCTTCCTGACGGCATATTTCTTTATTATATTCTTTTATTTTTCGTCTCTTTTCAAGCTTCCGTTGCTTTTCCTCCATCTATTGCTGCTGAAGAAGCTTTTCCTCTAGCTTTAAGGTCTTAGCAAGCTGTAGTTCTTCATCCTTTTGTGCTGAATATCCCGCGCTTGCTGTACACGCGCAGGAGAAAAGAATATTGCATCACCATGTTCTAGCTCGCGGAAATCAACTACAAGAGCCTTCCCACGTTGTCGCCTTCTCTTCTCATTCTGGAGGGCGAAGTCTAGATCTTCGCACTTGATTTTTGGCAAGATATTCTCTATAGAGAGTGCATACATCGTTTCATTCAACTTTCTGACCTTTTAATCAAGAATGTCATCAACAACATAGTTTACAAGCGCTCTAACCCTTTACCATTGTTCTACGCGTAGAACAGAGTGAGCTGAACCGCCTGAGGTAGGTCTTTTCTCCTCTTTCTTTATAAAACGCGCCAGAAAAATGTCAGGATTAAAAGGATATAAACCAACTGCTTTCCAAGCGCCTGTAATGAAGGACTAAAAGCCTGTACATATCCCCGCCCCGCTTTAGCCTTCGTCCTTTTATCAAAAATATCCCGAAGCCATGCAAATCCTAGCTCATCGTTGGTCCAGCCAGAAGAGGAGGTAATATAAGCGTCATGCATTGCTAGATTAAAGTGTTGCAGCCAGGTATCTTGTACTTTGCCAGATACTGCTTAATATATTAAACCTGGTGGTAGAGCAGTTCCGTCGGCGCAGACACAGGCAATTGTAGTTATCCACTCTTTATTACCATCTTGCAGGCGGTGCCTGAAGCCTTCTTTCTCATATACTTGCTTTGAAAAGATTCTTTTGCCTTTAGAGAGTATTCCAATAAGAAATCCCTTCTCATCCATATTGTATATATTCTCCGGCTGTACATCCCATTTCTCCAGCTTAAGACGTAGATAGTCAAAGTATAAGGCATACTTTGATAAGGAATCAGCTCGTTTGAGTGCAGCATCAATGGCAGTTGTATAGCGAGAAAGAAGGCTATCAGGATGACTCTGTATAAAGCGGCCAGGCCACTGAATTCCTGGCTTTTTCCCAGTAATCTCTTTGGCAAAATTCCGAAGCATTTCATGTGTAGGATACAGGCCTCTCTCTGTTAACTTATTTATGTACTTTATAAGCTCTGTAGCCTAGGCGGTTGTTAAGTACTCGCTGGTTCTCATATTGCTGTGTCCTGGAGCCTTGAATGCCACGGTGATGCCGTGATAATGTCCTGGGTCAACACCAAACTCTTTCGCAGTTTTGCATAGCTAGATGATGCATCTGGGACCGCTGATTCGATTGCTACTAACGCTGGTTCAAGAGGATTCATATTGAATGAGATATGAAGTCGTGGCTTGGTGGATGCAAATTGCGGTGAGGGCCCAAATCCGGCGGCAGCTGGTAATCTACGTTATGGCAGTGTGCACAGGGCTCCAAGAATATCTCACTCCGGATAACGCTTCTGAATGCGACTGCGAGATCTTGAATAACATCCATGTAGGGCTGGACACGAACAGAGATTTTGTTTATACGTACTCACGTCCAGCCCTACATAGTCACCAAAGTGCAGGCAAGGATTGGACGAGAAACAAGCTTTCCGCGTACAAATCTTGGAATATTTCGGGAGGTGTCTCTAGTGTTGGTAGCCTAATAGGCTCCCTGACAATATGTCTTATATAATTGACGACTGCAGGTCCAGAAGGTGCTGACGGTACTGATGCGAGGCTTGTTCAGATCTAGATCTCCTTGCGCACTATATTTTGTCAGCACTGGCATTGGGAGCACGCTATCCGATTGTGTCTGCCTCACGTTAGTAAGAAAGTGGGTGGTTTCCTAAAGCTATACAGTTCGCTCTACCTCCCTTCCCTATTTCTCTTTCAGGTGTTTTTTTCTTTTTCTCCCTTTTTTTCGTCCTTTACAGGGAATTCTCAATAGCAGGTGTTACGGAAACACTATAATCCGCCCGACTTGGCGGTGCGGAGTATTTGACGACCGATTCTGTTGTGGAACTCAGGGGAAATGGGCGTAGGGAGCTATTCCATCAGCTACAGGCCAACTAGCCACATTAGGAAGTAGATGTCATTCAGTGGAAACACCGGGAATCACAGTATCTCAACCAACTGAGTCTCTTGCATTCCTATCTAGGTGCTCAACTATCTAAAGGATTCAGGGGTTGAATCGATCGCCAGATACTCCGCACCGCCAAGTCGGGCGGATTATAGTGTTTCCGTAACAGATTCAACCTGAATCCTTTAGATAGTTGAGCACCTAGATAGGAATGCAAGAGACTCAGTTGGTTGAGATACTGTGATTCCCGGTGTTTCCACTGAATGACATCTACTTCCTAGTTAGGCTAGTTGACCTGTAGCTGATAGAATAGCTCCCTGCGCATCACTTCTCCTGAATTCCACAAAAGTAGAAACCAGTTAATGTAATGCACCGAAACGAAACAAGTGGACTCGAAAGTCGGCTGTAGTTTGATGGGTGAAGTTAGCGAGTTACATGCCCTGACCAGTTGCACAAAACATAATCAACTACCAAAATGGACCTCTGTAAATAATGATTCCCAATGTTTCTGCACCCCCTCACATATTCCCGACTTGCCTTTCCATGTCTCAAACGCATGCTCCAGAGTGCACGCCACTGTCTTTGCTTCCTCCCATACCACCTTCTCTGCATCATATCCTATTCTTTGCAATGCGTTAATACTAGCTGTCCAGAGCCGACTTGGCTGTCCTTTCGCATCTTGCGCCTTCTCTCCCAGGAGATCTCCTCCCGGATTAAACTTTGGATTATATGAGTGGATAAAGAATCCCCGGGCCGCCTCCGCCACCGATGGATCCTTTACACGCCATTTCCCCCGGCTGGTAAGCGCATAGTCTTCCATGGGATCTGCCTGCAACATTGCGGCACCGAGGACCCCTTTGCCGGAACTATCTGGGTGGCCCAGATCGGCTACAGCCTCACTGACAGCGTAGTATTCTTCACCGACGGCTGTCGCCGCCTGGAGGAAGGTGTCCTTGTCACCTTCGCCGGGGGCGCCTTGTCCCAGAAGCCGGTAATAGAACGAGGGCCCGTAGTAGTTGTAGTAGGCGGCCAGGAGCAAAGTCATCCAATGGCTTTTCTTAGAGATCAGCAACATACCAGCCTCGGTTGCTTGGCGTGCAGTGGTGGGCGGCTCAGGTTGACGAGATATCTGGAAGTACAGCGGCGAGGCCGTATTAGTCCAGAAATCCGGCCAGGTAACCAGACCAGTTGAGATAAAAGGCTCCGAAGATAGCAACGGAGAGGGGTTGTACAGTGGAATGCAGTCCGCATCCATCCACAGAACACTTTCAAACGATGAAAAGAGTATTGCAAATGATTTAATCTGATAATGCTCGATGGTGTAACGGGGATCGCCGAACCCGCCCAGCACAATCTCCGAGAGAATAATGCATTGGGCCTGGAGAGGCGGGAGAACTACCTCGCAAATATATGGCTCATACTCAAGATAATCCCGCATAAAGAGTTCCACGGGTAAAGTGGATCCAGTTCGTCGCAGCATCCGTAGGGTAACCACAAAGGCAGGCAGGTAGGGTCCTCCAGCTGCGGATACAATCCCCTTAGATCCAGCGTAATAAGCTCGTTCGCTGTCAAGTGTACGCATGTCCTGAGTAAAGCCGTCATGTGCAACCCGTAGGGGCTCTCGGATCTCGTCGGCATTGTTAATATAGTTTAGCCGATGAGACTTCTTAATAGCATTAAATCGCGGCAGTCCCACAGAGTCCCGCAGGGTTGGCGAAGGGCAGTGTGGTTCATGTTCCGTAAAAAGTGCATGTAGCTGATGCCAGAGCCGAACCTGGCAATTAGGCAGGGGATCTGGAGACGTCCTCAAGACCCCAATTAGGCAGACACAAAGAATGTACGAGCTGACAAGAAACACAGTAGCCACCAGGGTCACAGGAATTTTCCGGCGTGAGCGATATTGTATTTTTGACATGGTGAGGTATTAGAAAGTGGTATCGATATGCTTGTGGTTTTCTGTAAATAAGATATCTTTGCATGATAGCTCTGGAATATCAGGATCTATAAGGTCAAGAGGATGCTCTAATCTTAAGTATCTATTAGAGTAACCCGGTCTATGGCTGAGAGGTAAAATTTTGGGGGGATAATGGAAAGGCTCTTGGTCCAATTGGAGGGGCTCTTGGGAGTCCATGTAGCCGTCAAACTCATGTCAGAGTGCTGAAGAGTCAGCCCTCTATTTCCCCACCGCTCCTGGAAACAAAGGTAGGGCCAAGGAGGGGGCACTTGTAAATGAAGATGATAGTATAATCATATAGGAAATATTTGACATATTAATATTTTTTTTTCTTGTGGAATTAAAACACAGTCATTTCTCTTCACTCCTATATATTTTGACATTTTTTAAATGGAGAGTATCTAGATTGAAGTAGGAATGAAAATTTCAACAATTATTGACATACTCTGGAGCAGTACGTGCTTACCCTGTCTAGAAAAATTTCCGTGTCTATTCCTCCAACCTTCGGTTTTTCCCCCATGGCGGGCTGGTCTTTCAAAGAAATTGATTGTGTTGATACCCACATCTATAGGATCTTGTCAAAATAAATATTCGACGCTTTACTATTTACTATACACAGTAATGTATAGGTACGTATACTGTAGCCACGCTTCCCCTATTCTTTTTTTTTTTTATTTTTTGAGGTCGCAGGTCGGATAAGCATTCGGGCAACCCAAACATGGAGAACGAAAATGACTGTATCGTTCTATCATACCATGCTAATAGAGTACACCGATCTAGTGCTCTTGAAATCCTGAAAAACATTTAACACTAAATATTATGTATACATAGTATGACTGAGAGAAATACTGAGGCCTTTGGCCTGTACCCTTATTTTCTTGCAGACTATGTCAATTCCATCGAAAGCTATTTCGAAGGGAACAATCACACACCTTCAATAGTGCAAATCCATCTAAATACTAGTCCGCGAACTAATTTCAAGACTACAGGTATGGTACAGTACATATTAATCTAGGAGATTGCCGATTTTGTATGCATATGGTTTTACCCTGGTATCTAGATTAGGTAGTTAATCCGTAGAATCTAGTTATTACTAGTTGGATATGTTCGAAGCTTAATATTCTTGGAAACCCTATCATTGTTGCACGTCACCAATGGTGATACATTATCGTATGATGGCATGCCGTGTCTGGGAGACGTCTGGATTCCAGAACCTGTTTTTAGGGACCGTGATCTGACGTTAGCTCTAGCAGTAGCATAACATCTCCAGTTAGTTATGTAAAATCTAACCTTGCCCAGGTCCAAGTCACTCTCTGAGTATGGTTGGATTGGACAATTATATTAACATCCATCTTATAAATGCAACCATCATGTTTGTGTTGCTTCATCTCATGTAATGTTAGTTACGAATGCTAAAATTAGCTACATGACTGCTTCCCCCATCCCCGTCAACCTTATCTACCTTCCTCGCCTTCCTCGCCTTCCACAGCTTTGCTCCCCAGTCTCGTTATGACACAATCCAAACCTAGAACGTGGTCCCAAATCTACAGACTGAGGGAGGAAATAACTGTCAGTCAGAGAATCGTTGCAGATGGTGAAGATTTGGACATCATTGGACAGCGCTTGTCTGTCACATGCGTACCGTTACCCGAACGCGTCACTCACGATCCGACAAACATTAAAAAAAGGACAAAACAAAGAAAAGCTCACATGACCTATCAAAGAGTGCTATATTCAGATCCTTATATATTTATTCCGTTTATTCGTGCCATCTCAGAAAATGCCTGCCAGAGGTTCAAAGTAGGTGAATTTCTCGAAAAGCATACCGAAAATAGGCGCGGATTTAGGCTTTCAGACAAAGCCCAAGTAGATCTCGAGAATTTAGCCAACAGACATAACATCCTTCAGACTGTAAATTATCAATTCCTGAAGGGTGAAATATTCTCACCCCAACTGTCAGACGAACCCCAACTGCCAGACGAACCCCAACTGCTAGACGAACCCCTACTGCCAGACGAACCCCTACTGCCAGACGAACCCCAACTGCCAGACGAAAGGGTCGGTTACTTCACATACAATGCAGCTCACTTAGATGCTGTGCATGAGTTATTTAGCGACACCATTGTTAAAGCCATTGAAAATGCCCCCAACTACAGTCACCATCCAATAACAGAATGCGTCAAAATGGAAGTTCCGAAAGAAAGTTTTGAGGACGTTAATATTATACTGCAGGTTGGCCTGGATCATAAACTAATAAAAGAATTGTTCCCACGAGCCAGTGAGAGACTAAAATCACTCCTTCAAGAGCAGTATTCAGATGGTTCAAAGCGGTCGCACGCAGATACAATTTCAGAGTCTCTAGGTGAGTAGGGGCCTATTCCCAGAGCCCGAAATAAAAGCTCATATATGCTAAAGACAATGCGGTCTTTACCCTTCGAGGGGCATGTAATTCGGTTGTATCCTCATTATTTGGTCACAGAATTAGTGGCGCTATAGATAGGAGTGAATTAAGAGTATTGGAGAAGGGCTATTTCCTTTTAGAGACAACGGATTGTGTTACTATGAGGATTTCTCGCAGTCGTCCTCATGAATGCACTATCTGCCTGACAATAGGATTTTTCCAATGCTTCGACATTCTCAACGAGCTGTTTGCCAAGGCTGAAATTGTGGCTCATGGCGACAGAAGTACTCTGCAGCTTCACTCTCCTCCCTTCCTCCCTCCACCTTCGGGGATAATTTATCAGTTAAATCCTGCCAGTGCCAGTAGCCAATGTATGCATGTCTTGTGGTAGCTGAAATTAGCTGCAGGCACGCTGCAGCTGCATCTTCTTCACTTTCTTCCCCCAGTGTAGTCTCGGATCGCATGATTTAACATGAAACGTCGATATTACAGTCTGGATTGCAAAAATGATAAGTTCAGTAGGTATTCTTTAATATTGTGGGTCCGCTAGTACAAGAATGGTTAAATACAATTCGCGAATAAGGTGTTGTCAGATATACGGCTAATCCCGAAGAGGAAATAGAGTACGATTGGTGAAAAGGTCTTATTTGAATGAATTGAGCTGGTTGGGCTCTTCTTGATTATTCTTCTTGGTTATTCTTGATTGATTATTTTGTTGTGTGCTCCGCGGGGGTTTTACCCCGATTCAGTCACATGATTCTGGTCCACCAACGGCCATATTATTTGACAGGTGTTAATTTACTATAGCCAATCCTAACTACTTGTGACCCGCAAAAATAAAAGATAGGAGTACAGAACCCAGCCACCGTTTTTGCAATCCATGTATGTATCCTGGTTCTATCCCCCAGAAAGCTGATAAATGACTACAGTACATATTGTTGTGAATCAAGGCTCGACTGACTCATGCCGTACAATACGATAATGGATAGTTTCTAGCGAGAGCCTCTGGGATTGTACGCAGACAGTCCCAGAGTTTTTGTTTAGAGACAGTTGAGAGGGGCAGTGTCAGGGCCTAGGTCTAACGCTGCCTGAGGCACCAAGTCTGCTTATTCACTGTTGATCCGACAATGTAGAGATTTCCCACATTTCCTGTACGATAGAATTCTTTTTCCTTCCTTCCTTCTCTCCAATTGATGTTTCGTTAGATCGCCACCTCAGATAGAATCATCCATTTTACCAAGGTGTATAGGATCATCACAGACGGATGTAACGCGGAATCTCCCTTTTCTTATTATACCGATCGGGTTAACCTCAGCATCTCCTGTTTACAATAAAGACTAAATGCGCTAGCTAGCGTTTCGATTTTAATTTAGTATTTCCCCCATATAAAATCTTAAAAAAAAATTCATCATCGTCACAATTGATTTTTTATGGTCTATAGGTGCCGTTCCTATTTTTTCTATTTTCACCCCCGCATAGCACGAATGAGAACTCAGAGAGGTCTTGAAATGACTATCAGCCACCTGCCCTACCTATCTCATATATGGTTCGCTTGTAGTCTACTTAATATCTATCTTAGGCGTCATCTTCCTATATTTTCTTATCTTTCTCTGTCTCTTTCCTTTATCCGATTAGAAAAATCATAATACCTATTTCTCTTCCGGCACCTACATCATGGATCTCGCGAAACTCATCAACCCGGAACCGGATCCCCTCCTTCCTTGCAAGTCAAGAGTATCATACCGCCCTTCTCCCGCCGGCTCATACTCCCCTTCGGCCGCAGTATCATACCCGCATGTGCCACAGCCTCCTCTTTCTCACCCTGTGGAGCTTCCGTCTATTCGCTCGCTTCTAGAAGGTGCAAATAGTGCATCGGTGCTCGCAGAAGGTATGGATTTCAAACCCACAGAACTCAACTATTGCAATTGAATATCTACTAACGATATCTCCCCTTCAGAGTGCCAAAGCCCTATCCAACCAGTCCATAGGAAGGTAGGGATCCCAACTCAATCCAAGATCCGGGAGGGGGTCATGCCAACCAGATATCAGGCCAATATGCTGCCGACGCAACCACTGCGTCCTGGTTCGGCATTCCGTAGCAAAGGTCACTCTTCCTCAACTTCCCCGACCTTCACCGTTACCAACAGCATTGCGGTCAACGTTAAACTATATGCACGGCCACAAACGATGTTTCCTATTCTTAGGGGTAGGTTTGTCTGTCAGGCCTTCTTCCAACGTGTACCCAGTTCTCCTTACCTGCCCCTTGCCCCAAGTGTCTCCTCATATTCCTTTCCTGCCGACCCACCAAGCACTTTCGCTATGTATTGTGAAACGTCCGACACCCCCTACCAGAACACGGGAAATATGCCCGCGCATGCGGCTCCCCGGTCGCCGCCTTCCTCCACTCCGAAATTGATCACCACCCCCATTACCATCTCCCGGCAGCATCACCATTCCTTCCCCCCTTCCAGCGCAACACCGTTCCAACAGAACCATGATTGCAACGTTTGTGACAAGTGTCACAAGGCCTTTTCTCGCCCTTCAAGCCTCCGCATCCATTCCCGCAGCCACACGGGCGAGAAGCCATTCCGCTGCAGTCAGATAGGATGCCGCAAAGCATTTAGTGTGAGAAGTAACTTGAAGCGTCATGAACGATGTTGCCACACTGGCCGAGCGGTTGCCACAGTTATGGTATAACTAGTGGCCTATTACTCCAGTTCTTCATATAGAATATTGTATAGATGGAAGGGAACAAGGATGTACTTTGCTGATGGAGTCTGATCTTTTCCTGTCTTCGGAGGTCGGTACAGTATAACCATCGGTCAATGAAAATAGGGATTGACCACGGGTGGAGAAATACAGAGACACAAAGAAAAGGACAAGAGTTACAGGCATGATCTATAGCGGTACATACAGAAAGGGCATATGGTTGAGAGGAGAATAACCCTAGAGTGTTTGTATTCCAATGCCGATTTCCACTATTATTCGCTCAAGACAATGCCCTCACACTGGCGATAGTCTAGAGGACTACTAGAGATCCCCATTTCAAGTTATTTATGGAAGGGACGAACAGAAAGGGTCTCCATGTATTACAGTTTCTGCTAGGAAGAAGGTACGGGTCATAAATTCAACCAACGTTCTCGAACAGCCCCACTAGCAGTAAAGCTGTGACCCCTAACGCTCTGGCTTGCAAACCGATTTTTCCCATCCATTACCACATCATGTTGGCCAGAACAGCGGATACACGTACTGTATAAGGAGAGGGATCCCTTTTCCTCCCCTAATGTGTGGAGACCCCACAAGAACACTCTAGATGGTAGCAGGCATTAGCTAAACAAATATAAGACAAATTTCTATCATATCTCTAATGGACTATGGTGGAATGTTGCCGACGGCACGGGGGTATTTCGAGCTGATTCTGAGGATGAACTCATCATCGCCTCTGGAAACCCCGGCCGGATGCAGGGAGACCGTATGCTTCACAAGCATCGATTATTGTGTTTCGATGGAAGCTGCGTAGGAAAGTTGGGAGCTATCTTGGGGAGCGGCGCCCTCGGGGGTGAGACGGAGCTATGGTTGGTATGCTTACTCTCTGGGCTGCGTGGATGGATGGATAGTAGGTGAGATTTGTAACACCTTTGTTGATAAAGTAGGTGGACACCGAGCGGCGCGCCGCTCACCGCTCTTCCTGGAAATATTCAAACATCTCAGTATTCGAAGCCTTTTTATCTTGACTTTCATCAATATTTTATTAATATACCAAAATGAGTGCCATACCAATGGATGAGAGAATGAAAATGGCTGTTGATGCATGGGAATAATAACCAATTTTCATCCAAAGCTGCCTGTGCCAAGGGCTGGCCGTTGGGAGGGATTCGGGATCCCGAGGGAGGTCTGGTCCCGTCCCATATTCCCATAAGGATCCCGGGGGTGGTCCCGAATCCCGTCTCAAGAAAATGGGAAGGGATTCCCATCCCATGCCAAGAAATATGGGAGGGAAATCCCATCCCTAAATTATAAAAATACTCTTCCCATTTCCTGTCCCATTTCCTAATTAGGTTTAGTATATTTTTAAAGTAGCAGTTTTTAGTACATAGTAACTATGCAGTATATACAGTAATTATTAATTATGTGATTTAGTATAGGAAGTTCCCATCTAATCCCAAGGGAATTTCCCAAATTCCCATTCCCTTCCCATTAGTAAGTGTGATCCCATTTCTTACCCCAGTAGCCCCGAGCCGGCTGGGTCCCGGTGAGCTAATTTTGGGTCTCGCTCAGCTGGAACCCGAGCGGCGCGCCGCTCGGTGTCCAACTACTTTAACTTACTGCCGAAGGGCGGTGTACGTCGTCTCTGCTACGGATAAGAGCTAGCTTACATAGATGATGACTAAGCGAGGTCGAAACCGGGGGCAGGCGCCCATGCTTGGCGATATGCTCCAACTATCCGATATTCGGCTAGTACCGAATAGGAAAGTAGACACTATTCTTGAAAAGGTGCTTAAATGATTGCTTTAGATGGTTTCTTGACTATATTGATCAACATATGATCATTCTTGTGATTATTATTATGGATCATTAGGTTGCTTCTTCTGCTAGATGTAGGGGAGTTCGTTTTACCCCTCTTTTATGACCTTGTTTACGTCACTATTACCACCAACTTATTTGACACCAACAGTGACAAGGTCACATGGTTTAAAGCTGTGCGTAGTTTATTGGGGATAGTATTGGTAGCGCTGTTGAAAGTTCCACCAGCCACAAGTATGAAATTCACCATCGAACAATCAAAACGTCAAATTGGAGGTTCCAAAGAAAATTTTCAAGACCTTAATATTACGCTGCAAGTTGGCCTGAATCGGGCTTATCAGACAGTTGTTCCCACGAACCAGTGAGAAATTATTATCATTCGCCTAGGAGCAGAATTATTATACGCTGCTGCGGTTTCGGAGTCTCCAGGTGAGTGGGGTTCCATTCCCAAAGCCCGAAAACAAGCTCGCGAAAAAAAAGCTCACCTATGCTATAGACAATGTAGTCTTTACCCTCCGAGAGTGCCTTCAGTTCCCAACTTGTGATATATTAAGAACAGGAGAGAATGATTATTTCCTTTTGGAGGCAACGAATTGTGTTTTATGAGTACTTCCGGAAGTTGCTTTTATGAATGTACTATCTGCCTGACAACAGGATTTTCCCAAAGCTTCGACATAGGGAACAAATTGTTTGCCGAGCTTAAATAGTTTTCATCATGAAGCGCCCTTTGTGAATATAGACGCCGACGTAAGCCGGAATGTCTATCTCTCCTTGTTCGCCCTTAAAATCACATATTTTTTCACCCGTTTTGCCATTTTTAAACATGACTAGCTCACATTCACCGCAACAAAGCGTCCACTTCTTGTCTAAACAAATGTATTCGGCTTCGACATATTTGAGTTGATCCTTCGGTACCATACATATGCGCCAGTGCCAGTTTGATGCCTGCGTTCTTAGGCTATAAGTCTGTGCTAGGGTATTCTGTTGGAGACGGTAAAACAAACCGATTTATTTGTGTCATTCATATCGAACGGGGTGCGTGTTTGCGGCGCGATACTGACAAAATGGTAAAAGGGGTTCAATAATGATATTCCATGCAGTTTTATACGTCGCGCAGCTTGGTAGAGTATAAAGGTGTTTGAGGCACACAGGGTTGTGGCAGGGTTGGCTCTCGATCCACAAATGTTGCTGTCTGAGCTGGATGTTTATAGCCGTAGCACACCTACCCACAACATCTGAGGATTCTCAATGTTGTGGGTAGGTGTGCTACGGCTATTCCTACTGTCTTCGGCCCCTTACAATGCTAGGTAATATTTGCAAAATAATTCCAAAAGCTGCGTTTGCCTACAGGACTAATTGTGTGATTTCCAGAGTACATATGAGTGCTTAATGCGCATACTCAAGCGCTCATTGTACCATGTGTTGATCCTTATGTCAGAACCTCCCATTTGTGCCATCACGACAGTACACATCACCGAAACTTATTGTACGTAAGACGTGACCTTATACTCTATTGCCAAGGATAGAATCTACTATGGACGGCAATCAAAAAAAACATGTATACACATCAAAGCATGCGTTCCTACAAAGAGTGGCAAAAGTGGGCCCACAGATACTCCGTAATGGTTACATGTACAGCGTCGTACCTTGTAGGGCAATGATCATCCCTCATTTTCGGGGTGAAACGGGTCACCCATCAAATCTTTTCTTCCCATTTTTACAACCACTTCGCAGTATCTAAGTTTGCAGTGTAATGAACTGAGCATTAAGATTATAAATAATATATATATACTGTACGTCCCGTTTTGGTCCTATAAGATAGGGAATATTTCCTCTCTGAATATCAGGATGCGCAGTAAGTGGCTTTTCGACAATTATTAACTATATGGTTCTATTTTGCAAAAATTACTTTTAGCACGAAGTCTTCGCAGTCCTAGGAGTGTACCCACCCTAGTCAGGAAATTTATACAGGTTGCAGTGACCGAAGGCTAGAGCGCGTTAGGCTCTCGCGGACGGAACGGGCTGTTCCGAGGTTTAGCCTCAGGCTGACAGCTTTTACAGTAACGATGGTATAACGGGACATTACCACTTGGACATTTCAACAACCTGCCCATCCTTAGGGCATCTAGTGTATCATCTAGAGTATTATTAGTATGTCCTTTGTTGCCACCAAGGATCTAATAGATGTTCCATTGGGTAGGAAAGCACCCGGCAAAGTCTAAAGTAATTAGTTTTCGTACAGAAGACGGCAGGTAAAGCTGGCTCTCTTCCAGGCCGGTACAGTGTCCACACGTGGTGTTTCCTTGCACGACATGCTAGGTGTCCAAAACGTTGGCACCGGAAGCATCTCTTTTTCTTTATTTCCGGCGTTCCACACTGTCAATGTACCTCTGGCCGACTAGGAGGCCATTATTCAAGATATATTCGGCTCCTTCAGCAGGTCGAACCAGATACCGAGTGATGCAAATTTCCCTAACCTTATCCTTCGTTAAGCCATGCCACTCTCGATCTGGAAGCCTGTTCCACCAGATTGTTTTCTTCTATAATTTTCTCAATGCCCGAGCGTTTGCTTCTCAAGTCGAAGTCCTCTGTCGAGTGCGGTGACAACAACGCCGAACCGTGGTTCCACTATTTTCGTGCTGTTCCCTAGTTCGTTCAGCCATCCCGTATTGTTGCGGGCCGCTTCAGCCGATTCTGGGTCTTTGAAGCGAATAACATAGCCTGTTTTGGTCGTCCCAATGCCGGCGACCTCGGCGTCTTGCTTGGCGGCGGTGTTTAGCAGAGCAGTGCGGATGTGGGTGTTAGCAGCATCAGTGGGGAGGTATCGCCCGAAGGTGTTTCCGTCACTATTATCGTTGTCTCTTGGGTCTACAAAGGATCTTTGGGTGCTGATTCGGACGCAATTCTGTTCTTTCTCGGGTCGTTGATGGCTTGGCTGGAGAGAGCCATTGTTGGTGGTGGCCGCCACCTCAGCCCATGACCTAGTTAGGGCCACCGGTGTCAAGGTTTCGATTCGCTCTCTCAGAGTTCTGATTTTGTCGTGGAGCTTTCCATTTTGATCGAGGAGAATGTTCTGGTCGTGCTTGACTTCTAGGATCTCTGCCTTGGTGGATTCAATGAGTCTGGATTGGTGATTGATAATATCTTTCAAGGTGCTGACGAGCCTCCACACCTCTCAGGTAGTAACCCGACCCGTGCTTTCAGATGGTGTGAAGGCCTCCCCGCTCCGCGTTCTTTTGCGGGACTCAGGAAGTGGTTCGATTGGGACTCGAGGCTGGAAGTCCTCGACTGAGAAGCTGGCGTTGGAATCTTGGGTGTTTGTGGGATGGGGTTCGGGCCCTCCCGTGGGTAGGTCCGCCATCGGTCCGGGGTTGGTCCCGCTCGGTACACAACCTCGTCAATTTTATATCGCAGGGAATATCGATAGCCACCAGAGTCAATGACAGAGAGTCCCACCCGAATTTTTTGTCGATACAGTACTGTATACTATTTTGACGCACACTCGATTCTATCTGCCGTAACTAATGGTTCATAATGTCCATTACGGAAGAAAGCGCCGCTTGAGCCAAAATCCTTTGGAAGTTCACGTCATAGAAAGCTACAGTATATCTACTTTAGCATGTGTCTCATGGATAATGTGGCATTTTTGACACTAAGGAAGTAAACTATTCTCCCATATACATATACGTATCGATTTTCTCAGCAACTTTGCCCGAGCACTGAGGTATGCCAGCCACAGCAAAGATATTAAGGAGGCCAAGGTGAGATCGGATCATGTTGCGTTTTGCCTTTCCATATTTACAGAGACAGTGCTAAGTTGTTCTTCCAGAGTCCACAAAATGCCTCCCTATGTAGGTACTCCCAACTCGATTCCGATTGCTGAGGGCAACAGCGTTCAGGGAACTTCGGCCGAAGGTACAGACACTTTGCTGGTTAAATACTTCTGTACTGTCTTCCTTCTAATCTGTTAGACATAGCATCGAAGTCTTCCCGGGACTGTCAGCGGACACCATCCCTCACTCTACCAGAAAACGAGCAGAATGGAATGCCGTCAGGGCAACTTCTTAGATCTTCGCCTGACAGTTTTACGGCTGGAGCCAACAAAACCAATTTGGGTTTTGGCGCATATCAAAATGAACCAACCCATAGAAAGTCAAGGTTGGGGAAGTTTAATCCAACAGATATGACAAGAGCAGAGATCGAAAACTGGCTTCGTGCTTCTCTTTCGGCTTCCCCCTTAGAAAAGAAGAGCGAAAAATGGGATTGAAAATGGGGGTGGAATACTGTACATCCTCACAGACCTTAAATAATACTTTACTACAATATACATTCAGCACATTTTTGTTGATATTGTGTCAGGAAAAATGGCCCGCCTTATACCACTTCCTAAGGTCCCCCAATCACGAAGCCACAGCCTACATTACAGTAAAGCATATTTGGAGTAATAAAAACTTTGAATTTGTTAATATAGGCAGGGGTGCTCTATGGTGCTAGTGGCTTTGGGTTAATTACCTCCAGTCAATTCGGTCGCTCCACGTTATAAGCTTCATTGTCTCAGCCAGCGGAAAACGTGATTGCATTCCTGCAATGTGTTGTGTGAGCAACTATGCTAGCTGCATAGTGCAAGGTATATGCAATGTTGATATCCATTCCGACACTCTCAAAGATACTTGTACAGGATTGCATAAATGCAGGTACCGGTGGCCAATGAAATCCTTTTTTTTTTTTTTTTTTTTGCCATCGCTGGCCTGGACTTTGCATTGAAGTAGGTCTAATAGACCAGTTTTCTAAACATTCTTATACTGTAATTTGGAAGTGTGCACCGGCCATTGTCACTACAGGCTTATAGAGCGTCACAACTTGTAAGTACCGGACATGTACATAAATAAGGCAATCTCTTATTGACGTAAACATGACCCACACCAGACGTAAACCAGAAATAGAGCAAGCACTTTGCAGCTGAGGGCATTGGGGAAAAAAACCACCGCGACAATTCAAAGTGTATTTATTCGGCCGTCCCAATAAATAGTTTCGTAAAATATCCCATTTAGTTATTCTACATATCACTGCTGTTAAAAGTAGGTTCATCAAGTCTCACACCGTAGTATGGAATCCCAACCCCGTTATAAGCTATTAAGGAATATGTACCTGATCGATGCCTTATATGCACTGGTCCTTACTTTAGTACTCTTGCTACTGCGCACTATTGTATGTCGTTGAGCTTTCGTTAGCAAGTAGGAGTTGCACTTACAGTGAAAATTGCTTCGCACACGGCTGGCCTGAAATAAAAGCTTATCTGAACTTGTTCTACTTCGGGTACTAGATACTTGATGTCTGGGGGATATGGTGCAGTTGTTGACGGAACTTCCCAGGGCATGTACAGTATGGCTGGGCCGACTGAAGAATGTTGCAACTGTTCATCCCACAAATGTTACAGTACTGAGCATTGGTGTGATAGAAATGGTAGTAGAGATAATACTGTACACGTAAGGTTGGTACGATGATTGTTCAAGGGTACTGGACCGAGAAGATCAAAACAGGCAGATCCTGCGAGACTTGGCACATAGACTCCCCCTTCCTGAAATCTGGCATTCTCTAGGCAAAGATCGCGATCCAGAGCCGGTCTCTGTTCAATATATCCGCCCATTGCCAGCGTCTGTATCAAATGTGCCATGGTGGGAGTGTCTCCCCCTGGTTGAAGTATTGACCATCTACTAAGACTGGTCGAAAAGCCGTTCCTACTGCGGCATCGTATTGCTCTCCACTAAGGCGGGTGGTTAGTACTGCAGTGCATACCAGCATTTGAGCCGTCCGTACAGCCTCTGTTACACTTGTTTGCAAAACCTATGTCGGTCGTCTTATGCTCTTTTACTTGTTTTTCAACATATGCTAGGCCAGAACCGGTTAGGTTCCTTAAGTTTTACCAATCAATCATAATTTGCCAAGCCGGAATCATCTGAAGCGTAACCATATTTGGATACGTTTAAGGTTCAGGAAAGCATAAAAGAGGATGAGATACCGGCATAGGTTTTGCAAACAACTGTAACCCAGCACCAGGGTCGTCTGTCTTCCGTGAGTCGTTGGCTAAATGACCTGTTCACCTTCTCCGCGCCATTAGCTCCACCGGCCAATTCGTTCATTTCCAAGGTCAGGCGAATAGGGTCATGGAGGGCCGCATCTACCATCGTTTGCTCGATGTGGCAGAACCTAGCAATAGCATGCATTTATCCCTATGTATAAGTTGCGGTGGCGTATCTGTTCTTCCTACTGTTCTTTTGTCCTATCTCTATGAACAAAAAGAACTGAAAGATATTAAAATATAGAGAGTTTTGGGATCACTTTTGGGGCAAGTCTGTCCGAGGAAGAACTACAGTTAGAGACACCAGCTACACCTATATTTGGTCTCTTGGGGTGCGAGAATTTTAGAGCATTGGACCGAGAATTGCCCTCTTTTTTTTTTTTTTTTTTTTTTTTTTTTTTTTTTTTTTTCCTTTTTTGCTTTTTGCTGTAGATTTACATATTTAGGTCCATCAGCAAATATTGCCCCCAAAGTTAGGTCTACATCTCAAATAGATCATTGCCGACCACCTATGCCAGCGGCCATTTGAAAGGAAAGCTGCTCAAACTTCTAGTCACAGTGCAATACTTTACAGTACTGCACATAATTCTCTTTTGTTCCACAGTCATGCTTCCACTACTTTTTACAGCGACCGTACTCGGTGTCTTCATGACATCTGCCGCCTTAAGAACCCCTATGCATCCCTCTAGTTCTGCCTCCGGTGGCAAGCTTGTTATTTATAATAAATGTAATGTTGATGTATTCCTTTGGTCTGTGGCTGACATTCAAGGTCCGATGCATTCGATCGCCCCGGAAAAATCATATATCGAAAACTACCGCGCAAAGCAAAACGGTGGTGGGATCTCTATTAAACTGTCAACCAAGCCAAGCCTCCGCAACGTGACGCAGATCGAATATACTAAAAACATTACAACTAAACAAATCTACTATGACCTCTCCTTTATCGATGAATTGGATGATTATACCCCTTTTCAACAATGGGGTATAGCCATCCACCCTTTTCTTAAACGATCGAATCAGCAGCCAATTGGTTGCCTCGACAACTGTTGTTCCGTTGTCTGTCCTCCTGGGGTGAACATCTGTCACGCTGCGTATAATAAGCCTGATGACGACTATGCCACTCATGCCTGCCCTTTAGACACAGATTTGAAAGCATACCTCTGTAGTTCATCTTTTTAACCCAGATCCTCGTTGGCAAATTGAAATATATTTTAGATTTGTTAGTTAGCGTCCATTTCATCTATTCTACTGTACCTCAATGTGATAGACTATATTTTTCTAGGGACTAGAGCCTGTATCTAAAATTTTAGTACTCATGAGACGGGCTGTTTATATATATATACAGTGATGGTGGTGGTGAATTCATTTACACTGGCCCCTCGCCATAAGCGATATGCAGGCTATCACAAACTCTATCTTTATCAAATATATTATGGCGGAGAGCTTCATTTATCCAACATGTCTACTTGAGTAGCAAATCATCCAGGCTGTCGACCATCATACCCGCACGTGGTGGTCGTAGTGGTGGGTAACGACTCGAATGAGTCTCTACGGAGCGGTCCGAGTAGTCGTCTGCCTAATAGCAATATGCCGTTGTCCTCGACGCCAGTGGTCATACAGAATTTTGCATTTTCAGCTTCACACCCAATGAACAATCGAACCAGTTTAAATTTCTTAGCAGCGGGCGCCAAAGCAGTTACTAATCAGAATATTCGCATGTTAATGGTTCTCATATAAATGTCAGATATACGGCTAATCCCGAAGAGGAAATAGAGTACGATTGGTAAAAAGGTCTTATTTTGAATGAATTGAGCTGGTTGGGCTCTCCTTGATTATTCTTCTTGGTTATTCTTGATTGATTATTTTGTTGTGTGCTCCACGGGGGTTTTACCCCGATCCAGTCACATGATTCTGGTCCACCAACGGCCATATTATTTGACAATAAATAAACTAGCCTTGTTTAGTTTAATGTGGAAATTGAGAAAATTAAATGAGCCAAGACGTTTGTGAATCTAATACTGCAAACTTCTGTATAATTCTGCCGGTTCCCACACTAACACACAGTCGCCACCTCGGCGATGATATTCAAGCAGACGAGGATATCTGCGGTGAGAAAATTAGCCGACTGTCTTATGCTAGAGGTATCGAGCTAGCGTGACGCTGCGTCCATAAAATGCACTAGCTCTTGCCTGGCTCACGGACAGTTGTCCAGTGACGGTAGCCCCTTCCTCAGCAATAAGTTCGAACGAATCTTGGTAGATGAGGACAATAGCACGTTGTTAGCAGCGCGCTTAGCCATGATATCGTAGAACTATAAAGTATCGGTACAGTGAAGCTTTGCACTTGACTCTCGGTGCTTACCTTAACGGCCTTCTTGTAATATTTGATGTTGTCACGATTTTGATGAGAATGGATTGGGTTCCTTCAATTCGGGTCTGACGTGGCCCGGCCCCTCAGTGGCACAAAAGCGGACCAATATAAAAGCCAGCGACTGCTCTCCAACAAGCAGGCCAAAGAGCTTATAAAATATATCAATAAACTGTCAGAACGTGGCCTTTATCTTACGCATGAGATGCTTCGTAATTTTACAGAGGAGATCTGTGGAACAAGGCCAGGATACTAGTGGCCTGGCCGCTTTATTCACGCTTATGAGAAAGAGCTTACCTGTCGCTATACAGTACAACCGGTATCGACCGCGACTGCAAGGCAGCAGATTCGGCATGGAAATACACGCTGTACTTCCAAAAATTGGCCAGAAATATGGAGGAATACAAGATCCAACCAGAAAATATGTATAATATGGATGAGAAAGGATTTCTTATTATAATTGTTTCTAAAAGCAAGAGAATCTTTTCAAAGCTAAAATATAAAAGAGATCGCTCCGTACAACATATCCAGGATGGGAACAGGGACTAGATTACCGTGATCGCCTGTATTTGCGCTGATCAGACCTCGCTGCCTCCAGGTCTAATATATCAAGCCGTTTCGGGAGATTTACAGGACTCATGGCTTCAAGATTATAATCCTCGCAAGCAGGATTGTTTTTTTACCTCTTCACCAACCGGTTGACTAATAACGACGTGGGTTTTGCATGGCTTCGAGATATCTTTAATCCTAAAACCAAGGCTAAAGCAGGGAGGTCTTGGAGGCTTCTCCTGCTTAATGGCCACGGATCTCATGTCACAAGGAGGTTTCTTAATTTTTGTGAAGCTAATAAAATCCTTGTGGTAATATATCCTCTTTATTTAACGTATTCTCTACAGCCGCTTGACATTAGTATCTTTAGACCGTTGGCCAAGGCATATAGCAACAAACTGGACGAGTATTTGTTTACCGCGCAGGGCCTGACCTCTATTACGAAGAGGGTATTTTTTCCGCTTTTTTTTGGAATGCCTGGGGGACCACTTTATCCAAGCAAAATATCGAATCGGCATGGAGGAGTGTTGGTATATGGCCATGGGATCTAGCACAGGTTTTAAAGCGCTTTACGTGCGGGGTTAGCTCTAGGCCTTTATCTAGTGGCTCTACGCACTCTATACTGACGCCTAGAGATTGGCAACGGATAGAGAGGCTTTTTAAAACTATAGTTGCTGATATTTATGACAGGAGAACCAGAATTATTCTTGGATACCTTCAGCAGCTCACCACGAGAACTCCTTGCTTAAAATCCATGCCCAGGGCCTTGAAGATACCTTGGTAAATGAGAAAAGGAAGCGCCAGCATGGAAAAGGCATGCAATTAAACAACTTATTTTTTTTAAAGGATGGTGGTGCTATATTCTACTCTCCAACAAACATCCAGAGGTCTCGAGACCTCCAGGCAGAGAAGGAGGCAGCTGAGGCAGCTAATAAAGCTTCAAAAGAGCAGGCAAAACTTCTTCGACAACAGGCCAAAGAAGAGAAACAGCGCCAGAAGGAAGAGAACAAGAGAATAAAGGTATTCGAGAGGCAACAGCGCCTGGAGAAGGAGGAGCGGAAAAAGCGTGAGAAAAAAGAGGCTTGCCTGGCCAAGAAGGCGGAGCAGCAGCTTTAAAATAATATTAAAAATGTTAAGAAGGGTCGGAAGAAGCGAAATACCGCTTTAAATCCTTAAATCCAGGAAGATACTAGTGGTAAGGCTGCTAAAGTTGTTGAAGAGGCCTCTACAGTAACAAGCTGTAGTGGGAGGTTGGTACGCCTCCCACACCGCTTCCGGGATGCTTTAATTTTGTATATAGCTTTACCAGGACCTCACCTTTAATACACCAAAAAAGCTAAGTATGATTTTATTTGTACGTGGTGTTGTGGCTTCGTTTCTGTGGTGGATTTCGATCGAAAACTGGATCGTCAGGCGGTAAAGTACGTTAACAGTCTTGGCACGTTCTCCTTGCTGTCTCCCGGTCCGACTCGACCTCAATTTCCGCGAGAGGTTCGGCTCGCCACGGTGGCAGCGGTGTTGGGTCGATCGTCTTTAACTCGTTAAGTCTTTCTAGGTTCGTGGTCTTCAGCGCTTCTGCTAGTGGGAAGCGAGCGTATTACCCGGTGTTATTCCTGCGTTTCTGGGCCCGGGATATCGCGCTCCAAATAGGGTGGTCGCGTGGTAGAGTGTGAAGTCTTGCGATAGTGTTCTGGGCTCGTTGGCGCAGACAGAGGTGCGTGGGAAGGACGTGTGCTTCCACCTCTAAAGTTGTGGTGGCCACCGTCCTGAATGCTAACAGGGTGCGGATCAATGAGGTCATCTGGGCTGTGCTCAGGTGTCGAAGGTGGGTTTTGTCCCGGAGTGGGTCATGCCAGACTGTCGACGCAAGTTCACGGCCGGCGTGAGACAAACTTGGTAGACCTGTCGCATCTGCTCTGGGCGCAGATGCCGTAGCCCGCTTAACGCGATGTCACTTTGGTTGCCCGTTTGATAGCTTGCTGGACGTGTTCATTCCACCGTAGCTCCTGGTCGAAGATCACGCCTAGCAGCTTAGCTTTGGGTGAGGGTTGAATAACTTTCCCACTCATGACTACCTGTCCCTGGAGCTGTTCGCCTCTTTTCCTAGTGAGGTGGATCAGTTCGGTCTTCTCAGCTGCGAAGCAGGACCCAGTTCGTCGGGCCCATGTTTCAATGCGGGGGGGGGTTGTCTTCCGACTGGATCTTGGCTAGGTTCTCTTCGGCTGTGTGGCCTACTCGTCAGCGGAAGTAATCGTCAATAAAGGCTGATGCACCATCGTGGAATGTGACGGGTCGGTCATTCACGTCGTTTTTGTTGCATCCCTTGAAAGAGGGTCGCTGAGCGTGCATGTTCTCGCCCGAGCTCTGCACAGCTCTCTTGCCACTTCCGGCGTAACTGATTAATCTTTGTCTGTTGGATTTTGAGATCTGGCGTGAACCAGCGCTTGGAATATGGTGTTGGTCGTAGGTTAGGAGTGTGTCTGTCCACTGCCGCTGGAGTTGCTTCCTTGAAGCTTTCCACTACCTTGACTAGCGCCGGTCTGGCTTTCACCTCTTTCCACGGTCCCATCTATTGAAGCACCTCTCTAGCGATACTGTCCCAGTCTGCGCGGTCAAAGGCCTTCTTCACCTTTACAGTAGGCTTACGCTGGGCTCTCAGGTTCCATTCCGAATACGTGGCACGGTGATCTGATCCGTAATTGTAGTGGTAGAGATGGCACTTGATGAGTAGATCTGGGCGGTTTGTTACAGTCTGGTCGATGGTGGAGTTCCTCTCTGTGTCGCTGAGAGACCAGAGGGTTGCCGTTCCTCGGGGGGGGGAGGCAGCCGTGTAGGCTATTCGCCTGGAAGAAATTGATCAACTCGCTTGCGTCCTCAATAAGGCTATTGCACTACAGTAGGCTTACACCCTGGTTACTTTCTATTCTAAGATCTTTGCCGGTAAAATTTGCAGTGGATGAAGCTTTGATATAATTTAGGGTAGATTTTGATTTAGCCCGGATTTTATAATGAGAAAGGTAGGAAAGTGGTTATAGTTATATATTTCTGTGTTACAGTACTTCCAAGATACCGTGTAAGCTCATATTTGTTTTCGGCTGTAGAAATGCGGCAGGCACTACAAGCATATCAATATCAGAGATGTCGTTCTTGTACATAGAGCAACACACAAGCTTTATTTTTGTGTACACAATAAGCAGGAACCTTTTGCGGGAGCAAAAAACAATCCAACGCCATCAACTTCCCTTTCAGTCTCCTCAATCACCTGCTCCTAGCACTTACTGAGATTGTTGTACCGCATTTGACGTGCTGTACCAATATACTGTACAAAATGGAGAAGCAATGTAACGAAAGAGAGGGCTGGGTTTTTTACCGCTACGCTAACTGGCCAAAATGGCACAATGTTTGGACGAGAATATGTAAGTGTCATATTCTTTTGTCCGCTCATATCTACCCATTAGATATGCACTGCTCCAGAGTTCTTCAAGTCTCGAACTGACTTCTTCTTGTTGAACATTTTTCTTGATGTACTGTAAAATAGGCTTAGTCCCGAAATTATAATGAGTTACCAAACGTACATATGGCATCCGTGGCTCAACGTTTCCCAGGCCAGCGTTTGCCCCTATCCGGGCAACATCCATCAAGACCTTACTTTTATTCGCCAAAAGAGTTCTGGGGTCGCAGTAGGCTCACCTGAGGATGCTAATAGCTTGGATAGCCTGGGCGTAGTTAGGGTGCTTGACAACATTTTGGAAGAGGGAATTGGTGGAGCTCAGGTCCGAGTGCTCGATTTCCCGTCTCAAGTTGCGTTGAACGATGAAAAATTGATTTTTGAGAAATTTCAGACTTTTATGACGTATATAACGATAAAGCCGATGTCTAGCCGTAACCGTATGTCGTGATAAGTACATGTTCTTTGACTGGACTAGCTGAAGTAAGTGTTGTTGTGTTATCCACAGAGCCGTTCGACTCAGGCTCGTGCAAATACTAGCTCCTTGGCAGACGTTTGGCCTGAGAAAGTAGGAGAAGTAACTCGATGCCAAACTGATCCACTCCTACCTCCGCTAGTGATACTTCTTCTCGCCACCCAATTAACTTAGTTCCGTGCGTTGAATCACTGGACATTTGATTCTGCAGCTCGCGGAGCATTTGGAATACTTTCAGCTCATCTGCTCCACAATTAGCGCTGCAATACCAATACAGTTGCAAGAGTCCAACCTAGATCTGTGGGGACAAGTGCCTCTATCATAGCCGTAGGTAAAATTAGGCCGTAGTTTAAACAGCAGTTATCTTATTTATCCCAGTAATTCTAAAGAAACAAGGCATGATCTATACTAGTAAAGAATAGAGTTCTAGGAATCAAATTTTCTCTCGCTTTCAGAACGCTTGCGTTGAATATGGAGTGGTCTAATTTTGTGGTATAGAAATTGGCTTTGGCGGAAGGAGAATTTGGGAGAAGTATTTATGTGCAACCATATGCTATAAATGGATAAAGGCAGGATGACTTTATGTGGAGCAGACAAATTGCTGCCTTCGTTTCTTGGTTGAATTACTCTATATGCCAACATTTTACCCTGTTGCTTCAGCGACTATACAGGGGCACCCGAAATTGCCTTCCACCATAAATACAAAGAAACTGTTTCGATCCCCAACGCCAAGAACAACTTTGTATATAATCAACTTGTCTCTTGATAAAGACGACCAATTATACCATAATATACTAAAACTAGCCTTCTATAGACTAGCGTTCGTCTTAGCATTAGGGATCGAAAACAGTCTCCCCTTGTTTCTTATGGAAGGAAATTTCGGGTGCCCCTGTAAAATGCAGGCTGAATTGTTCTGACTGCTATACATATACAATCTAGGCTGAGTTTAGAAGAAGATGGTGCAACTTTGTGATGCATAAAATTTATGCGCGTGCGCTTGCCAGTGGATGCAGATTTTCCTGTAGAATTACTGGGATGAAGAAGATTGGTTGATCAATGTTCTTGTCGACATTAAAAAGGCCCATGGCGTTTCTCCGTTTCCCCCCTTTACAAGCCAGGTTGAGCGCGGCCATGAAGTCCCGATTTTCAATTTCATGGTGTGAGGCCAGTTTCTCTGCGGCGCGCCACAGCCGAGAACTCTTTCCACACATTGAGGAAACTCATGCTTGCATTTCGAGAACACCGGCGCAAAAATGGAGCCATGGAGTGGCCTTCGCCAATTGAGACGCCCATTTCAATGACCACTGGCGCCCAGAATCCAAATCCATACAACATGCATGTCTACATGTCACTGAAGGGCACTACATTCTCGGTGACCTTATCATTCAGTTGCATCAACGGGATTTTGATCCCCATGAAGTGTCTGACCTTACTAAACACAATGGACTGAAGCCATTCCATCCTGGCCAGGCTGAAATCGATTTGCAGTCGGGCCAACGCAGCCTATCATTGTAGGGGAGCGAACGTTCCTGCTCAACCTTATAAGGCGCTGTGCCTTCTGGATAAATTGCTGCAGAGGATGATTTTGCGGAAGTAACTCGGCGATCTACGTACCGACCCTTCCTTGCGTGGGAACAATTCAGAGCCCTATGGTTTGATAGCGACGTGGTATCACCCCCCCCCAAATCTAACCTTCTCTTTCACCTAAATTACATGTCTTTACAGCAAATTTTCTTACAGTATCTTGTCATTACGTCAACAGTGTTTAAAGTCTCTCTACCGAGACCTTTGCGATATTCACTAACCAGAGAAAATTCGCTTCTTATCGTTGGTCTTCTCGAGTTTACCTACGAGCATATACAGGACGAAGTTAGCTGGGCAGAAGATCCCCACTTTGAAACTTAGTCATCCATTATATTACTTATGAAGTACGGTCTTTGGCGGACGATACAGTAGATCTGTTGCAGTAATTAATATTGGATTTCGTACAATTGCAGACCTTCTCGAAGTTGGTTTCACCAACTCGACATACTTATTTAACCCACACTAATTATTCGAAGGCAATTTAAGGCCCTGCATTGTAATATTTACTTGATAAGACCAAATTTTGAGAAAGCCCATGTTATGTTAAATACGTTACAGTAGATAGAAGCACCGCCCCTGAATTTCCGAGGAATATTATTTCGATGGATCTCCTCACGTCTACTGTAACCCTGGCGCCAATGATACCGCATCTGACCAAAGTACGAGTAGCACAGGCAGACACAATGTTTTTGACTCAGTGATTCGTATAGGACATACTAATTTTGTAAAACCGCCCTGCTTAGTACAGTACCTTCTAGGTAGAAATATATTTATTTTGTATGTATGTCTTTCCCTTGAGTTACTGTAGCAAGGCACTGAAATCCAAGATGAGACTCTTATTAATGGTCATCTTTTTAGATGGAATTTTAGCTAAGAGGAATTACGGAATTGAGAGCAAAGGCTATACTAGTGTCAGTAACTGGACATATACACCCTAAAATCTCTTATTTAGTGACTGACACATAACAGAGTCCATACGGTCGGATAGGACTGGAAGCATGGAACGAAGCAAATTGTCAAGGACGCACAGCCTTTACAGACTTTGATACGATTAGCTTCGGAGGAAATATCTCAAATGGATTCCCCTCACTGAGCTTTAGACTCTCTCGTCCGCTTCGAGGGCAAGAACAGCTGGGCATTTCTGTTACAAGAAATTTTGACACATGGTACCCGAACAAAAGACCAGCTGTTGCCAAACAGCTCATCATGCAATCATTTCATACAAAGATATATTATGATCAATGGGAGTACAGACTGCCACAACACTCCTCTGTTTACTTGCCACAGATTATGGGTAAATAGTGGCCTATCTGAGAGCTAGGTCTTATAGGTGGAGGATAAAGAGTTGTTAATATCCACATGTTGCTGTCTCTTTCTCAATATCTAAAATTATACAGTACACATCATTCCATAGCTTGTCACATTAGCGGTACCGATGAGGCGAAGCAATAGCCCAAGCTAAACAATGAATAATTAGCTACATACATATCGGGAACGTTCCATTAAATTTGATTGTATCCCCTGGGTTTACATAGTCAATCACGGTCGGAGTAATAAAGTGTTTCTTGGTCATAGGGCAAATTCACGGTATAAATTGCACCAGATGTAAAAAAGGCCAGGATCTGATTTGGCTGCAATGGTATATACAAATAATTGTGACTACTGAGAACTCCAGAGTAGTTCTGAGACATGCTCTATGAAAACCTGGCATTGTGGAATCCGCAAAAGCGAACGTTGCTACCTTTAACATAACAGAATTAAACAGATTAACTCCACATGGGTTTCTGTATGTATGAGAGATTGCTTGTTAACAAAAGTTGTCATAAACTGGCCTTTTATATTATATTGTGGAGGCATGTTACTCTTGTAAATTATATAAAAACACCATGTGCAGAAGAATAGTATAGATGTTGTATCTGTCCGATATTGATCTGTAGTTCAAAATACAGGTGATTTTATAAATCGGCTTTACGTATCTAATTTAAGAATAACTCTTGCGTTCTCGGAACCCGAGAACTTTCTTTGGGCCTAGCCCATTGATAGTCCAGTCTTCTATGCGCATAACAGATTAATTCCCCCGTTTTGGGACACCCATAAAATATTCCACTGACCCGCTCAATCCCACTCTTTTCAAACCTCATAATTCTAATAATCTGCTCTTCACGCTAAGGAGACGTATCTTAGGACAAGCTTCCATACATTTTTCTCTTTTCAAGCCCAAAAATTCCCGAATCTTCATTCTCTCCATAAAGATGCCCTTGGTTAATTTGCCTACAGAATTGCTGCTCTCGGTGGCAAATTGTCTGTCTCCAGGCTCCATTAACATGCTGACACAAACAAACCTACAGCTCTACTATCTCCTAAATTCATATCTATATCAACATAATTCGCGAAACTTCAAAAGTTCTGCTCTAGTGTGGGCCGCTGAAAGAGGAAGTATAGCGACGGCTCAAATTAGCATTTCAAATGGTGCTGATGTTGAGGTGGTCGACCTCAAGGGTGCCACACCACTTTCAACAGCAGCGTTAAATGGCCACGAGGGTGTGGTGAAGCTTTTGCTCGATATTGGACGTGTGAACGTGAACGCAGATGATAACTTCGGTGCCACCCCACTGTTGAAAGCTGCACAATATGGCCACGAGGGTGTGGTGAAGCTACTTCTCCGAACTAAAAAGGTAAATGTGGACTCAAAGGATAGAAACGGTGCCACTCCACTGTCCAAGGCTGCGTTTAATGGCCACGAGGCTGTGGTGAAACTGTTACTCGAGACTGGACAGGTTGACGTAGACTCAAGGAATTACTCCGGTGCCACCCCACTTTCAAATGCTGCGCTCTATGGCCACGAGGCTGTGGTGAAATTGTTGCTCGAGACAGGACAGGTGGACGTGGACTCAAAGAATAATGTCGATGCCACGCCATTATCGAAGGCTGCATGTAGTGGCCACGAGGCTGTGGTGAAACTGTTACTCGACACTAGACGGGTGGACGTGAACTCAAAGGATAGCTCCGGTGCCACACCACTGTCGACAGCTGCATGGTATGGTCATGAGGCCGTGGTAAAACTGTTGCTCAGCATTAAAGAGGTAGACGTGGACTCAAGGGATAAAGTTGGTGCCACTCCATTGTCAAAAGCAGCATTGTTTGGCCACAAGACAGTTGTGAAGCTATTTCTCGGGACAAAACAGGTGAACGTGGACTCAGAGGATAAATTCGGTGCCACACCACTATCGAAGGCAGCGTTGTGTGATCATGAGGCAGTTTCGAAGCTATTACTCGGAGCTAAACAGATGAACAGGGACTCAGACGATAACATCGGCACCACAGCATCCAAGGCAGCGTTGTGTGGCAATGAGAACATAGTAAATCTGTTTAGGGGGCGGACGTGGTTTAGATTTCTTTGAAGAAATGGAAGAAGCAGCGCTTCACTCTAGGATATGAGCTCTTGCAAAACAAAAAAAAGCATTAGAGGTACTTGATACAGTATAATGTAGAACTAGATAAAGAAATAACACACCATCAAATGTACCCTTATAGTTCTACTGCGAAAGTATTCTTTCAATATAAAGTATATAATTATATGTAAATATCTGTCTGACTTGTAGTTATATATGATGGTCATATTGCGATAGGCGTAGCTTGGAACCCACTAAAAGTTGATAGACTTGAGTAGAGTTTTGGTCGCTTAGACTCGAAATTTTGGTTGATTACGCTTATCACTAGATTTTTATTCTCAATTAGAGACTCTGACTTAGCTATGCTTGTCTTAGGGGAAGAAAGATTACATATTGCAAGAAGACTTTCCACGATGAAATACATGCCAACGTGATTTTGAGTAGAATAAGAAATAGTGCATATATATACCCAATACTCCTCATAGAGGGGTCGGGCAGACAATCCTTCTGAATACAATCACTTCAGACCCCCCAGAAAATCTAACAATTTCCAACATTGTTCTTATTTCTTTGCGAGGCTTCTAATTACTTGCAGCGCGGACATGTTATTACGGAGAGTACTTACTTATCCCTAATACTTATCTCGGTTCTAGTTTAATACACCAGGCTGATGGCATAAAATATGTAACTAGGTTTCACATGGACGTATGCCCCACACAGTACAATCTTCATTCCGTACATAAGTTACACCCGCTTTCCATGCAACATCATTGGGTTTGGGGTTTGAAGTATCGCCTGTTCAAAGTCTTGGTTAACAACCGTCCAACCAGACTAGCGCTAGGGAGTGTTATTCCTCACATTTGGTATCAATAAATTGATAAAAAAAGTTCATACACTCATACGTCTTTGCCATTGGACTATATCCGTAGTCTGGTGGGTTTTCTGTGCATCCAGCAAACATGACACTCGCGCACATCTTCGGCTCCCCTGGCCACTCAGAAGAGGTCTTCAGTTCCTTATTCCGTTCTTTGCTCCAATCGACTATACCACTGGCAAGAAACGCGCAGTGATTGCGCCATGTTTCTTCCATATGTGCGCGACTAACAAAGTGCTTGGGGTCATTGGGTTTTAATTTGTAAGTGTCTGAGTCGCATAGAACAGTATCTCCACCAGCCTCTTTGCTTTTCTCCGGCTGTGCAGTACTGGCTGCACTGTGAACTGGTGTTACATGAACGGAGCTAGAGACAACACTTTGCCCTGTACCACTTGTATCTTAGCTGCACCATAGATACAAGGTTGTGTAATAGAAGTTCAGTTAAATGAATATCCTTACCAGCAAGAGCAGCGCATAACATGGATAGCAAATACGTAAATATAAAACAATACTGACTTGTTCGCATCTTTCGAAGTACAATCATGTGAGACGGCATCTGGTGGAGTGTAGATAGAGTCAGGTCTATATACTGCAGGAGACAGTATCCAGTCTGGGAGGCGATGTTTCCTCTACCATGCTATTCATAGCAATCCCGGGAGTCTGCCTATGGAGGCGATAATAAGCCTAGAGACATTCTGTTCCATATATACTCCGCCTATTTTAAGTCGGCTTTGTATTTAACGCTCAAGTGTCGGACTACTTATAGTATTTCGCCACCAAGCAGGACACCCCACCAAACCAAACACCTCTGCATAGACCTCACCAAGACCCACAAAATGATTCTAAATCAAGGACCAAAAACCCAAATATAGAGAGAGAAAGAGAGAGAGAGAGCGAGATTGCATTATATCCTATGTAGCTACTGTCCAGATGCTCTTCAAGAGTCACCAACGGTTGAACGGTCAGGTAAATAGTAAAAGACTTAAGGCTTTGCGCCATGGGGAATTGGCACTGGCATGTTAACCTTTGTATCCTCTTGTCGAGAATTGTCGATTTGACAGTGGTGGTCTTGCTTACATCATATCCAGGTCCACCAACGGCCCCCCTCAAGTCGAAGCTTTCCTTTTCGCTCTTCATGAAGCTATTCAGGTGGCTTTTCATCATTCCTTTTATCCCAGAAATATCCCGGAGGCCTAACTGATCCACAAATGGCTTAAATTTCTGCTGTGGAAGCGCTTTGGTGAGTCCGTCTGCCAGCATCTTATTTGTTGGCGTGCAGATGACATGAATCCTTCCTTCTAGAACTTCCTGCATGAGTCAGTGATTATGGATATGCACATGTCAAAGCCGTGTTTAAAGTTGGTTTATATCTTTCTGCACCAGCCTGATTGTTTGAAGATTATCGCAGAATATTTGAATCCGCTAGCGCTGATCCTTCTTTCTCTTATCCAGCTGAATTCCAAGCTCTTTAAACAGTCTGCTGAAGAATATTCCTTCTCCAGCAGCATGAGATAATGCTAAAAGCTCTGCCTCAGTCATTAAGATAGTCACCGTTGCGTTCCTATCAGCTCTCCATCCTATTACTTCAAACAACTATAGTATAGACCCCTGCGAGCTTTTCCGATCCTCTGTTATCCGCAAACGAGGCATCGCTGTACAGGATGAAGTAGTCTCCACCCCCCAGCTGGGTTTTTCGTTCGTTTAAAGTATAAAAGGACCTCGGTCAGCGGCAATATGGTGTTTAGCGCTTGGATTGGTGAGGAAGCGGGATAATCTGGACACTGCAAAGGCTATCTCTGGTCGCGTGATGATGCTGCGTACATTAATGAGCCATTCTTCATCTGATATGTCCGAATGCTTTGGCGTGTTACTTGTCTGGAATAAGCAAGTAGCTTATATCTGGCCGTTGGTCATCTAATGCTACTGTAGCCAAGTTCAAAGAGTTTATTATAAAGAAACATTCGCACCAACAATCCGCATTGACTCCCTGCGAATTATGCTAGCAATTATCGCACTTGAAGACCTTGAAGCGCATCAGGTTGATATTACCAATGCTTTTACCGAAGCAACGCAGCAAGAGTGAATATATATGCGTCCGCCAGCTGGCGCTGAGCTGTCCGATGGACGCATACTCGAGTTAAAACAGAGCTTGTAGTTTGTGTGAAATTGGTTATATTCAAAAAACACTTAAATGGAATTCGAACAGATTCCAAGTGACCCATGTGTATTTCGCAACCACACCACAGGTGTCCTTATCGGAATATACGTGGACGACCGGCTCATTGCTGCGAAGAACGTGCTAGAAATTCACAAGCTTAAAGCGAAATTCGCGGAATACTTCAATATCAAGGATCCGGGGGGTTCAAAAATCCTCGGTATCCGTATAACCCGCGAACTCTCAAACCGCACGATCTACCTGCACCAGTCAGCATATAATAAGCAAATGTTGCCACAGTACGATATGGATCATGAAGCGATTGCACCAACCCGCGCACCGATGGCAAGTTACAATGTTCGCAATGGTCTATTCGCGACCTGAATTGTGTATGTAGCAAGCAAGCTCGCTCAGTTCATGGACAAGCCAACCAAAGAGCATGCTCAGTGCACTAAGACCCGCCTATGCTACCTGCGATCAACAATTAATCTGAAGATTCGCTACGTGTAAAGGGGGCGGAATGCCTTGCTATCTAAGGACTAGATATACACAAAGAGGAATCGCCGGGAGGAAGGAAGTAAAAAGTAAAGAGGAAGACCCCTATTTTAGCCGTAACTTATGTTGTTGTTAAGATATTATGATGATAAAAAGTATACTTTATATGCTATACAGGTACGCAGCTGGTTTACCGGTTACGTTACAGGTAACCCAGTCTCGATTGCCTGGCTGTACAAGAAATGGCTTTTCATGCATATTATCCGATATTCGGCTAATACCGAATAGGAAAGTAGACACTATTCTTGAAAGGTGCTTAAATGATTGTTTTAGATGGGTTCTTGATTATATTGATCAACATATGATCATTCTTGTGATTATTATTATGGATCATTAGGTTGCTTCTTCTGCTAGATGTAGGGGAGTTCGTTTTACCCCTCTTTTATGACCTTGTTTACGTCACTATTACCACCAACTTATTTGACACATATTAGTGGCGGACCACCTGACCACCCACCGCCTTTTAATACTAGCTCTTTAACTACTTTAGCAGTAATACCAAGCCCATTGCAAACCAGTTTCGTCAAATTATAGATATCTTGTGCAATTCCATGTTGCATTATAGTGATTTGTACGGGATCAAACCACTCTCTAAGAATTTTAGGATCCTCACATTTAGCACACTAATCATTATAGCATCTGGAATATCTTGATTTAAGCTCATCACGCCGTTTAATAAAGTTGTATACACATTTATCACGAACAATTTGAATAGCCTTGACAAGAAGAATATTGGCCATTTCTTGCACATGGGATGGCCATTGAGCAGCTCCACGTCGATCCAATGAAAATATCCACCTTACAAGCGATCCTCTTCATTTTGAGTCATTTTATGACTATTGGCGCGTAATTCATGGCGAAGTACACTGCCTTTGAATCGGTCATAAAATATTGAGTGCGGAACGTTATACACCCCAGCAGCTTCGCGAATATTGCAGATTTCTTTCTTTTTCAAAGCTGATAATGCTAATAAGATCCTACCTCCTGCTCAACTAAATTTATTGAATTTTGACGAGCTTTTGGAGGCATAGTAGGTGTTTGAATTGATTGATTATTTTGAAGACAGCCGAAACGGAAGACGTGTCCGGGTCGCTTAACTAGTTACCGGTTACGTTAGCAGGCAAGGCCCGCAAAGTGCTCAAGCCCACACCAAATTCTTGCCAATCCTTCTCTCCACGCTCTCCAAGCTCTCCTCTGATTGCTGTACAAATGTTTCCTTCTTAGGTTTAGTATTTATTGTTATCTGGCCTATCTTTATGGAATATTCATGGAATACTGGTACTATGATTCCTTAGTGCTTTTGAAGGCCAGAAGGCCAAATTTACGTAATAAACGGAAGTAATTTTTAAGTGGACATCGCATTGCACGAGTCGCAGGGGAGGGGCGGTGATTGGCCCACGTAGGTGGGTTGAAAGGATTGAGGGAGGGATAGAAAAATATAAGATAGGGATTTTTCCGGGGGAGTGGGAGGGGCAAAAGGATTTGACTCTCCGGTACCCCTACGGGATCTCAAAAGGTACAGTATGTGGCGTGGAAGGCCAGTGGATTTATGGAATATAGTAGTCGCTAATAATGTATGGAGTAGTTGGTGAAATATTTTTGTTAATTTTTTAGCGTGAAACATTATACGGAGGAATTAATTGAACGAACGGAGGTGAGTATTGTATTTGCTGGAAAATATATTGGGAGAAGGCTAAGAATTGTTAGTGGGATTTAAAGGTTGCGATGATGTTAATGGTTGAAAAAATTGGGTTTATAGTATCGAAGATGGGGGATGAGGAGCGGGGAAGGTTATTAGAAGAGTTTCAAGGATACTTAAAGGAGTGTGTTGATATGAAGAGGAGAGTGTTTTTGCCGACGATTTGCATGAGGAGTTGGGCTAAGAGTGGCATTGGAAGAATGGTGAATCAGATTTGGAGTACAACGGAGGTGCTTGATGTTTTGGATAGACTGGTTGAGAAAGGCAGGGACGGTGGGGACAAGATGTATGAAGTTAGTGTTGAGCCGTTGGAGGAGGCGGTTATTATAGGGGAGAAGGTTGAGATTGTGAAGAGCATGGGAGTGACAAATGTGATAGAGTGGAGTGGATATCAAGTGGCGGAGTATTATGGAAAAGTGTTTTTAATGTTGGGGAGTAGTTTGAGAGGGGAATTGGATAGGTTGAAAGGAGAGTTGTAGAGATGTTGTTGGTTGTGGCTGTTATTGATTGTTATTGTTTGTATAGTGTGGTGAAAATATACAGTACAGTATATATTTATGGAAGTATGTTGTAAGGTGGATTTTGTGGAGTATGAGACTAGAGGGTTACGTTATGGAAAGGGGAAGTGATTTTGAAATTTGGAGGGTTTAATTTTATGTCAATCTTTCAATTTTAGCACACCTGAAAATATGCTATCTCCCCTAATAATAGATATGCAAGATATATACAAGCATCAGTGTCCTATGCCTGATGTATAGCCCTGGTAGAGCACTATCTACCATGTTTCACCGCTTCCCCTGCATTTTTAATGTCCTCTGGGGCGTACTTATTTTCCTACTATGGTGTGTATGGCTTAGTGTATCTGATTGGTTGAAAAGGCGTCATAGGATAAGATGGGCTAAGTCATCTCCCCTACCGAATACTGACTGTGATTTCTAGACGCTCTAGGTTTATAGGAGGAATCTCTGACCGATATTCGATTGCATAGCTAGTTCCTATTGGAGGGTAGTGTATCTAATGTAGCGGAATTATTTTTTGCTGGCTATATTACGACGTGCGTAGTGCAGTGTTTTTGTAGATATAATAACAGCACGAAAACTTCCTGCGGCAGGTGCAATCCCTAGGCAATTTCACACTTTTTCGTAAAAATTTTTTCCTGATAATATACTGTACAATATACAGGCTGCCGCTAAATCAGTCTGACACTCTTTGCTTTTGTTCCAATAAATGCCAAGTGAATCCGCGGCGATGGACCTGACAATCTATAATAGAGGCGCTGAGTAGTGCAGTGGGACATTGGACGAAGCAATGGGAGAGGGTAAGCAACGGCTACATACGTCTAAGGACGTCTAATATCCATGGCCGCACAGGGCCGGGCCCGTTATAAAGGCCTTCAAACCTCATGCCTTGTGCTTCGGGCTAAAACTCCCATGACCGGGCGATACATGCTTGTGCGTCCTCTGGGCTGGTATGCAGCCAGTTTCGCTCGCGTCCGCCGGTGGAAACGGCCATCATATTCTGATGGGGCCGTTCCCGAAGCTCGTTCAGAAAATCTGAGACGTACCGGCCGCCGCCATATCCATCTAGATCCGCACCTACTCCGCAAGCGAGCTTGAGTAGGGCTCGTCGCGGTGGACCGAAGTGCCTCGGTAACGGGTGGTAATAACGACACTGCGGCTGCATGTCGGCCTGGAAGGGTAGAGACTCCAGCGGGTTCCAGCTGAGCGTGGTTCGACATCGGAACCGGAAAAATAGTCATCGTGGTCCAACTCCACCCACCTGTCTAAAAGTCATCTGCACATTTACATCTACCACTCCTACCACCACTACCCCTACCACTTCCTGGTAGTCGCCATACCAGCCCTAGTGTTTATGTATTCAAGCGCCCTCGAGCGCAGAGGGGTCGGGTCCCCTCGATTTCCCCGAAGGGGATTGAGAAGCGAGTGGAACGAGCGGGGGTACCCCCCAGAGCGACGGGCAAGATGATCTATGTAGTAGTATACGTACTTGGTATTGGTTTATAGTTAGTGGCCACTGTATTACTAAATGTTGAAAATATTGCGCTGGAAAAACCTCATCGTGGTTCGGGAGCGCTGGAGGAATTTTAGCGTATTTTTCGAACCACGCTGAGCTGTACGCCCCGAATCTATCTAAAGTCGGACCGAGCGGATGCTGAACAATAGGTAATGTATTGGCCCACTTTGGTCGACACTAAGGAAGTGTTACGGAAACGCTAATTATAATCCGCCCGACTTTGGCGGCGCGGAAATATCTAACGATCCATTCTACCCCTCAATCCTTTAGATAGATGAGCACCCAGATAGGAATGCAAGAGACTCAGTTGGTTGAGATACTGTGATTCCTGGTGTTTCTACTGAATGACATCTACTTCCTAATTAAGCTAGTTGGCCTGTAGCTGATAGAATAGCTCCCTGCGCATCACTTCCCCTGAATTCCACAACAAGAAGCTATATAGCCTTTTTAATCGTCCCAAATCGTTGTGGAAGCCGAATCTACCTGTCTCGGCGATTTACTCTTGTAGAGGGCTGACGAACTTCACTGTAGGTCACCACGTGACGATCGGCTCCATCTGGCGACCGATTTCTAGGTACACCGACATTTGAACCGTGGGTTTTAAACCACCATAGCTCAGTCAATATGGATCCTATCAAGGCAGCTTTAGCTGAGATAGAATCCTTAAAGCCAAGGGAATCGATTAACTACACCAAAATTGCGAAAACTCACAATGTGAGCCGAATAATACTGTTAAGATATCACCGCGGTGCACAGCGCTCTAGAGAAGAACAGTATGAAAACCAACAAAATCTCAACTACCAACAGACAAAAGAGCTTATAAAATGGATAAATAAACCATCCAGCCGTGGCCTATATCCACTGGCCCACCGACCTTGATTTCTGGAAAGCCAGCCTTGGCCAGAAGATTGCGGGCGGACTGGACTTTTTGAGACGCTTTACTAAGGAGTAGTACCAAAGGCCCTCCTCTAGCGAATCCTCACACTCAATTCTACAAACAGAAGACTGGCGGGAGATTGAAAGGCTTCTTAGATGTGTTGTTTCTGATATTTATAATAAAAAAACCAAAAAATTGAGTTCTACAATGTACCGCCTCTTTACAGAGAGTATTTTGCTTAAACTGCGCTGTGAAGGCCTCGAAAATGCCCTCCAGAATAAGCAAAGCGTGGAAAGCCTCTTATATTTAATCTACATACCCCAGAAGATAGCTATGCAGTATTCTATTCTCTAGAAAAATCCAGCAAGCTCGGGATGTTCAAACAGAAAAGGAGAAGGGAATACAGCTTACTAAGGCTTATAAAGGGGAAGAAAAGCTCCGCAGGCAGCAGGAAAAGGAAGAGAAACAACGCTTAGTGAAGAGAGGAAGAGAATCAGGGCATCTACAGTAATAGGGAATTGCGTATCCAGGAGCAGAGCAAAAGAGACGTCAAATGGCAGAAGCACCTGGCTAAATAGGCAGATTTACAGCCTCAAATTACTTCAAACGGGTTAAAAAAGGCAAGAAGAAACTGTCCAGGCCCTTACAGATAAATATCAGGAGGATGTTGTTGAACCAGTTGTTGATGTTACAGTATTAAAGAGGCCCATCCTACAGTAAATCGTCGAGGAAGGCAAATCCGGCTACCACAACCCCTTTGGGACGATTAAAAACATTTTGATAGCTTCTTTAAGGCCCCAATTTCAATACCTTAATATATCTCTGTGTAATTTGAATTGTATGTGGCCCTAACGATTCAATTCTTGACATGGTCGTTGGTGTGAAATCGGCGCCAATGCCGATCGTCACGTGGTGACCTACGTAACGCTCAGCCAAAAAGTGTCGACTCCAATTCAAACTGATGGCTATGTTGTGGAATTCAGGGGAAGTGATGCACAGGGAACTATTCTATCAGCTACAGGCCAACTAGCCTAACTGGGAAGTAGATGTCCTTCAGAGACCTTACCTTCAATATAGATGGATCCCTATCCATAGATCAGTGATACTAGCTCATACGCGTATTCAGCTGGCCGACATCTACTCTACCTGACTACATACTCCGTATGTAGGTGGCAAGGGCAACAGAAGTGGGTCTGCATCGACTGATTCATGACATTTGCTAGTATTTATGTACCAAGAATATACTGCATAGTACATATCTAAGGAAACCATTCACTAATAAAGTCGACAGTCCTACCACAATAACACTCTCACTTTGCTTTCTTCATCGCTGCAGGCTCTTCGAATGTCTGATGTTGTGGAGCTGGTCCATCAACTTGAAGGGAGTCTGGAGGCCAGATCTTGAGGGCCACGACATCCGGGTGGTTGCAGTGTATTTGTCGATGCGACAATGTAGAGATCCTCCTGATCACAGAGAGGAGGCTGCGCAGCCGAGTTGATCCATCGGCGTCGGTAATGTATTAGTTGAAACCATTACGAAAACCGCGCCTAAGGTTAATAACCCAACTCCGATCCCTCGTACGTACGAAGAGGCCATTAACAACCCTGTCTACGACCTAAGTGGAAGAAGGCTATTTCGGTCGCTTATAGGCAGGCGATCGGCTATCACGGGCTGTACTAGGCTTTTTAGACAAGAAGCTCGGCGTGTGGACTCCGTCTGCGGATCTCCCTACATCATCCCGCCTAGCATAGTGAGCAGAGCAATACGTCTGCCACCTTCTCCACTACTGTAACTTGTCTCATCTAGCTCCCAGCCCACAGAAATGTGGAAACTAGTAAGTCCGCTGAAATCGGACCAGCCGACAAATGCCTTATTAAATTGGGCCTTGGTCGGATGTAAACTAAATTAGGAGCCTAGATTTTGGGTTTGGGGGTTACGGGCCTGTATCGGGTACGACTGGATCTGATGGTAATGGCTTGTCGGCTTGAACACATGATTTAAGAGAGGTAGAAAGCTGTGAATTTCTGTAGTCATACTTGGGCACTGGTGTGTGACACTGACATTATAACTTTGCGGACTGCCTACGTGTGTATAAGCTTGGTGGGCTCTCGACAGTGGGCTTATGGGCTTTTCTAATTGCTGACTATCATCTAAATACACCAAGCCCCAAACTCTGCACCATAAAATCGTGCACAAGAAGGGAACAAAAGAAAATGAAAATAAAAAAGAAAAGAGAAAGTAAGAGAAATGATATATACATACTGTAGGCAGAAGAGCTATTGCTACCAAGCTTAACACCGTTGCTAGCATAACTACATATAAAGCCTGTTTCTTGTGCATATTCAAAGTTATATCCGGCGCTTCAAAGGTACAGTATCACCGTGGATAGCAAGCTCCCCTGAAGCCTCTATTCCTCCATCAGGGGCGAACTCCTCCAACTAACAACTTTGCCACCGTAGTTACATAGACTGTGTCCAGACCCTATAAACCATAACCGCGTAATTACGTCACTAGTGATAGGAACATGTTTTAGTTGATACATAGCACGGGCTTATATAACTGGTTTGTGGATCAGGACGATTCAACAACGCTGTCGACCAAAGTCGGAGTAGACTGGATGTATTCTTGGATGACAATGGAGTGATTTGGCATGAGATTTACCTTATTACTCACCAGTGATCTTAACAATGTTGTCATTATTGCAGAACCCTCCAGTGTTTGCAGCGTCTGTATCTTTCGTTTGGCTGAATGCGCAGTGTGTAAGGTGTTGTCAATCTGCCTACGAAGGTGCTGTGGCAAAGTGGGGAGATCGCGCTGTTTATTGAAATGGCTCCGCAAACGGTCTCTATGCCGCAGAATAAACGACTTGCGATTCTTGTAGCAGATACTAGTTCTCCGGTAGTTTGACACTAGGACCAGAGAAATGATCTCCAAGATCCGATTGATGTCTCCTTCGGGCAGTCGATTGTGCAAATGCGGGATTAACGGAGGTTTGCGTTGGATGGACATCGGCTTGGTATTGATACCCTGGGACAGCTGCTTAGTGGGAACGCCCAGAATGTGATTCCTTTCACTGTCAGCTGTTCTTTCTTGCTCCTTTGCACATGTATAGGCTCCTTCGCCTGTCACCCAGGGATGCCGTAGCGCCTCGTGGGCCGTGATACGTCTGTTTGGATCGAATACAAAGATCTGTTGAAGGAGGTCAAGAAATAGCTGGTCAAACATGGTCTCATTTGGAATGAGATGCTGTGGAGCAAGAGACCTGAGTCAGCAAAACTCGAAACCGGAAATAATCGGGTTGGAGTCTTACACCGAGCATCTCTGTTTTTGTCACACGGCTCATCGCTGTGGGTGGGATAGGCATGTAGCCCCGGATATACCTGAAGATGCTTGTCAGGGTCCAGAAATGCGTTGGTTAGATGGTAGTCTCCCACCTACCGAGAGAGATTATCCGGTAAATTCGATGACTGTTTTGCCTTTTCGATGAGATGGGAATCGATGGGACGGCCGAGCACATGCTCCATCGCCACGAGGTGCTCTATGCTGCTTCGTGGATTAAAGGCGGGCTTTCCGGTACAGAGCTCAAAGAGTATACAGCCAATGCTCCAAATGTCACAGGGAAAGCTCCACCCTAGATGCAAGACAACCTCAGGAGCGCGGAATGCTGGAGTTGTGACCTCTGGGTGATGGTATTCATCGCCGAATGTCGCCATGCCAAAATCAACTAGGCGGATTTGGGTGTCGCACAATTCTCGCCGTCGACCCCTGACATGGTAGGGAACCCCATCTGTGGACAGCACGCGATGCTGAAAGAACTGGACGCGGAAAGCCGGGTTCACCAGAAGGATGTTCTCCAACTTGAGGTCGGCGTGTGTGAGATTTAAGCTATGGATGTCTTTGGGAGTCAGAGGCAAAATACAGTATTCTTGAGGGGCAGAAAGGGGCATTACAGGCGATGTTCTGAAAAAGCTGCTGTGCAATATTCTGAACGTGGCTGCCGGGGAAGGGCTTGAAGCTATTCTGTTCTAAGAAGTCAAACAGGCTTTCTCCCAACAAGTCTGTGACAAGGCAGACATAATCTCGAAAGATAAATTTATCATGTAGACGGACATATTGGCCGCAATCAGCTCCTGCATTAGATAGTTTTGACAGTGCCCGGAATTCACGGCCCGCTACATGTCGAGAGTGAAAGATTTTGACCGCACGTCTACACCCTTCTTCACGATCTTCAACCTCGACCACTCTGCCAGAAGCTCCGCTTCCTAGGTTTCTGATTACGACATCTAGCACTAACGGTCAATGATGATGATTAGAAAGAGGAGAATGATAGAAAACTTACATCGGCTGGATAGCGCTGTCTGAGCTCCAATAGGCCTGGACCAATCATCTTTGTCGCTCATGTTTCAAACACTTCTCACGGCGAGGATCTGGTCAGCAAAGGCCAACGCCTCTGGAAGGATTAGTTATATATCCCCAAAATTCTGTGGGGCTGGGAAATATCGGCATAGTGACGTGAAGCCTCTAGTATTTCCCTCCATCTTGGGCCTAATGGTTATGCATATGATCTCTCTCCGACATGCATACTGCAGGTGGGATTTGAGGACCTATGGTAACTTACTTTGTGGAGGAAGCAATACATCTGGCTAATTTGGGCATGTCCAGCTCGTGCGAGACATAAACATAACTTGCTGACTTCTTTTCTTGGTCCTCGGGGATAAGAAGGGTTGGCTGTAAGAATAGAGTGGTGCTGACATACGTATAGTATAGAAAAGTGTAGATAACATGAATATGTTTGGTAAGCCTTGGATTTACCAGATTATCCTCAATATCACGTATTGACTGTGCTATGCAATCTCATTTTTTAGGGCTGTATCTGGCTCCATCGTTCTGCCCGCCTTGTTGGATGTGAAAATACGGTAGATAGTAAATTCACTAGTCTATACTGTGGCATTCCTATTGCTGTCCTTCATAAAACAAGGTTGTCCCTTTGTTTTGGGTACAGTAAGCGGTTTGGGTTATGGATGAATGATTGACTTTGGCTCCCTTTTGCGACAACTTACTTTTGTAGACGCCGTCGGATGTTCCTTACGGTGCTCATTATCTGATGTATTTAACTCGCTCGAATACACAAGGGCCCGACGCTGTTGGTCAAGAATCCATATCAACATCCTTAGCTTCTCTTGATAACTGTCCATATCCATTTTGGCGCACGGCAGGAACAAAGTCAAACAGAATAAATACGAGAAGGAATCTAAAGAAATTTGACCAAAGTCACTGGCGCACTCGTCAGAGTCAAGGGAGATGGGGAGATTTTACTATTAGCAAGTTACGTCACAGGACAGACTGAGGAGGAGTGGTTTATGTCAGGCTATTTGCGTTCTGCGATGGGTTGGAACGTGTGGACAACGGGCGGTAATTACCTCAGATTAATGGGACCGTTTCTTGTTTTCTCTAATATCGGTGAAGAATGTATAAATATCCGGTGATCACCATCCACAAGTGAGTCACTATTTTAAGGTTTCGTTTGACGACCATCCTCATTACTGATGGTGCTAATAGATTCGTTAAAGCAACCACGTATAGGTATAGCACGACTGCACTTGGATTAATTTTACAAGGGTTAACTACAATGTGGCGAGATACATCGCTCGACGTCCACCCCAGAAAATCTACTCTTTACTACTTGTGTGTCAATTCCTGCGCTTTTCCGTCGTGGCGGAACTATCGGGTTGTACTGGACGGCAAACCACACGTTGACTCATTTTTGCCGGATGAAGATATACTAGAAGCCTGTGATAATCCTGGCAAACCCAAGGGAGAATCCAAAACGCCTCGGGCACAATGCAGGCCCCTTAAAGTACGGTCCCGACAGCGACAGAGGGCCGGTACTCGCGTGAAGTTCCGGATGCCGAATCTCAGCGGCCATAGTGTGGCGGCTCGCACCATTGAAATACACACACATATGGGACAAGGCATTTCTGGTTAAAAAGGTTGATTCGTTCTGGGTGAAGGGTGTGGTGCGTTTTTCCAAAACTCGATCGACCTTCATTAAGGACTGATGTGAATATGGCTCGGACCTCGGTACAGGATAACCCCGTTAATAGCGCGGGGATTCACTTGGTTACTGTATCTATGTAGACAACTGAGTCGCTCATTCAATTTCAACTTACTCAGTTCCTCTATTCTAATGCCAATTCCTCTGACCTACTATAGACTCGCTACAAGTACCATCAGTCAGCACACAGAAGCTGTGATCCTGCAGGGACAATTTGCCTTTCACGATCAGCTTAGTGGGTGCAAGTTAATTGGAGATTTGTCGTTTTGGTAATGTACAGTATATTGTGTCACCAATTCTGAGTTATGTCAGATGCCCTCCTACAGTAAATCTACTCTTTGGACTTGCACAGATTTTTTTTTTTTTTTTTTTTTTTTTTTTTTTTTGGATAATGACAAAGCAGCGAGCAAAGCTTTGAGTTTGACGTAATGCAAGCTTCTCAGTAGCCATCACACCCTCACTAAAGCCTCGAAACACGCTTCAAATTTCATATACATACCGTATCTGTTTACATAACTGCCACTCTCCTTGCTTAAAGAACTAATATTCCTGCTGTAAGTGGCCATTGAGCTTGTAATATAACCTAAGCATACACCCAGATAAACAAGATCGTGAGCTGACAGCAAGAATGTTGGCTTCCAATTCCTAATATACCCAGTCCTGGAGCTAACTACACATTAATTATGTAGTAAATCCTGACTTAGCAGACCAAATGGTACAGTCAGAAGTGTCGGTTAGTCTGGACAGAGCTAAGGTTGCTGGGTCTGTAACACGCATGGAAGGATTCGGTGTCACTGCCCAAGGTTGTTTTCCAAACACTCCAAGATGGAAACACGACCCTGAACGGAGAAGCCAGCAATGTTATTTTGGATCGGAAAAATTGTATTTCCGAGATGAGAGCTGGGTGCCATATTTGGATTTGGTGGATCAAAGCATCTCCGACAATGTGGTATTGTACCGTACAGTCTCAGTCCATGTCAGTACTATGACCTCTTACATAACTCGTAAAATAAATTGCAATAAGTACCGGCAGATTTCCAGAGATTTTTATATAGTAAACTATTACTTCCTGATGAACTTGGAGCCTTGTCAAGGCCTGTGCTTGCCGATGCCTGGTGTTCTGTTCTGGCCCTCATGACGTGTGACTTTGAGATCTCTTAGATGCGTCTGCAAAGGTAGAATGTGATATGCTCTCTTTGGCCTGGACTATATAACTTGTCCAGGCCGTAGGTTCCGTTCCGAGTACGTCCCGCGGTGGTCCGATCCATAGTAGTGGTCATGGTAAGTTGGCATTTGCTGAGCAAGCGTGAGGTTTGGACAGATGTCTTTTGGGATCATTGAGGGACCAAAACGTGAGCAAGCCTCGAGACAATCACCGTTGTAGTTCATGGGCGTGAACGAAATTAATCAGCTCTTCTGCATGTTTCGCGAAACGGTGATGCACCGGGCAATGACTCCATGCCGGATGGTGACGGTGAAGTCACCCGCTAAGTGCTTTACTTTGGAAGGGCCGCCTCTCTCCCTGCAGTTGGGGAAGAGAGGATGCTTCTATGGTTCCACCCCGCCCATGGCGTCCACCCTTCCAGGGCAGAGGCTTTGCTCTAGTTGTGCACGTCCCTGGCAGTCCTCTCACTGACGAACTTCCGATCGGTGCTGCGACAACAACCGTGCTAGCCGGATCATATCGCTGCCATCGCTACCCGCGATGGTTCCTCCCCGAGAACCGGCAGCAATATCTCCCCCTCGCCCTACTGTATTAGGAATAGTGCCGTAGTCTGGCTAACGCATCCTCTGCTCCAACTGCGCGCGGCCCTGGCAGTCTACTCAGCACACGACCTGCGACAGTTGCCGCGAAAAAGAACCGGGGGTAGCACCGGCGATTGCACCTGCGGGGCGTCTCTACTGTATCCGTCTACTTTGACAAGCACAGATCGTCGCACGCTTCCTTATATTGGAATATAGCTGCTTGCTCTAACCAGTTGGGATTGAGAAAGCCTTGAGGCCAAGAGCTCGGAGGATAGCGCGCAGCGCGAAACTGGTCGCTGCACGGTTTTGGTCATGGAGAGATTAATGCACTATCGGTCAGCTGAATACGCGTATGAGCTAGTGTCACCGATCATATAATAATATGGATCTGCATGGAAAAGGATAAAGTCCCTTAGGTCTCTAACTATCTGAATCTATCTGGGAGAATCGAATAAAAAGGTGACAACGAAGGAACAAAGTCGGACCGAGCGTATGCTGAATAATGCGTAATATAGGCTCACTTTGGTTGACATAAATATCAACCGGGTTTCTGTGGAGTAGAGATGCACAAGACTTTGTAGTATAACTAACCAAGAGCCACTCGAAATGCTTCTTGGATGATTTGCTGCAGGTGTTTTTGGATATGTCTCCAGTGTATGTTGCATCCACCGACTTGTCAGCATCAAGTTTTTTAGGTAGATGGAGGGGAGGGTGGTTTAAAAATCTTGATCAAGATAACAAGCGTATCATGAAATTAAGCCCCTGAGTCGTTGCTGAATATTTTTTGTAAGACCTTGGCACGAACAATGGTCTCGCGTCAAAGTTCTGGTTGCGTTTGTCATTAACAACTGCTTTGGCCGAGACAAGGAGCGGGCCTTGAGGTACAATCGTAGATCTGGTGGTTATACTGCATAGAGCGGGGGCCTCTGATATACAATTAAACCGTTACATATTGAATGATAAAGTATCAAATAACCCAGCTAGAGCTTTTATTGTGCAGTGAATCTTTATAGGTAGCCGGGTGATTAGCGTATACTAAGCACAATTAGTCTGCCAATATCTTGGTATATACTGTATAAGAGTTAGCTCTACCATATGAAGTTAAATAGTCAAAATTGACAAGAATCAGCTTCCATCATGTCAGAAGAGTACATGTAATAATTTCTCTGTGTCCTGTACGTGTTTCTTTTCAGTGGCATTTGCCTCTATTGTCAGTTTATTAACCAGGCTTGGCAAGAATAAATTTTAATTCGAATTAGCGGATGAATAATCACTATTCGAATAATTGGCAGAACCTCACCGCCTATAATGACTTAGCACACAAGCTATTTTATTTATGTTTTTACCCCACTGTTTTGCCCCGCTATTGCACAAATATGGATTCCGAGGCAAATTCATCCTATCTCCTCCCTTTACCTACCACTGATTCGGTTGAAACTGAGTCAAAAAGGGGAAGGACACCATCAGCTTAAATGACATGGGCTCATACCCGTCCTGCTCAAGATAATGAAGCTCAATTTTATAAAGATCGATCAATCCAGTACTGTGTACATTGTGAAGAATCACCGTACGGCACCTCTATTACAACAAATATGCGAAATCATTTAAAGTCAAAGCATAAATTTATATTGATCTTGCTCCAAGCACTCTGCAACAAGCAACCATAGCTCAATTACAGCAACTGTATGTCAAGGCGGAGTCTGCAGGTAAACTCAAGAAATCGACAGCCGAGCATTTCAAAGAATTTTAAACCAGGATCTTATTGATGAGGCATTAGTCTTATTAATTGCTGTACGAAATCTTATTCTTTTTGTTAATGGCCTGAGTTTCATACTTTTTGCCGGCTTCTTAATCCGAATAGAGACGTATATTATTACAGCACACAATTCAGTCCCTAAAAAAATCGAACAATCATGGCAGACTCAGAAGGATATTGTACGAAAAAAAGTTTAGTTATTATTATCAAGTATCCATTTTTCGCTTGGTATCTGGACCTCTCCAAATCGGCTTCTTTTTCTCGGAATCTGTGCTCATTTTGTTGATCAAAACCAAGAAAAACTATCCAAGGCTCTTCTTGCTCTTCGCACTGTGGGAAATCACAGTGGTGATGAACAGTTTACTACACTTCTTCCTGTTTTAAAAGACTTTGGGATTGGACACAAACTTGGGGCTGTGGTTAGCGATAATCATACAGCAAATGACAAGCTTTGTCGTACAATTGCTAAGTATCTTAAGGAAGAAAAAGGGATTGAGTGGGATTCTACATATCGACGAATCTTTTATATTGGCCATGTTATTAACTTGGCTGTACAAGCCTTCCTATTTTAGAATGTTGTTGATATTGAGCAACTTACTGTACTGGAAGTTTGAACCTTGCTTATGACTCTTTAGAAGTCGAAAGGCACGGAAAGTCCCAAGTGGAATGACTTTGCTATTACATATGGGAAATGTAAACTGGTTTTCGGGGGGTCAAATGATCTGCACGTTTTATTGTTGCCTAGGGTGGGGTTCGCTCTCCCAGTACTTAACCCCTTTCCCGTAGCTAGAAGTGTTGGCAACGCAGCAAGAAGAGGAAGGTGTGGTAGTTACAGTATCGTGGTCTAGGATATCAATAATATATCGTTCGCTATCTTACAGTAGAACAACTGGTTGTGTGTAGCTCCTCGATGAGCTTAATCTTCCCCCGAGTCGCATCAGAATAAAGGGCATTACGGTCAGCCGCCATCTATATTTGGAACCGCGGATCAGTATCTCCGAAATAGCTGTACTGTCAGATACCCAACAGACTTTACCTGAAATACTGTACTCCCAATGCAAAAGAGATTACACCGATGTACCTTTGGCAAGGTGAAGAACGTACATTTCCACATAAATATTATAGTATTTTTTTTTTTTGGACTAGGGAAGCTTATACTGCCACTATTATATATCATATGAGCGGATAGTAATCAGATGTCTACAGTTTGAACTTGACTGGGTTTGGCTCAGTCGTGATATATCGGTGCGAGATTTCAACCTTGTGGCATCTACCATAATTATTCGTTGTATTTGGGGTCGACATTTTACTCCGCCACGGAATGAAATGTAAAAAAAAACTGGTAAACCTGCTAAAGTGTTAGTGTGGTGAGTATCTCGACATCGTGCACAGTACTACCTTGTTGATATTTCAGCACGGTTCTTTTATCGCTACGGTGTGTGTACGTTACAGTTACTGCGACATTTTAACACACCCTCTCAGATTCGAACCTTTCCTTCCATTTTCAGCAGTCTTGGAGCTATTCAGGGTCGAATCTGACATTCAGCTGTATCCATTCAGTGTTTCTATCAGTCCCTTTGATTCCAGAGATGTCCCGAAGACCTAGCTGGTCCACAAACGGCTCAGGTCTCTGCCGTGGGAGCGCTTTGGTGAGTCCGTCTGCATCTTCTCCGTTGGTGTGTAGCTGACTTGGATTCTTCCTTCCAGAGCTTCCTGCCTGAGCCAATGAATTGTATATCCACGTGTCGAAAAGCCGTGTCTGGAGTCGACTTATATTCTTATGCACAAGCCGGATTGTTTGGAGATTATCGCAAAAGATTTGAATCCGTTGGTCCTTCTTTCTCTCATCCAGTTGAATTACAAACAAGTGCATCCCGAGATCTTGCAAGAAGATGTCTTTCAGATGCCACCAAGATACCGAAAGCCAGGTAGAATCCTGAAGCTTAAAAGGGCCTTGTTTGGACTGAAGCGATCACCAAAGCACAATTAGAACGATTACTTCGACGACCTGGAAAGAATATACACCGCAGAGATTTGCCACCTGAGCCTGTCTGCCACAGAGACCTTACTAACCATCCTCGTGGCGAACAGTTCAAGCAGGCTGAAAAAGATCATCTTAGGGGACATAAGGATATATGTGTACATGGCAAGAAATAAGCCGGTATAATCCTAAATGCAAAGGCAGGCAAATCCTGGATTGCAATTCGACTAGGCCAACCTCCAAGCAATACAGGGTCCAGGCACTGAGACAAATTTAGCTATTCATCGCCTCTGCTCCTCTTGGAGTGAGACTGTGAAACTAGGTTGGTGCGGCAGGGCAGTTCCAGCCATAGATTAATCACTACAGTAACAGGGAGGGTTACTGGTAAATCCGGTTCGATACAAAGCCACGTGCCGAAATACCTCGGCTCACTTAATTAGCAAGGAGCCCTTGAGGCATGTCACAGTACCCCAACCTCACAGTAGGTCCGTTTTAAATTAATACTACAAACTCCTAGACCGATCAGCAGCTGGGCAGAAAATTAGAACGTACACTATGAAGAAATGGAATTATGGAAGTGGAAAAAATTATAGGGCTCAAGGGTTTGTTAAACCAAAAGCCACCCACAGAATCTTGAGACCCACTCGTACCCTGAGAATGCCATGTTGTCAAATTATCTTCTATTCTGTTAAGGTGGCCACTTCTTTCTCCGTTTGTATGTATTCTAATTGCGAGGTGTTGTTTATCAGATAATGTACTGCTAGATTGCAAGACAATCTTCCAAACAATCTTACCCTTAGGTATTTAACATGTTATTAGGTCCCCATTGATAGATGGAGTCGCTGGTTGAAAATCCCTAATTATCAAATTGAATTTGGATACTAGTGATTTAGGTCATGGTAGTTAACCTCGTTATTAAAGTTCCAGTTTGTCAATCCATGCAAGTAAACCTAACAGCTGAACTAAGGTCATCCAGGTTCCAAATGACGAGGCGACGCCACTTATCTGACTAGAAGATGAGAAGGTATGGTGTTATTATATTTGTCCTTAGTTTTGGACTGATCAGTTTTTTTTTTTTTTTTTTTTTTTTTTTCTAGTTTGCACGTGAGCTAGTGAAAAAATGCTACATGACTATCTGAGCTTCCTCATGTTCAATGTGATGTTCCTCATGGACTTGCTGGCTATGTATTCTTTATCCACCCCGCTAAATTTTACAGATTGTGCAGAGCAGTCGCCTCTAGTCTTCTCAGCAGCCCACAGAGCAATATTTGCCAACGCCACGTAGCAACGACTATAGACGTTCTGACACACCTTCCTAGGATAACTTTCAGGATATTTCTAACTTGCTTATTTCAATATAGAGAAGGTCCTGATGCATCTCCCCAGACCAATTCTTCCGTACCAAGGTTTCGCACTACATCGCTTAACGCGGAAAGCTAAGAAGCCCGCAGTAATGAGGTGTTAGATATACGGCTGGTCCCGAAGAGGAAATAGAGTACAATTGGTACGGAGTAAAAGGGTCTTATTTGGATGAATTGAGCTGGTTGGGCTCTTCTTGATTATTTTTGGTTATTCTTTGGTTATTCTTTTGTGTGCTCCGCCGGGGGGGTTACCCCGTTCTAGTCACATGATTCTGGTCCACCAATAAAGGTGTAGTAGATCCCGGATTCATTCCTCATTTAAAATACCACGAATAAAGCTAGTCAGATCATCATCGGAAACCACGGGAAGAGAGGACAAAAGACACTAGACTCCTCCGGTTCCTCTTTTATTTTCTCGCATCTAGCTGCAATGAACCCCAAATCGATCTGGCCAACCATTCTGTGAACCTGAGTCCTTTACGACATATTACCAGGATACCCTCACTGAAGTACCGAGCCAACTCACGCCTTGTACCAACCTTCTTCTCGGGTCGACAATACTGACGTTTTAGTTTTTCGTTCGCAATTCCACGATCTTCAAAGAAATACTCAAGAAAGTAATTAATTGCCTTAGTCCGTATATCAATTCCGCGTTCAAGTTCTGTAGACAATGAAATTTCCCATAGTTTTATCTTTGCTTCTTCGTAGAAATAATATAATTTTATTCATCTAATTCGGAGCTGCATGGCTTTGGCTTCTGGATCAGGTTCATCTTCCATCATACCTATAGAACATTTCTCTCTAATATCATTTTGCCCACTGGTTGGTTGGTGGGTTAATCACCTAAAATCCTTGTTGGGCCCACTTGAAAAGGCGAAGTTTGCTAGATCTGGTCCAAAGCACTGCATTACCAGCTCTGATGGCGACAGAGATATTGTTATACTCAATCGGTGCCCCGTCTAATCTTTACATTTAGTTCATAGGATTTCCATGCTTTCGTGATATTTAGGATCTGTGGCTTTCTTTGCCTCTTCCAAGCACTGGCGATCCTGGGCCGCACCGTCGAGAGAGACCACCTCATCAAGGCAATGCTGACCGCCCTCATGTGAAATAATATGGCCGTTGGTGTCAAATAAGTTGGTGGTAATAGTGACGTAAACAATGTCATAAAAGAGGGGTAAAACGAACTCCCCTACACCTAGCAGAAGAAGCAACCTAATAATCCATAATAATAATCACAAGAATGATCATATGTTGATCAATATAATCAAAAAACCATCTAAAACAATCATTTTAAGCACCTTTCAAAAATAGCGTCTACTTTCCTATTCGGTATTAGCCGAATATTGAACAGAGCTACCCAAATTGCCTGCCCATTCACCACTATCATTGACAGGGACTATGGTTTCCACATAATAGGCCTCCATCCCTCGGTAACTGGATCAACCCAGGCTGACAGGCCTTCCCAGCTAGTAAGGGACTGATGAAGAGACGTTCCATCAAACATCCCACCAGCCAGTTCTCCATTGAATGGATTGTGGTTGACAAAATGCCACCTCTCAAGGTCATGTCTGCGGATATCCATCTCCGGCGGAGAAACTAATAGAACTGTTTCTGGCTCTCCAATATTTCCTATCACATGTGAAAGTGCGCAGGACGACATTTCCGCCGGAGGAAACGGATCGTGGAGATGTTCTTCCGCAATAAAAAGAGAATTACTACTCGATATCGCCAGTGCCCGATGAGTTCAGGTACATCCGCATCTATGGTCCCCGACTCAAGTTGAAACGGAACCTTTTCTCCCCTACAGTGTATAACGTCTTGCCTGCGCACATGTGATCACCGTCATAAAGAGAACAGAAATTTAATGAACAATGCAGGAAGAAGGGCAAAAATTTGGGTTCGTAGGCCAGCAGCTTGAAAATGAATGCTTAACGCGGGTGCATACTGCCTCCAAGACTAGGTATTAAGTGTTGCAGAGTGGGATAAATTTGGCTTCTACATGATGTACGATACATAGTTTCTTAATTTCCACTCTGTATACTGTAACTATGAACACATCTTTGTAAAGTAAACTAAATTCGCTGATAGTAAAGATCAATCCACCGTACCAGCTATCACACCACCCGGATGGGGGAACTTAAGATCAGTTAAGAAATTGACAAGTTTCAGGGCGTCTTCCTGAGATTCCCCACGGCCTCTGAACTCAATCTTTGGCCACCCTCCATCATCATAGAATCGTACGGTGCTGACCCCGTCAAGGTGGAGAAATTCTATGTCCCAAGGCTTAGAGCCACCAATCAATAGTTGCACGTAGATGGCAACGCGGTAGAAAAGAAGCTGTGAAGATATATAGTCGTCGAATAAATGTAAAGGTAGAGGGTCTTCTTCATTAGGGGGGGCATGCCAACACTCTTCACAAAGCTCAAACTGGGACTTGTCATTCAGGTGAAGTTTGCCATCATCCCAACTTTCCTCTCCAGATGGCCGTGCGCGTCCTGAGCCTCGATCTTTCGGTAATTTCCATTTCTGTTGCAAATCTTTCCGTTGAAGCTCGGCCTCTCGCTCCTCATCTTTAGTTAGAAGATTCCCTCCTTGACCATCAGGAAGTTGACAAATCTTCAAGTCAAGATAAGAACATCTCTGGGGGTAAGTCTCCAAAGCTTTCACCATATCATTATAGTATCTCTCCCGCTCTGCACTGTCGAGTGTACTAAATTCATTATATGTACGGAATCGGGGGGTGGGGTCTTCAGAATCTGCAGACTTCGATTGAGTATGGTCAATCAGTGTTTGAATGTAATCATAGCCCGGTGGGAGACGTCGGACATTAGACGGCTGGGGGTCGGTAGAGTCAGAAGGGTGGCTCTTGGTGGCCATATTGTGGTCCTTTGCTTGTTATAATAATATTGGAAAAGTGAAGTTGTTAGGTTTCAGCTTGGGACCGGTACATGCCTTCGTTTATATACACCAGTTCCCCGAGGTGCCTCAGGCTCCAACTATTTGCGCTTCCTGCCGGTGGATCTTCATTTCGAATTGGAATATCTTGTTTGACGATCATCGTGCACGCCATGCAAAGAAGTGTACACGTAGTCTTCCCGTTTGCTGTTTATTTTAGCTACACAACTGCCGCACCTTCCACACTTACTTTGCTCACTTTCTCCACACATCCCTCACCTTCTTCACCTGCTTACTCATTTGGAAATCTATCAAGTCAGATTGTTTCCGGGTGATATCCCGAAGTGGTTACTCCTGTTCGTCTGGCAAATCATTTTCTGCCCCTGGGCCGCCTGCATGGAATGGAGGCTGTGGAGGTTATCGTTTGCCCAACTAAAGTGCTAGTTTGGCATCTGATAGGCTTAGACATTAGAGGAAAATGAGGAAGGTGAGGAAAGTGGGGAAAGTAAGGAAGCGCCCTGAGCCAGTCCACTCCAAATTGTTATCCTTGGTCAGATATAGCGTAGCAGGGGCCTATAGCGATATTTTTTGTACATATAATGGGAGCCCTCGCAGTGAATATTGTCACAGAAAGCAGCGCGACAAAATTAAGGCTTGCATTTAACCATGTCTAATACTATCACTCCGAGCACTACTACTATTACTGTGGAAACGACTGGAACATTTTCGATGCAAGGTTTGTTAGGAAATTTCTGCTATACGGACCTCTTGTTAATTATTTCAGTCTACAAGGATGACGAAGGAGCGAAGATTGTTGTTCTTATAGATAAAGAAAAGTCAGACGTCTACGTCAATTGTACCGAAGACGGGTCGACCCTGACGGAGCGCGACAATTGGGGTATGTGGTCAAAGTGTGTCATGGTTATTTGCTTATTTATTTTAGATCTCCTAAATCAAACGTTTTACGGGGAGCCACCTAAGTTGAATACAATGGCTAGGGGGCGAACAACTGAAGGGAGAATGAAAACATATTGTTCCATCATGCTGTGCCAATAGAGAACACCGATCTGCAGCAGTTTCCTAAGCGCTGATGTACATCTTCCAAAATCTGCCTCCGCAAAGTCTATCCTCTTCTGATCCCATGTGGTGACGCCTTATTGCCGGTGTATATAAACATAGCAGATATTCCGTCTAACAATGGCTTCCATTCTAGCCTACCACATAGCTGTTATGTATTCTCGAGTCTTAGCGATATATCAAACGTAGAGAAGAAAGGAAGGAAGAAAGAATTCTATCGTACAAGAAATGTGGGAGAATCTCTACGTTGTAGTCAACCGTAAATAAAGCAGTCTTGGTTCCTCAGGCAGGGTTCGACCTAGGCCCTGGCAGAGAGAAACAAAAAAGATACAGGGAAAGATTGGTCGAAGGGAGATCCTCCTCCCTCCAAATTACGTCACGGCTTTTGGTGTGTGCAAGAAGTTCACAGATGCAATCGAGGAACTTCCGTCGGAGCACTTCGTTGTTAGTTGTCCAGGGCTCAGCATCTATGCTTGTGGGATCTTGGTCTGAGTCGTCGTCAAAGTCCGCTTTGTCATCATCATTGACTTCCTGGTTGGGTTGCAAAGGCTCGTCTGGTGCGGTAATGATGTAGGGATTCAGGAGCGATAGGATATGTGATGCCCGGACAACGTGGACCAACTCATCTGAGGCTTTGAGGCTTGAGGCCATGGCTATACATCAATAAAGAGGGTACTGTAAAGGAATAACTGCGATTGTTTAAACAACTTGTGACAGTTCCATCTCATGTAGGCGTTACGAGATTCAAAGCTCATGGAACCGGGAAAAAGGGCACGGTGAAGACTATCCCGGCTACACGGACGTAGCCTACTAGTCGCAGGAGGCGTCATTGGTTGCCGTACATCTCGTGTTTTTGAATAGAATATAAAAAAGGGTGTAGCCATATTGCTTGCTTGGCTGCTTCCGCAGCTGCGATATATTCCACTTTAGATGATGTCGCAGTAATTGGCTGTTTGCGACTTGACCAACTAACTGGTCCTCCAGCTACAATGGGCATGCAGATAGGAATAATATTATTCGCACGACATATCCGGTAAATCGAGGAGTTAAATGACTTCCATGGCCGTTAAGAATCAGCGGGCGATATTGTCCAGTTGTACGATTAGTTGTTGCAGGAATAAAGAGCTTTTCAAGCCAGCGTAGTCCAATCTTATCTGTTGTCCGGTCATTCTCACTAAGTTCAATTCCATGCAGGTGGTAAGTCCTTAAACCGCTCCATATAACGTTTTCCCCCGAAGATAATACAAGGTGGAAGTGTCCATCCGGTAGAGTTAACACGCTCAACAGAGGTAACCCATTCTCGATTACCTGGCTGTAAGAATGGTTTTCTATACATATCAGCCCTAGTAGCTACTTTAGTAGTAGCTATCAGGCCCGTTGCAAAGCCAGTTTCATCAAAATTATAAATATTTTCTTGTGTAATTCCATGCTGCATTATAGTGATTTGTATGCGATCAATCCACTCCCTAGGAAGCTTTCGATCACATTTGGTATGCATAAAATAGTATTGTCAAGATATTTTTCCGTTTGACAAAGTTGTGTGCCCATTTCTCACCAACGGTTTGAATAGGTGTAGTACCACGCTTAGCTGCTTCACACTATTGTGGTCTGGGGATTTTCAGTGGTAATACATAGTATGCCGTAAGAAAATGTCGGAGCTCATAGAAATGAGTGATATTCAGCTTCACGGATTCTTGATCTTATTGATTGGCTCTCTTTACTTTATCTGTGTGGGAGGTCGCTTACGAGGGCGCCTAGGCCTGTTTGGCAAGCGGTGGCTTCGACAGAAAATATACGAAAAAAGAGTTGCAGATGGCCCTACATCTACTGGTATAGTATTTTCAGCTTCTTGGACCTCATTCCGAAGCCATATACACTCGTGGGCCTCTTCTGTAGAAAGCCCTCTGCAGTAGCTATTTGTCGCTTAGACTGCTTATCCTTTTGGTTCTTGCTTCATTTGCAGCTCATGTTCCCCCACTTCTTGACGTGCAAGAATAGCTCTTTTAGAGCCATTTCATGCCCTTTGATGATCTTGTTTAATCGCGTTTTTAAAGAAGCTTGGGGGCTTTGTATACGTGCTTTAAGCCGCCTTTTTATTGCAGATGCTTGCTTCTTCAATTTCTGAGAATTATATGGTGTTTTGGGTGCTGAATTGGTTGATTGACTGCCTGGTGGTGTAGGAGTTTTCAGTTGAATATTAAGCCGTTTTTAAAGCTCTTTCTGGGTTAAATGGAACCAAGCCAGTTCCTGAAAAGCCACTTTTAATATTCTCCTCGTTTAAAGCCTCTGTACGGGCTTTGGATAGGCGTCAAGAAAGTCAAGTTTGTTAATATGGTTAAAGCCAAGCCGTGCCTTGTTCTCAACCAGACGTCCGTACGCGCGTTTTAATGGCCCAAAGCAACAATCATCAAGTGGTTGAAGAAGATGTGATGAATGTGCTGGCATACAGATTGGTATAATATTATTTCACTGCAGATCTGATCAAACTGAGGAGTTAAACGACTTCCATGGCTATCAAGAACCGGCAAGGGATATCGTCCAGTTGTAGCAGGAATAAAAAGCTTCTGAAGCCAGCGCAGTCCAATTTTATCAGTAGTCCATCCATTCTCAATTCTCCAGTTACTTGGTAAGTTCTTACTGTATGCCAACCCTCTAACGTAATCGGTAAGCGAGCGCCGCACGTAAGCGAGCGCCGCACTTCTCCCGATCAGTGAAAAGGAAGCCATTCAAAACACCCAAAAATCTGCATTTCTATATAAAACCTAATTACTATTGCGATTAGGACATGTATTGATTTTATGACCCCGAATACCACAGCCAGAACACTGTGGTGGCGCTCGTACATGTCGCTGAACTGTAGATGGCTCTCCTTCTACTGGTATAGTATCTTGAGCTTTTTGGACCTTATTCCGCTGCTGTACATACTCCTGGGCCTCTTCTGTAGAAAAGCCCTCTGCACCAGGTATCTGTCGCTTAGATTCCTTTTTCTTTTGACGGTCCGTTTCATTTGCAGCTCGCAGATCCCCCGCTTCTTGACGTGCAAGAATAGCTTCATTTAGAGCCATTTCATGCCCTTTGATAAGCTTGTCTAATCGTGCTTCCAAAGAAGATTGGGGGCTTTGTGTACGCGCTTTCAGCCGTCTTTTTATTGCAGATGCTTGCTTTTTTAATTGCCGAGAATTATAAGGTGTTTTAGGCGCTGAATTGGTTGAACGACTGCCTGGAGGTGTAGGAGTTTTTAGTTGAATATTAAGCTTCATAAGAGCTCTTTCCGGGTTGAATGGAACCAAGCCAGTTCCTGAAAAGCCACTTTTAATATTCTCCTCCTTTAAAGCCTCTGTACGGGCTCTGGGATAGGCTTCAAGAAAATCAAGCTTATCAATATGGTTAAAGCCAAGCCGTGCCTTGTTCTCAACCAGATGTCCATACGCGCGTTTCAGTGGTCCAAAGCAACCAACATCAAGCGGTTAAGATATGTGATGAGTGTGCGGGCATGCAAATTGTATAATATTATTCTACTGCAGCCTATAAATTAGGAGTCAAATGGCTTCCATACCATCAAGAACCAGCAGGCGATATTGTCCAGTTGTACGGCCAGTTGTAGCTAGAATAAATTGCTTTTTAAGCCAGCGTAGTCTAATCTTATCTGTTGTCTATCCATTCTTACTAACTTCAATCCTCCAGCGATCTGGCAGTCTCCTATACCAACTTTCCATATGGACCTTTCCCTTGAAGATAATAGAAGGAGGAAGTGCCCAACCAGTAGAATTAACACACTCAATAGTGGTAACCCATTCTCGATTACCTGGCTGCACTAGAAATGGCTTTCCCTGTATATTAGCTCTAGTAACTACTTTAGCAGTAGCTACCAGGCCCATTGCAAAGCCAGTTTCATAGAGATATCTTCTTGTGCAATTCCATGTTGCATTATATAATTTGTACACGATAAACCACTCCCTAATAAGCTTAGGATCCTCACATTTAGCACGCTGGTGATTGATCTCGAAAATATCTTGATTTAAGCTCATCACGCCGTTTGACAAGTTGTATACCCATTTATCACCAACGTTTAATAGGTGTGGTGCCACGCTTTGCAAGAAGAATATTGGCCATTTCTTGCACATGAGACGGTCGGGGAGGAGCTCCACGTCGGTCCAATGATAATATCCATTGTGCAAGCGATTCCTCCTCATTTGATGTTAATTTATGACTGTTGGCGCGCTTTTTAGACCGTGGAGTTACTCCATGAAGCCGTCGTCGCAGTGTTCTTTCAGATATTTGAAACACCTGTGCTGCTTGTCGTACAGACCGAATTTGTGATTTTTCAAATGCAGAAATAGCTAGAGTAATTCTTTCTTCTTGATCCTCCGAATCTTTTGTCTTCGGAGGCCTTTTTGGTGGCATGGTGGTGGTTAAATCACTTGATTAAAAAGGGACGCGTAGATATACAGGAGGTGCGGCGCTCGCTTACGTGCGGCGCTCGCTTACCGATTACGTTATATGGACCTTTTCCTTGAAGATAATACAAGGTGGAAGTGCCCATCCGGCAGATTTAACACACTTATAGAGGTAGCTCATTCTCGATTACCTGGCTGTAAGAAATGGTTTTCTATACATATCAGCTCTAGTAACTACCTTAGTAGTAGCTATCAGGCCCATTGCAAAGCCAGTTTCATTAAAATTGTAGATATCTTCTTGTGCAATTCCATGTTGCATTATAGTGATTTGTACACGATTAAACCACTCCCTAATAAGCTTAGGATCCTCACATTGGCACGCTAGTAATTGTATTGTCGAGAATATCTTGACTTAAGCTTATCACGCCGTTTAATAAAGTTGTATACCCACTTATTGCCAACAGTCTGAATAGGTGTGGTACCACGCTTACCGTAGCAAAAAGAATATTGACCTTTTCTTAAACTCCACGTCGCTCCATAAATAGTATCCATTGCGCAGGTGATTCCTCTTCATTTTCTGTCAATTTTCGAGTGTTTGCGTGTGATTCTTTACGGTAAGTTTTACACCGTTGTCGGTCTTGTAGAGTAGAACGAGGCACATTATAACAACAAGCTACTTCACGAACATTGGAGATTTGCTTGTTTTTTTAAAGAGATAATGCAGGTATGGTCCTATCCTCCTGCTCCGCTGACTTATTTGATTTTTTACGCGTTCTTGGTGGCATGGTGGTGGTTTGAAATGTGTCAATATAATAAAACGCCGTGAGGCGGAAGAGAGGGCCGACTTGTATCCTTGACCACGATAACTACCTTACTTCCTTGGATGGTTGACTCGCGCCCTTCTAGAATACAGGAAAGGGGTTAAGTACTTGGGGTGCGAACCCCGCAGCGCACATTAGGCAACCACTCAAGATGCAGATCATTACTTTATCAGTTTCCTTATTACTTGTCTTGTGCGTTGTAAACTGTCTCATAAAGTACGCTACGCCGCATTTGGAGAATTTTACTTCAATATCATCTAGCCAATAATAAATAGAATGAATAATACACCCAGCCTCAGATCTTTATTGCTAGCCTCAATTGTTCCCCTTGTTAGTTCCAAAATATTAACATAGATATGGGATGTGAGCTAACTGATGCTCTCCTAGCTGACACAGATAGTCATAGCTGTCGTTTTGAAGCTGTAAGAATGCGTACTTATATCTCCAGGTGGTACATCGAGGCAGTGGAGAAGGCGCACTGATAATGCTCCATTTCCGCATAGTGGCCGGAGCAATCTGGAATCTACTGCCGATATCCAGCCCTCCCCATCGGATTGTGTATCTACATTCAGTTGTCCTCTTGTCATGCATCTTCACCTGCACATTGTAGATCCAGAAGAAGAGAGTGTCCTTTGATTCCCATCTGTAAATACTCGACATGTTGTCTTGTTTGGTACATGTCCTTGTCTCGATACCCTGGCCCAGAAGCCTGTGGGATAAGTATATCAAGACCTTGGAGTTCTCTTTTGTTGTATGTTCCAATTTCGGAAGTGCTACCTGGATCTTTCCAATCCACTCATACGTGCGTGTTTCACAGTCGTAAAGAATGTTTATAAACTCTACCCATGGTCCTGCATAAGATGGCCTAACAGCATCCAGGCCAGCACCACACCAGTTGACCACTTTTTGATTTGGAAGCGAGTTCTCGAATTGTTCGACCGGACTAAGGTTCGTGCTTTGATCTTCATCGGCCTTCATTAAACACGCAAACAGTTCGCTGCAGCATTCCTGCCAAAATATTTCAGCTAAGGAAGCAGGGTCATACTCATGCAAGGCCATATCCCGACGGTTAGACACTCGGAGGATTTGCATTCGGATTAATCTAATAGAATAATTAACGTGTGGCACTATTTTTGTATCAATCCGTTTACATTCGACTATCCATGATGTATTATTAGCTACCATGCGCCCCAGGATGCACTCTAGGGAGACCAATACGTGAGTCTTATAGTTTCAATGCTCATAGTGACATTTTGAGAAACAGCTTTGGTTTTTTTAATTCTATTTTGATTTATTTATTAAATACGTTAATCTTAGCCACACTCTTCTGCTTCGTCGTAGATATTATTTGCGATACCATTAACCTATTGCTTGCAGCGTCGAACATTTGCCCTGTTCGTCCACTGACCCACCATCTCCGCCCACCATTCTGGTACCTGCGCGAAAAAAAAAAATATACCAGAGTGATATTCTCAGTTATCCTTGTTATGGAAACATTATAATCCGCGTGAGTATCTGACGATCGATTCAACCCCTGAATCCTTTACATAGTTGAACACCTCAATGAGAACATAGTGCACCGCTTAGTAGGCTCAGTTGGTTGAGATACTGTGATTCCTGGTGTTTCCACTGAATGACATCTACTTTCCTAGTTAGGCTAGTTGGTCTGCCTGTGCATCACTTCCCCTGAATTCCACAACAATCCTGAAGCTGAAACTACCCGCTTTTGTTTTGTCAGAAGTAAGTAACCTCCTGTGCAATTTTCAAAAGAGCTGCGAAAGGTACTTGCCCGTGAGTAATGCTTGTCATGTTTTTATTTTTCTAATTTTTGTCAGATAAGTTGGTGGTAATAGTGACGTAAACAAGGTCATAAAAGAGGGGTAAAAAACGAACTCCCCTACACCTAGCAGAAGAAGCAACCTAATAATCAATAATAATCACAAGAATGATCATATGTTGATCAATATAATCAAGAAACCATCTAAAACAATCATTTTAAGCACCTTTCAAGAATAGTGTCTACTTTCCTATTCGGTATTAGCCGAATATCGGATAATTTTAGAGAACTATGGTCACGTGCATTCCACCGTCCTGGCCGTCGCCCACCCGGAAGAACTTTTATTTTCCCTCTCAGAACCGGTAACAAACCCCCATAACTGAGTATACTGACTTCGCTTCTTCTGTCCTTGCTAAAAATAGGTAGTCCGAACAGCCCGAAAACTATGCAGCTTCGTCAAAATCTAGTGGTGTCCCACCCTCCACCTTACGCGTCCGTGATCCCGGCTGCTTTCGCGAAAGAAGTTCGCTGACCCCAAACAGTACCTGAGCCCACAGGAAGAAATAGTCCTCGCGAAACGGTTGTTGCGATTGTCCAAGAATGGTGTCCCGGCTCCAATCAAGTTTCTGCGCCCTCTCTCGCATGGGAAATCGTTCGTCGGTGCTTATCGACCTCTGCAAGACCTGCCCCTTGATGACACTCCGCCTTCCGGGTAAGAATTGGCCTCAATAGTTCCACAAACGCCACCCGGAGATGAAAGCGAGGAAGCTGAAAGCGATCAACTGGAAGAGGCTGATTATAGTATCTATGGTACGGTTGAGGAGTGGCTTGCGGTTATCAAATCGGAACTGGATAACCTAACCATCCCCGCTGAGAATGTCTACAACATGGATGAGATAGGCGTTCTCCTAAGCGCTCTCACCTCTCTCAAAGTGCTAGTGGGCAAAGATGAACTTAGTAAACATCGAGAAACAGCCGTAAAGCGTACGGTAATCACCGCACTGGAATGCATCTCTGCCCGGTTGGTCTCTTGAATCCCCTCATCATCTGGCCGGCCGCCACCCATCGTAATGACTGGACAGCCCACGCCACTCCTGGTTGGCTTTTGCCTGCTCAAAAAGGGATATACCAACATGTCAGTCAGCCTGTATTGGATTCAGACGGTATTCGACCCGCAAACTAGGGACCGTGCCGGTAGCAGGCCACACGTTTTGATCAACGACGGGCTCGATTGTAAACTCTTGCTTGGAGAATAATATTACTCTCTGCCGCCTCCCGTCGCATACATCTCGCAAGCCTCAACCCTGCGATGTAGTTGTTTATATAAACCACCATACACTAGATTAGGTACGGATTCGTATTTTGGCCTAGCCGTGCCTTAGTCAGCGCACCAAGGGAGTTTCCCCTTTGTCGCTGGATTCAAGCAAGTCCCTCTCGCAGCTCTTTTGAAAAATGCACAGGAAGTTAATTGTCGCTAATAAAAGCAAAAGGAGGCCATTTTAGCTTCGAGATGACTCGGGATCGTCGGCAGAATGGCGAAAACCATGGAACGAGACGGGCCATTCCATGGACATTAAACAGGTAATTCTGGAGGATCTACTTCAAATCCGATTCAAAAAGGCCTATAGAATGAACCTTCAAACAGATAACCAAAATTAATGAAGCATTGGTAGATTCAGGCTGGCGCAAGCTTGGAGTACAAGCATGGTGGGCGGAGATGGTGGTCAAACGGATGAGCAGAGAGAGAGATGTAGTAAATCATCAAATTTACATGTTATGACTTTTTCTATATCCGGTCGTTGAGTATATCCACACTGCCTTCGAGAAGCGAAAATCGGCTATGGAGCAGGTACACATGGAAGTTCTGTAAATAGAACGCATGCTACTGTCTTCAATACAGCACTGAAGTTGGCTTTTGCCTTTACTATTTTCGAAAAAAGCCATACCTGTTGGAAATCTAGATATAGCACAGTAACAGGTCGTACATAGTGACAAGAATATCTGCTTCTACAGTATAATTTATAGAGCTCCCAATTTTCGTTTTCAAAGTGCTTATTTTTAGACCGTCGTAGATTAGTCAGAACTCACTAAGGGTATAAAAAAGGTATCGATGAACCGAGTTAAAATCTAAAATATTGTTCAGTTTATAATGGTACAACAGGGTGAGACATTACAATATATCTTCAATCTACTTAGCCCCATTGAGCTGGAAAATGGCAGCTTTGTATCCGAAAAGATCTGGGTACCAGAACCCTTCACCCCAGAGAAGGTACAAGAGCAAATAGAAAAATTGAGTAAGTGCTGCTTGCGTTGTCTATACATGGTCTAACCCTGCCAAATAGAAAAGGACTGGGACACAGAAAAAATTTCTAAGCAATTGGTCGACCTCGACCTCCAGAAGCTCGACTTGCCTGAAGCAAGTCCACTGGCCATTCTTCTTCACAGTAGTAATAAACATACCCTACAAGAAAAACAGCACCTGGCAAAACAAATGTGTACCAACTGGCATACAGAGGCTAAACTAGCCCGAGCTAATCTCAGAAACGAGAAAGATTGCAAGGACTTTTTAGAAAAGGCCAGCCGAAAGGGAGTCGAACTAATTATGACAAAGGACAGGATTATCGGTGAACTAATCAAACATCCCGAGGATGGGCCATTGGAGCAGGTATCGACAACTCAGGAGTCTAGTCCAAGAAAACCAAGGAAATGTGGCATCTGTGGCATGAACGGTCATAATCAAAGGACTTGTAGTAGTGCTAATCTGTGAGCCGTTGGGAGAATAATATACGTTCTCGATAAATTAATTATAGTGATGCTATCTACGTATACAATCTAGTGTTCTCTTAAATTTCATTGGTTTTAAATAAGAAACTTCGATCCCGCTAGGCAGCTCTAAGATATCTTGGATTTTATCCATAAAGCGCCGGATGGCAGTATAAGTGTAGTAGAGATTGGGAATTTTAGCCTGCATGCTGTGGCAGGATATACCATCTGAAAGGGACAGCTGTCGAATGGCAGTGCTCAAGGAATCAGCTGTCGAAGCTTCTCCAGAATAGAGCGAGATTCCTGGCCCACGTATTCATATAGACCAATGCATGAGGTATTTGAATCATATAGGCATGGCATGTACACATAATCTGGTACCTGCAGAAAGCGCAAGCTCTTTACCTTATTCCTCAGACCCAATAACTTCTCACCGTGCAAAACACCAACGAGTAGGTCCTTACTCTGCTTTTGGGTTTCAATATTTAGCAACCCATTTATCTTCTTTAGATCTCTTTTTGACAGACAATGTACAGGCACCCGACAGAATGTCAGTCCCAACCAAAGCTCATGAGCTCGATTCCATAATAGGGACCTGCGGATAATAAATGGATATAGAAAGCTTTCGTTTTCTTCTCCATTTCTAATGAGATGATCGAGGACAATAAAGCGTAGCGTTAGGAGCTCGGAGTGTCTTCTATCTGTTAGGTTTAGCGGATGCTGTAAGCGAAGACGTGCTTTCTCTAATACTTGACGCGAGAGGTGAAGGTCAGAATCTATGTCTTCCAGGGCCTTGTTATATCTTCTTATTAGCTTAGAACGCCCCACCTCTTCTGATTCCATGTCTGAGGTCGCTGGGCGAGAGTTATTTTCAAGCCATTTCACACCATGTCCTTTTCCCGGCCACAAAAGGGCCCAAATGAGAGCAATGGTACATTCTCTATCCAAGGCGTGGATAAGAATATTGGTATAGTCTTTTTCCTTTAACCTTTCATCTGTTTCACAGACAATGAGCCTCTGGAGAAGCATCCACTCTTGTCCCCCTTGGGAAAATTTGTTGATGAGATCGCGAATGTACTCGCCACTCGTGAATCCCAGTGGTACAATATTCTTTCGAAAATAGGCATCATAGGCTACATTAAATCGACCCGCCCCATCCTTGAAGCTCACGAACGCAGTTTCTACGTCCTTTTCCGGCAAAGCGCTTAGATCGATAGGACAGATCTTCCAGGTCGGTCCTTTTAGATTTGACTCCCCTTCACGGACAAGTTCGCTGATCCGCTTTTTAATAGTGTCCGTAATGTAGGGAATATTCGAATACTCTGCCTCCAGCTCATCGTATCGTCTCACGACCACGTCAGTTCGAGCAAGTAGCTGTTCGATGGCTATAATGTTTCCATCTTTGATCAATCTTTGAAGTAGGCTTCCTTGCCAGAACTGGCCGTCACCACTGTATTGTATCCAAACGTTTACGTTGTCAATAGTTTTTATGAGGTCAAAGAATTCTATCCCGAGATATTTAAATGACAGTGTGCCCTCTGGGTGAGGCATTGTATTTTGTTTCGCTCAAAAACACTCGCAGTAACAGGTGAGCTCGCATAATAATGCTGGGCATTGTTATACGCGTCATTATTCAACCAAAGGGTGTAAATAGGATTAGCTTTCTATAATTAGCACCCAAAAAAATAGCCTACAGGTATGAGTAACGGTGGGTGACGACGGAAAGGCCACAGTTGTGCGTGGCCTTTGGATGGAAGAAGCGCTGGTTCTCTGGAAATTCAGGAGGGTACGACCTATAGTCCCATCCTTATTAATAGTGTCAGTCTACGAGCCCACACCGGTGACACCATTCCGGAGACATTGTCCAATCCCTCACAGAGCCCCGTCTCTGCCGTCACGTATGTAGGGCAGGAGTTTTGTCACGGTCTTACGGAAGATCAGCATCACACCAACCAAACCCGCGGCCTTTCACCTTGGGAGACATCTAAGAGCCCTGCACAGAATATACATCCAGGCAAGTAATTCCGAAAGCTTTATTTATAATGCGATGTGCTAACTGCTGTTAGGTTGCACTACCAAGGGTTGTACGCAAGCCTCCACTGTACATGTCCATGAGGTCTGAGCGGCATCACTAAGCAAAAGTCCAGAGTTGCAGTGTGCTCGTATGTACTGTATCTGGAACGTAGGCTTCCCATAAGATTTTCCACTTTTCGAAGCAGAGCGCAGAGTATGATATGAACTGACCAGGAGGCTACAGCTTGTGTGTGTGTGTGTGTATTCATACGCTGACCCCTCGCCGTCGGCGATATGCAGGACCCCCTCACCTATCTCGCTATATATTTCCTTATATACATACTTGCCAGACGAATTTGGAGCCTCGTCGAGGCCTATGTTGGCCTACTTGCCTGGTGTTCTGTTCTGCGGCCCCGTGGCGCGACTTCGAAATCCCTGGGACGCGTCCGCAAAGTCCAGTACAGCCCCTAGGATGCTGCTGTCTTGTCGGCGTCCTGTGCCTTACCTTCCTTACCTTGATATCCTCCTAGCATGCTTGAAATGTTGCTGAATGCAGCTCCGATCTTCCTCCGTAATTGTTGTCCCAAGTCTCTGAGTTTCGGGCAGTCCACCAGTACGTGGACTACCGTCTCCCGAGCTCCACAGACACATCTGTCATCGTCGCGGAACCCGTGTTGTTTCTTGTACGTTGCCAACCAAGAGTGGCCCGTCCAAAGTTGCGTGAGTACTGTACACACACACACACACACACACACAAAATTCATTTACGCCCGGCGGCTAAGCCGAAAGGGCAACTATTACTCAATACAGGTCCTAATGTGCATATGCCGTGTCTCCTTCGAGCCCATACATAGAACCTTGCAGTATATGTCCTCTCAGCTGTCAATTTCGTAGGAATCCTTGTGGGTTAGTAATTTGGTTAGTAGACTGGCTTGAAGGCGCTTCTTCAAGTGCTCAACATCCTATCCTCGGCAGTTGAAGCGCGTCCACCATTTTTGGCACAAGGCGGTTGGTGTCGGTTAGTTAGCGGAAGGGTGTCATTGTGTTAGACGATATGGTTAGGCGGCGTCGAGTCGACCCGTGGCGATTGCGAATCGTATTGAGGCTCGCACGGCTTCTAAGTTCGTCGTCCAACTCTGGTCGTCCGAGGGCGATTTTCCGCCCAGGAAAAAGGATATGTTGCCTCGGTGAATATGGGTACATTGCAGCATTTCCGTCCGGTGTGTGGTCCACTTCCAACATCGAAAGACGAAGTGTTCCACAGTCTCTCTTGCTTGTCCACATGCACACTGATCCGTCTCTGCAACTTTGATCCGATAGAGATAGCCATTGAGTCTAACCATGCCAGTCCGGAGTTGGGCCAGCACGCTCGCTTCTTTCCACGATAGTCGATCATATAGCTGTCGTGTGTGTTTCCCTGGAAGTGCTGCATCCACCCGCTTCACGTGTCTCCCTACGTTCTCTGGCAAGTCATTGCTGGCAACTGCTTGGGACCGAGCGATATTCAGTGTTGTTGACTTCATCCTGGAAACCGATTCTTGCTGGGTAGAGTCTTCTTGGGTCGCGGCCCTGGCCTGCTCTTTCGCCAGGCCCAGTAGTTGATTATCCTCGCTGCTTGGGGCCCACCGAAGGTTGATTTCGTTCCCGTGTCTCCGTAGTCTCTTGATCAGCTTGTATATCTGGCAGATGTATTCTTGGCCATACTGGGATGCGAAAGCACAATTCTGTGGCATATTCCATACGAGAAATACAGCGGCCCCCTGTTTAAAACGGGCACCCCAATAATAAATTTACGCTGTGGACTTGGTAGTGGGTCCTGAAAATAATAATCAAATGTTTGTTGGTCAAGCCGATTTCGAGAACGTCTGTATATGCATAGCACGCAGTGGTTCAACCTCGAATCGTCTGTGGGTCGGAGATCTGCATTGTGTCATATCCTGGCACTTGTCTCGTGGCATTATGAGCAGAATGCGATGGATTCGGACGATTAATTTGATTCTGAGGATGACGACGATCTCATGAATGAGAGTGGATAGCGCTTCGTGTAGATAAGTCAGCGTACATATGAAAACTATCATTATCATCCCTGTATGCTAGTCATTTATATTGCCATTGCTACCTGCATTTCCGATTAGGCATGACCTGTGTAAGTGAATATACTAAAGGTACAGTATCCGGCCTTAAGCACTCATGCGTTGTCCATGCTCACAGGTCGTCGAACATAAAATCATCGGCGAGCACCACTCAGAACGTAACTGTTCCCAGTTCATTTTGAATAGTCTTGTTGACCCAGCCATAGGTATAAAGATCATTCCGCCGGCAGGCGTCCGATATGTCTTGAGCAGGCTGTATAAGATCACCGCATTTTGTGTGTATAGAATGAGCGTCCTGTTATATACACTGTATTAGATTCTCATATCCAGATATATTCAATCGGATTCACTTACAAAATTGCAGGAAATGATTGACGATCTGCCGTCGTGGGATACACGCGCACATGAGGCAGCTGGTACGTTGCAGGCGTCGTTTTTAACATCGGAAAGATGGCCAATGTTGTTCGCCGTCTCCGTTAGACTTGCCCTTCCATACTTGTCAGAGCACACAGGTCCAGGAGCCCGTTAGCTCATCAGCGGGAGCTTTGTACATAAGATTTTGTGAGTTACAACCTCTCTTCTTAGCAGGCGTTTGTTAAACCCGTGAGGTATGGCAGGAAAGGTGGATGTATTGAGGACCTCCAATGGTGTTATTGATCTCTGCGATGCATTCGTCGGCATTGCCTCTTGCTTACCAGATCTCCAATAGTTGGGTCAAAGTGAATTTTCTCTCCCATCTGGTCTGCCGCAACCTGATCCAGTATTAGTTATCAAGAATTAATAAAATAATATGATAGTTGTCTTCATAATGCTGTAGGTGGCAAGGTCCATCTTCTGCTGCCTAGATTGAGGAGATTGCAAGATTTAAATATAGAAGAACTTTTTGAACGTACGTACAGTATCTTGGGCACCTAGATCTTCTTTCACACGGGCCATTGGGTGCATTATACACGAGCACGTCTCGAATGTATAACTGCCAGAATACAGGTGCGGTACCGCTATGCACCACCCGCGTTTCCACCTTCCTGCTCCGTGAAATACAGCGATAGGTTCCCGCACCCAAGACGATAAGGCTGACCGTCTGGTCCAACCTCGTCCAACAGGACGCTCAATCCGTGTTTAACGTACGCCGGTTTGTCTGATAGATGCATAGCTGCCGCGATAGTCAACGAATCTAGCCAAGTGCCGGGGCGCAGTTGCTGAAACATGTCACAGGTGATTTCCACACTTCCATTTACCGAGATACTCTCGTTGCCCCTTATTGTTGTTTGTTGAAATACATTCTCCTTAACACTTCGGATCAAATCGTCCAAAGCGGCGTCAAGTGTACCTTCGGGCAGTGCTTTCTAGAGTGGCGTCAATCACTGTTAAAGCAACTCTAAGAGAGCTAACTACTTCGTCCACGGGATAGAGGACTTCCAACTCACGAATCTCGTTCTCGGGAAGTAAACTGTCGTTTTTCAGATCCTCGTAGAATTCAGACATCCGAGGTCTATCATGGACTAGATATTCCAATTGTTGATTAAGGATCCGAAGAAGTCGCATATGCGTAGGTTCAGCTTCGATCGCCTCGACAACCTTGCTTAGCCGTTCAATGCTCATTTTTGTATAGTCCCTACTATGGTTAGCTTGGGAGAATTGGGTGGTCGGGACTAAGCTACCAGATACTTGGACTGAATAAGATGTCTAGCCCCAGCTTGCCCACAAGCATGAGACTCAGCTTTCGGTATCTGCTAAACTGCATGTTCAGCTGTCCTCTCCAATTTCGCTGTCGGAGAGATTGGTATGCGCCGGACTAGTTATCTCATCCTGTTCGGGGATGACTCTTCCGATTCCACTTATCCACTTTCCCCGCGGTGTTATACGGTCTAGCACCTTGATCGCTGCACCTCGACGGCCTGCGGGCTGGCCCTGTGCGGTAGCTTGGGCATTTTGCATAGATCTTACCTGGGCATCGTACCATTCCCAGGCTCCCATGTACTCCAGCATATTGAGGATAGTCACCCTGCTCCTGTGGGAATAACCCCTCATAAGGATTTGCACCCACATTGAGCCATCAGACCACTGATCGCAGGGCAATGAGGCTAGCGCCTCCGGGTTCTCACCCTGTAAAGTAAGAACGATCCTCTTGTGAATGTTCGCTGGCACTCCATCTTGATATTTGGCAAGCCTATGGAGGGTCCGGGTTGTATGGAGGATCAGGTCTCGCACGGAGGGGATCGCCATGAATAAATGGTCCGGTGCCGATAACTGGGCAGCAAGGTCTTGGCCCCGAACTTCATGTTGGGTCGATTGCATCGGGTCCGTAGAGGCCTCCGCCGGGGATCCAATGGGCGCTGGAGTCCCTGTTGGTGAGTTGGCAAGTCCCTCGTCGGCGGAGGAGTCGGAAGACTTGACATTCTCGCTCCTTGGGTTCTCGTCCACACTTTCTGCATCTAGACTATCTGGCTCGGCGTCACACACGGCTGATTCGCGTTTAACAAACTTGGATGGACGGTACGACGGGTCTTGATTTCGGAGTGGCCTCCGTTTCGATAACGGCGAGTCCGGGCAGGTTCTTGATCTTACTCTCTCCTGGATGACTCTAGCAATGGCCTCCGCAACGCTGGGTGCCTTGTCACAGAGGTCATGGATTACCGCACAGAACTAGAAAGCTATTAGTGTACGGTTTTCTTAGCTGCATACGGCTTTTTAGCATTCCTCTGGTTCTTCACGCAGAACTATGTTAGGGTAGCAAGCGACCTTGTCGACAAATTGCCGTAAGGATGCAAGTATTTCTGTTCGTGGTGTGAGGCTGTCGGCTGAGCCCAATCGGCTGGGTAACATGGTATCACCTGATAAGAAGGCTTCAATATCCTGGGAAACTGGTGAGTACCCAAGGTCTGTCTTGGGAATGCGGCATTTTTAAAGCTTCCATCTTCTAACCAGGCTGCACGATGGACAGGACAGAGGCAATACGTCTGTGCGCAATCGCCTTGTTCGACCGCCTGCTCCTGGCTCAGTATGTGGATGGGTCATTCAAATGATATGGTTATTCTTTCGGGCATGCCATCGTGGCTGCGGCGGAGAAATGACTCTTTGGTAAAGAGCCACTGTGTTCCGGGCGTTCTTGTAGCATACACTATATAACCTTACGAACGGTGCAGCTGACCAACATGCGACTTCTGCAATACTGCAGCATAGTCTCCCAAAGAGCCACTTTGCTGTGCATACTATTTTGAAGCACTCGGGACTATTGCTACGCTGTTTCTCGGCACTATTGAACATGCACGGCATGGAATGTACAGAAATGTGGCTATATCGCCCCGAAGTATATTTATACTGGTGTATTGAGGCATCCATTATTTGTAGGTATTTGGGGCTGTGGAGCTTTGGAAGCAATTGTGCGTTGTAAAGCTTTTCGGCTTCTTCAATGTCTCCGGTTTCGTTAAATGGACAGTTTCCTGTGTATCTCATATACCAAGCAGCCCTGAAGTTAGGGTTCAGGACGGCAACATGTCCAAAATCGTGCTTCGATCTTCCCGAAGCCTTACGTTCGGTAGAGATGTCAGTCGGGCAAGGGCACCTGAATCTTGTCTATCTAATATTATTGGCCAATCGGTATCGAAAAAGATATCATCATGCATAAGGTTGAGGGTGATCGGAAGCTTCCGTAATACTGAAATCGGCGACGATAAATGGCGTGGGAGATCGTAACGAAAGTCCCAGGGCCCAGATTAAGGTTGATCTGGGACAAGACCGGCAATCCGATATCGAAAAGAGCAAGACAGCCCAGGGAGTTTTCCAGTTCGAGGGTCTTTAAACGTGGGAAATTCAGCTCTGTGGCCGGACGGTTACTTTCCGTTGAAGTTCGAAGTCGTATTTCTTCAAGGCTCTCATTCATACATTTCCAAGTATCCCACAATATCCAGTCGACCATGAATTTTGTGCGTAACGATTTAGTGACACCACGAAAAATTAGACGGTCGCGAAGGCCTTCATCAATGACCCCTTCAATTTCGAGGGCTGAGAGACTGGGCAGACGAGACAAATCCACGAAGACATGGAATTCTTTATGGCTTGGCAATGCGGTTTCTCTGCCAAAGGCCGTTCTAAGGTCTAAAAGAGCTGGAAAGCTTGGAAGATTCAAAGTTCCTCGCTCACACCCAAGGCCTTTAATCGCCAGATAACGAAGGTTCTGAAAGTTCCAATCGTTTCTCCAGACAACGGGTTGACTACACCACACTTTCAACCCTTGGAGAGCTGGGCGGTCTGTGGCCTTTTGAAGGACTTGACGGAGGCTTTCCTTGTCGAGAGGGTTTCCAATACTATTCACTGTTAGACTGGACGGTCGATTGCCGTGCGTCCTGGCCGAAAGAAAGACGTTAAAGCTCTTAGCGTACTTGAAGTACTTCATGTTCACCAAAGGGGCAACAGTTCGATCATTTGCAACGTGACGTCAAATTTGTACTTTAGAATCTGTACACTTGAGGCCCATGCCGTCAAAATATCATGTGCGACAACCAGATGCAACGCCCTTCCATTCAGAGATACCCTGTCAGATAATTCCGATCTTTGCTTTCCGAAACAGCGTCGGGCCAACGCAGAAACGAAGGCTCTTGGATGTCCCGAAGAGACACCATAGGCTGGTTTTATATCTCTGGATATGCGCGCCTGAAGAACGACTCCATGTGACTTCCAGATGGGTGTCATCTCTCAACACCTATCGCACCCCATCGCACCATCGCACCTGTTCGCACCCATAGGACCATTTAACCCTCAGTCTGGTACATTGTGCGCTTCTTTCACGTTCGATTCTGATAAATCCCAGGTATCCACTCGATCCGGAGTCCGCAGTGAAAGAATCTGGATTGTATACAATGGCAGAGGAACAAAGACCATCCGCACACGCCACTCCAAGAGCCTCGAGTTGATACGCCAAAAACAGGCTCGCCGAAGGAACAGTCTCCTCTGGAAGTCTTTCGAGTACTGTCGAGAATGCGATGCCCACGTCTTCATGATGACAAGACTCAGGCACAACGGGCAGGTTGTATTTTCCAATTCCAATGCCCAATGGCCTCTATCACGGAGCAGCTTGTAAGTGTTAGTCACCAGCTGGTAGCAATCTGCTGACCGATACAGGCCTCACCCAACGCCGAGGGAAATAACATGGCACGATATGGCTACCAAATTCGCCGGTGGAGGCGGAGTCTCCGCTGGGGAGCCAACTGCGTAATGGCAAGAAGGGAGATGGGCCCCACACATGGAGAGTTTATGAACATAACCCTCGTATCGTCTTATCGGCGGTGGTCAAGACTTGCTAGTTAATGGATGCGTCAAGAGAAATGAGCGTTCATGTATAGTTCGTCTCAACTACCGCAGAGAAACTGTCATTGGGTCATGGGTAGGCCATCCGTAGCGCCTGTTGACTCTCTGCGTTGTCATAGGACACCAGTTCCGGCTCCGCTGACATCCGCTCACACCACACGCAATCTTTTAGATTCACATTCCTTGGGTCCACACCGTAATCGTTTGAGAGCACCAGGTCGTTTGTGCAGCGGTCGACGGTCCAAGGTGCACAGATGGAAGTCGATGATCAGGGCTCGCTGGAGCTCAGCATTCCATAAGATGTTTTCCGGACGCAGGTCATTGTGGAAAATGCCGAGACAACGGATCTCCTTCACCGACCGAGATATCGCGCGCTGGATGGTCTTGTTCAAAGTAGTATGGCCCACGCTCTCGCCACCCCAGCCGATAAGAAGCATATGACGGATCCTCCCCGCGCCGTGAAGGAAGTAGATTTGGGCCAAACTGATCGCCCCGAGAAAGACGGGAACGGCCGATCCTTGGGCACGCTGAAGGACCCCGTAGACCTCAGCTTCGCGTGAGACCTTAGGCCAGCGTTTCGAAGTCGTCCCTTTCCCGACAACAGTATATCCGAAGGTGGAACATGTGATCTTGAACGGTGCGCCAGAGGACCCACAAGACCCACAAGGGCCCATGGGAGTGCAGTTATGATCTAGATCTTGATCGAGCTGCGCGTTAAGCTTCTTCACCAAGTCGGCTGCGCTGATCGGATGGCGGTCCTCCCTTCTGCCAAGTATATGTAGGTCCGTGTTGGGGCACGCAGGGTCAAGCGCGCCGCCTTGCTGTAGCCCGAGAAGGCACCTTTGTGTGCAAAATGGAGCATCATGGGAGCGAGATTGCCCGCTTTGGTTTCCTTGGCGATCTGCTCGCCGTGCAGACCGTTGGGTTGGAGGGGACGATGTGACCTGGCTAAACCCCCGCTTCCGTCTTGCAGATACGGTTGGGTCGGTCTCGGAATCCGAAGAACTCTCGTGATGATACGGATCGGATGGTGGCGCACAGCTAGCGGCCGCTCGTGTGGTCACTCGAGGCCCGGAGGTGACGGGAGACGATGATGTGAGGTATTCAGAGGTCGTCTGCTCAGGACTAGCGAAATCGGAGCTAGCATCGTCCGGTAGTAAATCTATCACAACGATCTGGGAGCGATCGCTATCAAGGATGGAATGCCATTTCGGTAGCTCGTCGTTGGCAGCATTCCGCCACGCCTGATCACGAAGAGGAGCGCGAAAACTCATCAAACAGAGGCATAGCGACCTCTCAATTCGAGTCCTGGGAATTACAGGCCCTCCGACACCCGCCATCCCGTATATACCGGGATCACCCAGGTGGTAATAAAGGGCACGTGGGTTGTCGTACGGCACCCAGAGCTGCACATCCATGAGGCCGTTCGTTAAATATGAATACTCCAGACCCTCTTGAATCATTACGTGAAATTCTTGGACGATGGCGGATCCGACCAGCCACGCTGCATTATATCTTGATTTCTCCGGCTCTTCCGTTGGCACACGATCAGATTTGACGACTTCTTGCCAGAAATCCATCGGTCGGAGTCCCTCCCGCAGGCTCGCAACAGAGAGCTTGTGTGGGGGTTTATATTCGACCGTGGTGAGCAAGGTACTCCTGTTACCGTCCATTCGATGGATGCAAAATTGATCTGGCTTCGAAGGGTTTGTGGTTGATGGCTCGCTAGCATCGACTTCATCGTCTTCGTCCAGAGCATTGGCGTGATTATCGAACCACACTCCGTTGCCTAACCGGAACTCCTCGCGAGCCTCTGGTATTTTGCACAACTCGGCGACGATGTCGTGCACATGGTCTTCGACGGCGAGTCGCTCGTAGGTCTCGAGATCTTGTTCGCTGCTAATCGGTCGACGTGCGAATCGTCGACCATGGTCTTCCAACGCAACAAGTGACGTGAATAACTGCGGTGCATCTTCTCCTGCTGGCTGCAGGTAACGGCAAACAGATTCGTAAATTTCCCGCTGTCTAGCCTCACAGTCAGTCCACGGAAGCAGTTGTATGGGACAGTGTTTTCCGATAGGGGCCGGAATTTTGCCTGTCGTGGAGCGAGACGGTGTTTGCGCTCGGAGTGGCCTCCAAAGGAGATCGTGGCAATGTCGGATGAACTCCGGAAAAGTCGTCGGTCGGTTGCGTTCCATCTGTTGCCTCTCCCGTTCCTCTGCCTGCCTTTCCCGTTCCTCTGCCTGCCTCTCCCGTTCCTCTGCCTGCCGTCTCAGCTCGGCTTCTTGCCTTTCGCGTTCCTCTGCCTGTCTCTCCCTTTCCACGGCCCGCTTCCTTTCCTCCTCTGCCTTGAGGAAAAGCGCCTTGTAGTCTGGGGAGCTGTTCCCACTCATTTGTATCGTAAATAAGGGAAGATACAGGTGGGAAACCCCATGGCGATGTTGTTGGTTAGACTCCCTGTCATCAAAGCGGAAGGGGCATACTCGGTAAAAGTATTTTTCCGCTGATACGTGATCCGTGGAGAGCCCCTTTCCACTTAGTCAGCCCCGAATGTGTCAATAGGTTATATAACTTACACACCACTAGAGCCCCTCAGTCAGATGGCGCAGGATAGCATTGGCCCTTCACATCTGCTACATTAATAGACCCTGCTCCTAATGTCCTCCCTCCCTCGCTCGATGGTGATATCCTTTGCTTCTTTTTGCTGTTTGGACGAATTTTCTGGTCCCTTTTTGTTTAGGTCCCAATTGTCGAAAGGGTAAATAGTTACAGAGAGAACTGAAGGGTATACGACCTGTCCGTTACTCTCGCTGAACACTCGCAATATCAGGTTACAAGCTGCGGCTTTTTTTCAGTCTGTCAACGTGTGATGCTTAACAGTGGGCCAGCCGTTACTCTGCGTGATTGGCACCATCAACTAATTGAGTGTGTCGAAACCTGTCCTTCAGGTCGTCCGCCGACGACCTCAATGGGCTGAGGCCCTCAGCTACTGGACACATATGTCTAACGGAGGCATGATAAATCCTCACGCAGATTTTACAACTCCTACGGACTACATCGATACTGAATGCTCCGCTGAAGAGACATTACGTTACTAGGATAGTCACCAAAAGCATGCCTGACGGGGTCGCTGATGCATCTACTCTGAAAAGTACGAGCTGTTCGGAGGTCGAGTTTGGCCGCAGTCAACGAGCGCTTTATGGCAAGAAATGAAATTCTCTGAAGCCAATCTACTGAAATTCGCGTGCAAGTGGATGCGTGGGTACAACGTGATGCCGATTCTGGTATAGGGACGACCGAACGAATTGATTCACCAAGTTCGTAGTCAACGAATGGCTTGGCATAAAGCCAGATCCCATGGGGCAGAGAGAACTCGCTTGAACCGGAAGCCCCTCTGGTAACGCAGCGCGGACCCCCCGGAGCTCATTTTGGCTGCCATAGCCGTGAGTGCCGGAATCCATTGGAAGGGTTCAGTTTCAGCGTGGCCGTAGTTGTCCAAGTCCGCGGTCACGGTTCAGTAGTATATGTTCTCAGGCCTGGGTTAGCCCTCAGAGCTACCTTGGTCAGGAAATGATGGCGGTCGATACCCATTGTTCCCCAAGTGCGTTGAGCATCCTTCCATGGTCAAAGCAATCGGCGTGACTGAAGTTGGGGTCTGCTGGGCTGTGATAAGCAGGCTAGGGGTTCCTCGATAGGCCCGCTTATGCTTTCAGTGGCATCGCCGTACGTAACTTTCACCAGTGTCCTCCCATCTGTTGCCATATGAACTAAGGCTCTACATTTGCAGGCTAGGGATACCAATTTTACCCTGCTCATGTTGCTCCTCCATCTGTCGTACGTTGTAGATCTCATTAAGGATTTCGATCGTAGTGTTGGACAGTGATGTATTAGAGTTGGCAATTTTCTGAAGCTCCTCAAATCTCCCGAGACGGTAAATAATATGGATAAGGAGCTGGGTGCAGCCTGTGGACATCAGCTGTTGTGTTAACGATAGCCGTGCTGTGCAGCTGCCTTACCATCTTTTCCAAGTTGATCCGGCGCCTCAGTTGAGTTCGGAAGGCCACCATCGCGGCTTGTTCTCACCCTTGTAAGGATATAATTTGGATCTGTGGGGTTGGATGAGCTTGATCAAAGCCCTGGTCAATGTGCGAATGTCAGGCCGTATGAAACAACCTAGAGCACATTTGTAGTAGTCGAAAACCTTTTGGGCGTCCCCAATCATCAGGCCGCCCATTTGGCTTGGAGGGGTGCAGGGGTAGGATGTTGAAGAGGCCAGGCTGTTATTGTCGGTCAGATCATCAGGCGTGGGCCGAATTGCGTCTGTGATGAACAAGACGAGAGGCCTTCGGGTTGTCTCATCCCTTCAAGGTCCGCAATATTTACCAAGGTAGTGCCTTCTGCTGGCTGTGTGAGTTGAGGGTCTGTTTTAAAGTGTAGGGATGTCTACCGATCACTCCTGCATTGTACTGCTCTTCTTTCCTCCGAAGTGCCAATATATTATAGAGGATGTCGAGTTTATCGGCTGGCTCTATCTGGTCCTTGGACTGGTCAATGATTTGTTCAAGGTCATCAGGGCCGATGCTAGGGTTATGAATAAGGTGAATCAAGAGAGGAATACCCTCTTAAAGGTGTCAGCGCCTGCACTGAGAGGGGGAATCAACTCACCATTCTGATTGAGACGGCTGGGTGCTTTATAATGCAACTCTTGAGGCCACCACTCTGGCTTGGAAGGTTCACCCACGTTGTATGGGTACAGCGTTCTTACATAAGGTTCAAGGTGCATGATAAGAGCGCCGGCCAGAATGCGGCAGTTACCGACACGGAGAAGCTTGAAACCAACTTCATAGTATCTGTTAACTGCTTCCTTGTCACTGATCTTGAAAGGGTACTCCGCAGAAGCATTAGAGTCTTGGGCAGGAAGACCCTCAGAGAGTCCATAGCCGTGAGAGGACTCAACTCTGGAAGCCCCTATCATACAACGTTAGTATAGGGCTGGGATGGCGGAGATTGTCACGGTGTACAAACCAGGAAAGACAGGCTTGAGATTTCCAATCTCGGACTCGAGTATTCCCCCGGACACATTATGTACATGAGGGGTAACGAGAGTATTGTTCTGCTCGCGAATGGAAGACGACTCAGAGATCTGAACATTTCCCATATTATGGGCATGAAGGGTGCGGACCGGCCAGAGCATGGACTGCCCACTTGAACCAGCTTCCAGTGGTGACGCCACGGACGGACCGACGACAGTCGGATAAGACAGAGTGATATCCTCGCTGTTCGGAATAGGGTTGAGGTGTGTCATCGGTGAAGGGAGTCGAGAGGGGCAGAGCTCCTCTCCGGTCACAGCTTTGCCACACGGACTTGCTGAACTTGAGCCCGAATCACGGGGGCGAAGGGTGGAAGTTCTCCAACAAAGGTCAAATTAGCGTGATTTCATATCATATTAAGCTAGAAACTCTGTCTGGCCGGCCTACCGAAATGAGTCGATGAACCTTTCTAAAGCCCCGATTTCTCCCTCGTACCATTGTGTCAAAGCCTCGTCGGTCTGCCGTAACTTACGCGCCTCTATATATCGCCAAATGACATGATTATAGCCAAAGAATTTCTTCATGTGGGGGTCGTTACCCGGTTGCATCCGGATCACCGGGTCATCGTCACCAAACCTCTGGCATTTGAGTAGCTCACAGACCTGGCCAACTCGTTGAACACCACGGTGGTCAACGGCAAGGTCGACTTGGGCCCATTCTTGAGAGTTTATATGTTCTTCCAGGCTCAAAGGAATTGCTTCTCTGACAACATTTCCGAGGCCGCGCTCTAGAATAACCTCCCAAGGATGGCGGTCTTAAAGAGTTAGCAGATGTAATAAGAAACGAGGGAGTCTTCCTACCACCAGGGGATTCGGCTGGAGAACCGAGAGTTGATTCTCAATTCCAGCTAGCCTCTCAGTAGCCCAGACCTTAGCCATTGGGTCAAGGCGAGGGCATTCTTCACGAAGGTAACGAGAATACCTTGCTGCCAAATCTTTATAAGCAGCAACCCGTTTGACATTCATATCCTCGGCTTGTTGGGCGAGGACCACGGGATCTTTATCACTCATTGGATCAAAATCGACAGGGCCGTATTTGAGAAGAACCCTAGGTCCACCACCCACACGAACGGCTAGTTCAACAAGGATAGCACCCTCTGGATGGACGGTCTTGTCGCCGGCAACCCGTTAGTAGGTAGGTTCTTGAAGAGGGATTGCTGCTATAACCGCATCGTGAAGGCCTTTCAATCGAACATCGGTCATGGGATGCTCTTGATGATTGCGACACCATACAAGTTTGGTCTGCGACATCAGCAGTTGTAGGACAAGATTCAGCATAATCTTACCTCACAACCATGGGTTCCTTTAACCTAACCTTCAATTTTCTCTATGCACTTACTGAAGCAGTAGCTGATAAGGTCGTGATTCTCCTTGCGTCCCTGTTCCTGGGCCTGGGACTGTCGGATCCCGTGTACTCTACGATATCTGAAAAGGACTTCGCTCAAGGCCAGAGCTCTTTTCGTGCTATTATCTCCACATGGGTATGAGAAGACTAAGGGATCGCCGTCGCTGAAGGGAGAGAATTTCACCGGCGGATATGCGGAGCAAACAGCTGCAAAGTCGCTCCGTTGAATGACCAAGTCGACTTGGATAGCACCATCCAGGCGATGACTGGGAGGCGCTAGAGCGTACGCATTGCAAGGATCTTCAAGATAAACCGCTGCTAGGATCAGATCTTCCACACCCTTATTTTTGGCATCTCGCATCAGGGGTCCCTGGTAAATGGTCTTCCATACCCGCACGGTCTTAGATTATACGTTAGTAGTCGGTGCAGGAGTGGGGGACGGGACATACCTGGATATTATCTAGAAGCGTACCTAGCTCCTCGGATACCCATTTGAGTCGTCGGTGAAACCAGGCGCGGGCTTGGTCGTCGAGGTTGCCTTTCGCCTGACAAGCAAGATATGTCTCACGAAGCTTTTGACCTGCCTCGAATCTTTGGAGAGCTAAGATTTCTGGCTTCTGAGAGAGGACCATGGGGTCTCTACTGCCTAACGGCAGAGACGTTTCAATGTTGAATTGACGGCGAACCCTTTGCGCATCAGACTCGGGCACGACAAGTTCTGCTAGCTCTTCGTTTCCACGCTGGCATGGCAGAGATACTATGATTTTGACGACGTCGTCAAAGCTGTGGTGCCAGACGACATCCTCTGGTGGGTAATCGGGATTGATAGTGAACCAAGCACGGACAACCTATAACGTTAGCTAATACCAGAGATAATTAGATAAAGACTTACTTCCAGGTCATCCATGGTGGTATTCTCTTGCTCGACTGCGTGGTCCACGTCAAACCACTCTGACTCGCGGCGGGAAGCTCGTGATGTAGGAAAGCACTGTAGCACGTTCGAAAACAACTCAGTGGGCCAGCTCAGGAGAGCAGCAAATATTGACCGGCTGGAGAAGACCATGACATAGTTTGCGATCGGTTTGATGGCAGAGAAGGGTCAAGGTCTGAGGGAGCATCCAGGACTCTTTATATGCCCATTATTCCACATACTTGGGATTCGCCGACCTTTAATCCTACCATCTGCTTCAGAATCTACCTCTTCTTTTCGTTCATAAAGACAATATCACATTATCACACTCGCTATCGTTTCTCATTACGTATACTTTCTGACGCCATACTTAGGGGTATAATTCGGCTGCACAAAAAAAGAAAAATGAAGCAACGGTACTAGGAAAGCATCGTCGAATGAGAGTGGGAGATGGCCCGCTGTTGTTTAGCTAGCTGTGCGCTGAGATTGTCTCACCACCCCTGGCCGACCGAAAAAGTCTCACCTATAGTTGGAGGACCTCGTCCGTCGCGCATGTCACAACCCACGACCTACCAAAAGCATGAACGTCATACTCACAGACAATCACACAGACAATCGTGGAGAAATAGAATGCCTCGTATCTAGTAAAAAGCGTGTTGTCGAAGACGACGGGTTGAGAAAATTGAGCCCAATTTACTCCTGATTTACTCCGTAGTGTAAAATAAAGGATGGTAATATATACAGTATTACAGGTAAGTTCACTAGTAACTCTGTGATGTATGTAATGGCCATTGGGTTCTTGGCGTGGAATTTTTGGTTCCCAAAAAAGCAACAAATGAGGGATTCCTTTATGTGCAAGAGGTCGGGGTGTGCTGTGCCACAATGATCGACAAGAAAATTGACAGGTCTGTTAATTGCCGTTCCTGCTGCGACCTTCAAACAGAGCATGTAAAAGGTTATTCCTGTTTGGCTAAAGTACAGATACTGTTGGCCGCCTACCTGCAAGGAGAAACGTTTCAGCACCACGAGGGCTCGGACGAACTCCAAGGGATCGGTTATTATTTTGACGAGGATCAGTCAACCATCGCCTATACAATGTATTTTGGCAGAGCCTCCAGACGGTTTTTTGTTGGTCCAACATTCTATTGAGGGAAACGTGATATTTTAGCATTTCAACACACCGCCCTCCCTCCTTTCTTCCTAGCCGCAAACCGTGTGCTTCCTCCATTACAGCGCACGGAACTGAACGGTAGTATCAACAGAAAATACGAAGTTAGAAGGGTTCTTATAATAATTGGAACACAGCCTTCCTTCTTTACGCGACTAGACGGGAAAATCTTGAGTTTGTGTGCCTATTGCTTAAGCTTGGAGCGGCTAAATACTGATAATTAACTGTCAAATAATATGGGGTAAAACCCGCGCGGAGCACAACAAAATAATAAATCCAAGAATAACCAAGAAGAATAATCAAGAAGAGTCCAACCAGCTCAATTCATTTAAATAAGACTTTTTTTACCAATCGTACTCTATTTCCTCTTCGGGACTAGCCGTATATCCGACATTAACAAACCTTTGTGACGACACACCACTATCAACTGCGGCGCTCTTGGGGCACCGTAGAATATTCGAAAGGTACCGGCTCAAATCGATACGAAACGAAGATACCGAAATAGATTTACACTCCATTCCAGCATACGGTGGAGTTTAGAAATCGTTAGTCAAGTGATCAGCCGTGGTCATCCTCTAAACCTAACGGATGCAGAGGGTGGTACTCCTCTCTCAACCGCTGCATCTATCTGTGGTGGTCCGACCCAGATAATTCCTATCCTAGTGCACTCACTGCTAGTCAGCCTGAAACGCCACTTGATGTTGCAGCTAACCGGCGCAATTTTGAATGTGCACACATTCTTACTCACCACAGGGTAGAGCTGGATTCGAAAGACGCCAGCGGGGATACAACATTACATAATGCAGTCTATGGCGGCAACCTGCAGGTAGTTAAGGAGCTGCTTCTACCTGGCTCTGATGAACCAGAAGTGCATAAGTTGACGGACTCCTCTGCATGCTGCTTCCAGTCATGGGTATAGTGCAATAACTAGGGAACTTATTTGCTCTGTCGCCGATATTAATGCCAGACATGGTCGCGGGCGAACAGCTTTATCCGAAGCCCCAATAGGCAAATTCGAATTAGTCCAGCACTTACTTCAACATGCGACTGATCCGACACTTGGTGATGCTCATCGCCAGACGCCTTTGCACCTTGCTGCAGCAAATGGAGAATCTGACCTGACTGACTTGGCTAAACCGGTATATCAACCCCGTGTGATCCCATTTCGACCAGTGGGGCGTGTTGGAGTATATTGAAGGCATACTGATAAATGCCAGGTGAATGAACAGGTGGTAAGAATTTCATCTCAACAGATACCAGATTAGGGCAGTCCCGGACTGCACTGCATATAGTGTATCAAGGCCGTGTGTTCACTCAGGCCCATCACCGGTATGGTTAGTAAACCGGAGTATAAACAGAGTTGTAGGATCGATCCTGTTACTAGGCCGCGTGCAGGATGGACCAGCTAAACCGCTATCCAGCATGTGAGAGACACTTTGATCCCTTGCGAAAAATGGAACTGTATACAAGAGTTTCCTCACGTAGATTGCATATAGTGATCGACAAATGCTCCAGCCTCTCCTGGAGAAACTGATCGAATATGCTGGACTATGTTTGCAATAATTAATTCCCGTAATCCTCCGTTTAACAAAGGATAATACACAGATGTCTTCTTCAGTCAGATAATCTAGGACCCCTGAAATTAATTAAGTTAATTCTAACTACGCACTGGCCACTCATGGTTAGCAACATACGAGAATGCGGGGCTCTCGGAATGCGAATGTGGAATGCCGTTGTGGCGCGAACAAACAGCAGTTCACGTTCTACGTAGTTGTCTGCCCAAAGCCAAAAGAGCTGCGCCAGAAATTGTGAAAGAAAGTGGGGGACGCATCTAATAACGTCTCATGCATGCTAGGGGGACGAGGAGACGGCCAAGGTAAGGAAGGTAGGTTAAGTAGCTCTGCCCAGGAGAGCACGATCAGTGCTCTACTGGATTTCGTAGAGGTATCCAAAGGGTTACAAAGCCGCACGCCAAGAGGGCCGCAAAACAGAGCACTAGGCACATAGGCCACCACAGGCCTTGACGAGGCACTTCGTCTGGATGTAATGGAAAACTGTAACTAGAGATGGAAGGATAGATAGAGTTGTTGTAGCCTGTATATCGCTTACGGCGAGCGGTTAAGCTAAATGAATTCACCATCACCAACCACCGTGTTTAATTCTAGACTGGGACAATTGGGATTACTGACGTTAGGGCGAGGTGAGGTGGCGAAAATCGGGCTGACCATGGAGAACCAAAAATATGTGTAAATATTCTCAATAAATACAAAACGGTGGGTCGATAGATCGCCGAGGAGCTAACCTTACATCGTGAAGCAATCATCTGGACCGCAAGGCAAGGGCAAGGGCAAACAGGGACCCTGGAAATTTTGTTTGAAAGATGCATCCGAACCGGGGATTATGCAATTGGAGTTAGCTCTGGCGAAGGCCGCTTTATATGGTCGTTTACCTATTACTGTTTCTCTTTTATACGACTTTCCTTTGTTCTCGATGCGTGCAATGGAAGAAGCCTGTAAAAAAAATGGAATGCTTCAGGTCTTTTGTTTCCTGGTCGAAAACCATACCTCGCGCTACCTTGACTACCTGGACCGCATCGGTGGACACTTGGACCTAGCAACTTCGTCTTGGAGATTGCAAAATCCGAATTAACAAAAGGTGCCTGACGAAAATATCAAACAATTACTCTTGAACCGTGCCAAGACGAATCTGGCGGCCCCGGTCAGACAACTATCCATTGTCACCTTGTTCGAATAGGAATAAGGACAAGGTGAAAACCCCGCGCCAACTCGGAATTTCGCCAAGTATAGAGGACATATTTGGTAACTGTCCGCTTTCGATTGCTGTTTCAAACGGGGATGTGGATATAAATGCTGGTGGGTTTGTCACAGGCTGAACCTGTAACATACTATATAGGGCGCTAGATGGGACTGATCGAAGATCAGTCGTCATGTACCTTTTTATATGGTCAAGTGGTTTTATCTCTACTAGCGCAGAGACAACCAAACCATCACAGGGTTACGGGGGGGTCCGTTGAAGTCAAATGCCTTGCTAGAACACTGTTAGCCCAGATATCAACCACAACGGACTCAACAATTACCAGAAAAAGTCTGGAAACACTTAGGCTGGAAACTAGAGCTCCAAATCAAGGAGGCATGGCCACTGCTGCTCCGTTTAACGTGTCTAAACTATTACAGATTCTACTCGACTACAGGGCAGTCATTGATGAGAAAGCACGACATGGCCGAACTGCCTTGCATGTCACTGTCAGAAAGGGACATAATGATTCGGTGAGAATGCTACTGAATACTGGTACAAAGATACTGGCCGACGACTTGGGCTTGACTCCAGTGGCCTACGCCATCAGATGTCGACATACAGAAACGACGAGGTTGTTTGAAAGTCGCCAGGCTGAGCGAAAGGGAGGACAACTGCGAGGTGCTAGAATTTATTTACAATAAAGATCCGCGTACAATCACTACAATTTGCTTGACGAGGATCCTCCAGGATATGAAAGAAGTGTCTCGGTGCCCGCTACACTACGCTGAACACAGCATCGTGATTTTCCCTTCGGCCCTGAGAGGAAGATGGTATGCACGGCTCCTCGGCGATCTATTAATCCACAGTATTTACAGCTTTAAAATGACTTGATGGGTCAAAAGAGGCAAGAAGAAACCTTCCAGTCCTCTACAGCTAAAGATCAGGATATTGTTGGGTCAGCTACTGATGTTATTAAAGAAGCCCATCCTATAGTAAATCGTCCGAGGAAGGCAAATCCGGCTACCACAATGCTTTCGGGACAATTAAGGAACCTTGATAGCTTCTTTAGGACCCCAATTTCAAAAGATCTCTGTATAATTCGAATTGTATGTGGCTGTAAATAGATCCCACACCCACAACGGCATACTCAATATATCAGCGGATTTGAGAGTTAGGTTTACCTGTATTTAAATTTTCCACCAGTAAATCTGCCTCTTTAGCCAGGCGCTCCTCTGCCAGCTGGCGGCTTTTTGGCTCTGTTTCCTGAATAACGCAACTCCCTATTAGATGCCCTGATTCTCTTCCTCTCTTCAACTAAGCGTTGTTTCTCTTCCTTTCCTTGCTGCC